TCTAAATATTAGGATTTTATAAAATTAAAATATATTAATAAAAATATTTACTAAAAGACAACAATTAAATAATAAAAAACTATTTATTTATGTAAGTTTAATTAGATTTTTTCTAATTTTTATCTATTAACTATTCCATAGAGTAAAAAAATAAGAAATAATATAATATAAAAATAATTTTAAATAAACTATTAATAAAAGTTATAAAATCTTAAAAAGATTTAGATATTATAATAACTTTCAGATAATAGTTATAAAATAATATTATTTACTTAATAAAAATTTATAGATATATTATTAATATTAATAATATATTTTAGGAATTCAACTTACAATTATTAAAATAAATATTTTAATAATTTTATATAAAACTTAGTCTTTCGAAGTCTTTCTAACACTTAATAAATATATTTTATATAGAATTCTCTGTCTAATAAAAAAATAAAAATATTATATAAATATATTATATAAAAATTATTAAGAAGCCCACGGAGTATAATATACATATAATTTTAAAAAATTACTAGAGTATTAGTTAATCTAAATAATATAATTATATACTTAAAATAATTATATTAAATATAAAATATAGTCTTTTATTTATTTTTTTCTTTGATACGAATTCAGTAGTAGATATTTTTAATATTAATTTTTAAAAAATATTTATTACCTGAAACTCTATCAAGAATCTTTAAAATAAAGAATAAAAAATAATAATTTTTAATAAAAATTTTATTAAAACTTCTATAATCTATACAAAGGTATAAACTATTATTTTTTTTTAATATAAAGAAGATGGAAGCTCCCATAGGATTTTTAAAAAATTATATTTAATTTAATTTTAGATTTTTCTTAATATATTCCTGTAAAACTTTAAATTCAGTTTCTAAAAAAAAATATATAGGATTATATAGAAGTATTTTATTAAATTTAAGATTAATAATATAATCTACAAGACTATAAGAAGATAATTATTAAGAAAAATCTATAGAGAAAATATTATAGAATTAATAAAGTTTAATTAATAATAACTCTAAATTTAATAATAAATCATGAGATTCTTTCTTAAATAATTAGATATCTTCAGGAAATTTAATGATAGTATATACTTTTATTAAATTTTAAATTATTCTAGTGAATTTAATAGTAGAAAAAAAAATAAATAATATATTAAACTACCATAGATAATTCTATACTAATAAGATAATATATAGATCTTAAAACATAGTTATAGATAATAAAATAAGATTATTATTTAGCTAAAGATTTCTATTAATCTTTATATAATATTATTTAAATATTCAAGTACTTCCTCGTGAATTAATAATAGTAATAAAAACCTTCTATATATTATAAATAGAAATATTAAGTTAATTAATTACTTCAATCCTGGGTATAGTAACTAAAGTATATTAAAATTTATAAACTTTAATAAATTAATAATTAATAATATTTATTTTAGTATAACTATCTAGATCTATAAAGATTTTAAGACTATTTTAAATACAAATAAGGATATAAAAATAATAAATAATTCCTATTATAGATAAGAAAATTAAAATTATAAAATCTATTTTAACTTTTCTACTTTTTCCTCTAGCTTTAATAAGAACTAATAGACTTTAATAAATTAAATTTTTTTACTTTTAGTAGAATAATAATTTATAAAATATTAAATATTATTATATATAAAATATTATAATTATTTACTAGTCTTTTTAATAAAATTTTTTTTATAATTTAAGATATTATCTACAACAAGTTTATTATTATAATAAGTTAAAATCTGTTTATATAGTCTGTAATTATTAGATTAGTTATTATTATATTTATATTTTTTTTTATTATTTTATAATTTATAATAATAGATAGTAGTAAATATTATTTCCTCTTATTCTTTAGATAGATGCGGAATATATTCTTAAATATAATAATTTAAATTTAATAATAATTTAATAAAATATAATAAAGCTCTTTCCTTCTCAATTTAATAAGAAAAATATTACTCTAAAATATTAAGATAGACATAAAACTCTTTTAAATCTTAATTATATTACTAATAAGTTTATTTAAATTAAGTTATAATATCTGATTAAAGAATAGCAGCGTTTTAAATCAAAATAAAAGTCTAGTTTTTAAATTAAAATTATAATTTTTTAAATAATTATTTCTCTTCTGGGCTCTTATCATTAGTAAAATAATATTATTTTTATTTATATACTAGATTTATATAATTAATAATAGCAAGAATCTTATATTCTTTAATAGAATATTTTCTAAAAATTTTTTAAAATATATATTCCAGATTAATAATTCATTTCTAATATTTCTGGAGATTAAAATTTAATATAAAATAAAAAATATTTTTAAACTTGATTTCTCCTTTTTCCTTATTAAATTTAGTAAAAGATTGAGAATATTTAAATAATATTTCACTAGAAGAATAATTTTTCTAGAAGTAGACTATTCTCTGTTATAAATTATTAGCTTACTCTAATTAATAAATATAATTTTCTAATTATTAAATTTTTTTAATAATAGAAATAATATTTAATAATAGTTCTGAATTAGTTCAGTCATTAACTAATTCTATTTCTTTATAATTTTTAAGAAGTAGCATTTTCCTTAGATAGTCAAGAAAAAAAAATCAGAATATAATAGGATTTACTTATTAGGATAAAAGATTTATTAATTAGATAAAAAACTAATTATTAAATATATAAAATTCTATTGGTAACAACAATATAGTCTATATTTATATAAAAAAACTGATTCTTAGAGAATCAGTAATCTAATACTAATAAATATTATTTTATAGTAGATAAAGAAATCTTAAACCATTATTAATAATTTTATGATTACTATGGCCATCCCAGTACGTCATCTAAAAGTCCTGGATTATACTGACTGGGCTACTACAGGACTAGGACATCAGTCGGGCTGGTACTGATAAGATAAAACCTCCATCCGAACTGTTCTATCACATCTCTAAACTCTCTCTAATTATATATTAATAATTTTAACTATTTTATTTATTAATTATATATATATAGTTCTAGCTATTATCTTTTTTCTAGTAGACTATTATCTAATCTTATAATTAAATAATTAGCTTATCTGAAACTTAAGGATCAGTTTAACTTATAATTTTATAAAAATTATTAATATTATTATTTTTTTATTTTTATTCTTGCAGCTAGCTTACTTATTTTTATTTATTATTTTTATTACTGCGTGTGTTTTAGCAGGTATTAAATTTATTATTTCTATATTTATTATATCTATTATATTACTATTAATCTACTAAATAAAGAGTATAGTAATATTTTTAGAACTATTATCTCTAGAAATACTATCTTGTAATAGTTTACTTATAAAAATTATTTTTATTAAAAATAAAATAGCTTAGAAATAGAGAGGGATAAAGTAATAATATTTAAATAATTTTTTAATAAATTTAGCCGTAATTTACTGTATTTTTTTTTATAAACTAAGTATATTTAGCTTTATATATAATATATATTTTTATAATTAATATATTTTAATTTTTTAATTCTATCTGTCTTCTTCTATAGATATTTATAAATTTAATAATACTTTATATAATACGCGCAGACTGCCTGGTTAGAGTAGATACTTTCTATATAGTTATATTATTAATAGTTATAGTATTAATAGATATATAGTATTTAATTATATTTAACTATAATTAGAATCTAAAAATCTTATATAATATTATATTTAATTACTTTATTTACTGGAATAAAAAAAATAAATTTAATAATAATTATTAAATATTTTTACTCCTTAGAGCCCTGAAGAGAGATAATTAATTAATATATATAAAAAATTTTAATATTATTCTCCTAGTAGTAGATATTATTTGTTAGTAAGACCTTACTAATTTTTTTTTTAATTATATAAGATTAATTAATTTAATCTATATTCTATAAACTATAATTTTTTAAATTAGATAGTAAATTACCATATTCTTCTAAAGCTTATATATTTATAAAAGGTACTACTAGATAATCTCTATCTTTATAGTAAAATGAAGATTAAGATTTAAATTATTTAATCTAAATTATTACGCCGCGATAAATTTTATAATAATTAAAAAAAAAAAATATTAATCTAATAAATTTAAATATATATTTTCTTAGTTTTCTCCAGGATGTCCTTTGGAAGTATCCTATAGAATTAAATTATATTTTTTAGATTACTAAGTTTAATAATGATCTAAGTTTTCTTTATTAGCTTAGAGGGAAGCACGCTTGTTAAGATTAATCTTAATTATATTAAATTAGATGGTAGTATATTTTTTTATATAGTAATATTAGTCCAGCTATAGATATTAATAAGAAAAGAGAATTTTTTTATAGTAATCTTTAAGAAATATAGATACTTTTCTATACTCTAATAAAGTATCTTAATCTCTGTATAAAGGGCTTTATGTTCCTACTACTAAAAGTATCTAGAAGAGTTCTTTAATAAGTCTACTAAAAATTTCTATATATTTTTAATATGATTAATGACTAGTTTAGGTACCTGAGAGTTCTTACTTATTTTTAAATATTTAAGTATTATATTTATATCATGTTAGAGGTCCAGAGCGCGTTCCTAGAAATGTTCTAATTTCCTTACGGAGGTGGTTAAACTAAGCTAGTCAGACGCTTTTAATACTATTATTATAATAATCTAATAAAATTAGTATTAAATAATAGCAGTATGAGTTACAAGAAACTTATCAAAAGATGAGGCCTCTAGGGCCTCGCGTTGCGATGTGATTTCAAAAATTTGATTCCTGTGCAAGTTGTTGTTTTTTGCTTCGGCTCTTATCAGTGCGGGGATTTTGCATTGGGAAGGCGAGACCGAAGTCGCCATACTGATAGCGACTCCAGCCGGATAGATACGACATGCATACTTCTTTCCTTAAAGCCGCCTTATCTTCCTCTCTTATTCGTCCCTTTGTTGCGGATTGAACCTCTACAGTTACTCCCATGGATTGCCAATTCAAAATTAACAGCTCAAAAGCCCCTCTGGAAGCATGCTGTGAGAAAGAGCTGAATCTTGAGCCTGCCGTCTCTATGAGGCAAGGCGAAGTCGACTCTGATGTGGAGAGATTTGGCAAACTCCATCGAACCTTGACTCCGCGCTTGATTCACGTACGCCGCCTGTGGGCAGATCCGTATTTCCACATAGCCTAACTCTACAATCTCAATAGGTGATATCCTTGGGCTCCAATGTAGGAAGTGGACTTTTCATAGCCACGGGAAAGGCCCTCGCTGATGGGGGCCCCGGTAGCATGTTCTTGGGCTATCTGGTGGTATGCATCGGCGTGTGGGCCAACCTCCAGACATTGACGGAGATGACGATCACCTTTCCCACCTCAGGCAATTATATTGATTATGCCGATCGATGGGTTGATCCAGCATTGGCTTTTGGCGCTGGTTTGGCAGAATGGCTGGGTAGGTAGAGTACCTCCGTGGTAAAGGATTATACTGAGTTTACCAGGATGGACATCAGTCTTTGCGTCCGAAGCAACCTTTTTCGTCCTTCTCGTCGACTTTTGGGCTGGAGGGGCCATTCCAGAGGCAGCTTTACGTGAGTTATTCCCTTCTGGGGTTTCTGGTACCTTTCTTCTCATATTGGCCGCAGTCACTATCTTCCTGGTCATCTGCCTAGTGGTCTTTTTGATGCCAAACAAGTATTTCGGTTGGCTGCAATACTTTGGCTCCCTCGTCAAGGTGTTCCTATTTGTCTTTCTTACAATATTGTCCCTGGCCATCATTGGTGGTGCTGGCCCATCTGGATATGTGCGGGATGGGAGCACTTGGACCGACTTGCCTGCCTTCAAAAACGGTTTCGGGGTGAGTATCTCTATCCACCCAACTCCACAGTCCGAACTCAGCATCTGCAGGGATTTTCCAACGCTGCCCTACTTGCTCTCTGGGCCATCGGCGACCAGGTGTTTATTGGGGTCATGGGTGGCGAAGCTGAGTCCCCCCGCTACTCCATGGCACACTCGGCCAATCTAATCCCATGGCGAGTAGCGGTTCTCTACCTGGTTTCTGTTGTTCTCGTCTCTCTTATTGTCCCGTCAAACGACCCCCGTCTGTTAGGAGGCTCGAGCACGACCACGTCCCCCTTCGTTATTGCAGTCGAGGATGCAGGAATCAAGGGCATCCCTGACCTTATCAACGCCTGTTTGATTATTGGCATCCTGGCCATTGCTCTCGAATGCATATTCCTACCATCTCGAATCCTTCGCACCATGGCGCTCCAAAAGCTGTTACCCTCTTTTGTGGCCAATGTCGACGAAAAAGGTCGCCCGAGGTGGGCACTTATCATTACAGCCATTACGGCCATTGTCTTGACCTACATGAGCTTGAGCGGTAGGCTGCCCGGATCACCCCCGCAGGTCGCTTAGAATCCTAACCTAAACTTGCCATAGCCGGCGGCCTGGAGGTGCTAAATTGGCTAATCGCCATCACAAGCGCCTCCTTCTTCACCAACTGGGCCATCATCGCCTTCACCTCCTTTCACTTCCGAGCCGCCATCAAGGCACAAAACAGCGCAGTCCTCACATGCCCGTACGGATGGCAATCATACTACTGGCCACTTGCCCCAGTGACCGTTCTCATTATCACGAGCCTACTATTAGTCTGCATTCTCTATCTAAGCATTGCTCCCGTAAGACGCCACCCCTTACATTCCCAGATTAATTCTAACTGCCACAGATTGGAGCTGGTTTCTCTCTCTATAACTTCTTCTCCTACATGATCGGAATAACACTGATCATTGTCGCGACCGCCTTGTACAAAATTATTCTCCGCACGCCCTGGCGCGACCCCGCCACTGCAGACCTGGTAACGGGCCGTGCCGAGCTGACCGCAAAAGAAATCCGGCAGCTCGACGCGTACTACGAGCGGCCAGCGTGGCGGCGGATAGGGACGTATATGCGGCTATGGTAGGTTGTTCGGTGGGTTGTGGTGATTGAGTGAAAGGATGTTGCTGGGATGTATCGAAGCTGAAGTGTGCACATTGGATGATCTCACAGGATCACGTTGCAAACGTTCCTCCCGATATTTAGATGTGCTATGGGGAATTTAATTCCCGATACAGTCACGGTTGAAATGGATATGAACAATACAATTGAACTCGTAGTATCTTGCGATGGCCCTGTAATAAGTTCTCTAGATAATCCGTCAAATCTTGGGTTGTAATCAAACATTATCATCTTCCGTGCTGCATTCATACTTCTATGCCATCCATTCGCGCATGCATGTAGGCGACGCAGAATCGTACTGACCAACCCATACCCAGCCCCACTATTCTAAACAAACCCTGTCCCATCCCACCTGAACCCAAAAAAGCCCGACCAAACCCATTACCATTACCGTTAACTCCCATGCCCGTCATTAAACCCTGGTACCCAAATCCCAATCCCAATCACAATTTAACACCCAACCCAAACTAAACACTCCTCTCCCCCTTCCCCTCCACATTACCCCTCCTCGACGCCCTCCCCTTCTCCGACCAAGGGAAGTGAAACACCGGCACAATAAAGAAACTATTACTATCATCTGCGATACCCGCGAGCGCTACATACCAGGCACCAAAAGCACCCAGGAGCGCGAACAGTCCACCTGCTTTGATGACCTTCGCGTTGGGGATATCTGTTCCGTCGCGGTGTAGGTACCCGATTGAGAGGAGGAGCAGGGCGATATCAACGACGGTGAAAAGGCCGCAGAAGACGACGGTGGATTTGAGCGTGCAGAGGACGAGGAGGAAGGTGAAGATGAACCAGCCCTAGTCAAGTATACTTGTTAATTGTTGTGTGTGTGGGAGGGGTGGGGGGTGTACCATGAGGAATAAGCCAAAGGCATCGTAGAACATGCCCAAACTACCGCCATCGGCTTTTTCGTACGCGGCTTGGATGTTGAACCCGCCGGGGGTGAAGACGATGGATAGGGATATCCAGAAACCGCCGTAGGAGGAGAGAGCTGTGGCGCCGAAGGTGTTTCCGAGGGCCATTTCCCTGGGGGGGGAAATAGGGTTAGTGGTAGGTTCCGGGTGAGTTGATGGGTGGGTGGGTGTATGTACGTACCACATGCCAGCGAGAAGCTGGACGAGACCTCCGTAAGCGAATGCAGGGCCGACAATCATGTTGGGTGCGGTGATTCCCAGTGTCTGCATGTTGATGGTGCCCAGAAGGAAGGTTGTCAGGGCGAAACCACATAGCCCGAGGGGCGCGGGATTGGCGAACTTGCGCTGCTTCGGGGGCCTCCATAGACCTGGTTGGAGCTCGCCGGCGAAGGCGGGGAGGGTTGTTTCGGCTGTATTGACCTGGGCGAGGGGGCCAAAGTCGAAATGGAAGCCTCTTTCGTGGGGGGTAATTGTGGAGGTGTTTGTGAAGGTTGGTTGGGCGGGAATCGATTTCTCCTCGCTGTCGGTTGATGGAGGCATTGTTGCTGTTGGGAGTGGCAGACCGTCGCAGGGAATATCAGGATTATGCTGGGGGTGTGGAGGACATCCTCAGGTTGGGATAACCCAGCTAAATAGCATCTGAGGGCATCGCGATATTCTGGGGTTGTGCTGGATCGCCTCCTCCAAGCGGGGGATCGACGACTATCTGGGACGCACATGGTGCATGGTGGAGAGAGCTTGATGATCCATTGAGCCGGCTGGTGACGGTCACTGTAGTCTCATGGTCTCATTATTTCGACGTGTCTGCGTTGCGTTATCATCATTGGAGGCCAGCCGGTGGTGCGCCAGTGGAATTCCGGGGTCGTGACTGGGGCGGTGGAGAGATAACCCCCTGCCTAATGCGGAGAAGCTGGCCGTTCAAGGCCACGATCAGCATCATCGACTACTACCGGCGAATCATCGAGGTTGAGGGTGGTTTTAGATTTGCTCACCGGGAAGATAGACTTTGCTCATCCAATAGCCATGTGCATGAGGTTATCTCACCTTGCTGGAGCCAATCGTGATATCCGCTAGTGCGAGCAGCAGTCTTCAGCTCGGACGAAAGTGAGGCCGACGAGAAGATCGACGGATGCTGCGTTGCCTCAACTACCGAGCTAGCTGCATCCGGGTGTCCTCGGATAGCCCAACTGCCGCGTCGGGCACGGTCGGGGGCCCCAAGGCCGTGTGTCCGGCGCGGAGGAACCTTGGTCCGAACGATCAGTGATACATACCCTGGCATCACTGCAAGGGATGACTATGGATTGGAACGAAGATTCCAAAATGGGGTGGGATATCTGGCATTGGTCAGATCGAACTGATAAGCATCTCTTGACCAATCAATTTTCAGATCGTCGAGTGGTTCTGGTTGCCTGGAGAGCCTGTGCCTGAGGCAGAACTGCTCCGTACTGAGAGCGACATCATACAGTGTGCCCCTCGAAAATGCTAAGACTACTATTAAGATATTAGTATCTAGTATTTATTGTATCTGTAAATTAGTCACACCTCGTCTTTTCACTCCAAGGTTTTGCGTATTTGAGTTGTGGACTGCTTCTCGTACACCACGCGAGAGGCAATTATATATTTCGTATCACAAATGAGATCATGTGGACCTCCAATCTCGAGTCTTGCGGAACCCGTGTGAATCTTGAGCTTAGAAGTAGAAGAACCAAGCCTTTAATAGTATCAGGGTCTAGTAGGAAATGATTATAGGGAATCAGTTCTCGCTGACAGCGCATATCCCAAGTGTCCTAGTACTATATGGACGGAGCAGTTACAGCGTCTGATCGCCACCTGCTAGTAGGAAAGGCTAGAAATACTTATCCCGGGTAGAAAGAATGTAAATAATAATTTACATGACTGACACAAATCGGATGTCTATCGGAATACATGTCTATGATATGTTATAGCCACCGATATAGGTGTCTCAAGGTCCACAACGAACGCTAGTAGAAGAGAAACACGTGCCACAGTTACCTGGCTGCAAGAACAGGTCCCTTCCAGGAACAGGGTAGTGCTTAGCCAAAGAAGGAATAGTTCTACAGAATGTCGACCCCAGTCAGGACCGTACTAGGCTCTGTTTGGTGCCTAAGGCGCTACAAACGTGGTCGACCAGCGGGCCAACTGCCAAGAGGAAACGGTGGGTTAGCTATGCGAGGAAGATCTAGTGCCTACCGGGGATGTGTCCGTGTGTTGAAGTGCCTGGGGAACAACCTGGATCGTCCCAGCATATACTTCCCACCCTGCTTACATCCCATTACCCTATCCCCTTCTCAGCGGCGGAAATTTTCGATGACTCGAAGCTTAAACCATACAAAGCCCCACTGGGCCACCTTGGACTGGTAGATGCTTCTAGCCCTCCGCTTTTTCTTTCTTTAACTCTATTGTGTGATGTGGTGGCCGGAGACTTATGGCCCACACACCTTAGTCGGGCCAGCCGCACGTGGCAATCATCCATAACAATTACAAGGTGGATAACGTCCCCAATGAGTGTGCGAGGTATGACTTAGGATGGTTCGCCTTGCGGGAGGCTAAACAGTCAGTCAGGCTGTCATCTGGTGGCGCTCAGGGGAGATGATCTTCACTCCACTTAGTAGCCACAGACGGTTTCGGTAACAATTCAGGTTTCTCCAGATTTTTCAACCTCATACGAGATGCCAGACAGATATTACCATGGTTATCCGAAAGGAAAAACACGGGGACGTGTTTAGATACAGCGTCACAATGGCAGATAATGTTTTTGAATACTCTGTAGTGTTGGATTCAATGCTCAACGGCACACGGGATCAGAGTGTAACTGCCGTCCAAGAGGGAAAAAGGGTGAATAGACTCGGAATCATACGATCATACGATCGAAGCAGTATCTGGCAATCTCTCACCCATACCGCTACCCGCATTGCTGTCGTAAACATGGAGTTCCTGGGCTGGCTTTCCGGGGCAATCGGTATGCCGCCCCGCTTGTCAGACCCCGAGTGGCCCGTGCCCCACGGCAACGGAGTCGTGGGTCGGATGCCGGGCTCCCATCGGCTTCGAGCCCGGAAAGGGCGAACACCAATCACACTCCGCCGAAATGTCAAGGGAAATACACCGCTGTCTGTTCTGGGAAAGGCTGCCTGTTATTGTTTTTCCACCCCGGCAGTCACCCCGCCCCCGCCCCCGCGTTGCCGGCCGTCGCCTTGCCGGTAGAACTCCCAGGATGCAAGAGGATGGCTTGAACGTCTGTTTTACTGAGACTTGCGATGCTTGCACAGGCCTGAAAGGGCTAACATGTAGTTCTATAACTACTAGCTGTATGATTCTGCCGCGCAAGATGACAATTAGACTGTAGGGGGCAAAGGCGACGATAATAGTAGGTAAAGCTGCTCATAACCCTGGGGAATGATTACTACCTAGAGTGCCCTGATTGGCTCGCAGAATGTGGAAGGTGCGTATAGAATCATTCGAACAGGGACGGAATCAGACAATCCCACCAGGGCTGTGGCCGGCACGTAGCGGAAAAACAGTTCGCGGACGGGTCGCAGCTCGGATAGGAAGGCGGAGAGAGGGCCCGGGCGGCTGTCTTCCAGAGAGGACTTACCCGCGGGTAAGAGCATCCCCGACAACCCCCCAAGCAATGCAATTTGATATCAGAACTCGATAATTGATTTTGATATGCAGGTAATCCTGCAGATCCGGCAAGGCCACTGAGGCTTGCCGTCTCTCGGCTGTCCAAAGCTAAAAGCTGCGAGAACTGAAACATCGATCATGCAATCCATCAAATCCATCGGCATGTGGCAACGGTAACTTGGGATGGTTGGTACCGTCGCAATGCCCCCACACGGAGTTGGAGCCGATCGATTTGCCGTCAACTTCCATTCTATCCAGACTCGCCACGGTCATCCTGGCCGTGTATATAGACCCTCCAGACCTCGCTGTCTTTCCTCTTTCATCTTCCTTCTGTATCCTCCATCTCCCTCAACCCCTTCTTGACTACCACTTCTCCCCCCCCCGACCACATACAAACACCGTCACAATGTCCGGCTTCCAGTACGACCCCAACTTCACCCCCTATGTGGTCAACTCCATGGGACCCAAGACCCCCGAGCGTGCTCGCGTGGTTCTGGGCGCCCTCATCAGACACATCCACGACTTCGCTCGTGAGGTCGAGCTCACCTCCGCCGAGTGGATGATGGGTGTCGAGTTCATCAACTCCATCGGCAAGATCAGCACTCCCATCCGCAACGAGTGCCACCGTATCTGCGACGTTATCGGCCTTGAATCGTGAGTCCCACACAACAACGCAACGGCATGAATTAAAAAAATGAGCGAAAGCTAACCAAGTTTACTAGTCTCGTCGATGAGATCGCCAACAAGATCATCACTGAGCAGGGCTTGTCCCCCACCTCCAATGTCATCCTCGGACCTTTCTGGTCGCCCAACGCTCCCTTCCGCGACCTCGGCGACAGCATCATCCAGGACCCCAACCCCAACGGCAAGGTCACCTACATGCACGGTGTTCTGAAGGATATGGAGACCGGCAAGCCCATCGTTGGCGCCGTCCTCGACATCTGGCAGGCCTCCGCCAACGGCCAGTACGACTTCCAGGATCCCCAGCAGAGTGAGAACAACCTCCGCGGCAAGTTCCGCTCCAACGAGAAGGGCGAGTTCTACTGGTACTGCTATCACCCCACCCCCTACTCTCTGCCCACCGACGGCCCCGCTGGTGTGCTCCTCAACATCATGGACCGCTCTCCCATGCGTCCCGCCCACATCCACCTCATGATCACCCACCCCGACTACGCCACCGTCATCAACCAGATCTACCCCAGCGACGATCCTCACCTTGACATCGACTCCGTCTTCGCCGTCAAGGACGACCTGGTCGTTGAGTTCAAGCCCAAGACCGACGACCCCAAGGCCTCGCTCGACCTGGAGTACAACGTCACCATGGCTCTGAAGAAGCACCACCGCAACCCCAACACCGCTCCTCCCGTTTCCTCCTTCGAGCGTTACAACAAGGCCAACCAGAAGCTGTAAAAAGACGCACCTTGATGGTGATTTGAAGCATTGATGTACATAGTTATGCATTTGTCGAACTTCAGCGATTACTCTTCATGTATCCTTTGAATACAGATTTTATCAGACCTTTCCAAATATTCTGCATGCGCCTTAGTAGACCCACCCTGATCTTCTAGAACGACACTTGCATCGGCTCCATGCGGAGACCCCGCGTTAGACTGAGCGAATAAGAATGTGGCCAAAGTCATGTACCACCGGGTCTCGGGTGTGTTGGCCACATCCCGTGACCGACAAACGCGTCCCCGCTTTCCCAAGCCAGAGAACTCTCCACAACCATTTATCCCAGGCGCGGGAACGGTATAGTTCCATGGTGCCGTCGGCTGTCCTCCAATCATTTGTCTGCTGATCAGATGATTGACTTTTTCTTGACCGTCCCATAACCACGCCGTAACGAATGGTAGGGATCGCATACAGGGAAAGACCTGGGGATGGTGGAACCATCACCATGGCACCGCAGGCATGGATAAGCCCCGAACATGGTACTTTGTATACGATCGAACGTGACGCGGCAGGCGGCCGACACAACCTTCTCGGGTGGCGTGGAAGTGTACCACGGTGAGGTCTATCCAAAGTGACTGGTTTTACTCTGTGAACAAGCTTTCTACAATGACTAATTCATTGTTCTTGCTAACTCATTTTCCTCGCTTGTTAGTGCATTCATGGCGAGAAACGTATACATTCGCAGGTCTGCATATGCACCTGATGTCCCTATATCCACTGTTCCACCATATGGTTACCCTACATGGTATGGAGATGAAATGTTAGTAGAGGCCATTGGCACAAGTGTTTATACTCGAATCTCCTCGACCCGGCGTGGAACCATAGATGGAAGCAGGACCCCGATCTCGAGCCCACACATGGTGCTGGCGATGAGTGATGGATCATGGATGCGGCCTGTGATGAGGAACAGTCTACAAGGGTATCTCAACTGTCTCCGGACTACGGAGTGATGACCTTCAGATCATGATGGACAGAAGTGGAGTGGATGGATGCTGCCAGGAATCTCCGGTTTCCGAAAAGGGAAACTCCGAGTGAAATCCCCGAGGCGTATTCGGATATGACTGAATCCAAAGTGTCTCCTCCCTCATGGTTCTCCCCGTGTAGGAGTACATAAAGACAGGCACATATTACTAACTAAGATAGCACGAAGACATTTCTTCGTTCTTCGTCTCTGCACTTCCGCCCTGCTCTCATCTTCTTTTCCGAGGCTGTCAATATCGACCGGGATCTCAGTCTACACCTATCGATCTGCACCAGGACATTATATAGTTCGCTGGAAATGGCATCCGCATTAGTGTCTACAGCTCTTCGCGATCAGCATGTTGTCATTCTTGGGGGAGCGTACGCCGGGCTATCCACGGCGTTGAATCTCCTCCGGATCTGCGACGGGACATTCAGCTATTTTCTGAAAGCAGATGGCAGGGGTGGTAGGGGCGGCAGAGGTGGACTCCCAGAAAGGCGTGGAAGAGGCGGCCTTAGAGGTCATAACCTGCCTCTCCCACGATCTCCACGCAACAAGCCCAGAATTACCATCCTAGACCCCCGAGACGGCTTTTGTAAGTCGAACTCCTCCACTTTTGTTTTGCTGAAACGCTGACTTCAACCGCAGATCACGCCGTCGGAACGCCAATGGCGCATACCTCAAAAAGCTATATCAGCAAGCCGTGGCTACAGTGGGACCAGATCCCCGAGCTGAAGAGAGGTGGTGTTTCGGTCGTTAGAGGAAAAGCCATAAAGGCAGATCCAGAGGCAAAGACATTGGTCTATCTCTCAGGTGAACCAGGAGAGCTACAGCAACGGTCACTTGATTATGACTATCTCGTCGTGGCTACAGGTCTCCGACGTCCGTGGCCTACTGTTCCAATGGCAACGACCAAAGCAGAATTTTCCGCGCAAGCTGCAAGATATATCGAACACTTACAATCACGTAATTCGATTGCTGTCATCGGGGGAGGTAAGTGGCACTCCATCATAACTCTGTGAAAAGCCTGTGCAATAAACTAATCCTCCATAAGGGGCCGTTGGAATCGAAATGGCCGCAGAGATCAAACACCAATACCCCTTGAAAGACGTGACCTTGATCCACTCGCGCTCCTCACTTCTATCCTCCGAGCCTGTATCCATGGAATTCCGAGACACAGTACACAAGGTCGTCCAAAGCGGTGGCGTGAACGTTCTTCTGAACAACCGCGTCCTCAACGTAACATCAGACGGAAACTCCTCCAAGACAATAACCCTTGAGAGCGGTGGCTCTCTCTCCGCCGACGAAGTGATCTGGGCCACCTCATCCGCAGCACCAATCACCGAATTCTTACCAAACGAAGCACTGGATCAGGAAGGATTCGTGAATGTTCTCCCCACGTACGTACAAAACTTCCCCGTTCTCAAACTGAAAAAAAAACCCTCAAGCCCTAAACATAGCCAACAAAGAGTTTGAACTAATAGGACTCAATTCCAACCCACAATTCCCAACTCGGCTGCCCACTTCGCCGTTGGCGACGTAATCTCCACTCCCGGGATCCGACTCGCCCCCGGCGCCATTCGGATGGGCAAGATAACCGCAACAAACATCGCACAGATGCTGGTAGCTTGCGAGGATTCCGCGTCAGACACACCATCCGTTTCTTCAGATCAAGCACAGGCTCACGCAAAACCGCCAAAATCAAACCTAAAACTGGTGATCGGGGTATCCGGAGCCGCATACGATGGTAACACGGGGGACATGATGTGGGGACCGGAGGTTAAGCAGAGGATCTTCGGGGATGACATGGGACTTACCCGTGAGTTTTTTTTCTTTCTATTCTTGTCTACGAGGTTACATTCCAGAGCCATACTGACAATAGCTAAGGTGCATTGGGAGCGTTGGGGTTATTTTAGAACATGAAGGAAGATTTGTAGAATGGCTTGGAAGGGCTAATTGATGATTATGCTATTTGTGATCTCATGATCAGGAGGTTTGTCCACGATAGATACAGTAATAACCCTCATAATGAACAGATGACGGGATTTGTGGCTGGTGGCTGAGTGATAGATACTCGATCGGAGAAGGGGTTTGGGCTGGATCTACCGCTTATGATCTTAACCAAATTCCCGATTAGCAATTCGTATTTTAAAGGGATTGTTTGCCTTGGTAACAGGGCATCGTCATCAAATTCGTAAATGATGCTCATCTTAATCACCGACCAGATCTCTCCCCTCATTACTCGTGTCTGGCTAGAGATGCCTGTGATCTCCCGTGATCGATCTCTTATTGACTCCTGCATGATGTGAACCATCACCAACTGTAACATTTCGGGCTATATTGTAACTGTGTCACCCTCTCCAGGAGGTTTAAAACAAGCGCCAGGCCCGCAAGATCGCCACCCATTAGGGGGAGAGAGTACTTTCAGTCCGCATATGACTTCGAGGGCTTCCTAGCCAGTGCTATCTGCCTGCTATTCGCGACATCGGAACCCAATTCGCCAATTGTTGCTCTTGGATTGAGTATTTGGGGGAGCGTTTGCAGTAGCCTTAATAAGGAAATCCTTGTCACAAAGAGCGTAATGGGGTAGATGTTCATCACGGCTCCCGGTAAGATTAAGCCGAGGACCATAGCAGACTCGATATGCGCCTGTTGTCAATACAGGACGGAGAACTCGTTGGCAGACGTAAGCTGACGGGAGCAGATATAGCATGGGGTTTACCGGAACCAACTCAAGATGCTGAAACGAAATGGCCTCAAAGAATGTTACTCGGGCAGTGAGTCCTATGACGGATCGAATCGTTCAATCATGTTATCAGGTCTGTCGATACAAACAAAATCTGTAAACAGCTGACCAGAGACGTGTGATTTTCCATGAAAGAGCAAGATGTCGATCGACTGACTGTTGTACGAAGTCAGTTTAGGAGTCCCTCCCCCGTCATCCAGCGGCTGCGTAACTGCAAATATGTCTCGTCCCATCACTCTTTGTTGATTAATAGCTTTGACCACACCCAAGGTTTGATAAACCGGAAAAGCTCCTTCTTCCGTAGGTTGGAGGTCCTGTAAATGTTGTAGCCAATTTTGGATCTCCCGGCAAAGTGCAGGATTCTGGCACCGGAGAAGAGCGGCCAGCAGTAGACCGGAGAACCCAATTGTATAATTGTTCCTGGTGAGTGAGGTGCGCATGTCAACGCCTTTGGCAATCTGGAGCAACATTCGAACCCAAGGCTCCTCTTCACAACATTCATGTCCAAGGTCCTCAGGGTCTCTGGTGTGCAGATTGCGCAAGATTCCAGTACCCTGCATTATGCGAGCCACCACATAGTATGCAAAGCTAAGCGCTGCATCGTGTGTTTGGAAGTATATAGCAGGAGTCGAATCATCGCACTCCCCGATATGTCGCACCGCGTCCGTATATATTGGTTGTTCTGAAGGGGGAAGACTCCCGAGCCATTCATTGAGCCTCTTACCTTCTTCGTTAAGAAGAAAACAGCATCTCTTGTATTCCTGGTCATTCACATCCAAACTCGGGTTTTCGGGTCCCATGCTACGGCTCCAATGCTCGAGTATGCTCTGGCAACTGATTCGATGCGACTCGCACATGATACTCAAGACTGTCACTCTTCGCTCATGAGGTGAGTTGCCTGTCAATGACCTCGGAAGATGAATCGAGGGGAGCTGCTGATGCACATCAATGGAGCTGAAGTAGGCGCGCGCCCACCAGACAACATATCGAACCTGCATCCAGGAAGTAAGAAGGGCGTTGATCATTGAGTCGTTGGATGCCTCGGGGAGCTCGAATAGCAATCGTGTTATCCCCTCCACGTGGCAATTGAAGCCATGAAAGTTGCCCATTGACGATTCGACGTATGCGAATAGAATGAGAACGGCTAGAACTATTGTGGCATTCTGTTGGTAATCTAACTCATTGAGAGCAGTGAACCTTTTGATAGCCGAGGAGTAGTACAGCTGACTCCTTGTTTGGTGGACAAGACTTGGACTGAATGGACCCATGGAATTGATTGATGATGTCCTCCGCTCTGCATGTTGGCGACTAAGATTGCAAGAAGACAATGCCAAGATCGCATCATTCAAGATGGGATGCTGAGCGGCAAGACGAGAAGTCCAGTGAAACAAGGGGTGCAAGGCTGGTAGGCAGGAATCCTCCCAGTAGGTAGAGTAAAATACATCCCTTTCGACATGTTGTAGAGACTGGATGATGTCAATATTAATTGGAGTGAAGCTTAGAGATCTTTGTTCCGAAGTGTGCCGCGGCTGCAGCTCTTCAGATGGCGTTGCAGTGCATGGTTCATCGCCTGCGGTCGGACCTGTCACCATTCGAAATTTGAACTCCGGTCGAATGATTTCACAGGTCTTCCCCAGCCGCCTGCAGGTTCCACATGTTGGTCTCTGCTCATCGCACTGGGCTCTGGTTAGCTATTGGATCGTAGATGTTAGGAAGCTGCTGGCAAACCTTGGTTTTCCTTTCGCGACAGCTTTTACAGCCGTTGCGCGATCGAACAATATCAGTTTTCTTGGGCCTAGGAGGGACGGGCTTGTACATCTGTGTTAGTAGGTTGTTCAAGGATCGTGGTGAGTCAAGAGCAGAAAGTGGGGGACTGTCCGACCGATCGGCAATCCCAAGCATATCATGTGACATGGGCGGAACCAATATCCATACGGTGCTCGCTCAATACTTGGTTGATATCTTTGCTACATAATTGGCAATTCATTCGGCAAGTGTTGATTATATCGGGATCTTCGGTTTGCTTTACATTTCTTGTGCATTCATGAAGCAGACTGTTTAGATTTTATGTTAACCGTCGTTACGCGAAACCATAGTGTCGGGAATGTTCAATCGACGGAAAAATATATGCAGTTATCTCCAGTTCATAAAACCTGTAAAGATAGCGACGTCTGGCCTGGATCATCGTTCTCGCATTTGTCTAGGCCTTGGGTTATCATTATAAATAATGTTGTATAGGAACGGGTATAGAAGGGGATAGATGTGAGAGGTTCTGAGGCCCCAACGACAGGGTTACCTACTGACTCACAGTTCTCTCTCAACAACTGACCACACAACCAAATGAACGTGTTTCCCAGATGAACTTGGATGCTTAGGTGTCCCAGTATAGATTTTTCTCAAGGGGGAATACATCTCGCTGTCCTCACCAACAGCCCATCGGAGTAGAAAGTCTAGAGCAATGTGAGAAAATTATACACCTATAATTTAATAATCATTGTACCGCACTTTTTATGCCAGCGACTGATGATACTAAGACGGATCTTAAATTCAAGTACGCAGAGCGGCGATACTAATAATGAAGGACATTCTCATAAAAAAACTAAGCCAAGACATACGGACCACAGGAGAACAAAATATGAATAAGCCAAGATGACAAGGTACCATACCAACACAAAATTTCGAGACAATGTGATCATTTTATAGGAATAGACTTCCTCCCAAGCCTGGCACACACAGATATACAAGCATATAATGAGGCTTCAGTGGTCCACGAGCGAGACTATTACATGTCTTCCAATGCTTCTCTCGCGGCAGCTTCGAACTCGTCTGCTTCCGGCTCCTTGTTGGTTGGGAGGTGCATGACGGCGATGACGGCGTGTGTTCCACCGTTCTTATCGCGCCAGTCTTTGATGGTGCTGGGAATCTTTCCGGCGTTCGGTTGTAGTTGGTATCGGTGGTATTCCTTGCCATCGTGCATGACAATCCCGTCATAGTCCCAGCGGACCCCATAGCGGAGCAGGTCAGCTGAAGACTTGGGCCAGACCGTTTTCCCTCTGCTGACAGTGGGCATGTAGAATTTCTTGAGGTCCGCTGGTCTGGAGATAATGACCTCCACCACCGCGAGGACTCTTTTGCTAAAATTCCCCATGGCGGATAAAAGGGAACGGGGAGGAGGCAACGGTTAACAGAGATGGGAGTGATATGTGTATCTTGGAAGAACCCGCGTTCGATGGAATGTTATAGACAGGGAGATTGTAAGCTTTACATCAAGTAGGCAGTAGGGAAATCATCGGAATTAAATATCATTAGAGAAGAGACGAGTAAGTAATACAACCCCCCGGGATAACTGTTGCGCTTTACCAGACTCATGCATTCAGAGTTGATCGTCTAGCACAGGCGCTTATTTGATGCATTTTCTGTAGCATGGCGCGGTTCTAATGATTGAACCTGGTGGAGCTGTAGCCAATAGCATGTTTGGACGCCCGAATCTGAATGTGGCCACAAACGAAGGATTGTACCTTTGGCCACTTTTATTACACAGATTAAGACGTAATGGTGAGTCATTTCCGAAGTGTTGACTAGCCCACACAAGTTCATGTACTAAAATTCTGCGCAGAATGCCGTTTTTAGAAACATGTAAGCGCCGACGTGCCCTGTAACCGTTCAAAATGGGATACGTCGCGGCCGTATGAATAATCTGGTTAAGGCTTTAACTTAGTGTCATATCGAATAAGAGTTCTCTACGGAGTACAATAGAAACATTGGTTGGTACCAGGGAAAAATATTCGGGCAATCCCACTATATGATGCAGCTCGTAGAGACCGATCCGTTAGCAAGGAATGGAGTCTTAGTTTGGAGAAGATCCCACTACATCAGTCACCCCAATAGCGCGAATGATGACCGCCTTTCAATGTTATGGGTTTAATGTGATACGTGATCGGCATCTACGCCTATATTGTGTTTGGAAAGAATAAATGTATATCCACATAGTGAAGAGTGGCTAGGCAATTAACCGGGCCGATGAACGTGGCTTCCATCATCTAGCTATCCTTCGTATGACTCGGAAAGCACGGCGCGTAAGGAAAGTCTCGGCTTCATGCATAGTAGAAGCCACGGCGGGACAGGAATGGTTACGCCAGCGGTGCCAGCCAGCGGGCGTAGCTGGTGGGCGCCAGCAGGGCAGACGTGCCATTGGCAAGACGGGAGAGTGGGTCCATACTACTTAACACAGTTGCTTGGCGAGCAGCAACACAGATCCGCCCAGACCTGTTCCCACTTTAGCCTATCTTAGACTAGATCATTACCATAAGAGGGATAGCCTATCTCAGAGTCACGTGATAAGCTGCCTTCAAAAGGAGCGGAAAGCCATTTTGCCAGTCGGATGATGGTCCCTACTGGATTCCATTATCGTAGGCTCACCATGCTGGCGGGATCTATCAGAAATAGCTTTCGCTCCCCTAACGTCTCCCGTCTCAATTCACTCGTGTCTATAAATCGGTTATATGCTCATAGAATTACGCACCCCAAAGTCGCCCCTCCTACTCTTGGTTTGCCCAGGCAGCGATCTACGATGATTACCCCTTCTATCAACACCGGAGCACCAAGCCCAGCACTCTTTTCCTACTCCTCCGGCCGTTATCTATACAATGAAAAGCTTCGCTTCGAGGAACGCCATGTCCAGTTCAAGGTCAATGCATTGAAAGAAATAGCTGCTAGTGCCGTGGGTAGAAAGCAAGTTGTTCATCTAGAGAAGCTTGCGGAGGGTGGCTTTAACCGAGTATTTGTCCTTACCATGGACGATGGTCTCGAGGTGATAGCCAAGATACCGTATCCCCTTACAGTCCCAAAAACATATACAACCGAAAGCGAAGCTGCCACACTCGAGTTCCTGCGGCTAAAGGGTATACCAGTTCCACGAGTTTACACGTATTCTTCCACGAGCGAAAATACCGTGGGCACTGAGTATATAATCATGGAAAAAGCTCCCGGACAGCCACTCGAACGGCGTTGGTTCGATCTTTCTCCAAAGGAAAGAGTTCGGTTGGTCACCAGCTTCGTCCAAATTGAACTAAAATTGTTTTCGATTCCGTTTGCCTCTTATGGGAGCCTGTACTACAAGGACAGTTTGCCTCAAGACCTCCGAGCAGACCTCTACAATACAGCACCGGGCGAGGAGGAAAATCGTTTCTGTATTGGACCCTCCGCCGATTACATGTTTTGGCGAGGGAAGCGTGCTCTACTTGACTTGGACCGCGGGCCTTGTTAGTCTTGTTCATTTCGTAATCCTTGGTTGACCCCCTTCTAACTTTGTGTAGGGAAGGATCATCGTGACTATGTTCGGTCAGTGGGTCAGCGAGAACTCGAATGGACCATCAGATACGGCAGGCCTCGGCAGAATGACTTTCCCCACAACACCATAGTCAAGGGCGAGATCTCCCCCGATGCTTACGCCGACCTTTTGAGAAAGTATGTTTCGATGTCCCCACATATTCTGCCCGGAGACCGCGAGAACCCAATGAACCACGCTACCATGCGCCACCCAGGTAAGGCAGTACAAATCGGATTTACTGCGGTATGCTGATCAGATTTAGACCTCAATCCATCGAACGTCTTTATAACGGATTCTTGCGAGGTTTCTTGTATCATTGACTGGCAACATTGTTCGATTCTTCCTTTGCTACTGGCTGCGGGTAATCCGCCACTCTTTGAGAACCCTGATGCCGAGCCCCCCAAAGGCCTTGTGAAACCCTCTCTTCCGGAGAATTACGACTCATTGACCCCGGAAGAAAAATCCCAGGCTGACGAACTTCACCGACGGAGAATGCTTTTTTATTTGTATATGGTTTTCAACGGCAGAGACAACAAAGCTCATCTCCGGGCGCTTCGTTATCCACTCTTGGCAATGCGACAACATGCTGTTGAGCGGGCTGACCGACAGTGGAGCGGTAACGTGATAACCTTGAAAGGGGCACTCGTTAGACTTTTAGAGAATTGGGATCAGTTGATTGCTGACAGTCCGCAACAAGTTGAATGCCCGATCTCCTTTGATAAAAAGGACGTGGAGGAATTCCTTGTTGTCGAAGACCAATGGTTCAAAGCCACAATATTGCTCGAGCATTGGCGGTCTATTCTAGACGGCCTTGGACAGGATGGATGGGTCAGGCACGAATCATACGCACAAGTCGTGGAGACTAACAAAATGTTGAAAGAGGAATGGATATCACAAGCAGAGGATGAAGAAGACTATGAGTCTGTCGATAAATTCTGGCCATTCCAGGACCACGAGGAAGATGATTAACATGGTGGAATCATCATTATCATGACAATTACAGTGTTTAACTCTCCCCCTTGCTTATATGACCTGACCTCGGTGTGCGTATCCAGGCCTTTTCGTTGGGACTAAACACTAAGAGGGTAGCATATAAGGGTGCTTCTGCCATGTATTAGTCCTGTCGACCCAAAAAGAGCCAACCAAGTAAAGTAGGTCTATGTTTATCACAAGGCTGTTAATAATGTTTTATTTCATGTGTAGAAGCAACCTGAAATTGCTTCTGATGCTTTTAACTTAGTCAGTTATGTGCAGAGCACACTTGGGGTAAGTTGTCTTGCTTTTGGGGGGTGCGTATGCTTCATTGTCTGTACGATAGCAGCACGGGCGAATCAAAAGCTGCACTATTTAACCTCCACTGCCAGGATCCCCTACCTTGCTGCCTGCGAGATCACGTGCGTCATCTGTGAGTCCCTCATCACTATAACATTAAACCCGCCGGTCGCATTATCTCCATGCACAATTTGGCGTCCTCTGCGAGGTATATATGTGCCTGCTACGGTCCGACATGGTTCAGAAGCGGACCCAAAGATTCCCAAAGGTCGCTCTTGAGCCTACAGAGAGCACATTTACCGACCCGGAACCCGAGTCAAGAAGCAGATGTAGAACGCAAAAGAGTCTCGCAGTGGGCTGCCTCCAGCGTGATGGCATGCAACAAGAAGGCGGAAGACATTGAGGCCTACGAATCGTCGGAGCTCCACTCAAAGCTGATTACATCTCTTTATAGACTACACATGACAGTGAACGTGAAACGGATCTTTCTGTGTGGAGAGGAGAAACATGGTAACTACTTGAGGACAGAGACATTCCTTGGTGCATACCTGGGGCCTGACAGTTGCGCTGGTTACGTACGAAAATGGAGATAGTTATATTATCCTGCTAGAAATCCTGGATAGGCAATCCACTGTCTCTGGCCGACCACTTCGAGAAGGTTAAAATATGTACATGAAGACTGAACATGTAGTGGACATGAGACCCAGACTGCAGTTGCCTTGCCCTTTGTGTTCTTTGGAGAACAACCCGATCGCATCGCTTCTATAATCATATCATGCGTTACCGAAGATGACAGTCCTGTTGATGTACAGGACGGGTGGTCGTTCAGCGACAGGTGATAGGTTCCTTCGGTTGTTTGGCAAAGGAGCAAATACCATTGATCCGCAAGCCCGATTATCTGTCTGGTCCATGGCTTAAGGTTGATGGGCGGTCATCGCATGGGTAGGGTAGTCTGCAAAATAGCTATCATTTTTAGGTGAAGTCGTGGAGAAAAATCCATAGGACGATGGATTTGTGGATACGGCGAAGGAAGCGAGATTGTGGTAGACTTCACTTGGAAATAGGGGTTGCGTCGGTTCAGAGGACAAATTGGGAAACATGGCGAAGCTTTCTAGGTCGTGGTAAACATTACATCGAGACGAAGAATAGAGGGTTCGAGAGGACTGATCCGGCAGGATGTTGAAGGATGCCATTGAGCTTGTGGTGTCAGGGAACCACAGGCGAGACGATGGGTCCTCTGCAGGAGCTTTCAAGAGAGACATTTCAGATGACGAATCGGCGTTACATGGTGCGGAAAGGTTCAGATTTTGCTGCTCGTAATCGGTCATTGTGTGCAAGTGAATATTGTTGTTCCTCGACCACGAAGCCAAATCTCGCTCATCAGTATACCTCAGTAGTTCTTGGGCATCTTCGTTCTGGTCACTAGCCGAGCCATGATATAGCATATCCTTTAATCGATGATCCCCTAATTATGATCAGCAATGAGTGTGAACCATGACATGAACGTTATATACCCGATAGAAGCCATCCTGGATCCGGACAATGTACTGGGGGCAGCTCCATTACGGCATTGATAGAGATCATTATCGGGTCCCATAGGTTGCGAATCTCCGCATCGGCAATCTCATTGAAGCCCTCAGACGCGGTATTGACGTCTCGCATCTCCATCATTTGTAACATGGAGATACGGCGTTTATTATTGGCATTTTTGGGAAGGTCTTTCACCCAGCTTGTATACGTGTTAGCTTCGGGCAAATAATGCCGTACAGAGAACATACACTGATTCGGGAACATCGTCAGGGAGGACGAACAGGACTCCTAGCCCACCTAGATCATTTGCTAGTAGCTCATATCTCGCTCCCCTATCGATCCAACTTCCCAGTCTTCCTTCGACGGTCTCGAGTGTATCTGTAACGAGCCCAGATGCGTGAATAATCTGGGCTAAGCGATCGCTTACTGCTTGTCCGAATCGCCTCTGTGTTTCTAGGTTCAGGCGATGGAACAAAACGTACAACAACCGCAGACGGATAATGTTCAAGTCCTTTTTCTTCTCAGTATCAACCACTATCATGTAGCATCCAGCTAGGGGACATTGTAGCGTTAGCTGTTCAAATAGTGCTGTATCCTGAGCCAAAGCAGTGTTGGTGTAATTATGTAGGTGCTTCTGTCCCACGCCCCCGGCAGGGATTTTCTTCAAGTCCCTGACGACGTCTGGAACGACGATCTTCGAAAGGCGCCTGGTACTGGCTCTGTCCGCAGCGTTTTGGCGACCCTGGGTTCCCCGAATATGCCTAGGCAAATGTTTTATAATCTTCTTAGCAGCCCTTGAAGCTTCCTACACCTGTTAGTTGATTGCGTTTGAATACACTATGGGCACTGACTTTGTCTTGCCAGAATGAAACGTGGTCTAGCGTTCCCTTGTCTTCTTTTTCGACCGCCGCACAAGCGGCAAGAGCCTTGTGGGCCAACATTTTACTCTCAGCGATACCCATAGTTGTAGAAAGTTGCAGGGTGGGGAAATGAATTGGAGTCAGGGAGAACGGATTATCAATTTAGAGCAGGGTTGGTGTGGTCGGAGGCGGGTGGTATAGTATTTCAGTCAATTATCAGAAGCGTCCAGACCTTCCATTCGAGCACAGTAAGCGCCGGGGTAGTTCGCAATAGCTGAAGTGGCTTTGGTGCTGCATAACCACGCGCCTACTAAGCGCCAGCCCGACTACAGCCTCACTAGGTGTCAGCCAATGGAGACAGCGCATGGCCCTAGTAGTTCGCACATTTTCTGGCGTCTGTCAAGGATTATGAGGCTGACGGCGCTGTCCGGATGCTAAACTTCATTGACCATCGGAAAAGAGTGTTGCTCTAATCGCCGTAGAGACCTCTCTGACCTGCATGGAACAAAAAGGCGTGAAATTATACAGTATGAAGAAGGATTATCTGGGGTTCCTCGCCGAGTTGTGAACCTGAGAGCTTGTCTCCGTGCATGACTTGCGCAGGGAGCATCGGCGTGATGGTGGATAGTAATGGTAAGGTACTGGGCGCATAGTGGCAGTGATACGTGAGCCTGCCGACTTGGAAGCAGTGCTTATTCTGGTTATTCTGGTCAACCCCATTTATAACCCCGTGAAATGGCTGGATCCAGTCCACTTACTAGGTGTACGTCGTTTACTTGGTAATTTACACCCACTGTTTGCTGAGTTCATGATCTCTGGTCCTTCATGCATCGCCACTGTGTCCCGCGCCTGCTGATCTAATAGTTGTGGAAGCCGAAGTGCCCACGGGCGCTTGGCAGCAAAGAACATACTCGACAACTGAAAACTAGGTCAAAATGAGGTCCAGTTCTGATGATACTGATAATGGCCTATCGGGTTTGCGTGAGCTTCGGAATATTCAACAGCAGGAATAATCTATTCGTCTCCGGTGTGGGAACAACACAGGTTACGTAAATTCTAATGTTGAGTTGACAACAGATTCGATAAGGTATGAGGGGCTGTAAATTCTTAGCTGATTTTATATAGCTGAAGAAATCTACTCGGGAGAATGTATTCTTTACGTTGGGCAGATAAATGTGGATAATCCCCGTCAGTTAAAGGGGGTGTGCTTCGTGAATTTGTGACCTAGGCATCTGAAGATAGATGGTGGACGAGACAACTCCTCGGCCGCACAATATCTCGGGTTTACATCATGATTGATCATTTGTTTACTGCCACCCCAAAAAAGCCCTTTGAAATTCCTTATCATTCTCGATTTAAAGCCTGGCTTCAAAAGGCTACAATGTCATTGCCCTGTTCAAACAGAACCGACCTTCTCGAGAACAACGAAAGTTGCCTTATCGCCTGCTCCCCTTCTATAGTCCTTGAGCTCCACATTAACTACCTTAACGAGACGTTCTGCTTCCAACAGCTCCACTTCAGCTTTGAACCCACCAGACACCCATATATCCTCCAATATCGTCGCAACAATAATACCATGTGTCTTGGTGACTCTCACAAACTCTCTCAAGGCCGGAACTGGACCAACATGGCCGTGCGTGAATGTACCAGCACACGTCACGATATCATAGACTTCGTCGGGCTTCTCAATCGGCTGCGTCAGATCCCCAATATCAAGATCCCTATAAACGCCTGTGTTTCTGGCTACTCTGAGCATGGCGGGTGAAAGATCAAGACCATCGATCGTGACTGCCCCACCCCGTGCAAGCGCTTCTCCTACCAGCCCAGTCCCGCAGCCAGCATCCAGTATTAAACCCTTGACGTTGGTAGTGTGCTCGAGCGCAGTTTCGGCGGCGAGGAAGGGAGCAACGTAGTCTTGAGAGGCGTCGGCAAGATCCGAGTTATAAGTATCAGCCCATTCGGCATAGAGGGTCTGGCAGTCTTCCTTGCTGTGGCTTGCACGTGCCCGAGCAAGAAGTGCGTTTTCAGTCACTGTTTGAGTTGCCATGGTGGTTGGTCGAGTTAAGAATGGTAATATCTACCAGTGATATGCTATAACAAGAGACAGAATGCGATGAGGTCAAGACGTGTACACCTGGGAGCCTTGCACCATGATATAGTTTTCCTGGTTTCTATGCGCGTCGAGCCCGTGACACTCACATGGAAATTGCGCCATCTGTGCCTAAGTTAATAGGACAGACTCTCATCTGGGAAAGGAAGGCGCGCACCAAATCAACAGCACCCCGGCTTCTGCAGCGCCACCAGCGGCTGGCTAAATCTTCGTTGTCGGTAAAGCTCCCTTGCTAATCTAGATATCCAGATCTCATTTGCTGTTCTCGTACAGTACAATCTTTGGAACTTAGGCACTGGTGGCCCTTGGTCCCCTCGGCTCGCCTTCTGAGCAGATAATCCACAACAAAGTTAGATTGGAGTCATTCGCTGGATATTCGGCACTTATGCGATCATGACGTCTTCTCGTGGGGGTTGCAAATTGACCCAATCTGTGATACCAAGAGCCCCGCGTGGCTGTGGATTGCGGGTATTACTTTTGCGCTCAGGGCATGCGAGGATTGTACCAGACCGTGGGGGAAAACTTTCCACACGAGGCTTTACGCATGCTTATCTTTTCGCATGTATTCGGACGGTGGGTTCTAGAATCGCCTAATACCGAGGATGACAGCATTTACCAGAGTCAGCGCAATGTTCACCGCGGGCCACCCGGGGCTTGAATGATATAGTAACGACAACGCAAGCCAAGACGAGCTGATCCCGCAGCGTTTGGAGCAGAGCAGCGACCAGCTAACTCCCACTGCTGGCGCCAGCGGCAGCCCAAAACAAATCTAAGCCCAACGACAGGCAACCATGGAAGGCGACGGAAATTAAATCCAATCATCCACATCATCGCGAACCAACTAGCACCTGCAGATCTCAGGCACCTAGCTAGAAACATGCCATTGTGGAAGGGAAACCATTTGTTAGCTCAATGGCGTGCATGCATTGTAAATTGCCTCTGGAACTTGTGTGATTCGCTCGTTGGCATGGCCTAGTGTCAAGTGTACCTGGTCCACGGAGCTCCCTGAGATGATCCATTACCCCGCCTCAACGTTGGACTGTCTTGTCGAAGGTGCTCTGCAACCAGGATCACGAACCTCTCCCGATGATTGGCTCCGACCCCGCGCCGTTTGCATCTGTGAGACTCGGGAAGAACAAAGAAGAGGGGTAAATCGTCCATGAAAGATTATCGACGATCCCACAGCCACTGACGTGGTTAAATCCGCACCTAGATTGCATCGCTGTCCGAGCGCGGAAACGTGCGCAGGTATGGCACCCGTGGTCCAAATTCACGACTCCGTCTTATGATGAAATCTTGGATGATATTTTATCCTGTTATCATCTGTGTCGAGTGCTATGCTAGGTTGAGGCTGTGTACAGGCCTCGTCAACCGTGGTAGTCCGTTTACATACAGCTGACTAGGGAATGTTCGAGGCCGGACGATAGTGGCCATAGGGCATATTTACATCCGTGCTTCTGGGGGTAACATTAGCCACTTACGTCCGTTGGCCATACCCGCGGACAATAAATACGCAGTGTTGCGTACAGTTCCGCGGTTTAGTCCTCAGATCTATAATAGCTGATTATACATGCGACGTATTTTTCACTTCTTTTAATTTAATTCTCTCTTTTTAAATATTAATATTATTATGAATCTTAGAGCTCTACAGCTATTAAACTTAAATCTAAAATAAAATTATAAAATAATCTTATATAAAAAGACTTGCTTTAAGAAATATTATATTTATTATAAAAATAGATCAATACTAATATCCAAAAATCACTAATTAAGAGTATAGAATAATAGGTAAAAATAGTACTTAAAATTAAAAGATAATATACTAAGTATTAGATTTTAAATTAGTCTAATCAGGAAAGTATTACTGTATTAGATAGCTTAGATTATAAAAATTATTAATATATAGTATTTTATGCTACTAGGACTGAGTAGTTAATTTTATTATATATTTTAGTAAGAATGTGGAACTCCTACGGTCACGCGGCAACAGCGGATCCGAGGACTTTCTGCTAAGAACTATAGACTCAATCCACCGGCGCTGAGTAATGGAAGATGTTCTATTAGGTTTGACGCCACATGAGCCACGATCTCTCCGAAAAATGACGCTCGAAATCTTCACACATGCTCCGCTGGCAGGTCGATCAGTCTTTCAGGATACATTGTACGGTTTGATTATCGATCATTACACCGTACTTTACAGCCTTGCCTTACAGCACAATTCTTCGACTGCATTAAGGAGTCCGTGCCGTGTACTTGTCGCTTATTGGGGCTACCGTACTTCTGTCTGTACAATAGTATGGAATTCTTGAAAGGATTCAGCAAATGTCATGGACCCAGGGATCCTAACCACGATTCATAAGCAGCGAGAATAGGCGGAAATTATGCCAGATACGGTGAATAAACAGCAACTTAGACAGCATGGAGATGCGCGGATGGGTATGAAATCGAAGGGATAAGAAAAGACCATAGAAATGAGCGCACATACAAAGGGTACAATAGCAGGAGCCGTTATTGTTACCTTTGTTCCCCTTATGCATCATCTTCCTCTTGTTTTTCAGATCCCTCAAACAACAGCCCCCCAACATCTTGCAGCAGCGTACTAGTGTAGGTAGCAGTTGAATGCTTCGGGCGGTCACTGAGGGTGTCGGCTATAGACGACAGCGGCGAGGACTGTGAGGGGTGCAGAACGCTGGAAGACGCAACTGGTGGGACTCGAGCCTCTTCATCCCAGGAGACACTGCCTTCGGATGAATGTGAATCTTCTTCCAAGTCATCCGGCTCAGCTCCACCGCGCATGGCGGCTACCCTGTTCATCATCCATTGAAGCTCCAGAATCCTGATGTCGGGGAGGGGAAGGTTGACCGGATCTGGGGTCTGTAGAGTTATCTCGTCCCCAGAGCGGATCGGCTTCTGCGTGCGAAAATTCATCATACCAATGCCGTAGTCAGCCGGCTCCACATCTCCTGGCAGGTCGGGAATATTGCTTAGTCTAACAGCTCCCCCGGAGGCATTAACCTTCAACCACCATATCCTCAATACCATCCACTTGCCCTCAGGATCAGTCCTGACAGGCTCCAGGGCAAAATAGCCTTTAGCATGCAGACGATGAGCCCATGGATCTAGACATATGAGATTCTCGGTCTTTTCGGTACCCGATAAATCGCCAAAGATGGCCTGGTGCCATGCGTCCACACGCTCCTTTTTCCAGAATCGTCTAAGGCCATCCCAGAAAGTACTAGCACCAGGAGCATCTGGGACTGACATCGAAAAAGGATATAGATGGATTACATCCGTTAAATCTGCTGGACAGTGCGTGATTACGCACATCTTGTCCCGCGTTCGGCACTGCCGAATCGCCACATGATTAGTCTTGGCTATTGAATGAGAGCAATGGGCCGATTTACCTCTTCTGCCTCAAGCGGACTTCGTCTTCTCTTCTTTATGGACGACTCAAGGGACCGGCCATGGCGCTTCTTCGAGCCTCTAACCGGCGTGGTTGGGACAGACGCTCCATCATCGTCCTGGGGGGCTGTGCTGTCTGTTACGATCACAGGAGCTATAGCGGTCCGTAATGGAGCCAAAGCCGAGCTTCTCCTCAGTGTATTTGCGGAAGCGCTCATAGTAGACGAAGCCGGCACTGAGGGAGGGCCCATTAACATCGCATCACGCTGTGCAGCAGGTGATGGTGGCTCAGAGGGTGCAGCGGAAGAGACCACAGAAGGAGCTTTAGACCCGTCTTCTCTTTCTTGCTGTTGCCCTACAGGATGGCAGGGCATTAGCACAATGTGAGCACATTTAAAAGCGAGGGTGCACCTACATTTCAGTACCAACTGCCGGTCTTCACTCCTTTCAAGCGCGTCCTGAACAACATCTTGAGGCGCGGTGGCGTAGATCTCCAGCCTCTCTAAGTCTGCCAACCATAGGCATGGCCATACCGTCTTAAGTCCCCTCTCAAACCTTTCATCCCCAAGAATATTCGAAATTTGGCCGATTAGCCGGCGCCTCTCAGGATCGGCGAATTCAGCGTCCGGCGGGCTCATGCTGTCGAAGAATATTTGAAGTGAGAACAAGCAATGGCTTAGGCCAATTTGCGTCTGAGAGCTAGCGGCAAGAAAAAAAAATGCAGGACAACCATAGACGAACGAAACAACTCTGAAAGTCTTCACAGAGCAGGATATGATGATATAAAGAAGAGGCGTTATCAACTACTTCGGGTGGGAGGACAGACGGTGGCGAGAGTTCACGGACGGCGAAATGGGAAATTTGGAGTTGGAAACGTGGGATGATTATGTCATTCTTTTCAAAGGGGTTGCCATGTGACAACGAAGCGAGACATCGAAGTGTGTTGAGTAATAATGTGCAAAGATTGCGGAGATACAGGAAGAATACCAAATTCAGGCCAAGACATCCAAGAACTGTAGATTCGTGGTCGAATGGTAGCTCATATTACCTCTCAAGGCTCAAGGTAGCAGCTGGATCTGAGGAGTAGTATCATATCTCATGCCTTGAGGAGCTTAGCGTGTCACATAAAGGGGGTGATTTAGTGCGAGATAAGGTGTGAGGCCGTGGAGTAGTAGCAGTAGTAATAATCATTTGAGTTTAGCGGTAAGGCCGACGCCTACCGGCCTTCCTAGAAATTTCCGTGGGATATAGATCCATATTAAGCTATGGGATTGCATACAAACCGACCACGAAGACAGATCCAACCAGACGCAGCGATGTACGACATCGATGAAGAAAGTACGTCAGATCTGTTACTTAGAGTGTCGCTCACACTGACCTCATCATTAGACAATGACATTGAGGGACTGACTCCGTGGATATTTCAACATACCCAGATACTTGATCATGAATCCTTCGGCGCCTGGCCAAAGGAGAGGACGGAATTCCGAGATGTTTTCTATCTCCTCAATACGCAGTTCCATGACGCTTGTGAGGCCGGGGAACTGGTGGATGCGTTGGAACCGACTGAAACCGTTTCACTCCCGAGAAAAAATTGGAAGGCGCCCAGAAGAGAGTATTTCACTCATTCTATGAGATCGCAAGGGATGTTGCTTAGAATTTTGATGGAGACTATCTATTACAATCTCAGAGATATCGTGGATGATGGCCCCGAACTTCAGTCTGTCACACACCACCCTCGACTCCTCTGCTGGCCTAACATTTCCCAAGCTTTCCTGTTTCAAAGTTCCGGCAAGAATACACTATTGGTGGTCATCGATAGTCCAGTAGTCCTGATGGAGCAGCTTTTGTCGGTCTACCAGAAGCGCGTATACCGGTGATCTCCTTTGTTGGTGTATGTGGATAAAAGTTTCCTCCTCATGTCATGCGCTCATTGTCGCAAGTGCTAATGGAAAATGTTCTCAAGTGGTACCAAGAGGAAACCTGGGCTGAGTTCTTAGGCGAAATCGTCAGTATCATGCTCGGACAGCTGGCAAAAAAAATCGACTACGCGGGCCTGCAGGACCAGGAAGTTTTTGCAGTTGGGTTCTACGGGCGTTGTATTTATATCGCCCGTGGATTCTTTACATCAGACCTAATAGCGCGCGTACATTCCAAGGGATGCTCGGAGAACGAAACGATCAATCTAGATTTCACACGCGGTTACGATCTACGTCTGAAAAAGACTGGCTGGAAGGTACGCGTGGGCTAACAAGGTTACTACGGTATTTCTTCAGTGGGTCTACCAAAATAGGCGCTATTCAGACCCATGTGGATCACGTCTCTAGGAGGACACTGACTGCCTAAATCTATCATTTGATTCTTGCTTGGCACGATCTCTAGGCAGAATACTAATGACCTGGAGTTGAGGCCATCTCTTGTTCTCAGCTCTCTAGTCACTTCTTGGAACTACGGCCTGGACACGCTTCAAAGTGTCACCTCTCTGCGAAACTCTTACTTGCGGAGGGGAGCCAGAGTGTTGTGATTGCATGCAAACAAAGAATGGGTGCATTTCTGATAAGTTGAATCCACGCATGGCTTTTCTTTATCTTTTTCCCCTTTTTTTTTTCTTTGCCCCTTGAAAAACAGACAATCTTTGTTCCATCACAGTTCCAAACAGTCATCATGTGATCTTGGAAAGGATTCGAAGAGGATTCAGGTGCCCTTTCATGTCTGTTGATCAACCCGCAAAATATCCCGAATTTCCAAGCAGGTGCACCCTGCAAATCCTCCTCCAAGCTATGGTACTGAAATGCTCGCTTCATGAATCGCTGAACTCACAATATTGACTCGCGCATTCCCACTACTTATATAACTGACCAGCCCCCAGACAAACCCGAGCGCCTCCCCTCTGTCTTCGACTTTTTTGAGGTCAAAGTGAATTGATCGTCGAACCCATAGAAAGGTGTCGTCCCCCGAGTAAGATCCCTCTTGAATATACGCCATATACCGAGGCGAGAAATAGGCGGCACTAACGTAGAAAAGGGACCCATGCATGCTGAGGACAAATAGCTCCTGATCTTGGTGCTTGACAGGTAGCGGGGTCTGCTGCTGCGCATACATAGCTCCTACCAATTCAGCAATCTCTTGGGCGAATACTGTCGGACTGAAGGTTTCCTGTTCCCCGAAACCACGTTTCAAGCCCCCTGCACTCCGGGTATTACACTAATATCCCCACCAAGGATCAGTCTCGCGCATCAGGCCACAGCACATATAAGGCACCTACTTCAAGACTCACAACTGATAGGTAGGATTTTCGATCAGACCCTGAAATGCTTCCAGGGAAATTAACGGTGATCTGGCCATCATTTACGGCCTCGTGCGTGGCTCCACCCAGGCTAAATTTGAACCGAGCTCTATTGGTTAAGCTGGATGATGTCAGAAACCATCGTCCTTTCGCGATAGGACCCGGAGATTACAAACCAATCCAACGTAGTTGTGATTCAAATCATGCTAGTCCGGCGAACAACCAAGGAGTGAGCACATATTACGCACCATGGGGAACAGCCTCCCAATCTTATCATGTCGTTTGTGTTTGGCCTTTCAGCCTGTGGGAGAGAACGACAGCGGCCTAAGAGCAAGTACCTGTTCATCCAAAGGCACAGTTCAGATCTGTCAGGCCACAGCGATTTTCGAGACCAACCGTGTAGTACTAGAAAAATATCATTGTTCAGTACTACTTTGGTCTAGGATCGAAGCCTGCCTGCATGATTTGACTTGGCAATTAACAGAGTACAAAAGTACTATGACCCTCGATACAAGATATATTTCAAAACCAACAACCCATTGACAATCAATAAGAAAAAAAAAACTTTTTTCTTTGTAAAGATCTCTGTCTCTGCCATCGGCATGTCCTGAATTAAGAGTCTTCCTCCAATCTCGATAGATCGACCAGCGACAGAATAGTCCATATATTTGACCTACCTATTCCGTAGTCCCTACAATATCTTAATTGGGGAGCGTGATTTCAACGGCCGCTATAATCCGTCAGACCCACACAAAACATCAAAAAGGCACCCTCACACAGAGGAATGAAAACCAAAAAGAAAGATTGAGCTCCGATAGGGGGAATCGAACCCCCGGCTGCCGTGTGAGAGACGGCGATGTTAGCCACTACACCATATCGGATTTGATGTATTTATCGCTTCACTTAATAAATACATAATCCTAAAGCCAAAATGCCAAGCAAATCCCTCAGGGTGGCAGGATATTCGTTGCCTAATCTATATATTTTTATCATGATTTATTACTGAAGATACATGAATAAACTTGCAAGAGCGTGAAATTACCCACTTGAAATGATATGGGTTTGACAGGAGCTGCAAAAGGGATGTTGGAGCCTTGAAAGCGCGCCAATATATGAGTGACAAATCTTCTGAGAGTTGAGGTTAGCGACGTTTCTCTGTTGCCTGCCCTCTTTTGGTTCGTGAGGTCGAGGCATGTATGAGCCTTTGCCACCGGCTTTATATGTTGCTGCCTGGTGTATATTCTTGGGCTTGGTCGACAAACCACCTTCTCTCTATCTCATCGCCTTTAATATGTCGGTAGAAGTAGGCACGGCAGGGAGTATTGAAAGGGAGGTCTGAAGAGTACAGACATACTAATGAAAGGACTAAGTGACAAGGTCGACACCGAAATGACTTCCAAGCTACTGCCCGTTCCCTTTGTACCCTTAATCTGCATATAATATCTGTTAAACTTTACTATCCGTATCATTTCTTGTTTAATGCTACGACATTTAACCTATAGTATAAAATACGTTTAGACCAAACATGAAGCAAATGCGCCCCCTACTAATCGGCATAACACCCGTTTCTTCTGTAACTTGCGAGTCGCCATATCTGGAATTCCTTTTCCGGTAACAGATCTTCCAAGACTCATCAGGGGGCTTTTCAATGTGGGATGGTTTATCAAGTTCTTACCCATAGGTAAGTGGTCTGCTGGCTGCATATCGGACGACCAATTCTGTTGGTGCTGTGTTCCTGTTCTCAAAGCTCAGGAGAGGAGAATATTGCAGTACGATGGTTTCCCCGTCGAAATGGGATTGGATAATTCTCACATGTTTCGGACCGAGATACCAAATGGATAGGCACTATCGGCATTCTTAGCACACGTCATAATCACTTGCAGCATGCGATTCTTGGCCATAGGAAAAAGGCACTTCTGCTTAGATTTGCTCGAATGTTGATGCAAGACTCACCGGGAACATGGAATGATTGCGGAACATATAACGATGATACATCCAGACAGTCCATCTGAGAACACCACGAACCTCACTCGTCGTCAGGGTCTCATCATCTGCTCTTTCGAAATTCCAGAAAAAAGCGATTGTATGAGGCAGAGTACCGAAGGGCTCCTCAAGGGCGTACAAAAACCGCCAATTAGTTGCCCCTGGCTCATCAGTCTCCATCAGCCGTGAAGATAATGGGACGTTCTCGAATGCGTTTTCGTTGCGGTATAGTGGCGTCAGGTCTTCCAGCGTGCCCATCCTACCGATGCCCGGAATGCCAGACCGATAACCGCGTTGGTGCGAGTGAATATGGTTCTCAAGATCCCGCACCGCCCAAGGAGGCAGTCGGTGACTTCCGTATTGCCGTTCATGCTTCTGGACCTCCTCGTACTTCTTCTGGGCCAGTTTCTGTGGATTGGAGGCTTCTGGGGTGACGTGGAGGATTCGGGCGAGGATAGATTTGTAACTGTAGCCCTCGTCGAGATCGTATTCTCGCCAGCACGGAGAGAAGGGATACTTAGCAAGGACTCCAACCTCTAGGGGCTTGAAGTAGACGGGGTCAAATGAAAGAGTTTGGTTGTCTTTGAGTTCAACTCGAGTGGCGCGGATACCGATGTGGCGAAGGTCGTCGATTCCCAGACGATATAGTCTAACGGCATTGATGAAATCAAGCAGCTGTTCACATCTCTTGAAAGTCGCAATCCGAATAGGCAGTGTCTGGTTATCGGTCATCGTGACGAGCTTGTGGTGGAATGAGTAACACGGCTTCCTGGATATGAAATGAAACAGGATAGAAAAGGAAAGGATTCGTAGAGTCAGAGATTTACAAAGGGGTCATCATTACACCTACATCTGATACGATTTAGGGGAGCGGTGAGCTTGCTATGACGAAGGTATAGGCACCAGGTCAGAACCCAGGCTTTACGGAATCATTCGAGACCAGAGAGACAAAGCAGCAGGCATGGGAAGAATGGATGGGATTGGACCAGACGCTGAACGGCCAAACGGGCCAACCAGGACCCTTGGCCAGGTGTAACAATTAGGCGTCATTCTTACGGTGCATTGGCTGAATATTAGATAGCGTGCAATTCATTGTCAGGGATCGGCTAGATTTACATATTCAGCATACGGAGCAAGACGTTGTCGCGGGGTCCATTATACTGATTCAGCCTATCCTCCGGGAGTCCGCCTGGTAGAAAAGCTCAGGGCTGGAGGTGGTAGTGAAAAAACAAGATCTTGGCAGGTAGTTGGTGTACATGATTATACTCCTAGCAACAAACTTTTGCAAGCCGCCCGCTCCCGTGTCCATCGATGTGTCAGATGTCAATGGGCACAAAGGAAGTTCTTGGTTGGCATACTCTGATTGGTTGGGCCCGGATGCGAATAATTCCTGTTCCGACCGCGGCGCCAATCTCCTTGTTCTCCCTGGATAAAACAGTTACGACCTTCCATTACCCTCCCATGGGCTCCGACGGGCAAGAGGAATCACTGCCACGTTCACTATATGCTGTTGCTCCTGCTTTAGCCAACGACATCCCATGGACCCTACTACCGGCAATTACCCTAAGCCCCCTGTTCCCTTCATCAGGGGTAGGGTATTTCCTGTCCGGTCCCATGTTACTCCACCACCCACACTCGTGACCCGGGATTGCTGTCGTAATTTCCATCATGGGAGGGAAGAAAGAGCGCAACTCACGCCAGTGGCTCGGAGCCTGAAGCATCCACCGTTGCCAGGAGATCTGGGCTCAGATACTCTCGAGTTCGAGATTCTGGATCCGATCAGAGTCGGTGATGGGCACAACGCTCAGGTCTTCAATGTCCGTATTTCAAACACCCAGCCCAAGTCAGAAATATTCCAGGGGAGAAAGGAGCTGGTCGCTAAGGTGTATGACCCTCTTTACCTCGATGATGACGACGGCTTTCTCAACCCGTTCCTCTGCGTGGACAAGCATTACACACATGAGGTACACGCCTATCATGTGCTCTCCAATCTCCAGGGGTACCTAATCCCTCGGTTCTACGGCTCTTACTCTCTCGATATAGAATGTGAAGGAGCCGATCATAGATCGGATACACGCACTGTCCGCCTGATCCTGATAGAACCTATCCCTGGAGTATCAATGCGAGAAGCGGACCGGAGCAAAATCCCCCAACCGGAGCGCCAGCAAATCATCAAATCTGTAATTGACTTTGAAACCGAGGCTTACAGACGAGATATCATTCTCACCGATTTGAGCCCCCGAAATGTCATGATGGTGCCACCCGGCTTGCATCCGGGAGGGAATTTAATATTCCTGGACTTCGGCGGTGCTATCTTTAACCGGAGATTGGATGAGCCGGTGGCCGCCCATCTGGAGCTTTTCCTTGGCCAATATATCTCACCTCTGATCCGGTGGCACGGGCTTTTGATGCTTGACTTTGAGGAATGGGTTGATTGGGAATGGAAACCCTGGGTAGAATCCGAATATGCCCATACCGCCGACACTATCACACCAGAGATGCGTGCTTGGTATTGTCCATGATACGAAGACTGTTGGAGCCCCAAGGCGGAGGACGGCGTGTAGTGTAGGGGGCTGCTTCGTATCTTGAGTTCAACACTACAGTTCGATGACCCCGCCGTCCAGTGTCAATCGCTTTATTTGAGTTTGCGCTTCCCTCCCGTCCTACCTTGTTCCTATTTTTCGGTCCATTTTATAGGTAGTGTATTGCCGAGCAACGCTAGGAATGCCGAAATAAGTCACAGAGGATAGAACCTATATATAAACCCATATGTTGCCCAATCCTCAAAGCGGATGAGTTCAACTTCAACCACGGTGTTGACTGCTTCGGAGGTGTGGGGTAGGCAGGTGAACGCCGTGGTTGTCACGACACGAGAGTGAAATAACAAGGCTGCCCGGGTGTTCTTCGAGATTTTAAAGCTGACGCACTTTTACGTCAGGAAGTCGTCAGTAAAGGAGGGCTTGCTGTCTGGGAAGGCTGATGTCGACGTGGAGGCAATTCTCGTAGCGGGTGAGGTGGTTGAGGATGTCTAATCCAGAGACAGCATTGGTCAGCCAACTCTGAAGGTTATAAAGTTGAAGACATATTACCATCATATATCCTTTAAAAAAATCCTGTCGTACAAGAGAGGCTTGCCTGAAAGAGGAGCCACGAGGCGGAATCGGCATAGGTGGCCTGAAGAGGTTCAGGGCACTGCGAGTACTGCCTGTGGAGACACAAGGAGATAGCCGGGTCTGGTTTCCCTGAGAATGTACGGTGTTCTTCGTAGGGAAGGATGAGGTAGATGTCATCAGGAAGAGTGAGAGGAGGGACAGGCAAATCTAGAGGAGGAGGGGACGAGGACAAAGACGTAGCTAGATCACCTGACATACCGCTGAATGGACAGGACACATGAAGGCCAACGTCTGGGCCACCTATTTGGAGGTTCTGCTATGGCCTAACTACGGAAACATTCCTTGACAAACTATGGGTGTTCACATATGATTATTGGCCGTGGTATGGTCATCATGGTGCATCGAGATGCTACCAGTCTATCACCACCAAAGGTTGCTACAGATGTAGTTGTCTAAGCACAAGTAGCATCTATGACAGGAAGCTGAGCGGTAAGTAACACTTTCCTTGCACAATCTACAATGGATCATAACATTCTGTAGCCAAAGGCTGAAACCATAAAGACCGAAACCCAAAAGACCTGCGGCCTGTATTTTTTCCAGCCAATAAATGAGAGATTAAGCCTCCTTCTAGGCATCATATGTGACAAGGCAGCGCTCAGCCATCGAACGAGGCATCCATGTGAATGGGGTAGGTGGAATGTGACCCTCGGATAACTTCGCTCGAAGGACATTCAGGTTTATCCATGCATTATTGTATGTTACATCGAACCCGGAGGGATGCCGGCTAGGTGCGCCTAGCCGTAACCTAGTCCTCCCATAAGAGTCCAATACAGGCTTATGCCACTCCTGTGGATACCGCTCTACTCGATCACCCATCCAATCCCAAAATTCGGGTGCAAATTTGTCCCTGTGGAGGTCGGTGGTGATAAACATAGCATGAAACGTGATCTCGAAGAAGCTCTCTATCAAATCGGACCAATAGTCCATGCCGCCCATGATCTCTTGGTCACGGACCCACAGGTAGTGCATATTCTCGAGGAAACGAGCAGGGGTGAGGATCTTGATCGGCGGCCCGGTTTTCTCGTAGCGGCCGAGGCGCGTACGCTGGCTTGGTGGTTGGCCCCTGTCCGGGGCGCCAGAACAATACTTCTCACTCGGCCGGCCGGATTCCAGTATGCAGGAATAATTTTTGAAACATGAATGAGGCAGATGATAGCCCGAGGCTAGCATAAAATCGTCATATTCTTCGACAGACGGAAGACCGATGGGCAGGGAAGGTACATGCCACAACCAGGTTGACTTCTTGTAGAGACCTAAGTCAGCATGAAATAGCGGCGTTGGGTGCATAGAATGTTTCTTTTGGGTAGGGGCTATTCTCAGATGGAAGCATTTGTCCGGTATCATGCACGGTGAGATATATCGCCGCTCCTTATCAAGAAACCGGCAGGGGTGACGCAGGTCCCATTCGTCGAGGCTATCGGGCGAGTCCGAAAAGCCATACTCACGGAGGAGTGTCGCAGTTACCTCCATATACTCATCCTCTATCACGAAGTCCAGGGTGTCGCTTATTTCTCCCTTAACCATGCATTCTCGTCTGAAGGGTACGTTCGGTCCGGCCATCTGTAAGTCGGGCACGTTTTGCAGACAAGTTCTATTGCAAATACCAAGGATATTTAGATATTCATTTCCCCAGAGAACATACGGAATTCCAGCTCGATTGAGTAGATTTGCCACGTATGCAGTCAGCGAATGCCCCAAATTCAATGGACCGGGGCAAAGGCACGACATGTTCACTGGGTATTGATGTGTCTGTGTGGATTAGGATCAAGAGGAACAAGGATCAAGAGAAACTAAGATTCATGGCATGAAGACCAAGATATAGCCCATCCTGCTACAATGCCCGTAGGAATGTATCTGCTTCTCACAGTAAGTTGTCATCATACCAAATAAGTGATGTCGGCTGCATCTTCCATAATGGGAAGGCCACTGCCGAGGCGGAGGTTACTGTCTCCGATAAAAATGAAAATATCGTGTTTTGCTAGTTTGGGAAGTATGAGTTGGTCGGTGTTGTGAGCTTGGCGTGAACAGATTCATGCACCTGATTTCTTGATTGTACACAAACTCGGACCCTCATGTGTGAGACCTTCGATATATGATAGAGCTTTGTTACCAAGGCATTCACGTCTACGTGCATATTTTGACACATTGAGGAGATTTGATTGTCCCTCCATTTCTTTTGGATTGTTAACACTGATACCTTGAATCGATGCTTCAGTTATATTTTGTACACTTCGTTAAGCTATGCTCTGGTGCCCGCCACCAGCTCTTTTGCAGGCAGTCCAACAATGGAACCTTCTTGTTGCCACATCTGTGGTTTTTAATTGGAGCACTGGGTGAGGATTTATGAGGTCTTTTTACTGTTGCTGACTTGATGCCAATGTTATTTGGCAACTCTTCATTCTGCTCTTCTATCTCATTTTTTCCCCTTCCGTGTATCTCTAAAAATGAGGCTTCAGCCCACTGATATCCATATTCATCTCAACCACCAATAAAACTATACATCACTTACATAAACCACATCCATACATCCACACCCACTCAAAAAAACCAACTCCGATGCTTCCTCCAATCCTGCCTCGTCGCCTCCCTCAAATCATCCACATTAATCAAATCCACCCCCTCACGCACCAACACATGCCACACATGATTCCGAAGTCCCCGTGGCCAGCTCGGCGTCCCCCAATACCGAACCTTCAAGCCACGCATATGTGCTGCCTCGATCTGCTTCCTCACCAGCTCCAACTGACCCTGCGAGAAGCGGTTCCGGGCTAAACTACCGATGGACTTTCTGAAGTCGACCGACGCATAGTAACTATTTTGGTCGGAGTAGATGGGTTGGGTTTCGGGGTCTGCGTCACTGCTGCTGAGGGATAGTAGGGAGAGTTGGTCCAAAGGTGCATCGTAGAAGATGTCGCGGTGGGTTTGGTTCGCCGTGATGCGGTCGAAGGGAGCATTGCCGGTCGCGACGATGGTGATGGGGCGGGAAATGATGTCCAGCCGTTGAAGTAGGTGAAGTAGTCGCCGTCGCGGAGGGGTTTGAGTTGATCCATTACGACCGACCAGGTCTTTTCAGGTTGTTCTTTGAAGTCGATGAGTAGGACCAGGGTTTGGGACGGGTCGCTGGCGAAGACGCCGGCTCGGGGCCTGCCCGGTTGGTGGGTGGGCTCGAGTTGGCTGGAGCGGGTGTTGTGCTTTTGGAGAAGATCGAGGAGGGGGTTGAGGTAGAGGCTTCGGAGGGTGACTTCGTGGTGGAGGGTGAATGGAGTATGACCGACTAGGAGGTCGTAATTGGACAGCCAGATGTCGGCTTCGACGCCAATGCAGCCCGCGCTGAGGGCTGAGTGGAGGGGCACGTCGCGCCAGTAGTCGTTGTGGGAGTGGCAGCGCACGGGAAGGACGCCGTGGGTGGACTAGTGCGAGAAAATGGATGGGCGACCGGCCGGAAAGACCCAGGCGTCGAGACGGGCGTCGAGATCGTCGGGAAAGAGGTAGATTAGGCCGGACCAGATGAGGGAGACGAGTTTAAGGAAGCCGCTGTGGTACAATGGTTAGGAGGTAGCGATGACAGGGTCTCGTTTAGGACTTACAGGATAATCACTACCCCCCAGAATGGACGCTTTACGAGCCGGCAGATCATGGCTCTTCGGGAATATGGGTGGTTGTGACAGTATAGATGGCGACACTTCCAGAACCCACAGAGATTGCGCAGCCGGCTGTGAGGTACCCGGGTGGCCACTTTCTTTCGCCTGCGTCTGGCGCTGAAGTTGCTCAGACGCAGGACTTCAAAACTGGACTCATCATGGTCGGAGCCCTCCTCGGGAACCATTGCCAGTGGAGAGTACTTGAAGAACGAGCGGGAAGAAGATTCGCCTTCCTCGAACTAGTCACCCGACGCCACCTTCCTTCAGATTGCACCTTTTCTGAGGATGCATTGATGTTAGACTTTCCATATCCCAATTCCCTCTGCGTCATTGTCAGCCGCACAGTTCGCTAGAGGGATGTGGGACACCGGTTAAATTCCCTTGGCTTTCCTGAGTGCATTATCTATATCTTATCAGATCACCTTTGTCACCATCCTCGAATGTACCCGAGACTTTGAGTAATGTCCGTCTTCAGCCCTCCCTCCCTCAACTGTTCGAAACATACAATATCATATTCAGTCTTTACCGACTGAACCCGACCTTCGTCACCTCTTCTTCTCGCTAGTTCCCTCGAGCTGATGGTTCATTGTATACTTCGCTGTACCATACATTCTCGACCAATTCCTGTATGGAGACGCCATTTCAGGACCAGCACTCGCGTATCTGTCTTCTGGCAATTTGCTTCTAAATGCCCATGAGTTCATCATGATCATCGTCATGATTTCCTTACAAACACAGTGAACATCGTATCCGAATCACGTGTCGTAAGCTCGGATGTTGATTGGTTGACAAACTCGGTGTTTGAATCAATTGCCGAAGCGGGGCTCCGGGGTTCGATAGATAAAATCCATTGGTTCTCAGTCTGTGGGGTATTTTTGCCTTGTCGAAATGTAAAGAATTTCTGGGATACAGTGAAGTACTCATTGATTCTTGAATATCAGAACAAGGCCGTCGTCAAGTCAAGTAAGAGTTGAAATACATGATCACCGCTGCTCCGACTACCCTCGGATCTCATCGCCAAGATAAATCCTATTTATTCCCCTTCTTCACCAGAACTCCCGCAATATACGGCATGGCTGTACTCTGAAACCACCTCTCCAACTCAAAAGACTCCCAGCCACCATCTCGCTCCGCCGCTATTCTCAGCGCTGTGGCCGTATCCCGATTCAAAGAGCAATTTCCCATATACCAACTCCAGCCCAACAGGCCATAAAAGGCTTGGAATGCCCTCGCAATGATGGACCCCTTTCTTGTTCGCCATGGGTTCACGACATGTTCGACAACGAGCAATTTCCCACCGGGTCGTAGAAGGGTATATAGGCTTTGAATGGTTTGTTGCATGTCGGGGACTGAGCACAGGACACGTACGCAGAGAATCGTGTCGAATACGCCGTCTCCGGTGTTTTCCAGATTCTTGAGAACTGCAGTAGGGTTTGTAGTGTTAGTGTTGAGAAGGTCTTGTTTTTGGAGTGCTGGGATAAGATCAGAGGCCTCAACGCCGCAAGGCAAGATGTAATATTTATCGCTTAGACCTTCTGAAATGGCGCGGGCGCGGAGTTCGGCATGTAGGCCGTGGCAGGGTTCCGCGCCATAGATGGTTTGGATAGCCGGCGAGCGGAGGAGAGGCATTTGGGTGCCTGTACCGGGACCGACGTCGAGGACGATGCCCGAGGCGTGGGACAGGATGGGTGGGATTAGGTCTGAGGAACCCTGGATTTCGCCCGAAGTTGGGATCGGAGGGGGTGGCGGGGCGTCGGATTCCCGGTTTGCTGTGATATTGTTAGGGATATTGTGATGGAGCTAAAAGAGGTTTCTTCGCTCTGATGGAGCGCTGGTGAACTGACTACTGAAAGTCACCCAGAATCTGCCGAACGCTTCATCGCGCAGTCTGCTGGGGTGAAGTAGGGGAGCGAGAATTTGACCTCTTAAGACAGTCTCGACATTGACTTTGACATAACCTGCGTGACACTTTAGCTCTTCATGTACGAGTCGAATAAACTATGTGGGAGATAACAGTATAGTGATGGCTATTGCACTTACTCTTAAAGGCCCAGAGTAAGATCTGGCCTGGTTCAAAGAGAGAACTGATCCATTGCTTCGTAGTAAGGTCCCGGACAGACATCCTGTCCTCAGTCAATTCACAGTGGGCAATCTGTGTTTATTGGGAGATCTGGAGAATCAAAGAATCCCGAATAGAGCGGCGGAAGGGCCGTCCCCGGCGCGGAAAAACTAATACGGAGCGTTTGCAATCCCTAAGCCAGAGAGGGGAACCCGGATTGATTGGTTGATGGTACGCTGTCAGATGATCCCAATGATAAGCCGTCGATTTCTCCACTACCTACCTATGCGGAGCAGACTAGCTAAACTTCCATGGCCTCACTCAACTCCTGCCACAACACACACAGCTCCAAAGATTTTTCCGGGATAACCTCCATCGCCGTATCGTTTGTCTGCAGCCGTAGACGCTCCCCGTTACCCCAAGTCTTCCACTCCGGCGCGCTCAAATACCGGTATGTATTAGGATTCAGCGCCAGAACGAAGCTGATAAAGTAATGCATGGTGACAGGGATAATACCTGCATTGTATGTCAGATAAGACGACCCGCTACTAAGAGTTCCGGTTGAACCGGCACCAAATATCGCGGGTAGCTCAAATGTATGCGGTACGCCGATGCCCCCAGCGATATTGGATTCATCGATGATGTTCACCCGGTAGTTCCATACGGCATCTGGAGAGTACTTTGCAGCAGACGATGCAACAAGGTTCCCGGGGCACGTAAATGTCGCGTCTCCATAGGCTGCCGAGGAGGCGCTGAAGTATGCTGCATGTCGGGGTAATGGCTCTCCTAGAGGATAGGCTTGATTGATTTTCTCCAGCTGTTGGTCACTCAGGTGGGGATAGTTGTTCCTGAAGAACCGGGACACGTCGGCGCTGCTCGTGGCGTTGTAGGCAAAACCGGAGCCTTCATTGGTATCATCCCCCACCAGGACGGGCACTTTGATGAAATTGCCTTTGTCGAAGGCTCGGTACAATTCCCCTGGGACGAGAGTGCCATCGGTGACGGGTAGCCAGTACCAGTCGGGCAATGGAGAGCTGCTTCCGCCAGGGAAGGGAGATGCAGTATTGCCTTTTTGAAAGGTGGCGATATCTTGGTCCCGCAAACAGTCCAGAGGATCGGAGGCGTCGGAGCAACCGGTTTCGTTCGTAAGTATCTCAAATTGGAACTCCATCTCTGTCACGGTTCGCTGGGTCGGCCAGAAGGATGATTCAACGATGGCACCAATGAATAAATCCTCGTCCCTCCCGCCATACGCGGCCAGATGATAGGCAACGGAGCCAGCACCGGCAGAGACCCCGTGGATCACGATATGATTGGGGTCTCCCCCAAACTAATCTCTGTTAGCACGGCAATTGAACAACATGGCTGGCAAAATACCTGCTCGATATATTGTTTTACCCAGTTGATAGCCTTACGTTGGTCTAGAAGCCCCGCGTTGAGATCGCCATTCTGCCTGACTTTCTCACTGGCCAAGAAACCCAATGCCCCAATTCGATAGTTGAACGTTACAAAAAGAAGGCCATCTCCAGAGTTTTGAATGACTTGAGTCCCATTGTAGTTGGCATTGGAATTTTCTGCGTATCCTCCGCCTTGTATGAACAGCCAAACGGGTAGTTTGGACTGTGGCGTGGCCGTGGATGGCTTAAAGACATTGATGAACAGGCAGTCTTCGCTCACTTCGCCAGTGGTTTCTTCCTCACCGACTCCGATGCAGATCGGTCCGTACTGGAAACACCATCAGTGAGGCCTAATGGAGGTATACTGATTAAATTAGCAGGATAGGTCACCTCTGTGGCACTTTGAAGCGTGTTATTTGTGGGCGGATCCTGAGGCGCTCTGAACCTAAGATCTCCAACGGGTGAAGATGCATAGCGCATACCAAGAAATTCATCTACTCCCCCTGCAAGACGGTTACCTTGGTACCTGGCATAATTGAGATCGATCACTGGAGGTTGTGTATGATTTGCCTGACTCGGAAGGCCGAAGACAGCATGGCAAAAAATGCTTAGGCAGAGGAGGTATCGCATTTTGCCAACCACTCCCGGGGTAACAGAGAAACAAGGCAGCTGCTCTCCTAGGCGTCCTGCTTGGATGGTGAACGTCGGAACCCTCGGATATATACGATCACAGCCTTAGGAACTGCAACACCATTTCCAACGAGCACATCGGAGACATGGAAAGCTAGGCACCAACTACAGCCGAGCAGAGCGATATCATTGCTTTGGCACAAAGCAAATATAAAGGACAGCGGGGTCACTGCATGCGAGGGAGGAAATAATCCAGGAATGAGAGCGCGACACACGGCTCCGGGAGGCTTTGGCCCGATTTGCCGAAGTGCGGGGATCAATCAAGGGATGAGACCCTGAAAGATCCACAGTCCGCATTCTGAATAAACGTGACTTAGGTCAGTGAGGTTGTTCGATCGTTACTGCTTGAGTGAGGGCTTTACTTGGCCTCAGACATATTCTCTACACCAAGCATGTTGCTCTTGAGTACAAAGGCGGAAAGGAACTTTCTTGACGACAACCACGGCAAGACTTCACTAGAATTTGAGAAGGGCAATTAGGTGGAATAGCTTATTCCATTGGTGGCAAGATAAGAGAGTCTGGGTTATTATTCACCAACAGCCCGAAAGATGGACCGTCATCGAGAGCCAAGGTGACACGGGCAGGGTAGCGAGGCGGCATGCTTCAACATCAAGACGATGATCGAGGAAACCTTAGCATGGAACCCTGGTCGCGAACGGAGATAAGCTTTCCAGACCCGGATTGTAGATTCTGAAACAGGGACAAGGTAGCCGTCCTTTGGTTCAAGGATGCAAATCCAGCCCAATCTTGTTTAAGGATGTCGATCTGTCGGGGCCACGCGAGTACCGCTTCTTGCGCTCTAGTGACTATTTAAAGAGCGTGGTAGGCACTGCATGCTGTGATTTAGCAACGAATTAGTCAAGTCCGTATCCCCAACAATCAAGTGATCAATGACCGACAATGGAGGGCATCGTTCCTTATGAGCCAATCGCCATAATTGGCATGGCGGGTAAATTTGCTGATGAGGCATAAAATTGCGAAAAGCTATGGGAGGTTCTGCTGCAGGGAAAGTGCACATGGCGACCGTTTCCTCGAGATAGATTCAATGTCGACGCCCGCTTCCACGATGATCCCGAGCGGGGAGGCACTGTGAGAAATTCGTACGCAAGGTGACTTTTAGTGGTGCTCTGACGAAATCATCGCATTCAGTTTCGGGTGGCCGGAGGACATTTTCTCGCGGAAGACCTCTCAAGGTTCGAGGCGGGCTTCTTCAGCATTTCACAAGCAGAGGCGGAGTTGATGGATCCCCAGCATCGTCTTTTGCTGGAGAATGTTTACCAAGCCCTCGAAAATAGTGAGTCGCATTGTTGGAAGTGAAGGCTGAGTGACACTGATAGCAACCTGCAGGTGGAATCTCACTGGAAAAAGCCAAGGGCACAGATACGACTGTTTATGCCGGGTGCTTTTCAAGTGACTATGGGGATATGCTCAATGAAGATCCCGAGCAAATTCAGAAACACAAAGTGCTTGGCGAACAAAATGCCATACTTGCGAACCGCATCAGTTGGTTTTTCGACTTCAAGGGAGCCAGCGCTACAGTGGACACCGCATGCTCGGGCGGTCTCATCGCGGTGCATATGGCCTGTCAAAATTTGATTCTGGGTGAGTCCAACATGGTATATCAATAGCGTTCCATTAATCCACCTGAGCCGAAGCTGAATCTCCCGGGTAGGCTATTGCGAGCGGGGTGAACATCATCAGTTATCCCTGCACCACGCAAGATCTCTCTAAGCTAGGTGCACTGTCACCTGACGGTCCGTGCTATAGTTTCGATGAACGCGCCAATGGTTGTGCGCGAGGTGAAGGAATCGGCACTGTTGTTCTCAAGAGACTCTCCACAGCCGTTCGAGATGGCGACACGATTCGGGCAGTGATCCGTGCAACAGCGGCGAATCAGGATGGGAGGACAACAGGGATTTTCAACCCATCAGCCGACGCACAAGCGCGTTTAATCAGAACAACATATAAGACTGGTGGCATCGAGATGGATCAAACCGCTTATGTCGAGGCGCACGGCACAGGAACATCTACCGGCGATCCCGCAGAACTACGTGCCATAGCGTCTGCCTTTGCGGACCGAACTTCAACACATCCTTTATACATCGGGTCCAACAAGTCAGCCTTGGGTCATACAGAAAGCGCCGCAGGAATTCTAGGCCTGATCAAAACCGTGTTGTCGCTCGAGTCCGGCCTCATATGCCCGAATGTGAATCTTGAGAAGTTGAATCCAGCTATTCGTGCGGATGAGTGGCGAATGGAATTTCCCACAGCAGCGGTATCATGGCCAAAGTCAGGCCCAAGGGTCGCGTCAATCAGCTCGTTTGGCTTTGGCGGAACTAATGCGCATGCGGTAATCTGCGATGCATATCATGGGTTAAAGGAAAGCGGCGTTCCAGGGATTCATCTAACACGAGCCGACCCAGGTTGTGTCGCTATAACTAAACTTCTAACGGACCGAGGGTAGAAAGCAAGGAATTCACCGCTGGCAATACAAGAAGAAGCATTGAGCCCGGCACGGCCATGGAGAGTGATAATTCTTATATATTCGCCATCTCCTCATTTGATCAAGATGGTGTACAGCGTCAAGCAGAACAGCTGTCCAACTATGTCCCAACACACGCCCCGGGAAGTCACGAGAACGAGTTTCTGAGAAATCTTTCATATACATTAGACTGCAGGCGAACCCAGTTCGGATGGCGTGCTGCTTGCGTGGCGGCCAGCCTTGATGAGCTGACTGATTCTCTGCCAAGGTTGCGACCGGCACGACGACTTGCCTCTCCAGCCATACATAGGCTTTGTGTTCACGGGACAGGGGATTCAGTGGAAGGGGATGGGCCGTGGGCTTATGCGATTCGCTCCGTACCGGAAATTATTGCATTCCGCAACGGCATTCCTCAGACGTCTGGGAGCCACGTGGAGTGCGACAGGTGCGTTCAGAATAATTGACCTATCGGAGGCATGGATCTTTGCTGACTGGAGAAGAACTTTTAACCAGCCTTGATTCCGACATCGATGACTGCTTGCTCTCACACCCTTTGTGTACAGCGCTTCAGGTCGCTGTTGTTGATTGTTTGCGAGGCTGGAATATAGTCCCGCATTCAGTGGCCGGACATTCCTCCGGTGAAATTGCGGCAGCATATGCTGTAGGGGCAATAAACCGGACAACTGCCTGGTTCATGGCCTTCTGTCGGGGGCTAGTCTCGAAGGCTATTGCCGATAAAGGAGCAACAATGATGGCTGTGAGAACCACGCAGGAGGAACTTTTGAATCATATAGAAGCCTGTCCGACCCGAGATTTAACGATCGCAGCCTTCAACTCGCCCACAAGCTATACTGTATCCGGCAGTAGGAGTTCGTTACAAATTTTCAAGGAAAGGCTTGAAAGTGAGGGCACCACAGCCAAGTGGTTAAACGTCGAAAACGCTTATCATTCTCCCCACATGGAGGGCATCGTTGATGATTATATTCACCTCATTAAAGACGTTGAGACGCACAAAGATACCATAAGGTCAGCTTTCTCACCGGTGAAGATGATCTCAACTGTGACCGGATGTGAGATTCAAGGAGACGCTATTCGCACGGTGGAATACTGGGGGAGGAACCTACTTTCTCCAGTGCGTTTCTCATCCGCTATTAAAACTATGTGTGTGGGGGAGGAAATCGGGACCATCGTGGAAATTGGACCCCATTCAACACTCAAGGTCCCGAAGATGGAAACTCTGCAGGATAAAAACCTTGAAGGGGTAAGATACTTGAATATCAGCACGCGTAATATCCCCACATCTACGCCATGCCTGCAATCTTTGAGTTCACTGAGGGAAACGGGATACCCAGTTAATCTGGCAGCCATGTTCGACTGTGTCGCTTCCTTTGGTGCACGAAAGACCCCAGGCACCAAACATGGCATTAGCCGGGCTCGTTCGGACTCTGGGATAGGCTTGGATTCGGACAACGGTGTGCGCCAGTCGACAAACTTGTTTCGCCCACGGGATGTTCATCTCCTTACGGCGCTGCCACCATATTCCTTCAACCACAGCATGCATGATTGGAAGGAAAGCCGACTCAGTCGAAACTATCGCTTCCGGCAACATCCTAGGTCAAATCTACTCGGCGCGCCGGTAAATGACTGGAATTCGTGCGAACCGAGGTGGCGAAACTTCTTCAGAGTCACAGAAAATCCGTGGATGGCGGATCATGTGGTAAGCAAATAGTTTACTATCATCTGACTGCACCGGTAAACTGATAGTCCTAGGTCTCTGGAAAGATCATTTTCCCCGGTGTAGGGTACGTGACAATGGCGATTGAAGCGACAAAGCAAATAGCGGATCCAGAGCAGCCACTCCGAGGGTTTAGACTCCGCGATGTGCACATCCATTCTGCTCTCATCATCCCAGATACTGCTGATGGCATAGAGACAGGCTTCAGTCTCCTGCCTGTAATGGAATCCATGAGAACAGTGTCAAAGATCTGGAAGCAATTTCACATTTATTCCTACAGTGAGAGACAATCTGAGTGGTCTCTTCACTGTACTGGCCAACTTGCTCTTGAGTATGAGGGGGAAAAGCATGTCTTTGACACAGACAATGAGAAGCCCTTCCACCAGGAACAATGGGAGGATGAACTCAATGCTGGTTTTGCGAGATGCCGATTTCCAATCAATTCTGACAGTCTGTATGACTGGGCCCAGGATGTTGGCTTCAGCTTCGGGAAAACATTTCGTAATATGTCCCAAGTAAAGCTGAGTACAACTCCTTATCAAGGGGAGTCGGCCGCAACAGTGACAGTCGCAGACATTGGTCGCGTGATGCCGAGTGGATATACCTACGATCACGTAGCTCATCCGACAACTTTGGATGCGTTAATGCATACTTGCTTGGGGGCGGTGAAAAGCTTGAAAGGCCCCGAGGTAAAGCTCCCAATGTACCTCCCGAATGTATTTGGCGAAATTTGGGTGTCCGCTGATATTAGCCGTGATGTGGGACATGAGTTCATGGGGTATAGTCGCATGCGATCGCTATCTCATTTGACACTCCAGGGCGAAGCTGCAATGACGGACAAGGCAACTTCCTCTGTGAAAGTTGTGCTTACCGGTGTGGAACTAGTTAGAGTTGACACTCATCCAAAGGATGCGCAGCATGCGGTATGCCACACCATCGCTTGGAAACCAGATGTGGAAAGCGGATTTTGTGGGTTCGGAGTCAATGCCTCGGGAAAAGAGCCGGACTTGGGGCCGTTAAAAATGCTGGAGCTCAATGCTGCCATCTTCATTAAAAGGGCACTCGCTGAACTAGAGGGAGACGAGGGTTTTGTTGTCTGTGCCAAAACATCAAGAAGTACAAGGCATAGATGCGGCAGAAATGCGGGGAGATCGATGCAGAAATGCACAGCTGCCTGAAATCATCCGAGCTAAAGCGCTATATGGGAGACCAGGCTGCCATGCATCAGCTGCAGGAAGCGACGGGGGGGTCGAGCGCGATCGGAAACCTCTGCGTGCTCATGGGCAGGAACCTCAGCAAGGTTATAAAGCAGGAGATGGACCCTCTCGAGCTTATGTTCGGTGACGACCTGGCGAACGCTGTTTACGATGAATTCTCCCGACGGGTGAGGCTTCCCGGTGTTCTGAAACAGTATCTGGATCTCCTTGGACACAAGTGTGAGCGGTTGACTGTCCTCGAAGTTGGTGGTGGCACAGGAGCGACAACGATTCCGATGCTGAATAGTCTCTGTCCTGTCGGGGATGCTATTTCCAAAGATACATGGAAAGTGGAAAAGTTGGTATTTACCGATATATCACCGTCATTCCTGGAAAAGGCGGCAGACATGTTCAAAAGCTGGGAAGACATAATGCAGTACCAAACCTTCGATATCGAACGTGATCCAAAACAACAAGGGCTGGGGGATGAGAAGTTCGATGTTATTCTCGCTGGGAATGTCGTCCATGCAACGAGAAACGTCGGTGCCACGTTGCTGTATCTCCGGTCTCTCTTGAAGCCTCAAGGGCGTCTTGTCCTGCATGAAATCATTAAACCCAGCATGCTCACAGTTCCAATGATATTTGGCTTGCTTCCTGGATGGTGGCTGTCCGAAGATCCAAGGAGACAGCTTGGCCCATTGCTTGACGAAGGCGGCTGGGACTGAGCATTCAGAGACACTGGATTCATGGGGATTAACCATACTCTACCTGACAGCGCCAATGCCGAAACACACCTGTTCAGTATTCTGGTAGCCAGAGTTGCACCTGATGGCCCAAGTCATTTACCAAATAATTCGATAACTATCGTGAAGTTGGACCCTACCACCAGAGGGAAGACTATATCTAGCCAACTAGCTCATGACCTGTGTCAAACGTATGGGTCCGAGGTCTGCCATGTTATGCCATCTGAAAACGTCTCTGAAACTGATATGTAAAATGACCTGAATATCGTTGTCATGGATTTCGCACATCAAAGTTGGAATAATATGACAGAGGATCTGTGGTGTTCTATAAGGCACCTTCTCATATGTTGCAATAAGCTATTATGAATTTCCCTGCATGATGCAGGTGCAGATCCACAATTTGCCCTCTGCACTGGGCTGATCCGAACGTCTCAATGGGAATACTTTACCCCGAAGCGAAACCTGGTCATTTTGAACATCACGATGGATGCTGAATCCTCGGGCTTGGCACTGGCTGCCACGCAGGAGGTTTGTGATCGGCAGTTTATCACTTGCACCGGGCATCCAAATGAAGAATACGTCCTGAAACACGGTCAGATCTACACGACATGGCTTCTTGGCCCCCGCGTTATTGACAACTTCCTCGGTATCCAAGACACCGATAACCCGGATTGTGAACGAAGTGTACATCCGTTCAATCACCATGAAGGGAGAGGAGTAAAGTTGCACGAGGCGACTCCAATTAAAAACGAGGGGCTCGTATTTGTCGAGGATCACGACAGAGGAAAGCCATTGAGACATTCTGAGGTGGAGGTGGAAATAAAAGCAGTTGGGGTCAACTTCCGAGATTTACTGACAGCTATGGGTCAGTCTGTGGGGCTATATATCGGCATTTAGGGGGCTGGAGTGGTGAGTGCCGTGGGAGTCAATGCCAAAAGCCGCCTTTCCGAGGGTGACAGAGTCATGATCCTAGCGGATCCATCAAACATGGGAACAATCCGAACATATTGTCGAACACATTGCGACCTAGTCGTTCAGATACCCGACAGTGTATCTTTTGAGATGGCCAGTGCCTTGCCGGTCACCGCATTGACAGTACTGTATTCATTGCGCGATGTGGCTCGACTATCGACCGGTGAAAGCATTCTCATTCATGCTGGTGCTGGAGAAACCGGCTAAGCTGCCATTCGGTATGCACAAGCAGTAGGGGCCGTGGTATTCACAACGGTGTCGAGCGGTGAAAAAAGGCAGCTTTTAATGGATTCGTACGACATTCCAGAGAATCGAATCTTTTACAGCAGAGATGGCCGTTTTGCGGAGCGTATAAAGCTTGCTACTGGTAATAGGGGAGTCGATGTCGTGCTCAATTCACTCGGAGGGGAGCTCCTGGTGCTCTCTTGGAGCTGCCTCGCCCCACTGGGACGTTTCATAGAGCTTGGAAAGAGAGACATACTAGACAATGGGAAGCTTCCCATGCGTCCATTCGCTCAAGGAACCACATTCAGTTGTGTAGACCTATCCCTGCAGACGTCCTTGAACCCAGCTAGGGTAGGGCGCTTGATGACTGACGCTTTAGACCTTTATATGCAAGGGAAAATTGGTATCGCAACTCCATTGATTGTGTTCAAATTTTCCGATGTTAATGAGGCTTTGCGTCGTTTTCAGACCGGAGAATCCAAGGGTAAGATGGTGTTACTGGACTCCGATAATGATAAGGTGCGGGTAGGTTTAGTGCTTGTTTATTCTCTTTTTCCTGAGACAGGGTCATCTAATGAACCAAATGGCAGGTGCTGCCACATACAACCTCGCCGTTATCCTTCCCACATAGTGCGTCATATGTCATCGCTGGAGGGGTCGGGGGTTTAGGACGTGAGATTGCTAGGTGGATGGCATACCGAGGAGCCCGACATCTGATCCTTTTGTCTCGCTCTGGTGGTAATCCTGAATCCGTCACAGCTCTAATGAACGATTTGCAAACGGTGGGATGTGAAGCGATGGTGGTCAGGTGCAATATTGCAGACTGCGGCGCGATAAACGCTGCGCTGAAAGATGTTCGCCACTTGCCACCGATAAAGGGTTGTATCCAAGCCGCGATGGAGTTGAAAGTATGTGTGTTCGAAATCATTTCTCTTAGGATGAATACTTATTTGCGTACCGCCTATAGGATATGGCTCTGGCAAATATGGCGGCTGCAGATTTCAAAGCCGCAACTTCCCCAAAGGTGCAAGGGTCCTGGAATCTCCATTCAATACTTCCGAGCGACATGGACTTCTTCATCATGCTCTCTTCAATCGGAGGTATAGTTGGGACGCGTGGTGCCGCAAATTACGCAGCAGGAAATACCTTTCAAGACGAACTAGCCCGATATCGTTCAGATCGCGGCCTACCTTCGTATAGTATTGACCTGAGAGTGGTAGCTTCAGCCGGCTATGTAGCAGAAAACTGGAAGGCTAAGAGGAACCTGTCATCGAGCGGCTCAGGCGAGCTAAGCGGCATTCGGATGGAGGATTTCTTCCGTATCCTGGAGCACTGCGCTCATCCCGGCAGTCCCCCTCACAGTTCCCTTGGATCCCATCAGATTATCATGGGGCTCGACACTGCACCCATAATGGACCGCACTCATGACTCCACTGAGGTGCCAGCCTACCAGCGCAATGCATTATGGGCGAATATTCGACGGTCAAGTCGGGTTTCGCAGGCTCGGGCTTCCTCAAGCGCGACTCGATCGCGCAAAGACGCATGCTCTCTACTGAATGCAGCAGACTCCTGGCAGACCGCTGTTAACACTGTGGTTCACTGTATTCAAGAAAAGCTTGCGTCGATGCTCTGCATCCCATTGGCGGAAATTGATCCCCACCGACGGCTGAGTGACCATGGTGTTGATTCTCTGACCGCGGTAGAATTCCGGACTTGGATGAACAGGTCCATCGGTGCCGATATTCCCGTTCTAGAAATCATGGGGTCGGAGAATATTGATGCAGTTAGCTGTAGAGCAGCTGGCCTAAGCGTGTTTGTGAGGGGAAACTTGAAGGAAGCTTTCCATCATTGAAACGAGAGGAGATGGTGCGACCGCGTCCGAAACGCGTTGGTTATCGGTCACGTGACCGCTCTATCTCTTACACTATGTACTGGTTCTGTCAAATCAAGATGTCGGAGTGGAATCCAACGCGATTTGAAGTCGGGAACTACTGTTATTCTTGCAGACCCTTAGCGTCTCAGATATCTACGCTTTGGGCATTCGAAATTTGCTTGCGTCCCAAGTATGGAGTGGAGTGAACTACTAGTGGTACTACTAGTAGTGTGTACACAGGATGCAGAAGAAGAGAATATATATCACACAAGTCCCCCGCCCTTATAATGGATCCTATGAAACCATCGTTGAAATAGATAGCGGTTGCCAATCAATCACTTAACTGCTTCACTCCTGCTTGCCATCTAATATTTTTCCCGAGTTGTAAGGCTTTTTGAATTTTGATGGTGGTCGTGTAGATAGCAATATTGGTGGGTCCTCTTCAAACCCCGATATTATTGTTTTTGCAGTCTGTACGGAATATCTGGCCTTATATCAGGTATACACATACACACGGACCTGTCTATCATTGGTGAATTACAATGTCTGCTACGAGGCAAATCATACATCTTGGTGGGAACTGTACCACGTTCAAAAACGCGATGATGCAAACACCGCCTGGAGGGCAAGCAGAATGAGGGAATCGACGGATGCGTAAAGTGTAAGATTGTGATCTGATTAGTGTCATATGGCTGTATATCCAAACAAAAGTAACTGGGATGATGATGTAGAAAATGACCAAGGAAGGAAGTCATGCCGACCTCGACTTCCCAGCAGAAGACGACCCCTGCATCTCATCCAACTCAATACTTTCCCGTGTCACTGATATGCGTACGCTTTTCAGTATCGCATTGCTCTGATGCTCTTCATGCCGCGCCGGTGACGCGGTGACTGTTGCCTCCGTCCGCAAGATTGGTTCTTCCTCGTTACTGCCAAAGGAGCTGAGGTTTTTGACCGGTTTGGACGACCGCCACGATTTGTGGGGCGTGCGCCCGCTGTGACTCTGTGATTGGGAGGAATCCTCTGTGTATGCGAAGCCATGATCATCCTCGTAGACTGCGATGAACATCTTCAGGCACGAGACGGTGAGGAGAACGATGCTGAGACCGAGGTGGAGCTCTGCAACGGAGGTAGCGTAGGTACCGATCAGCGAGGGGTCGGTTGAGTAGATCTGAGAGTGAATGTAGTATAAATGGATGGCGGAGAGGGGTATCAATCTGAGTTCAAAATGTCTATGTTAGTGGGTCTAAAATAGTATTCGTATGAGGTAGCGCCAACGTACATGATCCGACAGCTGAGAATCGATAGCACTTTCAGTTTCTTGCTTAGAGAAATTTGGACGTTTTGGATCGTTATCGCTGGGTATGATAAAATCATGGCCTCAAGGATGATGTCCAACGCGCAGATAGCTTGCCATCGGGGGAAGAGACCGCCGCAGTCCATGTCAATATCGCTCCAAGGATGACTACTGCATCGAATGCCCAACAGTAGCATGGCAATAATGGTCCATACAGCACAAGATAACAAGATGACATTAATCATCCATCTCGCGCGTTGCAAAGAGAGGTTCTGATAGAACAAAATCGTACCGATCTTTGACAACCCTAGGACCAGGACATAGAAGAGATCTGTCGCATATCCCACCTGGGACTCTTAGATTGATGATCGGGTACCGCGCATACGTAACGTACCTTTTCCATAGGTATCAAGTCCCTAGATGGGATCAGCTCCTCGGACTTTCCCCACCCATAGTGAACCTGGAGGAGGACGAGCGAAACCTGCGTGCAGGCGCAGATGACCACAGCGAAGAGAACGTAGTCGTCCTTCAAGAGGAGACCTCTTTTCGACGATGCGAACAATCTGATCCCCAACGAAGCGAGAATTAGAAAGAGTGATAATGAGGTGATGATAACAATCAGCCCGTTGTGGTTATGATCGTTATCTTCCGTCAGCGGAGGTGAGACTCCAGGAGGAAGCGAGGCAGCCAGGACGGCCATCACAGCAAGAAATAACGCAAAAGGAACACCCGCCGTCACGCTCGCAAAGGTAAAATTGTCATGGCATCATGGAAATGTTGGAATCAGGGTCCCGTGGGAATCTTCGCGTCTGCACCTTTGGTCAACGTCAGGCAAAGGTGCCGACGACTTCGCAGTCTGACGGCAGCGTTCACCGACAGGGTTGCCCCTTGACACTAGCCTCCCAATGTCACGTTTGGGGCGCATCGAGTGTTTGCTTTGTTGAGCTGGTCGTACAGGGGTAGTGCTTGTACGAGGGAAATGGGCCGGTATGTCGCTGGGGGTAAGCAGACAAAACAAGGGTGACAGTGATATGGGCGAAGTATCAAGAACGGTCGCAAATCATTGCTGGCACCAACTCGTGGCTGGACAGGTAGGACAAGCCCACGCAAAGTCTCCACCGACCGCATGTTGTTGGTGGAGAACTGGCTGGATAAGCGCAGAAGGATCGAATCCCGGCTGATCAACTGCTAATCGTTCCCTTTCCTCCACATAGCAGGTTATAAGAATGAGCTATTTCCGGAGATTAGCCTCCGTGCGATGGGGTCGCAGGACCACGAGAACGGGGGTCCCAAACTTTATTTGTTGTCCACGCTGCTGCATCTTCTCGAATCAAGGCATCACTGACTCATGCCACACGCGAAGCGAGTCTAAAAGAGAGTTACTCCTTTAGCCTGTGGGATTCGCCAACGTTGGCCTTTCTTTGAGGGGGAGAAAAATTGGAAGCTCCTTGCTTATGCACATCACGACTGATTTCGGTGTCGGTCAGAAGCCTAGTGCTGCACCACCCTGCAGCTGACGAGGAGATTTGCCCCGACTTCGTAATCCCATCCTGGCGACTCCTGTGGGCCGATTTCCAACCAAACGATACTTGTGCTTCTCTGGATCCGTTAATGGCACGAACAGACGAGATTGCCCCGACGCATTTATTGGACCTGAGAGATGTCAACAACGAGGGGCCGCGAGGCGGGGAGGCACCAAGGCAGCAAGGCCACGCCGCCAAGAGTGCCGATCCGGTGGCAGGCATGCCTGGGGCTGTCGGCTGTCAGGTTGTCTCTCCAATCAGTCACCCTCTGCCACATTCTCCGAGGAGGGGAACCATGCGACCATGTGAGCGCGTGTCGACCCTTGTTGCAATGGATGGTTCCTCACTTCTTGGAGGGGAAGATGCCGGTCAAGCCACGGTAAAGGCAAATCGAGCAAAGGGAAAAAATAAGTGGACGGGAAGTTACAGGGCATCCTCGGTGTGCCTGAAGTGAATCGCCGGTGGCTTCTTTGTTGAGGACCTCCACGTCACACAGACTGCCCCTTTTGTCCCGGAGAGTTAAACTCCCAGCCTTCTCTCCATTTCCTACCCAGTCTCAGTTTCTCACGATGTCGTCCTCGGCTGGGGAAGCGGCCAGCATCCAGAAGGGTGACCTGGTGACGGACTGCCATCATCCACTGGAGGTGGAAGCCGCCGATCAGAATGGCGGGGAGGCCGGTACCAGATTTGACCACACTGACATGGCGCGCATGGGCAAGGCGCAGGAGTTTAAGGTATTCCCACCTCGTTGTTGTTGTTGTTGTTGTTGTTGTAAACTCAGGATGAGACAACTGATCGCATAATAAATCTAGAGAAATCTCCGACCTTTGGCCGCTCTGAGCTTCGCTTCCGTCTTACAGGCCACCTGGGAGTTTATCTTGATGTATGGTCATTTCCTTGAGACTCGTTAGCATCTCTTTCTTCCTTTCTAACTGATCATGATAATATAGATCCAACTATGAAGGTCTCGAAGATGGTGGAATGGCTGGCTTGGTGTGGACATACGTGTGGACCTTTGTCGGATTCGGCTTCATTATTGTCTCCTTATCAGAGATGGCGTCCATGGCCCCGACCTCTGGTGGACAGTACCACTGGGTCTCGGAGTTTGCCTCTCCACGATACCAGAAGTTCCTGAGCTATATCACTGGTATGTAATCCAATCTATTATAGTATAAATCATTGGACTTACCAGATCAGGATGGATGTCTGTCTTGGCCTGGCAAGCCGGCGCTGCATCAGGGTCCTTCCTGACCGGAACAATCATCCAAGGACTGATCAGCGTGCGAAACCCCAGCTACGATCCCAAGCGATGGCAGGGGACACTTTTCGTCTTTGCGATGATCCTCGTAATCTACTTCTTCAACGTTTACGCGGCCAGTTGGATGCCACGGATACAGAACATTCTGTTAGCCCTCCATACCATCTGCTGGGTGGTCGTCGTCGTCGTTCTCTGGGCCATGGCTCCCCGCCAGTCAGCCAAGGCCGTTTTCACAGAATTCAGCACATACGGGGGATGGAATAATGTCGGGGTGGCGTTAATGATTGGCCAGATTTCCGCGATCTACGGGTCACTTAGTTCTGACGCCACTGCCCACATGTCAGAAGAGGTTCGAGACGCCGGTCGGTATGTGCCGATGGCCATCTGCGGAGGCTATTTCAGCAACGGAATCCTAGCATTAGTGCTCATCATCACGCTCATGTTCGCGATGCCCTCGGTAAAGGACGCCTTGGATGACCCAACCGGGTTCCCCTTCATCTATGTCTTCAAGCAGGCTGTCTCTACAGCTGGTGTGAATGGGCTCACCGCGATCATTCTCATTCCAGTCATCTTCAGCAATATCCTCTTCAACGCGTCAACAGCTCGCCAGACCTACGCTTTTGCCAGAGACAGGGGTCTTCCCTTCTCCAATTGGATCTCCAAAGTCAACCAAAGGTACAAGCTTCCCGTCAACGCCATTGCTCTGTCTTGCATCATCAGCGGCATCCTGTCCCTGATCAATATAGGGTCAGACACCGCTTTCAACGCAATCATCTCGCTGAACGTAGCAGCCCTGATGTGGACCTATGCCATTTCCATCAGCTGCGTGATGTACCGCAAAATCTACTGCCCGGAGACACTGCCCCCAAGACGCTGGACCCTCGGCAAACACGGGATCTGGATTAACGCCGTGGCGCTGATATATGTAATCTTTGCCCTATTCTGGTCCTTCTGGCCGACGGAAATCCCCGTGACTCTGAAAAACTTCAACTGGAGCGTAGTCCTCTTCGTGGGTGTGTTTTTCATCAGTCTGGTGATGTATCTTGTCCAGGGCCGAAAGCTGTATAAGGGGCCAGTTGTGGATGTCAAAAGAACCTGAGGTAGAGTTCCGAAGCGGTCCAATGGCAATTGCTTGCTAGCTTTAGCCTCTTAAGAAACAAGCACCAGTTAAGTCGGATCGGATCCCTCTGCACCGCATTCACAGGATATCCGTTTCCAGGCCAGCTGCTGTTGCCCCACAACCGTCTAGATCTCAGGTACATCCGTCGACAAAAGGGCTTGTCCCAGACTTCCCACCGCGATTACAAGTAAGCTCCACTACAAAGACATGTAGGTAGTTCAGCTCACATTCCCGAATCCTGCGAAATTCGATCCTTCCTATCAAAACCATGCCCCAAGTCAAAGTAGCGTTACGTTTTCCTGTCTCCCACAGCCATCGAATTCCCCTTAATGGCCGCATAGCAAAGTCCCAATCCAGGAAGATATATTGTAATGAGGAAGTTGAATGTGTTCGATACGGACATATATATGAAGATATGGAGTTGGTTGAGCATGTCGGAGCCCATGAAAGTACCGTCAGAATAGGAACTCCTAAAGGTAGAGAGGGTGACTAGCCCCGGTAGTGAGATACAGAAGATGAGAGGGCTGCGTAAGAAAACAATGAAAGCTTATCGATAAAGGAGATTACATCGCGAAAAGCGCTTTGTATTGGACTGGTTCTAGGAAGAGAGCTCTGACATGGGAGGAGATCGAGTGAGGAGGTATTTAGTGATTTTCGTCTTCTTTCTGTCCCGGACAGTATTCGTTGCATTCGTTTTCTCTCCTAATTTGGAGGTAGGATTAGGTCCGGTGTTTTCATTTCTATTGCAATTGCTATGGGGAAAAAAGCGTACATGGGACTAGCGCAAGTGCTGCCTAAGTAGAAATAAATGGATGGGGAGGAGAGTGGATTAGATCATGTGAGATGTGTAAGGCATCAGTATACTTGAGTAGAATATCGCCCAAGGATTCGCCTCGTTTTAGAAAAGAGAATTGGGTAGGGATGAAGGGACGACCGGTATAGAGTATTCATATTCGACTATGGATCTCTCTATTCCTTAGTCGAAAGCTTACAGGGACTGATGGCGTAGAACCACGTGGGTGCCCTATGCAGGTTGACTGCAGAATCAGTGCACCTCGGCTGTGATGCCGGCATATGGAAGACTGAGTTATTACGGAGTGGCTTGGCTTGATATATTGGGGAAAGCTAGTGTATTCCGCTTGTGATGACTGCACTCCTTGGTTTGCACCCTGTGGAAATTGGGGAGTCCAAAGGAACGAACTTCATTTGGTTAAATGGATGTGAAACAGGGAGTCATCCAATCATTCTTTAGTGGGGCAACATATGACTAGGCCATGCTTAGGGGGTTTAAGACCTTCTTTGATTTTGAGCAATAGAGAATAGAGTCCTAGACAAGCGATGCCAAGCTGGAGAGCTTATCTCGGCCGAGTGTTCCATTTTCTCAAGAGGAAGTGTAACCGAAGCATACAATCCAAGAAAAGTGATGAAGTCGAGTAAGTTGGGTTGAGCACATGGATGGGCCCAGACCTGAATGCCGAGCAATTTAAGTAGGACGGTGCAGCCCCATGAGGTGGAGTTCTAATGGATCGAAGGTTTGGCCAGGAATGAAGGAATGAAGGACGCTGTTCTGGCACACCGTAAAAAATGGCAGGATAGATGGAGACTCTGCCTGAGCTAGAAACGGTTGCAAAGGCGATGAATAAGATTTCCATTCCAGCCCATTCGTGGCCGGGCCATCTGGGTGACTAGAGGACCCCAAGCTAGCGTCTCGTCCCAGCGGCTGGGGATATGAAGGTGCCACATGGCGGCCACCGATCTAGCCGTCGTGACCAGCGTTTACTCAGAACCGGCCCCTCTTGGTGCTTAGAGTCAGATCCCAACTAAACTTTCAAGGCGCCAGAATGTTCTTAGTGTGGGAGCTACTCGGGGACGCGCAGCTGCCCCGTCGACTAGGTTTATGGAACATTCTTCTGCAAAGAAGAGAAAGTTGAATGGTCTGACTGGACCCTGATCCTTCACAAGCCACTTCTGACTTGCTGACGTACTCGATTCTGGGCGGCGGGATACCAGGAACAAATTCCATGTCGTATCAGCCGACACATGTATACAAGCTAACCCGACGAGGAAACCATACCTGGCTGCAGGAACCGAGAAACTCAAAAACACCTCTCGGCTATGGCGGGAGTTGGTGGAAATTGGGAGAAGGAAGAAGCAGGCTGTGGGCGTCCATGGTATTTGATCCACAGGTGTCGAACAAGAAGCTGTGGCAGTGGCACAGTAGAACCCCTCGTACCCCTCTGTCGATCTGACACGTGTTGAGCGCAAGGCCTCGCCAGGACACGGCGGTGGGCCCGAGAACGGGCGTGGCGGGGCACCGGCTGCCACTAGACGGACTAGAGCTGCGCCCGAGGCAATTTGGGGCATAGCCCTCTGCAGGTCATGGTTTTTAATTTCCCGTGTCTTAATGTGCGCCAAGTGAAAACCTGCACAATGATTTCATGTCCCTCCTTCCAGCCTGGCCTGCCGAATTTTCATGGGCTCATCACGCCACATCTGACGAGCGAGATCAGGCCGTGGTGGGAGTTTTGAATGTCCCGCGATCGTCGGTATGTCCTGCAACCTTAGGTAGACGGTTGGAAGGACCCCGAGGTAAATCCGGAGGGGTTTTCGCTTGGACCAACCTCACTTGACATTGTCAAGGTGCAAACTTGGACGCCGGGTGTGGTCCATTCAGGTGGAGCCTGCGCTTACTGGCTTGCGAATTAGACCCCGCTTGGCTCGGGCCCATGTCGTTTTTCGGTATTGCTCGTCTACGGCGTATACTACGGATGCTCTGTGAATGTGTCTCTGGTAAGCCTTGGTTCTGCGGTCCTCCCGGCTACACGCGGTCAAATAGGAGGTTTAAATATTTATTTACAGTACGAAGCGAAAGATCTGGTAAGATATCCAGAATATAGGAAAAGAGAACATACACTTGTCGTCGGTCGTGATTCATTCTGCCCGATCTGCGCACTCAATTCGGAGCGAACTTCTCACTCTGAGCATTAATGTACGATACCACACGGAGATCCCCGCCTGATTGGACTGAGCACGCAATATACGTGTGGAGGCCCCTTTCCTGAAGGGCATCGTATGTACTGCAGCAAGGAGTTAGTTGTCGTGCACTCAAGGAACTCATATCGGTCACTCACAATACTTTGCGGAAGGCATCCGCGTAGGTAGGCATGTTAGGCTTTCTCGACTGGCCGTTGACCCCGTGCATGTACTCATGCAATGCCGTTACCACATGCCAGTCACTGGGCGCGTAATGTCGTGCGGGGATATATATCTTGATCTTTGGAGTCGTGCTTCCCGGGCGGAACTCCATGTTGTATAAAATGCCGCCTGTGCGGTGGTTGCCCCCTGGCAACGGGGTGTCATCGAGAACACCGGACTGTCCCAGGAGACCATCCCACAGTCTTCTGAGGTTCTGTAGCCCGGTCTCCAATGCAGGAGTAGTGATTCGGTTCCCCAGCGTCATCATTTGCCGAACAGAGGCAAAGGTCGTCTGGCGATTGCGAAAGTAGATCTTGAGCCGCGAATCCACAGCCGGGATCATGTCAATCGCTAGCATGTCCATCTCCAGGGGTGGCGTTGACACATCATTGGCAAACTCTTCGAACATAGCAAAGGCGCCTAGTCGCCCATGGTCGGTACAAAGGGGTGCCGTGCGAATGGCTTGAGCGATGACTTGCAGATTAGTCTGGTTTGTGGCCCGGGCCTTGAAGCCAGGGAAGAAGTAAGCCTTGCTGGTGATGTCGTTCTCGCCCAGGTCGAATGCGTAGAAGATCTTGGAAGGGTGGCCCTCCATGAAGCCCTTGGGGGCCAGGTCTGGGGCTAACTCCCGATCAAAGTGATCAAACCACCCCCAGCTCGTGTCGGGTAGGGTTTCTGCCAGGACGTTGCGGAAGAGCGCGTCTGCAGATTGGTTGTCGGGATCCACTTGCGTGCCGGCATTGGGGCCCACAGGCTCGATTGAGAACCGAACTGTCGGTGACTTGTTGCCCGTATGCCAGTCCCAACTTAACTCAATCGGGTTGTGGTTGTCAGTCATGAAGCTCTGCCATCTCTGTGCACCGGGCTCATTTGTAATCCCGAGGAACGGGGCGATGCTGCGACTGAAGAAGGCCAAGATACGTTGCTGAGCGCCATCCGAGTATCTCGCATCCTGAAGGAGCAGGCTCAGCACGTATCCGGTGGTCTGCCACCAAAATCGGCCATGGGGGCCGAGAGATTCACGGACGTCGTAGTCAACCTGCTGCCAGACTGACGGCAAGAAGAATTGGGCTCCGCTTGATTTGAGGAGATGCGATTTCGCATGCTCTGGAATTAGGTTGAGCAGGGTTGATAAAAATGGATAGAGCGCTGTGATGAGGAATCGTGGCAGAAGGCGCAAGGACGATGCCGGAAGCAGTTGGAGGGTAGGGCTGCCCATCTTAGCAAGCCACGTGCAGACCAGGTGCAAGAAAGGGCGGTACCACCGAAGTAGACTGCAAGACCGCACCTCAACGTCCATCTACCTTCTGACCAGCGGGCGCACCGGGATACACATGGATCCTTTATAAGGCTTTGACGGAGATTGAGCGTGGCCCGGTCTAATCCAGACCAATCCCTTGAGGTCGCTCCGAGCAGCGGGTAGTCCAACTCTGATCCTGTCATGCTAGCCATGGATTACATGGGCCGTGCGGTTTCGGATCAGCCAGGCTCCCTGTTACCGGACATGGCGGGCGATGCCCACCAGATGCGATGCTGTCATCATAGGGGCGCAACCACGCGCTCGATGGGGTCGATGCCTACCAGCAGCAGCCAACTAAGTAGCCAAGAGCTGAAAACGGGGAGGGGTGTGTTTATCGACTCTGGCAACCACGGGAAGGTGGGGACGTGCGTGAATCATCCATGGCCGGTGCGGTGGGCCACCGGTGGTCCTTTGGTGGCCCTTAGTCTGGTTGCCCTCCGCCGCGCCGTGCCGGCAACCTACCCAACCTAGGAAGGAAGTATATTACTACTGTAGCCCAGTAGTAGTATCTAGTACCGTATCGTATGGTCCTGGTGGTGATTGCTGGGTGCCGAGGAATTCTTTCAGGGCAATGCAGAGGAGGATTACCTCCGTACCCCCTCCCCCCTGCCGTTGGTTCCCTAAGCCCCCTCATCTCCTGTCCCGAAAGAGATGGCGAGGCCACCCTCAACAACAGCCTGACTTTTTCCCCCCTTATGTCACACCTGTGTTCTCTCGACAACGCCACATGGTAAGCTACCACAAGGCACCAGAAAATCGGCGTGGCCATCATTCGCCCGGGAACGCCACCCTTGTTACACCGCCACAGCCACAAATGACGCGCACTTCCTTTTTTCCCATTACATAGTACACTGTCCGCTCCAAGCCCAGCTGAGAGGCTAGCATACTTCCAATTGTTCTACGGTTCTACATATATTAAAAACAATCTATTCCTTATCCACCCAAGCTTGAGGTGGCGAGGCCAGCCCGCCATCATCTCGGGGGTTCCAATCAACGCCGGGTGACCCCTGCAGCACCCCCTCGCACCGTCGCACGGCAGCCGGGATTCCCACCTTGGCGCTGCTACCCTTGTCCAGCCTACACAGATCGTGGAGCAACAGCCCGCCAACTCGCCTCCCGGAAGCCACTCAACGTGGTTTCTCTGCATGATCCTAGGCCATGGCGCCTGATCATGAACCACATGGCTCATTTGGGAAACCTTATTCATCCTTTCGCGCCATTCAATGCCCAGACAGTTGCTGAAGAGGGTGGAAACCTGATTGACGGAACCACGGTACGGAAAGCGATAACGCGGCCATCGCGTCCCGGCGAAACCCGTCCTCGGCAGTTGCATTATTGCGCAGCTGAATCCTGACGGTAGCGAAGTCCTCCATGGCCGACCATGCTCCCGATTATTAATTACACTCCAATCCGAGGCGGACACGCTGTTTCGACGTTTTTTCTGATCACGCGGATGCCGCAAATCGCAATCAGGGTGGGTCGGTTGTTACGAGTTCACTCCAGGGCATGCCTCGCGAGTCGGAAGCGACAAGACCTCGGTTCCCCGCACGGAGATTTCTTCCACGGTCCTGTTGACACTTGACTCATCTTTACCCCTGAATAGAGAGTAGCTTTTTTATTTATTTATTTTATTTTTTTTTTTTTTTGGCAACCGCGTGTTAGGTTGTCCTTGATGCCCATCCCTAGTACTAACGCATCATAACCTCATTAGCCAGGCGATTGGTACAATAGCTTATCACAGTCTTCTTTCGCAGCCGGTAAGGGTTCTATGATGGGGGAGTGGCAACGCTACCTCTGATCGGCAAGCGGGTAGAGGGTTTATCTGCTGCGTCCACGACACCGCTGATCCCCGAGCGCCGCTGGTTATCGGAGGTTTTGATTCATCCCCTACTATCACCAAAAGAGGAACCATGATCGACACCGGCAATGCTATATAGTACATAGTAGAAGAAGAAACGGTACCGGAGAAAGAACGCGATTATGCGGTAAACTCCGTGACTTCTCCACGGTCATTCAGCCCACGTTGTCCGCCACATCCAGAGTCCACACAGTACTATGTTACCGAGTACACAGAGATTAATCTAATCTCCCAGATCCCATGCTTAACCAACCTAACCTTGGTACGATCCGTCCCAGAAACTGGGACCCAATCCGTTCAAAGTTTAAATACGATAGGTGTTGGGTACCGATGGCCCCCATCATCCCTCATGGTGTATGATATTAACTATTCCATCCGTCCTCGTATAGCATTGATTGTGGCTGGAAATAGAAACCCAGGTGCACTATGCACGCCCGTCGATCCGTGCATATCCATCCCCGTGTTGACTGCTGAGATAGTATTGCCGTGACTATTTCCTTATTAGGACATATTAGGATGAATTTCCCAATCTAGGTTGATAGCCGCCCCGCCAATCCCACTCGACTAGTACCGATCCTGAAGAAATCTCCGGACATTACGAAGCACGGGGATTTCCGATTCAAAGTCTTCCGTTAAGTCAGACTTATGCACCTCGAAGCTAGTATAATTCCATCGTACGCTCAACACTATTCTAGCCCAACAAACTCAGTAATGCAAACTCTTTATCACAATGACGTCAGTTCCGATTACGAAAGTCTATGCGACTTCCCTCCCCATCAGCTCCAAATACTGTACCGCTACATCACACACTGCATTCTCGAAGGCCCGGAACTTAATACCTAGGACGCGCTCCGTCTCAGACGAGTCATACATAACTGGAAGGGTATGATATTCTCCGCGCTCGAAGATACCCTCCGCAACCGCCTTGGGAAACCTCTTCTCGATGATCTCCCAGACGCTTGAGAAGTCAACCATAGTGCACGCCCCGAAACTGCTAGGCGTCTCTGAAGTGGTTTCAAGCTCCAGGGCTTTGAGATGTACGAGAGCTAGATCATCGATATGAACGAATCCCCCGTGCATGGGATTGGGGAGTTCCTCGCCCGTGAATCCCCGCAGGAGCATGCCGCAGGAACTTGCCTTTGTGCGAGCAGTTTCGGCGTCATGGACTAGGTGGTCGTGGCCGAAGACGTAGCCGGGGATGATGTGGACGATGGAAAAATGGGGGTTTTGGGTGTCTATGAACTCGTCTGTGCGGTTTAGTTCGGTGATTTTGGCGAGGATGTAGGCTTCGAAGATGTTGGTGAAAGTTGAGGGGATGGTCGGGAGGTGGATGCGGGTTGTCGCGGTTGCGGTGATAGATGGGTTAGGGACTGGATCTAGGGTGCCGACGATGGAGGAGGTGATGATGATGCGTTTTATGTTGGTGTAGTTGAGCGCGGTGGAGAGAAGGTTGGCTGGGCCGACGATGCTGGGGGTCCAGATTTGGGTCATGGGGTCGAAGCCCGGGACTGGAACGGGGGAGCCGGCGTATATCACGTAGGTGATATCTTTTAGGGCAGAATTGAAGGCTCCAGGGGCGGTAAAGTCTGGGATGATTATAGTGGAGAGTCGGCTGCCGTGGGAGAGGTTCTGGATGGCAGGGTTGGATAGAATGGACTCGGCCTTTGCTTGTGAGCGGGTTGCAATTCGGACGTCGTAGGTACCGGACTGGAGGATCTCGAGAAGAATTCGGAAGCCAATCAGGCCTGTGGCACCGGTAAGTAGGATGAGAGGAGCCATGGGCCGAGGAGTGTGAATGATCTACCTAGCTGATGTTAGCTGGGTTTGATGGTCGAGAAGGAGGCGTACAATGGTACTTTCAGGTAATCGGTACGTGACTGTGAGCTGGAGATAGGCATTGAGAAGGGTGTTCTAGAGATTTATATAGCGTTACTTCAAACATCCTTGCGTGGTGGACAGCCATGGTTGATGCTAGATGTCACCCACGATTCCTAGGTTGATGTGTTGCCATTCGGACGTTTGCTCTTGCGTTGGGCAAACGATGCAGCCATTCCGGATTCTTATAAACGGCCCAGCCAATCAGGAACTAGGGTCCTTGGACTTCTTGCTTAGTGAAGTGGGACCTGACTCCTAGTGAGGCATTACAATTCACAACAGGGCTGACGTGTGATACGGTGATGGCTGCAGGAAGACTTGGGGGCCTTGTACAGAATGTCGCTTGATGTTGAAAGGGGGGTTATAATTGAAGTCCTTGCCTGTCATCATAATACCTTTTACATAATACTGATGCACCCTGCTGCACGCGATCAATCGCTCGGCTGCTGGCATGGTTTGCCTGCAGTAGGCCGGCCTTGTAACGTGTACTTTCGAAGGATGCCTGCACACTCAATGCCCGCAACGCCATGTAAGCGCTTTGAAACAGTGGATGCAAGCTGGTGAGGCTTCCCCTGGAGCGGTGAGGATGAGTCCGTGGTCTCGATTCCAGAGAAACACGGGCGAGCCGGCTAGCGCCGCTCCGTTGAATTTAGCGCCCCACCATGTGGGAAGTCAGAGTGCCGAGTTACCCCTCGCCCATCCTTCATTATGGTGGCATTCTCTCAGCTCAACACACTGTGCCCGGTCAGTCCGGACTAGAATCAGGGTGGAGCTTGAAGATTAGTTCCGAGGTCGAAGAATGTGACGGCATGGCCACCACACCACCAATCAGCTGGTCGCCGCGTGGTGTTTGCGCCATGATCCGGCCTTGTCCCGTCGGTTGAATACCACCTCCTGGGACCCTTTTTTTTCCTGCTTCTGTCACTGAAATTCTCCCGATCCTTGCTCATTGACGGCAACGACATTTAATATGGATCCTATCCGTGAGGAAGCGATTCACAACGAGCGAAATGTGAAGGTAATCTGTGTGGGCGCAGGCGCCTCCGGATTGTGTCTAGCATACAAGTTGCAGAGATCGTTTGAAAACTACGACCTCACGGTACGTTGCGCCTTTATCCTAGCAACCATAGTATTTCCCTACTGAATCCGACTTCAGATTTATGAAAAGAACCCAGGGATTGCCGGTACGTGGTACGAGAACCGCTATCCAGGCTGCGCCTGCGATGTCCCTTCCCACAACTACGTCTACTCGTTCGAGCCCAAATCAGACTGGTCCTCCGTATACGCAGGCTCCAGCGAGATCAGGGAATACTTCAACAACTTTGTTGACAAGTACGGTCTGCGCAAGCATATCCTCACATCGCACATGGTCACCGAGACCAAATGGGTCGAGGAATCCGGTCGCTGGCAAGTGACGGTCACAGATTTGACAACGGGGCAGACGGTGCACGACTGGTGCCACATTCTGGTCCATGCGACGGGCTATCTCAACAAGCCCGCTTGGCCAGAGCTCCCCGGGTTGGACGATTTCAAGGGCATCAAGCTTCACAGTGCGATGTACGATGAGAGTGTGTCGCTGGAAGGAAAGAATGTTCTGTTGATCGGGGCCGGCTCATCGGCTGTCCAGATTCTCCCTGCAATCCAACCGATCGTGAACAGAGTGAAAATTTTCATCCGGTCACCAACATGGCTGCTGCCGGACATCAGCACGGAGGCGGGAAAGTTCTCCCAGGAGCAGATTGATGAGTTTGTCAACAATCCAGAGAGCGTGACGGCCTTGCGCCAGGACAATGAGCGGACGATGAACAGTATCTTCAGTACGTTTATAGTTTGTGCGTTGAGCAACTAGTTGCTGATGAATGTTGAACAGCAATGTATCTTAAGGACACCGTTCTCCAGGAGCAGGCTAAGGGTCTCCTCACGTCAGTGATGAGGAACGCCTTTCGGGACCAGGAAATGGAAGACCGCTTGATACCTAAATTTGCAGTGGGCTGCAAGCGTGTTGTTCCCTCGGGCTTCAAGTACCTGAAGGTATGATGTCTCTCCCGCGGTCCCTGAAATGCATTTAACACTATGGCAGACGCTGAAGAAAGACAATGTCGACGTGGTGTATGGCGGAGTCACATCCGTGACACCCTCGGGGTGCATTAGCGATGACGGACAGCAGCACGAGGGCGACATCATCATTTGTGCCACTGGTTTTGATACTTCTTACATCCCGCGCTACCCAGTTCTAGGCCCCAATGGCCGAAATTTGCAGACCGAATGGGCAGACTCCATCATGGGCTATATGGGAGTAGGCATCTCTGAATTTCCCAATACCTTTACGATGCTTGGCCCCTACACCCCCGTTTCGAATGGTCCAACGATGGTCGCGATCGAAGCACAAGCCGATTACATTTGCTCCTTCATCGATCGTTACCAAACAGAGCCTATCCACAGTATGGCCTTGAAGCAGGATGTCTGTGCTGAATTCAAGGAGCATGTTGGATCGATGATGCAAAAAGCCGTCTGGACCGACAACTGCCGCAATTCCCACAACAACCACACTATCGGCGGTCGCATTCCCACGACTTGGCCTGGAAGCACTCTCCACTATCTGGAGGCTATTCGAGAGCCACGTGCCGATGACTGGGTGTTCAAGTACACTGGGAATCGCTTCTCGTGGCTGGGGATTGGCGTTTCCCAGACGGAGTGGGATCCGACGGCAGATCTGGCATATTACATCCGGCAGTCGGATGACGGGCAGTGGAACAGTCGGCGCAAGCGGAACCTGGCCATTGCTAAAACCGGGAGTATGCCCCCGCGTGCTCTCCACAGGCAGCCCAAGCTTGCTGTTAACCAGAAAGCATCTGATAAGAACACGACAGTGTCGACGGCGGAGCCAGTCCCCGAAGCCAGGGCATGATTGTGACCGGGTAGAAAGGCTGCCTCGCAACCAGTCGCTCTTCTCAAAGAGTCTCATATTGTTCGTTTGGTGATTATGGCTTTATTCACATATAGACTGCATTTCGGACCATGCACAGCAGGGGCACTCGGTGTAATCACTAGACTGCGGTCGACACCATAGCCGCAGAAGATGAATATGTTCAGCGAACGATTTCGTGATACAAAATAGAGGGGATTGATTCTCTATCTAATTCTTGGACCTGTTTAATTGGCCCGCTCTCTCAGGCAAAGCTTAATCTGGACTGTTGTTCCTTCGTTAGCTATCGGACTTGAACCGTCAGACATATGTTTTATCTAGCGCCTTATGCCTAGCCTTATTGTCATTTTACAGCCCTCTTTTTAACTGATCTTTGCTACCTTTCTCAACCATGCCTCAAGAGATGATATGATGACTGTTGACTTGAACTAATGGGGTCGGAGATGAAAAGCGATAATTCTGGGCAGCGGTACCCTTGAGATTCTCCATCTCTGGTCGGAAAGTTGGCAAGCCAAGGCCTAAGTATGCCGGTAACTCTTGTGAGGAGGCGTTGTATGATTGGCAAGACTGTGAAGGAAATCACCCCGGTAGCGGCTTTACAATCAGCGCGTGGCGACTTTGAAAACGGAAACTATGCCTTTTTTGACTATTATAGAAGCACTGGGGATTGATGACAACTTGGTCATACCTCCACTTTATCCCTCTGCCAATATTCAGATTGCAGCAACTAATGCTTTAAACTGGCATGTGCTTACATTTTGCGCGCCATTCGACCCACAGTAGGGGTTTCTCAAGCGCTGACCAATTTTGATGATTCTTGTGTCTCTCCCCAGACTATATCTTGGTGGCCACTGTCGCCTCAACTGAATTCATATCAGAAGCCCAGAGACCCCATACGGTCAGACCAGGAACGGGCCGAGAGCAGATCTGGTTTGACAGACTCTCATGTCTCCACTGTGACAAGGATCTGCACGTCGCGCCAACGGTCCAGAGCTGGTGCTCCATCCGCAACTGGCCTGACTCTCTACCCACCGCAGATGCCAAACCCAATAAAACCCGTAGCTATGCAGATCTCGTTTAATCACCCCTGACAGGAGGTCCCATGCCAGTCTGGTGTCCTCGAGGCCAATATTCGGTGTCTCGGGGCTTCAAATGCGCGGGTTTTAGCCACAGTTTCAGTCAAAATTGAGGAGATGATCCTCTGACACCCGCTTCAACCACCGTCAAACCATGTACTTCACATCGTTAGCCCCAGAAGTGTGGCCCTCTGATAAGGCTATCATTGCGCTGAACGGAATTCTGGCCACGGGGAACAAGAAGCGACGGCTCGAGCCCAACCGTGATCAACCTATTAGATCGATCGATGACCATGAAGGGACATTCGCCTCCCCCCGGGGGTGCCTCCTAGTACTAGTCATTGTTTCCCTCACTGCATCCAGTTTACTCCCGAAGATTCTCGATTTCCATGATCAACCCCACACCATCATAAGCGACCGGATGAATACTGTTTCTACTATGCCTTTGCCGCCATCGCTAATGATGGCCGTCTAAGTCAACGATCCTCATACTGGACCGAAGATGCCAAAACTGACATCTGGTCAACCTTCTAATATTTTCTTCGTCCGTCTTCAAGACACCTTAAAAACATGCTGCTGCTAGTGAAACCATGACCATTTTCGCCAGGGAGCATCATGTCAATGTATTCCTTCGGTCTTCTATAGCAACAAATATTAGAGTAGATAATTAGTTAGCAAAGATGGATTGTGTTCTTCTCCAAACCCCAAGACCGTTGAATCTTCCTGCTTCATGATGGAATCCTCTTGGTGACCCCAATTGGTATATTCGCCATGTAACGCACAAAGAGGTTGTAAGTAGCTATATCCTTCGTATTGAGTAGGTGAAGGGGGGATTGCCGAATGACAACATACTGGCCATCCCAGTAGGCCTGAAGGATTCTACCCTTGTTATGGGCGACCGAGATTATCATGACCTATGTATGCATTGTGAGGTGTCAGCAACGGTACATTTGACAACCGTCCAGTACACTAACCGGAGCGATACAATGATCCTTAAATTCAGGGAGAGAAAGTCTGAACTTCATTGTCTCGAGGATGCAGAGGACCTCCCCTCGCAGGAGGCGGTCATCTCCATCAACCGGGTGCGTGATCATTAGCATGGCATGCGGGCAGTCTTTGTTCGTTCTTCCAGGTACCCAAGCCTTCGACAGGGTCCAGTCAACATGAGATTTGATGTGATCCTCCAATAGAAACCCGTTCCTGAAAATAGTATCTCCTGTCCCACTGCACTATGATTAGCGGTTTTATACAGACAATGCAATTATGAAGTTCTAGGATAGCAAAGCGCACGTAGGAAACCAATCCGAATCAATCATTAGATCGCAATTCGTGCCGACCCTGGTGGCGGTGTAGTGCCATCCGATCCGGTACGCAAAGGACTGTGCAAACTGGGAGATGATGCTTATTGAGTTCTCAAATCCGCTGGGAACCTGGCGATAATCCACATCTTGATTGAACTCTTCGATTTTGTTTCGAACACTCGGCCTGTCCATATCGAGGGGATGCAACGCTAGCCACGCTTCCGACCGCGGCTGGAAAAAGTGTCCGACTTCCTCGTTCATACCATCAGCGGGTTCTTCGGCGGGCGAAAATTGCACAACCTTGATCATGCGGCCTAGAAGATCTGTGTGCCTGAAAGATATATGTTTTGTACGGCTCAGCTCATCGGTCGTGCGTTCTAGAAGGTTGATGGTGCTTTTCTTATGCCCGGCCTTTTCGTCATCTGCGATCTTATCATCACGTATGAATAGCTCCCGAACACTCTTTCCAAGCCTTCGGAGCGTCATCGTTGCTGATTGAGGAAGTATTGATGGGTCCTAGTCGGTCAAGGCAACACAAGCATGGAGTTTGGTCTTGCTTGGGATGAAGCAATAGGGGGGTGGAGAGAATTTGAAAGTGAACTGAAGGCATGGGTGGAAGGACAGTGAATAGTGCAAGGATGACAAGGGACCAATCGAAACTCAATTCTCACATGACCCCCAGTCACCGGATACCACCCTCGAATGCACGCATGGCAAAGGAGAAAAAGAGAACTGCCTGCAACCGAATTTCTGGTTGAGATCGCTGGCCTTGGCCCCGATTTCTCCTGCCTTCGGAGTCCTCTAAATGTATCTTCAAGTCAGCTATACATATTCAACACTCAGGCCTTGGTAATGGTGGTGACAGTAATAAGCTCAGTGGTACCTATGCGAACCCAGGTTCTAATGTAAGCCGTTCTGGCGATGGATTCTCAGTCTACTGCCTGTCCATCATATTGAGAGCTTGCCAATGCGATCTTGGAGTATCCCATGGGGCTGATAAAGTAGTTGTTGCGCGTGGATTACCTTGCATACTTATAAACCTTGCTGATGAGATCCATCCTTATTGCATCTCTATATAGATAGATGCACCCGGCGATGCCTAGCAGATTCCCCCGGTCGGCAGGAGTACTGGGATGGCTTGACTGCGCCGACGTGGACTAGAGAACATGGGACGCTGCTTGCATCTGAGAGTGTTATGTTGCTTAAGGACCTTCGAGCCCAGGGACGCAATGGATGCCTCCATGTACCACCTGTGGAATTGGAAGACTTGAAGGCAATCAATGCCTGCCACATATTCGGTCGTGCACTCCAATCTATGAACTTCGACCAGAACTACCTAGCAACCTGGCCGCCACGGGCATTGAGGAAGTAAAAAACGGGGAATCTGTGGAGGGTGTCGCTTCATGTCAAGTATGGCCTTCGGGATTCTGTCATTCTTTGACCATAGACAGCCATCGGTGATGGCAGTGTATTCTGCAGATTCGAATTCTGCCGACATCCTATTATGGCCGGCGTCCCATTCTACGATCATGTTAGGAATCATGTGCGCAAGTCGATCCAATAGGAGTACAAGAGCAATGACGACTAGCGTCTCATCATCAGCCTTGGGGCCTAGGGGCAGAGGGGAAAGGGTCATGGATGCTGCAGGGGCATCCCCGATCTCAACATCTCTGTCAGTTACTCCTCGGCCAGAAGCCACCCGGAGCGAAGAGAATGTGTCTCGAATTCTCTGCCTTCTTCCTCTAATCTGGGGGCTCTTGTTCTCTGAGGCGGGTGGTTCTCTTTTCCCCGTAGGGGTCATGACCCTCTCCTGCCACCGTTGTACAGGTTGGAAAGCTCCGGGCCAGAACGTATTGCCCTCACTGAGCTCACTTATAGCCCACCTGTTCTCCACAATTACAAGGTATCTCTTGAATTCCTCCGAGGCGTTCACAACCTGTACGGCGGCAGCCCACTCTGTTCCTATTCCGAGGGAGACCAGGTGATTCTCAAAGTCGTGGGGAGTCAGAGTGTCTGGCCAAATGGCCCTGAACATGACGAACTGCTTCTTCAGGACAGATGATCCCGATGTCATTTCGGTGATATTATTAATCGTAGTTGCTTCCATATTGCCCTCCTGTCTGAGTTGGTTTCACTGGACCTCACTTGCCGGGATAAAATATCTCCCAGCAAACTCGTCCTTCGGTCGTTCGTTCCTTGAGCGAGGCATAATGGGAGCTGTTTCACGAATTGATAGCACTTATGGTTTGTTGAACAATATGACACAGGTGTTAGAAATCGAGTACAAGGTTGGAAGGAAGGATGTGTGGAAATCAACTCATTCTGGCGCGCGCTGTTTGTTACATGGCTTGCCCTTAGCAACGCGCCGCGCCCCAATTTGGCTAGGCTTCGTTGCTTCTTTCAGAATGATAGCGTGAGATAAATTGGGGCAGATTACTACCAGCTGTCCTTGACCAAAATACAGCATCTGGATGAAAGAAGATACCCAAATTGTCAGGCCCCGAGTTAGCCTATCCCCTTCCTATTCAGCTCCACGGGAAAAGAAAGGCGACACCATTGAGATCGTGGCATACCTCGTAGTATCAACTGGGGGCACAGATATTGGATCTAGAGGTAATGACTCCGGCATTTCTTACATTCATCACTGGTTCCAACTCTGCTACCAACGCGAGGCAACTTCGGGCGTGTCTACGGCGCTATCTTCTCTCGGCCAAAAAACAGGGCCAACATCCCACATAGCGTTTCCTTTCATTCCAAGGGAACAGCGGTAGATACCCAGTATAGTGAGCACATATGCACCAATGCAGTTGCACCGAGCACCGGAGATGGCGGCGCAGTCTCGTGTCCTGCCTTGTATCAACCAGGAATCATCGTGGGTGCAATGTCTATTGGCTTATCGGCTAGATAGCAGTTTCAAACAGTTTATCGATTATTCAGTTGCGTCGACAAAAAAGCATACAAACACAACATCCATCACGGTGCGATCGAAAATGTCACTGTCCCTTATGGTTTTTGGTCATACACTCCCTACTACCACTTCCTACATGTGTACACTCAATAGCAAAACCCAGATCATGTGGACAAGGATTATTGTAATCTTAAGGCGCTTCTGTACTATCTTCTCCCTTCCATAACCTTTCTCTTTCTACATCTGTTCCTTTCCCTTTCCTTTTTTTCCCTATTAGAAGGGTGGGGGGAGGTTGAAACGAATTGCGCAGTCCGGGTCTGTTATGGGCTGTAAGTGGATCTTGAATATGGAGTATAAATATCAAAATATGTTTTCCGGTGGAGGACCCAGAAATGATAGAAGATTCCGATTCGTCCCAATGTGCCTGGTATGAACTCTATCCGTTAATTCATAGGGGATATCCTATGATAGACAGTAATTCCGGGTATGTGTACGTCTACATAAGGCATTTGAGCCTGTTGACTAGCTAGATATAGCGATCATCTTACCAGCATTGCTTTTCACAGAGAGAGAGAGAGAGAGAGTGTGTGTGTGTGTGTGTGTGTGTGTGTGAGACAGACTGTAAGAATTCGAGAATCAGAAAATATCGAGTGAAATGAATCGGCGTTTGCCCCGGGAACATGAGTCATTGAACCAAACTTTCATCATTCTCTAGATCAAGAACCGTTATTATCCTGATTGTCCCGCGATAGACAATCAGACACAGCCCTCTTGGGCTGAGCCGGACGGCGCCAACGCCCAGGCTTGGCTTGACGCGTGATCACCCTTTGATCCTCCACTTCTGGTCCCATCTTTTCTTCTTTCTTTCCTTTTGCATCTTTCTCATCACTTCAGAACACCCCCTCGCAGTTTCATTTACCCACCTTGGTGTCCCCATGGCCCAGTCTGCAGCAGAACTCGCCGTGGAACCCCCCACCACCGCCAATGTTGACCGCGCGACCGAGGCCCACGGAAACCCTACCGATGACGTCACCGATAAGCGAACGTGGGCGGCGCAAACCATCCAGGTCCGTCCCTCTTTTTCCCGTGGCCTCGCCATTATTGATGGGTTTCTAGCGAGCATACCGCGGTTACCGCACGCGACGAGAACTCCACGGCTTAGATCTCTCTGCGTCATCCTCAAGATGGATAGATGTACGTCCTCCCTGACCAAATCTCGTCTCTGCTGATCACCGCTAACCACGCCCCTCATCCAGGCCGTCAAAGAAGCCGAATGGCGACAGCTACACCGCCCCTCCGCCCCCTCCGACGACCTCAACAGTACCGCCAACGCGCGTCGCAACTGGCTACGTGCCGTGAGTGTCGCCAAGCGTGTCGGAGGCGACGATGATGATGACCTCGACACCAAGACCGATCATACTCACCCTGACAATGCCTCGGGCGCGCAGGTCGCCCCGGCCGTTCTCCACCATGAGCTGCCGCCCGGGACTACGGCCAAAATGATGGACTTGCAATACTTTTTGGAAATGGTTGACTTGAAACATCGCCATGGGAGTAAGCTGCGAGTTTACCATATTTATTGGAAAAATTCCCCGACAAATCAGAACTTCTTCTACTGGCTTGATTATGGGGACGGGAAAGGGGTTGATCTCCCGCAGTGTCCGAGGGAGAAGTTGGAGCGGCAGCAAGTGAGATATCTGTCTCGCGAGGAGAGGATGAATTATTTGGTAGCAGTGGATGAGGCGGGGAAGTTTCGCTGGGCGAAGAATGGAGAGTTGATCTGGACGGATAGTGCGCGGTTCAAGGATAGCTTGCACGGCGTGGTGCCGATTGAGGAGGATGCGCCGAGGTTTACGGGGAATACGGAGGCGGGGAGTCCGGCAGTGTCGAAGTTGAGCAGTGAGTCGACAGAGTCGCTGGAATCGCTGAAGTCGTCGTTGTCATCGGCTTCTAGCTCGGTGAGTGGGCATGGGGATGCCTTGGGGAAGCGCGAGGAGGATGGGTATAAAGCGGCGAAGGTGGGCCAGAAACTGGCGCATGTTACTCCGGGGACGATTCTTAAGAGCCTGAAAGGGAAGTCGTCAAAGAAGGAGGACATGTGGATATTTGTGAGTTGATCGGCCAATCTGTGTGTGGTTGTATGTCGTGAGCTGACTATATAGGTCGCTGATACAACATTCCGGTTGTTCATCGGCATCAAAGAGTCCGGCTCATTTCAGCACTCTTCCTTCCTCCGTGGTGCCCGCATCGCAGCAGCTGGATTGATCAAGGTTAGGAATGGGCAACTACGCGGTTTGGCACCGTTGAGGTACGTGTTCCGAGTTCATATGTGAGCCATTGTCTCCTGACTCTCAAAGTGGCCACTATCGCCCTCCGGCCGCCAATTTCCGTGCCTTTGTCCATTCCCTGCAGGACCAAGGAGTCGACATGTCGCATGTCTCCATCAGCAAATCGTATGCTGTCTTGGCAGGCATCGAGGGATACACTAGAGCCAAACATAAAGTGCGTGCATTGCAAGAAAAGGTCGATGGTGCGAAGCATAGGTTTCGCAGCCGGCAGGAGGAAGGAGGGACCCAACAACGGGGCGAGGATACCATCAACAAGAGGGAGAATGGCGACTTCACTGGTAAGAATGAGACAGCGCGAGGCGACAATCATGAAAAGAGACGTTTCTCGGTTCCATTCCGCCAAAAGCCGATATGAGCAATTTGATATGCACTATGAAAGGCATTATAGCGCCGACCAATAAGAAAAAATTACCACAAGCGCTTTAACAGGTCCCCATGGCCTAATTACCACGCAGCACAAACCGCAAGGCGCTTAGCGAGGACTCATTCTCACACCCAACACTCCCTTCGAAAAGAACCGTTTTCTTCGAGCACCTATGACTCCCCAATATCCCTCTGGTCGAACAACCAATCCTTCAACTCAGAGCCTCCGTCTCTCAACAACCCTGGATCTGCATTCCAAACAAACGTCACCCCAGGCACCTTGGAACCATCCCTAAATTCAATCAAGCATCCCTTCTTCCGGTACATATCTGTCTCATACTCGACCAACCGATCTTCGTCTTCCTGCGACCGGACCTCGTACGCGACTCCGTGAATTGGTATTTCGGGACGCCCGTCCAAGAGGGCCGGATACTCGCCCCACAGCTTCATCCCATGTTCCATGATCGTCGCCGGACGAAGAGCCGGTCGATCCCTAAGTCTGAGGACTTTGGTGAGGATAGTCGGATCACCAAGTGAACCATAGAAAAAGAAACAGCGGGTTTGAAAGAGGTCAGGGCGCTGGTGTGTATTAGCTGGTTCTTCCTGCGTAGTCGCTGCTGATATTTGAGGCAGCGAGGAGGTCTGCCTGTTTGTGGCTAACGAGGCCATCCTTCCGTTTTTCACGCCTGTATACTAGACTTCGTCCTATCTGAAAGATTGTTTAGACTCCAGAACGACAAACCCAGGAAAGATAAAAAGGAAGAACAAGGAAGGGCAAACTAGAGTGATCGTAATGATGTCAACATCCCCGCTCCATGTGACACTGGATAAAAGGTAAAATCAAAACAACTCGGCGGGATTTGGCTCCTTCTGGTTGCCCTGAAGCTTACCACCCCTGGTAGATATATCCCGGCCAATGGCGTCCGTAGGTTTGTTGATGCTTTGCTACCGGTCCTTGGGTGTGAAAGGGTCTGGGCTTTGGAACCGGGTAAGGATGAACAAAGGATTTCACGTGAGGACTTGGTTGGTGGAAGTTCTAAGAAATAGGCATTCTGGTACGACAGCTGCTTATCTGGATAGCTACAATCCGCCAATGCGCCAGAGATATTAATCGTAGGGGATCTTGCTGACTCTTGTTGTACTTTGCGGCCGTCCTTTTGGAATAACATGACTTCCAGAACCATCGTTCAGAATAGGAAAGATGACAGATCTGTTCATGACTTCTTGGCATATGCTTTGGGCCGTTAACATCAACAAAAGAGAGGCTTCTTCATATAGGACTTGCACTGAGCTCGTCCTGGCAACGAGAAGTATTCTGGATGTTCCATGTGTCGCTTCTCAGCTGCCAGTGTTGACATGCTTAAGCACTAGCTCCAAGGCATACTTCAATGAGTGATCTCCCTTCACTCGCTTCACTTCTGAACGTGTGTTGATGTCTGACAGAAAGCTACGAATTGGCTGCCTGGCAGACGGTAAAAGTAATTTCCGGCCAGATACGACAGGCAATTCATGAATTCTCCTCTTTTGGCTCATTCCTCTCGCGTTCCTCGAGTGGTGGACCTCATGGTCTTCCCTCGATGGCTCGGCAAGCAATTTCCCGAGTCATGGCTATTATCACTATAATCTCAGTGGATTGGCGCCGACCGCCCTTCAAGCAAGCAAAGCATTTCTCATTACGCAATCCTTTCTTGATTTCCTCAGCCTTGTCATAGGGCTGGATGTCACTAGTTCTGTCCCGATTGTTCCCTTTCACCGGGCCGACGACGGTGGTCCTCGCATACGGAACATCCCGCATCTCAAAGGGTGTTCCTGCTCGCGGTCCCATCAGCAGCATGGCCGGTCAACAACGAGGTTGGAAAATTGGCCCGAGAAGTGGACGGCGAGGCCTTGCAACCCCGACGCTGGCTTGCGAGCAGAACGTGACTAGTCCGGATTGGGCGACCGGCAATCCGGGCCCCCGCTGGCTTCCAGCTTTCCCCTTCTCCTTTCCTCTCTCCTCTCTCCTCAGCAACCCCTCTTAATCATTTCAATCTTCGAAATGCCAAGCTCCTAGGGCCGTAGGGCCTCTCTTTCGTTGGCTGGGAATCATGGAGGATCGGAGGATCCACAGGCCCTTCCGAAAATCATGCCAGGTGACAGGACACGGCTGGAGAAGTGAGGATGCGACGTCGAAAGACAGGGCCTTATTGGAGGTACTGTGCTGGTGGGTACATCAATTGCCACTTATGCACAATTTGCTGTCTTGGTGCATGGTGCAATGTGAGCGGAGTTGATCAGTCCGATCAGTCCGCAAAGACTGTCCTGGGTTTGTTGCTACGAGTCAGAGTGGCTCCTTTCAATTTCTGACCGAGTCATGAGGATTTTACTGACATTTATAGTTCGACAATAGTGGCAGAAACCCGAACATGGCCCGATAATCTGGCCTGAGACATAAGAGACTATCTGAAGCGGAACCCAGAATCCCAGGATCCGTCCATTTGAATTAGGCATAAGGGCCCCTAGAAATTCGGGCAAAGGGATCAGATAAGGCGCCCCTGTCGTACTTGATTGGCCCGTGTTAATAGTTCACGGGGTGATTTGGCGCCTACCACCCACTAACGTATGCGAGTTCCAAGCTAGTGTGGGATGTAACCACGGATAAAACGCAATTTCTCTTGCTGCCTTTCCCTCATTTGCGCCTTGAAATGTGTTATGATCTAGCCGACACCCTAGCCGAGTCCGGTGCAATAATCCCGCTTAAACCTAGACAGGTATCCCAATTCTGTCCTACGGGCTCCGATCATGCAACAGTTGAAGAGAAGCAACCCATTTTGAATCCCTACTCGATTGAGACACGGATGGAATGGTTGGGGAATTTGCCAAGGAAGCTTTTCCGCGGGCACACGAAAACCCAGGGCCCACCCGGAACAGGAGGCACCCATTCGCCCTGTAGGGCTGGATTTCTTGTCGGAAGACGGCCCACCAAGGCTTAGGCCAGCCCACTCGAAGTGGTAAGTATGGTGGTGCCGGCAAACCGCGCAAAATATCCCTCACCCCCCCGACATGGCTCGTTGGCACGTTTGGCGGTGATACTTAAGGATTGTCGGGCCCGCGATCTTATCTGATGCCACATATCTCATCTGATAATTTTTCGCACCTTGTCTTATTCAGCACTGCCGTCTGGTGTGGAAATGGCCGCCGACACCAAACATGCTGTCGACAAGGAGGATGTCTACCCGGTAGAAAACTCCGACCGAGGTGAGATTGATTTTTTTCTCGTAATTCCCTCCCCCGGACGGTCGCTGTTAACAACTACAAGCTGAGGTAGATTCCCAGACCGACGTACTACGGGCGGCAGGCATCGGCATCCACGAAGATGATCCCACCGAGCCCATCCTAACGCTGAGGATGTGGATTCTTGGCATCGGATTTTGCATCGTGGCCAGTGGGCTGAACACCTTGTATACTCTTCGGAAACCATCCATCACAATCTCTTCTTCCGTGACCTTGCTGCTGGCCTACCCGCTCGGGAAGCTGTGGGAAAAGACGATCCCGAGCTGGAATGTTAACCTCGGCGTGTGGAAGTTCAATCTGAACCCGGGTCCTTTCAATCAAAAGGCAAGCCATATTTCCCGCAGTTTCTTCAATTGATCAGTGCTAATCGGTATCCGACTCCAGGAACACGTCTTAGTTTACATTATGTCCAATCTCAGTATCTACGTCCGATTAGGCGCAGACGTCTTGACTGAACAACAAATGTTTTATGGATACGCAGCGGGATGGGGCTTCCAGATCCTGATCACTTTGGGCACATTCTTGGTTGGGTTCTGTTTGGCCGGATTCTTCCGATCGGTGGTTGTGACGCCTCGGGAGCTTCTCTGGCCCGGCGTGTTGAGTACAACATCGCTGACGACCACGTTGCATAATATTGGTCAAGGGGATCTGCAGGCAGTGTAAGTCACTATACCTCCTTTTTAGGTTGTGACTAATGGGAGTAGTAAGGATACGTGGAAAATGTCTCGTTATGCATTCTTTAGTTTGGCCTTCTGCATCTCCTTCTGCTGGTACTGGCTTCCGGATTTCATCTTCCCGGCACTGAGCTACTTCACCTTTCCGTGCTGGATCAATCCGAAGAGCACTGTGGTCAACCAACTGTTTGGAATGGAGAGTGGCATGGGCTTATTACCTATCACGTTTGACTGCAAGTACCGCCCGCTACGTGCCATGCTTATGCTCATATCTGCTAGGGAGTCAAATATCTTATGTCGGCTCACCGCTCCTGATTCCGTCCTGGGCAATTCTAAATGTATTTGCTGCACTGGTCTTCTGGATCTGGATCGTGGCTGTTGCGTGTTATTATCGTAACGTGTGGTATACAGGCTACTTGCCCTTTCAGAGCTCCTCAGGTATACTAGCTCGTGTTCTTTTTCAATGCCGCTATGTATTCTAACCATGTCATAACAGTGTATGATAATACGGGTGCTGTTTACAAAGCCTCCAAGGTGGTCAGCAAGGCGACCGGCTACAAGTTTGATCTTGCCAAGTACAAAGCTTATTCTCCGGTATGCTACTATCGATCCTTCTTCAAATCCTGCTAACCAGAGACATGAAGGTCTACATGCCTGTCACCTATGCATTGAATATGTTCGGTCTGTCCTTCGCTACCCTGAGCTCGCTCCTCGTCTGGGTCCTTCTCGAGAACCGCACCGATATAACTGCAGGCGCCCGTCGGATCCCCCAGGTAATGCGGAAATATTTTTCCAAAAGCAAGGACACAGAAGAGAACCCCGGGTACCGGGATGTTCCCGTCTCATGGTATCTTGTAGCGGCTGTAGTGGCATTGTTTCTCTGCATATTCTCGGTTGAGTATTGGCATGCTGAACTGCGGTGGTACGGAGTTCTGCTGGCATGTGCAGTTGCTCTGGTCTTCTACGGCCCGGTAGGTGTCCTTCAAGATTAACTGGAAGAAGACAAAACTATTTCCATCTGTTAGCTCGCCATCGTGTATGCGACCTCCAACTTGAAGATTAACATCGACATCTTTTGCCGAATTGTCGCCGGTTTCGTGTTCGAGGGCAAGGTTCTGGCCAATATCTGGTTCTTCGACATCGGCTACATCACCACCATCAAGGGTCTCTATTTTGCAGAGGATATGAAACTCTGTAACTATTGCAATGTATGCCGTACCATCATTTTCTCCATCCCCGAAGCTAACGAGTCCAGATTCCCCCACGCAAGGTATTCATTGTGCAATGCGTCGGGATGATATTCGGAACCCTCAGCTCCGTGTGCGTCTTGAACTGGAGTCTAGGCAATATTCGCGGAGTCTGCACGACCGAAGCTGTCAACAACTTTACCTGCCCCTTCTCGCGTACCAAATTCAACACCAGCCTTATCTGGGGCGCTATCGGGCCCCGAAACTACTTCAGTAATGATATCGGCTACAGCTCTCTCCTCTACTTCTTCATTATCGGTGCTATTCTCCCTATCCCGGTCTACATTCTCAAGCGCCGCTACCCCAACTCTCTCTGGCGCTGCGTTCATATCCCCCTGTTTCTGGGTGGGTTGAACTACCTGCCTCCAGCGACCGGCACCAGCTACGGCAGCTGGGCGCTCGTGGGCCTGACTTTCGGCTATCTTCTCCGCAGACGGGTACATCAGTGGTGGTACAAATATAACTTCGTGTTGAGTTCCGCCCTAGACTCGTCGGTCTCTATCGCGGGCGTGGTAATCTTCTTTGCCATCTATTTCAGTGGAGCGTCAAAGCACTTTAGCTGGTGGGGGACCGAAGTTTACAAGGTGAGCTTATAGCTTGTGGAGATTGATGCGATAAGCTAACATGCGATAGAAAACGTGCGACTACGAGGGCTGCGCTTATTTTTCAGTGCCAGAGGGCGGCAAATTTGGTATCTGAGGTCCGCCGCGGTATATAGTCTGGCTGGTGATGACGGTGACTGTTGTTAATGTTGATGTGCCGGGATGGCCCTTGCCCGGCTGTGCTTTAGTCTAGATTGGATGTGGAGAATGACTAGAGTTATTGGGCGGTGGCTCCGCATACTGTAAATATTTCTGGTTGTGGTTGATAACAATGCTAGATTAGATTGACAACACAGCAGTATTTGCAGTATGGCGCACGGTAGGGTCCATAATACCATGAATACAATAATACCTTTGTGTTGAAACCTTCTCACCCTTACTATCACTTGATTGGTAACCGTCTCTTCATTTCTCCACTGGCCTTTGCGCTGGATATATATAACTGGCGGTGGATTGAAACTACTATAGAATCAGACGGAGCAGTTTTAGATCAGCAGGTTACAGGAGTAGTTTACATACTAGGTGAATCTGTCATCAGAATAGGAACATATAATGAACCCAGTAGATATATGTACAAACATGATTTATCATCTTCATCTGACAGCGTATGTGAAAAGTTTCAAAGAAATATACTAATACTCTACAGAGAGTACTATATGAAAAGCAGAAGAAGGATAAAAGGGAATAATCCAAGCTCTTGTTAGTCACAGATGATTTCAGTGATTTCCTTTCCGCAGGCGGTTGTGGTCGGTCGGAATCGGTCCAGGTTCTTTACCTGGTCGCGCGCTCTGCACGGCATTTCGGCCTCCTCAGCTGGATCAACTCAGGGTAGGTTTGTTAACCTGTAGGAACATGATATTGAGGCATGTGCAATGTGCATCATTCTCAATATATCCCTTACCAATATACTGAACCCTTCCCATACAGTTGGTAGGATGATGGATTGACCTCCACCTGATTTTATGAATGGTATCCATGGATCATGGTGGAAAGAAAAGAAAAAAGAAAAAGAAAAAAAAACAGGCGAAGTTAATAGGGCTCCTAGTGTCTCTGTTCTCTATGTCCTGTACCTCCTTTTGACATTTTGTAGACCTACCATATCCCGTTCTTTTAATCTGCTTGTGTTAGTTCTCCGCCTTGAAATGTGTGGGTGGGCTAGAATATGGTTTCAGGCCTTCTTGATATTTAGATCCCCATGTGTCTGACGCGACCCAATCATCGGTGGATTACTCAACTCGGCTTTTGGATTATGCGGAGGTAGGAGCATAAGGTGCCGGGTTCCCGTGAGATTTATTATTGCTATTCACTTCCGTGTTGTTATCATCTGCCAATGATGACTACAATCGACCATACACTGAGAACCCACCCCGAATCTGTATTCTACTTGAAGCTTGTTTTTATCCGCTGCATCGATAGCTCGTCCGATTGTCGTGCATCCCCCCGTCCTGGAAGAAATAGGGCTGACTAGTCCGTTGATTGTGGATATTGATGTCTCTCGGATGTCAAAGCGCTTTCATGATACGGAAGATCTTTTCCAAGAGTTCTACGAGGCCTATTTTGAGATATTTGGTCGGTCGGCCCCAGATCTCAAACGATCAGTGCTTGCCTATCGCGGGGCTCCTAATCGCGGCGGAGTGAAGGAACTGGCAGGTATCAGCATTTGGCGGGGGTGGTAACTAGCTGCGCTTGATGGAATCTGATGCCCAGAGCGTTGGCTGTGGATATGTCCTTCTGACCAAATGGTTTGCGGCTTGATTGATGGCAAGATGGTACTGCGATCAAGCCTTATTCTCTGGCCACGCACGTGGTCAGTACCTGGCAGGTTATGCGCCAAGATGAGATGATCCTGGTAGCGTCTGCCTTATGGGGTTGAGATCTGGTAGCCTTCGGAATGTACGTCACCAGTACCGTGACAGGTTGGGGCAAATCATGGTACCACGTGCATCAAGCAATGGCAGACCATGGTTCCGGATATAATGTTAAACGCGCTGGCACTGGCACACAGGCATATTTCGTCTTGTCCGGCAAAGATCAATGGTTTATGCTAGAATTCTCACGCGTGCCGGCTACAGTTCCCACTGGTTCTAGAAGGATGGGCTGATGGTGGATGGAAGACATTGGAAATGCGGTGATTCCCATTGACGGAACCCCTCACCACCTGCAGGGATGCTGCGGGTTTAATATCGAGGCAACCAATCCAGACCGCTTCTGAGAAGAGGCCCCACTGCTGGGGAATGTGGGTGCCGGCCTAGCTTTGACCAATCCCGACCCGCGAATGCGGGCACATGCTCAGCGCGATCGTCGCCAGGCGTCCCTGGCCTCGCTCGATTTCCCGAGCTGAGCTCTCCATCGCATCCATCGCTGACCTCCGGTCGCAGCTAGCCGAGCATGGATGGGCGCGCACCCGTCGGACTGTCCGAAGCCAATTGCTGTCCGGCCTATCTACACGTGTAATCTCGTGCCTTGCTTCGCTTGCCCTCGCCTCCAAGATAACGATGCCGGGACGCCCCGATATAAACCGCCCGCTGCCCTGCAGGTCGACCTCCACCTCTATCGGTCAGCCAAGATCGTCTTGTCAGCTGAAAGCACGCGACCATGAAGGGAACCGCCGCTTCCGCCTTGCTCGTCGCCCTCTCTGCCACCGCCATCCAGGCGCGTCCAGTGGTCGATGAACGGTATCCCTACACCGGGCCTGCCGTCCCGGTTGGTGATTGGGTCGATCCCACCGTCAATGGCAACGGGAAGGGTTTCCCTCGGTTGGTCGAGCCCCCGGCTGTCAAGCCCGCCACCGCCAACCCCCGGAACAATGTGAATGTCATTTCGCTGTCGTATCTCCCCACGGGTATGCACATTCATTATCAGACTCCCTTCGGACTCGGCAAGCTGCCCGCCGTCAAGTGGGGCGAGAACCCGAAGAACCTGACCAACATTGCGTTGGGTTACTCCCACACGTATGTATTCCCGAGTGAAAGGTTGACGCGATGCTGATTCATCCAGGTACGACCGCACGCCGTCCTGCTCGGAAGTCAAGGCCGTCACCCAGTGCAGTCAGTTCTTCCACGAGGTGGGCATCAACGATCTGGAGCCCGAGACCACCTACTACTATCAGATTCCTGCGGCCAATGGCACCACGGAGTCGGATGTCCTCACCTTCACCACCAGTCGTCCTGCTGGCCACCCCGGTCCGTTTAGCGTCGCAGTGCTGAATGACATGGGTTACACCAACGCAAAGGGCACCCACAAGCAGCTGCAAAAGGCGGCTCACGAGGGAGCGGCATTTGCCTGGCACGGTGGTGACATCAGTTACGCCGATGACTGGTACTCTGGTATCCTCCCCTGTGCGGACGACTGGCCCGTTTGCTACAACGGCACCAACTCCACCCTCCCGGGTGGTGGTCCTCTCCCGGCCGAATACAAGAAGCCCCTGCCCGCCGGCGAAGTCCCAGACCAGGGTGGCCCGCAGGGTGGTGACATGAGCGTGCTGTACGAGTCCAACTGGGATCTCTGGCAGAACTGGCTGAACAATGTCACCCTTAAGCTCCCGTACATGGTCCTGCCCGGTAACCACGAAGCGTCCTGCGCTGAGTTCGACGGTCCGGGTAACGTTCTGACTGCTTACCTGAACGACGACATCTCCAATGGCACTGCTCCCACCGACAACCTGACCTACTACAGTTGCCCGCCTTCCCAGAGGTATGCTTGATATCTGTCCAGCATTAGAAAATGCTAATCGTGCTAGAAACTTCACCGCGTACCAGCACCGCTTCCGCATGCCTGGTCCTGAGACCGGAGGTGTCGGTAACTTCTGGTACTCGTTCGACTACGGTCTGGCCCACTTCGTCTCGATCGACGGTGAGACCGACTTCGCCAACAGCCCCGAATGGAACTTCCAGGAGGATGTCAGCGGCAACGAGACCCTGCCCACTGAGACTGAGACCTTCGTCACCGACAGTGGTCCGTTCGGCAAGGTCAACGGCAGCGTCCACGATACCAAGGCCTATGAGCAGTGGCACTGGCTGAAGCAGGATCTGGCCAAGGTCGACCGCAGCAAGACCCCGTGGGTGTTTGTGATGAGCCACCGTCCCATGTACAGTTCTGCCTACGCCTCGTACCAGCTGCACGTTCGTGAGGCTTTTGAGGGTCTGCTGCTCCAGTACGGCGTGGATGCCTACTTCTCGGGGTAATTACCCTCTTCCTGGTGGCCTTTTCTTGTTTCCCCTCTAACAAAATATAGTCACATCCACTGGTACGAGCGTCTTTGGCCCCTAGGCCGCAACGGCACTATCGACACCTCCGCCATCGTCAACAACAACACCTACTACACCCACAACCACAAGTCGGTGACCCACATCATCAACGGCATGGCTGGTAACATCGAAAGCCACAGCGAGTTCAGCGACGGCGAGGGTCTGACCAACATTACCGCTTACCTGGACAAGGTCCACTACGGCTTCAGCAAGCTGACCATCTACAACGAGACCGCCGCGAAGTGGGAGTTGATCCGCGGCCAGGATGGGGGTGTTGGTGATGAGCTCACCCTTCTCAAGCCGCGTGCCTCGGGGGTTCCCAGCTTCCACCATTAAATAGCAGCATAATGAACAGATGAGCGAGTGGCGTCTGCCACGATGTGCAATGAGTATGATGGATGGATATGTTGGATGTAATTTACGACTGAGCAGACGTGTGTACATGATAAAAGTACTTGGTAGACTTAGTATATAATTAATTTACCTGAGAGATATCAGTTGCATACTTTGATCGCGATCAATCGGATAGTGGCATGTTAGCAAGGGGTCTGTGTCGCAATCAGTCTGGATGTAGATACTATGATATAGAATTAACGGCTCGGATATATAAGGGAAGAAAGAACAAGGAAAAGGAAAAACAGCGCCAAAAAAAAGGAAGGAAAGGCCATTGGTCCACTTGGCACAGACAGTGACAAAATCCCAGAAGCGCACGAGAGAGATAACTAGGAGTAAAGAGTTAGGTACAACCTACGGTAGTAGGTGGGTGTTCCATGACTGCCTCATACTCCGAACCCGAATTAAAACTTGGTCCGGAGGACGCCGCGGGCTCACATAATGTCTTGTACGGAGTATGGGGTACTGAATACCCTCAGCGACATTTCTATGTCTTCCGCTTCTTTCAGAACACATAGATTCGATGGCATTCAAAGGCAAACGCAGTGCCTGGCCATAACAATGAAAAGTCGAGAGATCGCGTTGCTGTGCTGGAAATAGGCGGAATTCTCCACCCCACTGAATAGTCGCAATTACAAGTAGTGGATGTTCAATAGTCGCACGGATATACCCAAATCCCCTTCGGGACACTCGACAAACAATCTCTGGGCACTGCTTTGAGATCGCTGATATATATAAAGGCCGGTACTCAGCCACGCCAGGAAGGGGCGTGCCGGTAACAATGCGAGATCGGACGGACATTTCCCGGTAGATCGTCACCTCCACTGTCTGACGCTTTGGGTCGGGTTGAGCATGGAACGGGGGTTGGCTATAAGAGGGCGCTACTTGATCTAATCATTATATGTTTACTCATTCATTCACGAGGTTGGTCTCTCCTTTATAACAAAGCTTGCTTTTCAACAGAGATAGACATCTAGACTTCCTGACCGAAAATAGATTTCATCAAGCAAGACAAGGAAGCCGAAGCATACGAGTACCCACGGAGTCTCTACGAGATCCAAGCAGAAGTGAGGACCGTTCTCCGAAACGCCCAAATCCCCTCCCTCGTGTGGGGTGACATGATGAAATAAATCCATGGATATACTCCATGCGTGTGGGTTCGTCATCTCCCACGTCCCATACCAAAATCCAGTTTACCAGAGTGAGAGATTCCAGGGCGGGAGGGACGACGAGTACAACCCCAAGGGAGCGTTTTGGAGCGACCGCGGCGGAGCGGGTGCATTCAGTCGTTGAAATGCCTTCGTGGTGCCTTGCCTGGTGCGTACATTGCGCGAGGTCCCAGTCACAACATCCTGAACAACAGACAGGTGCGCCAATGTGGAACTCAATACCAGGCAGAATTATCGACACGCTCAACGAATTGGAATCATGGAGCAACCGAGAGAGCAACTGGCCTGGCAAGAAAATTCACGCGACAGCCATCCGGCACCCTTGCCGGCACGGGAGAGTGGCCACCACCAGGAGATGGTAATCTAATTCTAGTACGCCGCCGGGCTGTCGCCGGTATTCTATCACCATACTAAACTTGCGCCAGTCCAACCCAGGCCTGGTAATACCATGACAGCCCGGACAGCAATGATTCCACAGCACCAGAAACAGCGTCCGATGTTCCATGGATGAGGCCAGCAGACACCACATGCCGATAAACCACGATAGGAGTAGGCTGGGACGGTAGGGAAACTTCTGCAAGAGATTCCGTTCAAGCGATGTCTCAGTTAGCTCATCGAGCTGAAGCTCCGCCAGGATGATAAGGAGAGCCGGATGGAAAGCAGCTGACGGACAAATCCGAGCAACACGGTGCCAGCTTCCGTTGGGATGGAGCTAGCCTCGGAATGACGGGGCGCAATGGAACTCGAGACAAGAATCAATGTGAAGCGAGCGCATCGGGTCGGAACGAGACAAATCTCTTGTCCCATTGAGTGGGGAGATCCGGAAGCTATGTAACCAGAAGGGAGTGGACAGCCTGGCCACCGAACATCCATCACTCGCTGCACCCGATACTGATACTGGGAGGCGAGATTTCGTCGGCCTACTCGTTCTAGAAGAAGGTAGGATGCAAGTGAAACAATGAAGGGTAAGAAAATTGAACAAGGAGCCGTTCATAACAAGGACGGCAATTAGACAAGCTAAGACCGGTTTAAACACGGCTGGAGTTTTCATCCTCCGCTATGTGCATAAGGCGAATTCAATGGAAGCAAAGATAATAAATTGCAAGTGAACTCCCCCCTCGCCCCCCCAGGTATACAGTGTATCCCAATAACTCACAATCTCGAAAATAGTACAAAGAGACTGCTTTGCGACAGCCTTTGTGTATCGGAACGAAACTTCATGATTTGAGTCAATACATCAAACCTGCCCATAGTCAAGAGAGACACAGAACATGCCGAATACACCAATAGCACCGGACTCCTGCACCAGGAACACCAAACAGCCAAGAAATAGCAATAGGTGTTGACGGTCACCCCAAAACCCCCAAGAACATTAAAACCCACATCCAGGCCCGTGAGGACGCATCCATTACCCACAGAGCACCTAAATAGAAAACATAAACCGACCCCAATAGATACGCACTCAGCATCAACCACCTAGTCTCCTTAGGCCCCAAAGACACCCCCAACGAAGGCCTCCACTCCACCCTCTCCACCACAGCCATAAAGCACCACCAGATCAGACACTGCACAGCCCGCAGAAACTGAAACCACGTCCTCCGAACCGGCGGCAGATACCTCCACCAGCTATCATCAAACCCCAACTCCAACAACCACTCCTCTTTTGTCATTTTGGTAAAGTCTACCGCATCATCCAACCCCAACATCAGCGTCTTCTTCTCCCACTCGTCCCATTTCATCGGGAGCAAGCCACCGGTCTGCTGCAACCACGTCCATACAGCGCGTGCATCTTCCTCACCCACAGCCTGGCCTCTGACCCCACAGAAATACAATTTGAAAATCATCTGATCCCTCATGGATAAGGTAGGCAAAACGCTCCCATTTAGGTCGTGAATCAGGGTAGCTTCCTTGGGAAATGCGCCCAAGTCAAGATGTGCAGGATGAGGAGCCGGTAAAGCAAATGTGTAAGTCAGGAATGTGAGAAGAACGCGATGCTTGCCATGCACGTATAGTAGTCCCTCTTTGTGTCGGGAGAAGACGTCGCTGCGCTTGCGGAGAAGTTCATTAGGGATCTTGTTGATATTGGTCTGCGAGCAGATCATGATTGATATCTTGGGGGTGTGAGCGGATGGGTATTTGTGTACGCCCTTGTTTGGATTGAGCTTCCAATCTGTATCGGGGAGGTCGCTGTGTTTGGTAAGGTCCGTAGTGATTAGGATGCGGATGTCGGCTAGGGTGGAGATCTGTTGGAGAATCAGGAAAATTTCAGAGATGAGGATGAGGAGGTGCGGACAGTGGGTGGGAGAAGGGCTGCTGGTGGTCTTGGGGATTGTGAGAGTGGGTTTAAGGCTAGGGTTGGGGGTGGGGGACATATAGAGGGGTGGGGGACATATATAGAGGGGTGGAGGGAGGCTTGATGGGGGTTATGGAAGTCATGGTGGAGGTCATTTTGGCTAGGTGCCGCACAGAAGTGGCGACCGTGGAATTCAAGATGGCAGCGACAGTAGAGATCATGCTGAAGTTGAGCAAAGATCTGGAACGCTTGAGCAGACACTGAGAAAGGGCGCGAAGCCAGGTCTTTATGTCCAATGCCTTGTGTGCCAGCCAGGAGCTTTCCACGGACCATCGGATCTTGCACGTTTCTCTGCAGGCTTACTCACTGCAGTCTCAGTGCCAACTAAAGAATATTCGAAGTCGAGAGATCTTTCGTTATTTACAGCGCTTATACTAAATTAGCTCAGGGATTACCCTGGTCTTTAGGTACCGGAATGGTTCCCGTTGAGGTAGATCCTATCCGCATAGTGCTTTCAGGCAAGCTCCAGAAATATGCGTAATAGTCAGGGGGCACGTTAGTAACCGATGTAGGTAGCTACATGTAATAAAGGGCCAATAGCGGCCATTATACTTGGTTAAAGTGTATCCATCAAAAGATAAGCACCTTCCATGTCGTGCCTGCTCTTGCCTGGAAAGATTCAAGACGGCATCACGGAAGTACCCTGTAAGCCCCATAGATCTGGCGGTACTTTCCTGCAACAACCATTGCTGGCAGATTCATTAGAATATCACTAAGCTACCATCTTAAAATGTGTGATAATCTGTATTTACCGCCCGGGTCTGGAATAATTATTGACATTCCAGTTCACAGGAAACCACTCAATATGCCGGTGGACTACGAATGCACTTTTTATGGCAATCGGGAACGCTCTACTCCTCTATCTTACGCCCTTGCTTCCGAAATTAGCGAGATTCTCAGAGACGCCCGGGTTCCCTGCTTGTTGATAGAGGATCTTATGTTCAGGGTTTTGGGGATTGACGGTTGCAATAAGGTTCGTACTGCAACTTCCCGTGCGGGTTGGTCGCTTTGTGCGCCTCTCGCCTATGCCTTTACAAGAATTTGGTAACAAAGCACAGCACCTGGACTTGGCGCTCGAAGATTCTCACTTGGACTACGCCATCGATATTCTCAGAGGAGAAGGCTTCGACGACAAGACGTACCCAAACTGCTCCACCCTCCTAGACGAGCTCGACAAGGCGGGTGAGGCCCATTTCCAGCCCGCTCATTGGTTTCATCTATGCGACAGGACCCCTTTACCTCGCAGAATCCCTCCTGATTCAATGGGCTCTGCCCACCCAGACGACGATGAAAAGGCTCACGTGGACCTTCGCCTATACCGGATGTCAGAATACTTCTGGGCCCTTCCGGAACTCCCCCCCGTCAGATCGCTGCTGACAACCGGGGATTACATCTGGACACACGACCACCGGCTGCCTGCTCATTACCTGGGAACTGATCCAAGTCAAAACTCGGGCTTATTTCCGCCTGATATACCTCCTGTCCTGATTCCCAGTCCGGCTCGTGTGATCGAGTCATTAATCCGCCTTAAAGCGCGGGATAGCAAACGCCCATGTCGTGGGAGGTTCTGGCACCTGAGACTTGCCTATTTCATGACGGTCGGAAGGAGTGAAATTGCTCCCGGGCGTGCTCCCCCAATCGGGGGTGCGTTGTATGAACCTGATGCTTTTGACGGTATGTTTCGCATTTGGTGGATATCTGAGGCGCAAGGGAAATGCATTCGATCCATAGAACTTCGCAGGCAGCTGGAAGCGATGTTGGAGAGCCATGATGTTTCTTCACTCGCACTTCCCCGACGGGCTAAATATGAGCTGTCAAAATCCCTTGTAGGCAGAGGATGACTTTGGGTGCTCTCGGCCTTATGTTCCTCTGGATATTACAGTTGAAACTTGTATTATTCAACATGTCGACCAGTCATGCGATGGTGGTATTACTTACGCCCTGGGAACCTGGGACAATACTGTCTGGTATCTTTAACTTTTGATTCTCAAACGACCCTGTACAGGGTGGCAATAGAATTTCCAACAATCAAATTAGTCCTACTATATGGCGCCAATGATCTTCAATAACTTGGAACCCTTCATTTGGTGTGTAGCAATTGAACATTGCCCTATTCTCAATAGATTAACCTTTCGACAAGAGTTCTTCAATTGTCTGCGACTCATGGATTATGATGTGAGATCTTGTTTTCGATACCCCCTTCTCCATTCCCAATCTCACAAGCCCCCGGCAAGATAACATTCCAAGAGAGCCTTTTTCATCCAGAATCTACCCCTCGACCACATGGAACTTACTTTTTCTTGCTCTTGAGTTCTTTACACTAACATTGTACACATTTGTCAATAGTAATATGGGGCTAACCTACGGCTTCTGCATACAGTTGGTTATTCCTACAGTTATATTCCTAGGATACAGATGGGTCAGTTGAATATATGAACACGATCGAGTAATATGGAGGATATCCAGGCTATGAAGCTCCCGGTACCTACACCCAAGCATTGCGTCTATCAATTGCTTATTTGAGACGGAATGGACTCTGACCCGTACAATTGGTGCTTGCAGGCACTTGCACCACTACCACAGGCATGTACGCTCATAATGGGTCTCACAGTATTCTATGTCAGTTGTAAATCATATCGGGGTAGTTATACTACATGTCGAGTCAATTAAGGGTCCAAGATAGCAAGTACCAAGTCCATGTGCGAAGAATCGAGACCGTAATAATTGATGTAGAACGGAGGAATGAAGATACGATTATGCCAGCCAAGGACGTGCCTTGAGGTTTATATATTTATATTATAGGAAGCCACGAAAAATACGTACGATGTTCCTTGATGTAAAAATGTAGCTGAAGCCATTTATATCGCTTGCCAAACATAAATCTCCACCCCCGACCCCCCCCCCCACCCAAAACAATTCCCCACACCATCCTCACGGATCAACCCCATAAACCCCCAAATCCTCCTCCATCCCCGGCAACGTAAAAACCAAACTCTCCTCATTCCCAAACACCCTCAACTTCCTGACCCCCCTAAACTCCAACCCGATCTTCTCCAAAGTCTTCCGACTCGGCACATTGTGCGGGGAACAAAACCCAAACACCCCAGGCACGCCCGACTCGCGTTGCGCGTGCTCGATGAACCCTTTCGCGGCCTCCGTCGCATAGCCCTGTTTTTGGTGCTCGGGCAATATGCAGAAGCCGATATCTGGTGCGCCGTAGCCGTTTGGTGGCTCGCCTTGCATGAGGCTGACCGTGCCGATGGGGGTGCTTTCGTCTAGTGAGGCGTCGGGGTGGGGCTTTAGGTGCACGAGCATCATGCCGATCCGTCGGGTGTAAAGCGGAATGATACGGTTTTCGAGGAATTTCCGTGCGGAGTCGGAGTCCGTAATTGAGGTTTTGCCGTTGGTGGCGAGGTATTCGGGGGTGTTCCAGAGGTGGGCGAGGAAGGCGGGGTGGGCGGGGTTGGTGGGTATGAAGTAGGAGATGTGGAGGCGGGGGGTGGGGATGGTGAAGTCCGGCGACATGTGGATTGGGGAGGTAGAGGTAGACATGGTGGTGGTTGGGTGGGCGTTGTATGTTTTTGGAAAGTACGGTATGTTGCGGACGGGTTTATATGGGAAAAGTGGCCATGCTAGCGAGGCTTAGCTAGTTGATTGACTCATCGCATTTATTGAATGACTCGAACTTTTAATGAATATTATGTGAGATTTTATTTAGTGTCGCCACTAGTGCCATGGAATAGGTGCAAATCACTTAGTCTCTGTTGATGGCCGGAACAATATTTCGCTCGCGTGCAAAATACACTGGCGCAGACTTCGGCGGAATGTAAGCTTTCTGAGGGCTCCCACGGCAACCGTTTCCTTCTCTTATGGCCTCTTGTGCCTACCTGAAATCGGTTGAATGTCTCATATTTTTGGAGGCAGTATTTTCAAGAATGGATGGGCTTGGGTCGCAGCAAACAAGTGGCTTCGAAGTTTGCTGCAGGCTTATCTCCGAGGCAGACTAAGCTCAGCGGCGTCGAGCGTCTCGGGAAACGGGCAGGCATGCCTGAAAGGCTGAAACTCGGGTGTCACCAGCCCCGCAAGAGAGTGGCCCCGGTGTGGTCAAGACTTCGATCAGACCCTCAATGCAAGTCGTTGGTTGCTTGTCTTTCACTCACATGGAGAGAAGCGGACCCCGAGCACAACCGCCCCAAATCCAGTATTTGATAGTGGAAGGATCGTTATCACACACTCATTGCTCGGCAGTAGTGGCTTGGCAGACGGCTACATGTGAGTCATTCCGATCCTTCGATAAGCGCCGACGGTGATAGCTCCACTCCCCCTGTAGGGGCATACGTTGCAGCCCAGAAGTTGTTCATGTTTGTCACTATCGCGTCTGAGTAGACCTGGGATGCTGTTCCAGTCCTCCACTCATACAACTGTCTCCCCACGATCGACAATGTGGGATTCCCCGAGGGCCGCCTTCAGCACCAGAACCAATTCGTCAATGGTCGACAAAAACTTGAGGTACGAGGTAATCGCAACACAGTATTCGCGGTAGCTTTTATTACGCACCGTTATCCTGCTCAGATTGACGGTTTGATGCTGCTGCTTCCATGTCTCGTAGCACCGCTTGACCAACGGCGTGGGTAACCGTTCCGGCAGCGCAGCTCCACCCATTAGTGCCTGTTCGATCACCCCCAGTATGGCCATGACGTCTCCAACTGTATAGTCGTCCGTGAGTCCCACTGTTCTTATCAGCCGCTCCTGGAACTCCAGCGGCAGCGTCGCCGACAGAGTGAGCAGACGGCCTAGCGCCTGATTCATGTCGCCTAACAATGTCCGTGTCCGATCAAGTGTTTTACGATGAAACGGGCCAAAGCTCATTTCCCATCGGAGAAGCCCAATCGGCGCCTCAAGAGATAGGAGTGTTTCAGCCATTTCCAGGGTGATCCTCTCGGCTACAGTGCCGACGGGGTGGTCAGGGTCAGCCCTGGCCCAATGTGACAATATCAGAGCATAGTGATCCGATAATGTGCGAACGGCATTGGAGAGCGTCTGGCAGACATGGCGCGTCGCAGAGGGTGGTCTTGGAAAGAGCTGAACGACTGTAGCCGCAAAAAAACCTAAGAGGACAGTAACCAGACGTTTCCAGAAAGCCGTGTCTCCGCGACCGGGAAGGCCATATTGCTGCGCATTGGCATCATCATAACTGAAGCCGATGACTAGAACGAATGTAGCACCACTCATGATGGCAGCCAGGGCCAGTGCTGGTGGCAGGAAGATCCTCCACCACATCAGCACCACTGTCATGGCCGCTGTGATGGCTCCCAATCCGTACGGATTGCCCGGGCCATGTCCGGAGCCGATATACCAAGCCACCATTCCCAGCACACCACCTACCACTGTACCGACCGCACGAGATACCAAAGAAACAGTAAAGTCGGCCGTGTAGACCAAGAGGGTGGTTTGCGCAGTGATAACCCCCCAGATTCCTTTCTCCCGGTAGTAGAATCCGGCGGTGTGGGGAAGTGCAGAAGGGATTGATGTGGCGATAGTCACCACCACCATGCGCAGCGCATACATGCCGGCAGGGTTAAAGAGCCATTTATAGATGGACATCAATGTACGGGTGGTACGGCAGCGCTGCGGTGTCCCGTATCCCCGACTGATCCGCAGGCGACGACCCGCTTCTCGGGTTTGTTCTTCGAGAACCTCTGGGTCTACCACAGTGTTGTTCTCAGCATATGACATTGGAGTAGGAGTGTTGCTACTCCAGAACCAAGTCAAGGCATATTGCAGCCGAGAAGGGATCCAAATACGGGTTTCAGACCGATGGGAAAGCAGCCACGCGATGTCATCTATCAGGGTCTGCGTTGCGTCGGCCACCGCCAAAATGCGCTCTTCAATCACCATACCTATGATCATCCCACGCAACGCATGCGCACCTCTCCCGTCTCCACTCTTACATTCCCCATAATCATCGAACATCTCTGCATGGTTGTTGATCAATGCTTCTGTAGTAGGGGTGAGACTAGAGAATCGAATTCTCCAGAGCGTCTGCCCCGAGACTTGGGCTCGGACAAGCTGGTCGTATATCTGTATAAATGAGGGTTCACAAACCCAACGCTGAGAGTTCAGGGTGCTGATGGTATCGACGATCGTATCAATTGCCGCCGAGCACGCCTGTAGGATTGGGATGGTTGACTGCCTCAGTGCATCCAGCGTGCGCGCACGGATAGCGGTTTCCTCAGCACTCTGGAAGGCATCCATCAGCTGGGCACTTTGCTGCAGTTGATGGCGACCAATGGCACGGTCTCTCTTTTCCGCCAGATTAGTATCAGCAGTAGGTGCCCTAGTTGGCGAAAGCCGTTGCATGTTCTGGTCGCCATGTATCCGAGCTATATGATAGTCTAACAACGACAGCTCTGCCATGAGTGTTTTTCGTAAAGGCTCCTGTAGACGTTCGACATCGGCGGCATTCCAACGACCCCTAGAGAAGTTCAGAGGGAGAAACGCTAACAGCGGCTCGAGGGCCTTGGCGGCTCCAATGGACTTACCCCTTGTCTCAAGAAGTTGTTCCAGGTTTAGGTCTTTGTAGTTGAGCAGTGATTCAGTATATTTTAGAGATATCTGACCGAAACGGAGGACCTCTTCCATCTTCGAGAAGACGGCGTAGGATGTGGATTGCGGAAAGAACAGGAGACAGCAGATCGTACCCAGTCCAACACCAATGGCGCCGGGCGCGACTAACACTCTGGGCAGAAGTGCGGTGAATGACGGCAATGATGGACCAAAGAGCAGGAAAAGGTCCGAAATGATGATGCTGAAGATCTGGGCTAATGCAAATTTGTTGTTTGTGGCCCGGAGACGCGACACGGCGTAGATGAAGACACAGATCATGACATAGAAGACGACCGTGACTCGAGCATCGAGCATGAATCCATCATGTATGAGCTGCTGTGTCACGGTGGCAGAGCTTTGACCGGACCGTTGGACCTCAGTCACCACCTCCTGCTGCAATTGCCGGAGACGAGCCTGGGTTTGAGGGGCTGGGCGAGCAGCCAGAGCCGCCTTCATAGTAAGCAGACCCCAAGCCCAGCCCAGACACATCCCAGCGAGAAGCGACAAAGCTGCAAGTAGGTATAGAAACAGAATTCCCGCCGGGGGTGCAATGTAGAGCACCAGAGCGCCGAAGAAAGTGGCGATGCCGATTTGCTGCAGTGCGGGGCCGATGAAAATCAATATCGTTGCAACCCATGTTGCAGTCCAACAACGAAAAAGCACCTTCAGATCGCGTAGATTGAAATGGTTCAGCCAAGCAGGCAAGGCGATTCGAGGCCGTTCCGACGCATCGCCTCCCGGCAGATCGATAGAGGATCCCCGTCGGTTTGTCATTGTTGGAGTTTCGTAATAGTTGCAGCTAGTATTGCCTGTCGGGTGGAAGGAAGAGACTCTAGGGGAGGCTCATGGTCAGCTCCACGCCAAAATTGGGCCATGGGGAGCCCTGGAACTCTGGGGACACGGGGCTCGAGACAACGTCATCCGGAAAGTTTGTCTCTCATCGCTGGAAATCGAGCACCATCAAGGATGGAACCTATCTCTGACAACCAGTAAATATTTGGAGACCCGCGTTTGATCTAATGGCCTTGAAACTGAGGGAATGGATGGAAGGATAGGAATGCCCCCCTTGCCAAGACCAAGGATATCAGACTAGAAGGCACGTGAGGATCCCCGGACAGTTTGTCCGTTCCCTTTGCATCATTGGCAGGCGTGAATCGGGCGTCAACTTTGCTGTATACTTTGCCGTACACAACCCCATATAGTATGAAGTAGCTTTCCATTAATAACGCGTCACATACAACCACAGCCTGCTCTACTTCTCGTCTTTGAAAATCCCCTTCTCAAATGCCATCTTCTTCACATCCTCGATCCACCCACCACAGCGATACAACGGCTTCGACGGATCCAAGCGTTTCCCACTAATGGTCACCTGGGCTGTAGGCGGCGGCACGACCTCACAGCACTCCTGCTCAAATCGGATCAAATCATCTTTAGCAATGGTCGCGATTTTCTTCTTCGAGCCTGGCACATGGCCCGGAATGGTTTCAGGATCGGGAGTGTCGCGGGGCGCATAAGTCATGCCCATCAGAATGGTGCCGACAACATGGTAGAGGCGACCGCGGATGGCCTGCGGGGCAGCGTCCGGGACGGTCTCGATGTAGATGGCGATGTGGTTCCGCTCGCCGATTTCTTCGGTGGTGTAGACGGGGTAGGACATTGTTTGGTAGATAACGTAGATGGGAGGGAGGTTGAGCGGTATGAGTAGGTTGCGCGGTGGTTGAGGTGATGGTGTCCGCAATATAAAGGTGATGAGAGTCTACGTCAATGCGTTGTCAATCACAGCCTTGCAGTTACCGGCAGTAGCACGGTCTTTCAGCCTTGCAGTGGCCTGCATTCACACACGGATCGGTAGGCCAACCAGACAACGGTAATGTGAACCCCCTGCATGCAACACCACAAATCATAGGTCAGGGTCCGAAAATTCACTGGCCACTAGTAGTTTCATTTGATCTGATTCAACGAGATAAACAAGGTATGTTCCTGAAATCTAACCTTGGGGTGCAGGGTGTGCATCATTTGACCAACTCTACTGTCTATGTCCAATACCAAGAAACGTGCACTCTACGAGCCAGCCCCCATCAAGGCATCGAGCCTCCCCTTGGCCAGCGCATAAACCGTCTCCAAGCGGGGCATGAGCACCCCGTATCTCCTGCCCAGCCGCACCGCATTGCCTACAATAGCCTCGACCTCAAATGGCCTCCCCATGCGCACATCCTGCAGCATACTCATCTCCCTGCCAGTTCCCTCTCGGGCCCGTCTTTCCGCCAGGGATAACCTCTTCTTCGCCGCCTCCTCATCCACTCCTGCGATACCCACCACCCTCGCCAATGCCACAATCTCCATCATAATGCCCCAGGCCAGGTCATGGGCAAACGGCTCCGATGTCAACAAAAACCCACCATCCGTGCACAATGATAATGCACAGATCGGATTCCAAGCCGCATTGAGGATCAGCTTCGCCCACCTTGCCTCCTGTATATCCTCATACAGCACCGCATCTCCACCGCCCTGGATCATCAAATCTACAAACCTCTCCGCCTTGTGTTTGTGACTCTCCGGAGCCTGCGCCGGATATGTCCCCAGCTCCAAGAGATCTAGTGGCTCCGCGTGATCAATCACCCCTGCCTCCGTCTGAACGGTGGGCAGATAGACCACTCCGCTGATGATGGGGTTGGAGGGAAACGCGTCCGCAATATCCTTCTCGATGTCGATGCCGTTCTGCGCCAGGACGATCGCCGTATTCGGGCGGTTTTCGAGTACCGGTCGCAGTTGGTCTGCTAAGGAGGGAATTCTCCCCGGAAACACCTTGGTTGTAACGAGAACATAGTCGTATTCGATGTTTGGAGGACAGTCAAGGACGGAGCGGACGGTGTGGTCGGGGCGGTAGGTGACGGTGCCGAAGCGGGGGCTACGCAGGGTGAAGCCCGTGTGAGCGACGACGTCGTAGTTGGAGCGGCAAACGGCCGTAACGGTACAGCCGGCGCGTTGGAGTTGGTGCAAGTAGATGGCACCGACGCTGCCGACTCCGAAGACCAGAATGGCGGGGGAGGAGGAAGGGGAGGGGGATGTCATGATGGCAGGAGGGGTTGACATCCGAATGTTGGGAGCGTCGGAGCGGTTGGCGGCTTCGCCTAATCCACGTGGGGCGATCGGGCGGCATCGCGGGGGTGCTTTTTGCCGGATAGAAGAGAGTCAATTGACCTGTTGGAACTTGAAAGGCATTACGAGGAGTCTACGGTCATATTCGACGATGAAGTCGTATAGTCTGACTTTATGTCCAGGCATTGGCAACAATATACAGTTGTGTGCGGAGGCAAGATATATTTCTGCACCACAACGTTCTGAGAAAACCCGCCCTCTTCAAAAGCGAACCCTCCTCTCGTTATCACCTAGCGACGTGTGGATTTTGCGCTAGATCTTCGCTTCAGACTTGAGATGCTTCTCAAAGAAATCAGCTAGCTGATTGTATCTGTACCATGTTTAGTTGAAGCTTCTCCCAAAATCGACAGTACTTACTCCCGTTTATACTCTGCCGAGCCCTCCTCCACTGTGAGGTTGGCACGGGCACCCATCCAGCCATGCCACATGGTAGTGTAGGTCTCAACGTGTCCGCCAATGCCATTGCTGGCAATAATCTCCGAGTACGCCTTGACGGCGTCGACCGGTTCATCCTTGGATGCGAGGACGATATGCGGAATGGTGAGCTTCCGGGCCTCCTCGACATCCATCAACCTATCGATATCAGCAGCGATCTCTGAAAAGCCATTGCACGAATCCTACCCGGGGTGAACCTGCGCAGATGCTAGGAAGGGGGAGTCGAGGCCCGAGATTTGAACGGTAACCTGTGAAGTGTCAACACTGCCTAATGGCTAACAAAAGCAAGAGTCGCGCATGCCTTTCCACCCCAACACAAACCAAAGCCAGCCCAGCCCTTCACCGATGAGAACCGGGGCGTAGATTCGGCAATGACTTTCTTCAGGATCTCGACCTTTTCCGGGATGGATGCGTGAGTGTTAATAAAACCCCACAGCTTCTTGTTCTTCTCTTCCGTGTCCGGGGGAAACCACTCAGCTGCAGCACCCCCACCGTTGAAGAAGTCCGGGACCAACACAACTGAATTGAGGCGGGCAGCGAGCAGGTCGGCTCCTTGGAGGGTCTGGCTGGAGATACCGAAGATGTCATAAACATCAATAATGCCAATGCTGGCGTTGGTCGGCCCGGCGATGTCTTGCGCATAGGTGAGCTACATTGACATGTCAACAGCACTTCGGTAGGGTTCACTTACAAGTCTTCACACCACCAAATTCCGAGTAGGTGCCCTTGGGGGTGTATGCCTCGGTGATGACCGGGGGAATGGTACGGCAGTTTCTTACGACAGCTATACCTCATTGCTGACTCACAGGTAAAGAAACATATGCCCTCCTGGCTTCTATTCTCAGCAGGCACCTCGGCCTATGGCACTCAAGTCATTGAACACCTTCACATAAGAGTATCAAGTTCGCATCACTGCTTTGTTTCAATCTCTCGCTGAAAGCTGCTAACGCTATATTTCAAAACAGAATCATCACATCCTCCCAAGGAATGGCCCTGACCGAAAGCCACAGCCTCTGGGCAACCATCCAATCCAAAATGAACCCCAGCTCCTGGACTCTGTGTGTGCACGATCCATACAAACAATACAAGTCTCTCACCAAATTCCTCCGCAGCATCGGTCGACCCGAGGATCCCCACGAATGGAACTTTACAGAAGCCCAAGCGAAAGGTTCTCGAGGGCATAGGCGGAGAGGAGCTGAAATACCGGGTATCCAGAACGAACGACTCGAAAGCAGCTCAAATTTCCCGGGCGGATCAGCTCCTCACTGAGCTGAGCAAATGCGGTCAACTGCACAGCCGGATAAAGCCCAAGGCTGCCTTTGCGATTATCGAGAAACACGCGGACGATGTGGCTTCCTTTACCTTGATGCTGCCGCCTTGGAATATCTTGTATGATCAGATGACTCGGCCGCCCTTTAATGATGATTATCTTCCGATCATTTGTTATGAACCGCTTTGTTGGGTGCTGGGGTCGCTTTATCGCGAGTATATGAAACGGCAAAAGAGGTTTAAGTTCCCGGTGGCTCGGGTTACCATTGCTCGGTCGCTTCGGGGTCGCAGGAGTCGTTCGGTTGATTGTTGTTGTTGATGTCGGTTGCCTGATTTTCCGGGCGCTTTCGGTACTATTTGTCGGCCACTGCTATAGGCCATTCAACAGGACTTCCAGTGCTCTATTATCGATAATGTGCCTTTTGCAAGAGATCCTCGAAGCCAAGTCATAGCGCGACACTCGGGCGTTATCTACATGGTAAGAGGTCATGCTGTTAAAGATGTTACCACTCTACACCTAATGAGACGGACTTAATTCACAAGAAAGCATTACAAGACTCCCGAAACCTCAAACTGCTTCGCATTGTGGAGATCTACCATAATAGTAATCAATCTCGCAGACTTAGACAATCCAACCCTAGCGACAGAAAGCTCAACCCTCCAATAACCGAGTCAGGGACCAAGACTTGTGCAATCAGCCTTCACAAGCATGACCATAATTGGTAGAAGACAGAGGGAACCGACGAGTGACATGACTTTGAACATGGCCATCCAGCTATCCCCGTAAGCTAGCAACCATATATAGACCACAACCCAGCCCCTCCTCCACCAAACACTCACTGACCCCCCATCTCAGCACAAATATAGTTCCTCGTCACCGTAACCATCGCATTACTATCACAAGGCGACGGACACACAAAATTCTCCTCATTAACAGCCCTGCACGCCAAAACAGGTCCGTTCTGCAGCATTGCCACAGCAGGGGGCCCAGCGTGACTCATAATATCGGGTCGTCTGGCGCAGCCTTCGAAGGTGACTTGCGGCTGGCCTGGGATCTGGGCAGTCACATCGCATAGTCCGTAGTCGGTGTAGGAGTTGACGAGGCCGAGATCAATGCCGGAGCAGGGAGATTGGTTGTCGAACCAGACGAACCAGTTGGGACCGCGCATGTTGGTTCCGCAGCCTTCGATGGTGCCGATGTGGAGCTGAGTGCGTTGTTGTTCGTCGGATTGGGCGGCGGTGAGGGTGGCGCCTAGAATGGCGAGGATTTGGGTGAGGTGCATGGTTGCGGTGGTGGTGTTTGTGCGATTGGGGAAGGGTGTTTGATGGCTTTTAGATTTGTATGAAGATGTGGAGCTAGGGGGTGATCTTGTGAAGGTGCGGGTTGGAGTTGACTGGGGCCGAGTGCGGTCTTTATATATGCTTACATTCGAGGTTCGATGAAAGTGGGCAACCTGAGGAATGGTGTTATTTCTGTTCACTATTTTGGGTGTCCGACACGTTGTGAGTCAAGCTGCATTGAGATGACCGGTAGCATACTGGCCTCAAGACATAGGTCCAGTGGTGGCCTTGCAGTTGCTGAGTGTATATTGTCGCCCAGGTCATACTGATATGCTGTGCCGATTTTGTATCAACAGCAGGTCTATCCATGGGAGGGATAGGATAGACTTGCCTTACAATTCTCGTGCGCAACCTATCGAGTCAAAGTCATAATTCGAGCATATGCTGACAACCTTTCGATCACAACGCAAGTCCAAGGAATGGGAAATAGTAAACAGTGACCGTTCTTTGCTAAGCTGACAGATGTACCAATTGACCGATGGCTGCCATTTTACCATGTTTCCTTGGACAAATAGTGTTCCACATGGGAAGTTGCAATTGACTCAAAATCTGAAAATAGACAATCAATAGTAGGTGTCGTGCCTCCTACCCGGGAATGGGCATTGTGTGTAGGCGTCTAGTCCATAGCATCGCTGGATACTAAGCGCCGGATGGTCCCGATGACAGTGACAAAACAGGTAAGCACCTTGTACAGAAGTATATAGGCTCGAAAGAAAGTCGCTAAATTTAGGTAATCTGACGCATCTGTACTTCGGTGCAACAACCTTCTTTGTGCGTTGGGAGCTCATGCTACTGGTGTTTGCCTATTTGACCTACCTTGTGTCGCAACTGCTAGTGCGGGGTGATGACACGCATCGAGTCACCATCACCCATCTCAATGTAGTACAGGAATAGTCCAGACAACAGTAGGACTGCTTACTTCGGGGAGACCATAAACTCAGGTTGATTCAACTGTGCAATTACTGACAACCTAGTACTTCAGAACGAAACCAAGTAACCGGCCAAGACATCACACATTATAAACCGACATAGCAGGACACATACCCACCAACTTATCCGACTGAAGACTAGGCAGGAACTTAGGCTCCTTACCTTCCTTCTCAGCGCCCATCGCCCGCCTCTCCACATCGGCAAAACCAAACTTTTTCCTCTGCTCCGGGGGCAGCTGATCATACACTCCTTTCGCATACTCAGGTGCAATGCAGTACACTTGTGCAAGATACTTGATCTGCACATCGATATTATCCACCAATTTCAGCAGCCGTGCTGTGTTGTCGTGTAGATGACGCCGAGCCTTGTCGTCCATCACACGGCGATACAGAACCCGCGGTTGATCGTACTCGGAAGGTTTGCCTTCGTGGTAGTAGTGCGACTTGCGACCGACAATATTGTCGGATACTTGGTATGGTGCTTCGGCGGTGTCGGGACGAAACTTGTGCACGAAGCTGTTTGGTACATACTGCGGGTTCATGGCGTGGTTGGCGTCGACGCGCATTTGGCCGTCGAAGTTTAGACTCGAGTATGAGGATGCCATGAATGGGCAGTTGACTATTCACGTTAGTATTGGATCCGATGGGAATATTGGCTAGGTCCGCTTACCCGGTACCTGATGCAAGTTGACCCCGATGCGGTGGTACTGCGCGTCGCGATAGAAGAACATGCGGAATTGCAAGAGCGGATCCGGACTGTCTTCAATGCCGGGGACCATGCTTCCAGGCGAGAAGGCAGCTTGTTCCACGTCGCGGTGGAAGTTCTCCGGATTCTTGTTCAACACCAATCTGCCGAATTCATGCAACTGGTACCAGTTAGCTGGACCCAATCTGAGGTGGATGGTTGATAACAAACCGGAAACTGGTCCTTCGGCCAGACTTTGGTCACGTCAAATGGATCGAACCCCAGCTTCACTGGATCGGCTTCCTCCGGCTTCATGATCTGGACGTTAGTAGTCCAGGTGATTTCCTCGCCTTTCTCAATGGCCTGCCATAGGTCACGCTTCGACCAGTCGGGGTCTTCACCACCATACTTCAAGGCTTCGTCTGCGTTGAACTGTTTCTGGCCGTGGTTGGCGATGAAATGGTACTTGATGTAGACGAATTCGCCGTTGGTGTTGACCCTGTCTATGTCAGTCGAGCTATCTTCCGTGCGACTAGGCTAACCTACCATCGGAAGGTATGGCAGCCATATCCGTGGTTGTTTCTCCAGCCCATTGGTGTGCCATGGTCCGAGAAGAACATCATGCCAGCGTGATTGCTGTAGCAGTCAGCCTCCACAAGTCTACACCATCAGAAGAAGTGAATCGACATACCCCTCTGGAGTATTCCCAAGGAGGTCAAACAGAGCAGTATGATCGAGCAAGAAATTCTGAGGATTGCGGTACTGAGAACGAATGACATCTGGGCCTTGAATTGGGTCACGACAGAAGAAGACCGGCTTTTCTGCATTAGCTTCCTTCACCAACAAGTAAGAGGCATCTTACGAAGTTTAATCCGACAATGTCATAATTTCCTTCACCCGTGTAGAACTTAATCGCGAAACCGCGAGGGTTCCTCGCCAGATCTGGGAACTCGCGACCCAGAGTAACGGTTGAGAATCGTACGAAGACAGGAGTTTTGATACCGGTAGATCGCAGAAAATTTGCCTGGGTGGTTAGACTTCCTGTGGTCTATTCACTAACAAAGTACTTACTTTGCTAAGGGAGGAGACATCCTTGGTGGTCTCAAAATATCCAAATGCCCCGCTACCGCCTACATTTTATTAGCAATCTTTAGGAGTGGGAAATGGTATTCTAACAAGGATGAACCATTCGCTCCAGATTCTTGGAGCGGTTGAATGTCTGTTGCTTCTGGAGAAGGAAAGGGTCGGATATCACGGGAATGCCGCCCACGGTCTTGCTGTGTGCGGGGTCGGGGAAGGGAATGGCTTCGTTGTTGGTGAAGTAAGGACCGTCATCTGCTCGCTTGCCAGCGCTCTGTACGCCTGTTATTTTAGCTGCTGTCCTGGCCGGGCCCTCATTGGCGCCCTGGAAAAGCGAAGACAGCTGTGAAGAAATGGGGTCCGTCATTGTTGCTGGTGTGTTACACTCTGATTGAATGCATGAGGCTAAGGTGGTGGGCAGGGGTGTCAATCCCAACTACGCCGAACTTATACCATCTGATGGAGTCGCAATTGGACTCTGGCTCAGGACGGAAGCCACAGCAACGCATCCCACTTGAAACTTGGATGGTCGATGTCATGCCACAGTTGAAGATAGATCGGCCAATCAAACTGGCCGGTATATAATCGTCATTGTGATCAAGCATGATCATTGGATCCCCGGATTCAGCTCATTTAGATATTGGACGTTTCAAGAAAGGCTAAGGCAGGTCACTATGGCTTTTAGTGGTTCCACGGATGCGTCCATCAAACCAAACTCTCTGCTACATTCTAGAGCCCGGTCTCAACAGCCCGATACTATACGTATCCCTGACGTCCTCGACAACAGTCCATGACAAAATATGATTCAATCGCTAATTACTCGGTATACAGACTAAATACATTGCCTTATGCACTGGCATTCCAGTCAACAATAGCATCCTCGCCCACCTTCTCTCTGATGATCCTATGGCTGAGCTCCCACAGGGCAGCGCCTAATGAAGGGTCCGAGGCCTGAGCAGACTCTTTTCCGGGCTTTGCAGGGTCGTTGAAGTAGTAGCCATTCCAGCCTTTCTCTTCAATTTCCGGACTGGTTGCCGCATAGAGTGCGCTGAATGATCCATGCTCGACTGTCCGTCCAGCGGCCAGCATCACGGTCGTCAGAAGCTTGCCCAGAAGACCTGGATACGCATCCTTCCACTGCTGCTGCATTGCCGTGTTTACCTACAATATCGTTAGCTGGACTGTCCCCAATGTAGTCCCACCAGACACGACAATGGACTTACCGCGCCAGGATGCACCGAAAGTGCATAGATATCATCCTTGTTCGGCTTGATCACCCGATCCAACAAGCCGTACTTCACACCCAGAATAATAGCCAACTTAGTCCGTCCGTAGAGCTCCAGGTTGCCGACTTCCGGGTTGTTGATCTCTTCCAGAGTCGCAAAATGCACATTCTTCGGCGCCATGCGATGCTGCTCGGACGTCTCAAACACGATCCGCGGCGCCGGGGTATCCGGCAACTTGGATGTCTTTCGTAGCAGCGGGTAGACCAAGTTCACGACATAGAACTGGCCCAGCCAGTTGACTTCGAAATGGCGATCGATCTGGTCGTGTGTCTCGCCGTATTGGTTTGCGTTGATTCCGGCTGAGAGGATCAACTAACACCACCTTATTAGCATTTTCCCGCTATTATTCGACTGAAGGAGACGAACCAGATCCAATCTCTCTTCCTTCTTCGTAAAATCTTCAAACACCTCCTTGATCTGCTTCAAGTTACCCATATCACAGGGGAACCATTCTATCTGCGCCTTCTCGCCCGCTTCCTTCTTGATTTGTTCGATCGCAGCTTGGCCTTGCTCTTCTTTGCGGTTGGTCATGTAGACTTTGGCGCCGTTGAGGACGAATGCGCGAGCGATCTCATACCTATGTTTCATTAGCTAGGACCGCTTCTCCGGCAAGGGAAAATAGTACCCTATACCCAGCGCACCGCCGGTGATGAGGGCGACGCGACCGGTGAGATCGTGGATCTCCTTATGGGGTCCGAGGACGGGTTGCAGAACTGATTGCATGTTGTTGCAGAAAATTATTTGGTATGTCTGGTAGGTACAGTGTCGATCAGGAGTGAGGTTGGGTCGAGGTTAATAAGGTTGCGGAGCGAGCTAATTGACTTTGCGGCGTAAGTATGATATCAGGATAGTGTCACCGGTGCCATGGCTGAGGGGAGCTGCCAAACAGGGACAAGCCTATGGTGTCACAACCTCAGTACATAGGAGAGAGGTCACTCTGAGGTATAATTAATGAGCTACGCTTCATTTTAGCCGCTGCAGCTGTTATCTTGCGACGGCTTCAAATTGGTTGAGGGTCGGATGATCACCGCGGGTCTATGGTAGCGTTTATGCTGCTGCATAACAAGGCACCGGATTCTGCTGACTAATTTGTTCTTCGTGGATAACTTTATGTCACATCTAATTTTAACTCAGGAATCTGGGATCTCCTACGTCACCGGTGGTAACCCACGGCTCCCCGAAGGTCATCCAGATTCCGTAGGGCTCGGACATCGAGTATCACTATCGGACAACAGTCAGACTTGGACTCTCTGATATCAATCAAAACTCCGACTCACTTAGAACTCTTTGCATATAATTTCATCACTACAATACACCCCAACCCACCATGTTCTCCCGCGCCCCTCCCCCAAACCACCGCCTAAAAGTCACCGCGGGGACATCCTACGCGCCAGAAACCCACCAAACCGTCACCGTAAACAGTCCCTCCCCTGTGCATCTCCAAAGCGACCACCTCTCCACCAACCTCTGGGTCCGTATCAAAGACTACACAGGCACGCATACCCCTCACCCAAACCCCTCCATCACCACCATCACCTCCACCCAACTAACAAAACACAACCAGGCTACCCAACCTCCTCCCCCCAAACCTCCCCCTACTTCACCCATCCCACATTCAGCACAAACCTCTACTCCCTGACCTTCACATTCACCCCAACACACAACATCAACGGCAACGACCTCCTCTTCGGCAATGACTTCGATCACCCGATTCGCTCGTACCTGCCCCCTGGGTTCAACACCGCGTTGAAGATTGTGAAATCGATGCTCGATCCGTCTCTCGATGGGGATGCGTATGCGGATAAACCGTATTTATATAGTCCGGGACTGGCGTCGTGGAATCAGTTTTCGGTTGGGGGGGTGAAAGATGAGAGTGATGATGGGCAGGTGGATGATGATTTGATAGTTCTGGAGGGGGGGACTGGGTCCGGTGGGGAGGTGCGAAAGGGGTGTGGGGTGCCGGATAGTGCGGCATCGAGGAAATCGTATTTTTTGGACGAGGCGAAGAGAAAGAGGTTTGTGTTTGAGGAGGGGAGGACATATGCGGCGGATTTTGGGAATGGGTATTTGGATTTCAATGGTATGTGTTACTTTTCCTTATGTAAGGGCTGGAGAATACTGATGGGTTAGCAGAATTTGCTATTCAAATTCCCGGGATTAGCTTTCATATTGGGAAGTATGTGAGCGAGAAGAATAATGTTCTTAGGTATGTTTTGAAGGACCGGGGGACGGGGGAGGTTTATTTGGTGGTTTGTTTTACGGTTGCTTTGGAGGGGGCGGATGGAGAAGATGGGGAGGGAGAGGATGACGAGGATGGTGAGGAGGGAAAAAGGGATGGGGAGGTAGATGACGTGGATTAAATGGTGGGAGGATCATTGCAGCATCGCCCTTCTTTGCACAATATAGAGACATCAAAGGAATCAGTTCGGAGTTCTATATGATCCTTGATCGATGTTGATTGATGGGTTTGATCTGTCGGAATAGATATTAATGTATTAGTATCGCAGTAGCACAGTGTTATCCCATATACATGTCTACAACTTATCCCATGATTGACATGGCCATCAAATGCAACGAACAAGTAGTCTATCCCTGCCGTATCGGATACGGCGCATACACAGGCTCTTGCAATGAGACCCGTGGACCCCACTTGTACGGATCATCTTTCAGCTGGGGAGACCCAGCCAGCGACAGCGCACTCAGAAATGCACCGGAGTAGAAAAGGGATGCAATGAATAGCCGAGCCTCCTGCGAACGGTACATATAGTCCACCTCGCTCTGGGTCCTGATAACCCGATAGGTAGAGTCGACATAGCCAGCTAGACTGGTCAGAGGTAATCCGAGGCAACAGATGATGAGGACTGCGAGAAGCGATCCTAGTGTCTAGATGATGTTAGAATAGGCCATGACCAACACATGGAAATATAAACCTACCCCCTTTCGTAGATGCGGTGCTTGGCGCAAGGCCATAATCATGCTAGCTGATGCTATCAGCATCGCAACCACTTCGAAAGCATACAATGCGGTGCGAAGGCCTCGTTCAGGGTTCAGCAGGCTATAGACGGTGTAATCCGGGTCAGAGCCGTAAAGTCCGTTCAAGATCGTAGTCTCGAGAGCCACGGCGGCGATGAGAAGAATTCCCAGCAGTGTAAGACATATCGAGTGAGTAACGAGGATCAATTTGTTGGCATTCCTGGCTTGCTGGTGAAGACGTCGGCAGATTGGAAGCAGGATTATCGCGAAGAGAGCGTACTCTCCCAAGCTATCAAGCCAATCGACCGAGATGGTGGTGCGATAAAAAATTGTCTGAGAAACGATTCCACATTCTGAGAGAGTCGTCATGACAATGGATATGGCCATTGCACTGAGCGGTTAGTGAAATTCGCCTTGTCGTAAGACAGTGGAGGCTTACATTATCATGAAATAGATAGAGACACCGAACAGGAGCCATCGCCTGAATGTGGTGCGCTTTGTTTTGCTGGTCAGAAAGCGCCGGACAGCAATACTGGACAATCCGCAAAATACGAGAAAATAGAAGCCGCGAAATGCGATGTCTATCTTCGATATATCGGAAGCGAAGGCGTCATTCTGGCTACAGGTAGAGCCAGCCGATGACCAGTAGCTGGAGTGGAAGTCGCTGCCACGTGGTGCCATGATTCTGATGAAGGGGCAAAACCGGTCACCATTTCGAGGTCAGGGGCAGGAGATGGTTTATATTTGTAGGGCAATCCCACCCCTGTTCATTGTTGTTCCTGGATGGAACAAGGCTGTGGAACAGTAGCAACGCCAACGTTGTGATTGGTCGGTCAGCCAGGGCCAGGTGGTAGCGCCAGGGAAATACGGGACCCTTGGATTACTAGGGGATTACATTTAACCTTCCAGTTTAATACGGATGATCCAAGCCCTGATTGGGGGAGATCTGATAGAACAGCCTTATGTGTGCAGCATCGGGCATCACGCGCGGTGACACAAACCGTCTGCTGACACGCTCTTACCCCCACACTCGGGTCGTCGGCACAACGGGCGCCTGGCCAGCCTTACCAGGCTGATTGCAACTGAGACATTTCATTTTCGAGGCATTTACTTCTCATACTCTCCCAAGGCCCAATCCAACAATTCCGGATACCACCGCCGCCCGACATCTTGATGGCTCATGACCCGGTGCACAAGGGTGCCCTCTCCAACATTCCCTCGGAACATGCGATTAAATGTGACCTCTGCATCCGACCTCACTTTTGCATCTTTGATTAGACCCCTGATATGGGCCGGGATTTCCAGCGAGATATTCTCCGCCGACAGATCCAGACTCATCCCTTGGAACACGGGGATCGAAAACCGGGGTCCGAGCGCCCGACCCTGCGCATCCACGAATTTCTCCGCGGCCAAACTAACGCGGTGAGTAGTGGCCGTGCACACCCCGCCCGTGATGGCCTCGAGCGCACGACCAATATTTACAACTAACGAGTCTTGCATTGGAGGAGCGGATATCCACTCGCCCGCTTTGTTCTGTACCTCGAGTCCTGTATGGGGCGTCGCCTGCAGCAGGAATGTCAAAAATTCGGAATCCTTGTGGGCTCCCACGCCCTGGGCCTCGGATGGCGTCGCGGGAGGCGGGTACTTGATCAACTTTAACTTCTGTTGCGTTGGGTTCTCGAAGAATTGCTGCAGCGCGGTCGGGGGAAGATCCAGAGCTTCTGCAATAAGTATCTTGAATGCCTCGGCAACCGGGCTCATCTCGGTCAGGTATGCCTCCACGGCGTGACGGAAGCCCGGGATGGCGGTTTCATCGGGCCACTGCTTTTTGTCAATATTTCGCGACATAGCCACGGTAACATGCAAATCACACCTGGTTTGGCCCCCTGATATTGCGATATAGAGGTGCATCCGGGGCCGGAGGGGGCAACTCTGTTGCAAACTGCCTGGGTCAGCTTTCGCGATTCTTGCCGAGGTTGGCGACGCACATCGAACTGCTCCCGATAATCGGTCTGACGGGCTGTGGTCTCCGCTCCGAGTCGGGAGTATCCCAGGAAGTGTTTACTGTTGACCATTTCGATTTCTACCTTTTTCTCCAGGGGCAGATCGAAAAGGCGAAAGGTCTTATCGATCAACTCGTCGCGCACCCGGGCCGCGATCGGGGCATTGACCAGGTAAAAGAAGCCCACATTGACCAGAGCATTTCGCAGGTCGGAGAGAAACGTCGGCTTGGTGTCCGGAGAGGAGGCCTGAGAGTAGTCTAATATGGGGATGGAGGTGAACGAAGCTGGATCGGAACTCATGATGAAGGTGCGGAGTATTGGTGATGAGGTGCCGGTCGACGCGGGGTGGTTTTATCCGAGGCGGTGGAGCGGGCTTGCGCCATTCACCCGCCCGCTGACACCTTATGGTTCAGCATATAGATATCAGGTCTACTTGGATGCTCCCTTGATGGAAGTTTTCTTCAAATTGCCATCTCGTTTTTGGAAGAATGTCTGTTGATACAGTAAGTGTTTGTGGTACTTGCACAATAAGTTACAGAAACACTCAGCAGTCCTCGAGATATATATAGTGGTAGGAAGTAGCACTCCAGACATAATAGTGCTTTAGAGCCGGTAGTTCCTGATATCTAGTACATGATGAGGCATACCAGTTAATTCAAACAATTCAAGACGCTTAAAGACACTGAATTATGTCTCTCAGGGATAAAACCGTGGAGCTTCCGGCTACAAAAACATAGGCTGAAGGCGTCTCCGGCATAACCCGTACAGAAGGCAGCAATAAACTTTCCTCCTGCACCCCGGATTATTACCATAAACGGACAGGTTGCCTGACTCCAAGAAGGTTGACCGCATGTCACACGTCACACGTTCTGGCCCTGCCTGGAATGGGTTTTCGATCACTCTATTCTTCTCGGCTGCTAAGGTCTCTCCACCTGGATACGAGGTCAGAACTTGGCGTGACATTGGCCGCACACGTCCTGGCATACTGCCGACATGCGAGGTGCGTGAAGAGTGAAGCAATGCTGATCCCGGCGGGATAGCCACTCAGGGCTGGATTGAATGTAGATCACTTCCTGAGATGCTGACTCCCGATCAAAAGGCATATGATCCTCTGTCTGCGGAATTCCGTACGGGATATTCAATCCATTAATGCATGTGGTTTGCAGGGTTGTGGATCCTGCCCCGCATTTCCCCGGTCATGCAGGCCCAATGTGCGTGGGCTTCGGAAAATGAACGTGCGCATAGTACCGATATGGCATTGCGCAGGTTGCGAGATGCTGCACAGCGCTGCAGTACTTACAGCATCCTGCTGTATGATGCTAATCTTGCTTCAATTTCCGACGGTGTCTGTGATGCGCTGGATGACAGGGCTGACCTACGGCAATAATTGGTGCAACCCCTGTCAAAGTTCCCGTCATTGCATCCGACCTGCAATTCCATATAATAGGCAGCTCCTTGGGAGCTTTTGTCCCTCCGATCGAGCCACGGGCGGGATATGGACAGAGCTGATGGGAGGCAGCCAAAGCATGCATGGTGGAGGAAAACGTTCACATTCGACCTGAATGTCGTAGGAATACTCCGAAATAACTCATCTAATCACTAGACAGCATTTTTTAATCGTTCTACGACAATTCTTACTCGAAATAATACTGCAGTGTCACAGATGGCATGATATAGCATTTCGGTTCGTCAATCTGTTCCACGCTTTGTCCCTTTCGCTTACAGCCCCCAACTCATCCACCCGGTACTAGACGAGGGCGGTCCCATCGGTTCCAGAAATCATATCAACAACTTTCACAAGCTCTCAGATATTGCTGATATAGCGGCATCCAGGACTTCCATGTTATCGAACAAGGAAAGTTCCGGAACCGCGCTTCCACGTAAATTGGTGGCTGTCCTGGAAAGTGGCTACCCACCTTAGATCTTCAAGATAGACACATTGCTCTACCGAAAGAAATAAGCTTATTTTCCTGCCGGGTGCGAATCCTGGCTGCCCTATCCACCGTGTCAAGAGGATTCTTCACACTTGCCTACCTAAAGACTATAAATTACATACCACCAGGGAATGTCCAGGATCGGAAATTACTCCCGCCGCATATTGAGACGTAGAATGATGTCGTGGCAATACATCTCCATGGCGTGTCCCGGAGCATGCCAACGATGCCAGTCAAATGCTGCAGGATCGGGCCCATTCTATCCCTGTCACTGACATCATGTCTCTCTCAGTTATATTACGGTTGCATACATACACTGGAGACTATCATCTAATAGTGTGTGCTCTACAACGTGTCCATGTACCTGCTGTAGATGTGTGTACAGTACCTATTACAATGCCGATCTGCCAATTCTTAGCATAGGGCTGAACGGCTACACCCGGTGGTGCCTCCGGAATATTGCTGTTTCCAACTCCACACTCAGGCCGCCATGAAACGACCAAAATAGCACGGAGGCAGCTCCGGAGCGGCGGAAAACAAGTCCCCTTTGTCCACGAATGGAAATAGGATATTTCCGGTGGTCTTCATATTTACCTGACCTGATGTATATAAGTTCTCGCAGCTGGACGCTTCTGGAAAGCATCCACAAATTACCTCGAAGGGCTCAATCACCATGTATCAGCTACTACCCGTCGTGTCGGTTCCTCTGCTAGCCAGCCTGGTGCATGGCTATGCTGATCCCGGAGCTTGTTCGGGTGTTTGCACCACGCATGATCCCGGGTTGATTCGAAGGGAGTCTGATGGTACTTGGTTTCGTTTCTCCACGGGAGACAAGATCTCCTACGTTTCTGCATCGTCCATTGAGGGTCCATGGACCAGTGTTGGGTCTATGCTGCCAGACGGATCGTCGATCGATCTGGAAGGCAATGATGATCTCTGGGTAGGTAGCCCCCATACTTGTTGCTTATTGATCTGACTAATAGTCCAGGCCCCTGATGTCTCCTACGTGGACGGCCTCTATTACGTGTACTATGCGGTTTCAACTTTCGGATCCCAAGATTCAGCCATTGGACTTGCGACATCAGAGACCATGGAATATGGCACATGGACTGATCATGGCTCGACTGGCATTGCGTCTTCTTCTGCCAAGATATACAACGCCATCGACCCTAACCTGATCTATGCCGATGGCACCTATTACATAAACTTTGGGTCATTCTGGGATGATCTCTATCAAGTTCCCATGGATTCGGATCCTACCAAGGCCGCCTCGTCCTCCTACAACCTTGCGTATGATCCGTCAGGAACCCATGCGGAGGAGGGCTCGTTCATGTACAAGTATGGGGACTACTACTACTTGTTTTATTCGGCCGGTATTTGCTGTGGATATACCTCATCCATGCCCGCTGCTGGGGAAGAGTACCACATCAAGGTCTGCCGCTCGACTTCACCCACGGGCGACTTTGTAAGATTTCCCCAATTTTGCGAGGGTGGAATTGGCACTGACTCGGATAGGTTGATGCTGATGGTACGGCTTGCACTGACGGCGGCGGCACGATGGTCCTTGAAAGCCATGGAACGGTCTATGGGCCTGGTGGACAGTAAGTGGATCAGGCACAGTGTGGCCTTATGGTGGCTAACTGACTCTAGGGGTGTCTATGATGATGAGGACCTTGGCCCCATTCTCTACTACCACTACATGAACACCACGATCGGGTATGCCGATGACGAGGCTCAGTTTGGATGGAACACTATCGACTTTTCCAGTGGGTGGCCCGTGGTATAGGAGCGTCAGTGGAGGGGGGTGGTGACTGTTGCGACTTGTACATATGTACTCCGTAGGAACCAGTCAACATGTATATACTGCAGCTAAGACTCTTTCCAGTCAATGTTGACTGTTCACCTGGGCGATCCCGGGTTCGTATGCTGCCTGAGGCCGAGGTCTGTATTCCTCGCTCAAGCCTTGCCGCTGCTCCCCATCACATCCATCCACCCCTCCATCGCTTGGGTGAGAACATCGATCCCCTCAGTCATCAGTTGGGTCAGGGGTTTATGCACATTCGCTCGGAGATACTCATGCCACGGGTCTAGAACCAGTTTATTGACATTGAATTTGGTCACACCGGCTGCGATACAGGCGCGACACAGCTCTGGTGGAAAGTCATTCGTCCCGTGCAGCACCAGCCGGGCGCGTCCAGCCAGCGCTTGATAAATTTGACGCAGCCTATGAGAGTGAGTGACAAAACAATCATTTCACATGATCTGTCATCTCACCGATCCATATCGAGTTGTGGTCCTTGCGGTCCATAGTCACCGTGCAAATTGCCCACACTCGGGGCGAGACAATCAACCCCAGCACTGATAAACTGTTCCACATCCTCTGCATTCGTGAGAATCCCTATTGAAGTTGTCAGATGCTGATTTTCTTTTTTTCCTAAGTAGCTGTCTCATACCCTCCAGATCCTCCGTGCCCATGATACCGTCTTCCCCGCCTTCGATGCGCCCGGTTTCGGCTTCTACCGCGATCCCACGCGCGTGACAGAACTCTCGCAGTGTCTCCGTTTTCCCTAGATTCTCCTCCCTTTCATAATGACTCATGTCAATCATAATCGAGTCGAATGGCAGCTTGGAGGCGACATGCTTGATCTGATCGAAATTCTGCGCATGGTCGAGATGGATTGATATCGGGACCGACGCGTTCTTTGCTGCTGCGGATGCCGCATAGACGAGGGACGGTGTCTGGTCGAGCGACGACGGGAAGAGCTGTATGATCAGAGGTGACCTTCGATTCTCCGCCGCCCTGACAAAAGCGGTGATATGCTCGACATTGTATCTGGTGTTTGTCAGCGTGGTGGGGTTGCGGCCTGCCGAGAGTCTCACACTATTGCCGCCAAGACCCCGTACTGCCCTCTTTCCGCTGCTTCCAGAATCTGGACGGTTGTGTTGTTTTTGCGCCAAGCCATTGTTTTGTGCGAGATGCCTTCTCTCTATCCTTACACTTTGGGATTATAGTGTGTTCTATATCTCCTCCGTGTTGATTTCCCCATCCCACGGATATCATCATCTCCAGACAGGGTTTCATCGGATGGTTCGATCCCCGCATGCGGCCTCGTCTCGAGGAGGACCGGTGGGTTCCATTGCCGAATCAGAAAGGCACATCGGCAGTGAGTGGTTTTCGGCTTTTCTCGCTTGCTCCACTCCTGAACGGACGCCAATTTCAGGCCTCGTAGCGACCTGTCATCCCCCGACTAACGATTTCCCTGCCCTTCATTCCGCTTCTGCAAAGGTACAGGGTTGCCGGCCCTCCCGATGATGTGAGGGAGCATGGCGGATGTTACGCAGGCGACCTCGCGTGGCGTTCGGAAACCTCGCAAATCCCGCGGGCGTGGACTGCGGGCTACCACTGGCTGGTCAGTCTCCGACCTTCCGAAGTTTCTCCAGGGCCAAGTTTTCTCCTGCTGAGCCTACAGGCTGACTTCCGCAGCCTGATTTGCAAGCGTCGTCACGTCAAATGTGATGAGGTGCGGCAGTTCAAGATAGATAAATTGATAGAAAGGCGTTTCGCTGACTGGGACACAGGCTCGCCCGCAATGCGGTCCTTGCGCCAAAGGCCAACGCGCTTGTGTCTATGGGACGGATCATCCTTCTGCAACCCCTAGCGCAGGGGGTGGTGGTACACCCATCGCGGCGCACTCTTCCCCTCTATCACAGCCAACCACACAGGTCCAACTACACGAGCCCTTGCGAGTGTTGGTTGATGCCTGCCAACAAGGATATCCAGGACCCGAAGATGGCCCTTCAGCTCATAGAGCATCTGTCACGGCATCTCCAGGCGTTCGGAACAGCCAAACACTGACTCCCGACTTTGGTGCGGACCACAATAACCGCTTATCCTCTACCACTCCGGTCAACGAATTTGCCCTTTCCCCAGCTACAGACTCTTCAGTGTCGACCAGACTTGCTCCGCTAAGCTGGTTTGAGCTTTTGGCTAATGATGCAGTGAACGCGGATCGGAACTTTCTCTTGTCGCCCCCAAAGCAAGATGCGAATTCAGCACGTCGGATGCTAACCCCCCACCAATTAAATTCGAACCTGCAGCCACACTCTGTCAGAGAGTGTGAGAGCTTCCAAGCAGCCGCTTTCGAACGCGATCCTGAAATTGAAACTCGAATAACGCCGGCGGCCGATGGCCAGCCAAAGCTCCTTCCCGACGATCCATCATCTTGGTCCACCCCTACTCCAATAGAGCTCTCAGGACAAGAGTACGAATTATTCCAACATTTCGTGAAGAATATGAGTGGTTGGTATGACTTCTTTGACCCGACCCGGCAGATATCGACCACGGTCCCGCAATTAGCAATGAGGAATACAGGTGTGATGAAGGCGCTCCTGGCTCTGTCGGCGCGCCATCTTTCAATTTGGCATACTTACAAGGGACAGGGGCATGACGCTGATGCCATCCAACACAGTGGTTATTGGAGAAAGGTGGTGGACTTTCCGGACGTTGATCGCAACAGTGCGGTGCAGTACTACTATGAGACACTGCAATACCTAAACAAGGCTATGCAGTATCCTAGCTATGCATCCAGCCACGAGATCATATCCACGTCTTTGTTGATTAGCACGTATGAAATGGTCGATGGATCGAATCGAGACTGGGAGCGGCATCTCAAAGGTGTTTTCTGGATCCAGAGATATCAAGACAATGATGGGGAATGTGGAGGACTACGTCAGGCAATTTGGTGGGCGTGGCTACGGCAGGATGTATGGGTGGCCATGCGAGAACGTCGTCGAGTCTTCAGCTTTTGGAGACCGAAACGCCACATCTCCACCCTGGAGCCGTCAGAGCTGGCAGGCTTCGCCTCATACCTGCTTGCACAATGCGTCAACTATGCTTCCCGCGAAGAGGCAGCATCTAAAGATATACAGAGTCGCCTGGAGAGAGGCAACGAGCTATTGTACATGCTGCAGGAATGGCAGGACTATCTGCCACCGGAGTTCAGGCCCCTCCCCACTCCACAGCATACAGATGTGTTTCCTCCCATCTGGGTACATCCTGCTCCGTATGCGGCAGCTTTGCAAATACACAGCTTAGCTAGAATCTTGGTGATATCGCATCGCCCGTCCGTTGGCGGGTTCCAAGACTACCGGGCTGCTCAAAGCCTGCTTACCGCATCCGTGAACACAATTTGTGGCATTGCCCGAACCGTAAGTGAGGATGATATAGCTGCAAGCTTGATGTCTCTGTATTGTATATTTGGGGGTAAGAGGTTCTTTTCTTTAGCATAACAGTCACTGATGGTTTATGCAGCCGGAATGAGCGTTCACGCCCCTCATGAGCGAGCTGCATTGCTCGACCTCCTTGATAATTTTGAGCGGCGGGTCTGTTGGCCTCGAGTCTCGTTGCGGAATGACCTCGAATTGGAATACCAGAAGGACGGGCTTTCTGGATTCACCATGTAGAGTAGGGGTCATTCTCGGGACAGTTGTCGCAGATTCTGAATTAGTTGACACATGAGGGGGGTTTGACCTGTGCTATGATTTGGACGTGCACCGGCATCCTGGAGTGACAGACCCCCATTCCCTCAATGCTGCGCAACGACCTTGAACGAGCCCAGTATTCGAACGTACGAAACAGATTTGAGAATATGATACCGTCTTGGACTCTTTGGCTGCTTATTAGATGTTGTAACGAATACATTCTGGAGAAATGAAAGAACGACACTAACCTCTCGCATTTTGGGCCCCATATAACAATGCCGGCTGTTGTGCGGGCGCACATCCCGACAACACCCACCCAGCAACGATTAGCCCACCCATGTTCCACTAATATCATGCCATGTCATTGGGCTTCACAGGGGTGGTTGCTAGGTTAAGGACCAGGGTTGAACATCCTTCCGACGGTTGATGTGTTGTTCACTCCAGGGTGCCTCGAGCCGAGGCGGCAACGTCTCCAGAACTGGCCGATCTCCGATCGCGGGGAAGGGCCCTTTATATAGTACCCACGTTGCAAATAAAATGAGGGGCGGTTCCATGTGACGTCAAGCTTCGCGAGACAACTACCTCGAGCCGAACATACGCGATCGCGTGAGGTTTTAAGTGAAAGGATTCCCTGCCCAATTCGACAACCCATCAAGTCGCTCGGTCTACCAACCTACACATCTGACAATGTCTCCAACCTCTACAAATACGGCTGCCGCCGAGGCCAAGACGGGCGCATCGACGCCCTTCTTGAACACTATGCCTTCCTCGAACTTTAGCTGGCAAATCACTTTAGCCGAAAAGGTCATTGCCATCACAGGCGCCAACCGAGGCATTGGCCTAGGCATCGCCGAAGTATGTCTCGCCAACTCCGCCACATTCGTCTACTCGCTCGACCTGATGGAGCCGGGCGAGGACACCATTGCTCTGCAGACTCGCTTCCCGAATTTTCGATATATCCATACAGATGTCACCTCAGAGGAGAGTATCGAGAAGGCAATCAACCAGATCGTGGAGGAGAGTGGAAGGATTGACGGTCTAGTTGCCAATGCGGGTATGACCAAACATCAACCCGCGCTTAAATTTGAGCGCCCCGAGTTGGAGCGCATGTTCAACCTTAATGTGAGTAATGCGGAAAATGTCGCTTGCTGCACTGTGCAGGTGCTTATGGCTGCAGGTTTTCGGTGCATATTTCTGCGCGCAGATCGTCGCTCGGAAGTTCATGGAGCTTGGTATCAAGGGGTCAATTGTTATGACTGCCAGCATGACATCTTATCGTCCCAATCGGGTGAGTGCTTCTATGCTATGGGAGTGATCAGTGTTAATAAATTTAGGCTGCCCCTTCCGCGCCTTATGGAGCTACAAAAGCCGCAGGTAAGTGGTTGTCCTTCCAACCGGGCGCAAGGCTGACAGGTTTCTTCTAGTCCGGAACATGTGCCACACCTTGGCGATGGAGTGGAGCAAATACGGTATCCGCGTGAACAGTATCTCTCCGGGGTTTGTCCGCACCGCGATGACATACTACATTGAGAACTCCCCTGACTGGGATGCGAAAATGGAAAACTACGGTGGTATGCCTCGTTTGGCCGATCCACGGGAATTGGGGGGTGCTTACGTGTATCTGCTGAGCGATAGCAGTTCATACACGACTGGCATTGATATTCCCATTGCTGGCATCGTTGGTGCTTGGTAGTTGCGGATGAGTAGGATGGCTCAGTGTGGACTTGGCAGATCGCATGGCCGGTGCTCGACTATACGCTACGACAGCCTTGGGAGCATATGTACATATGCAAAACTTTACGACATAATATACGATAACAAATGAAGTGAGGCAAGGGTTCTGCTCGAGCCAAGCATAAGCTGCAGGGTGTTCGCGTGCCATCTCGTATTTCCTGGCCTATCGGGAAGGGAGGCAAGAGTGTACTCGAATGACCAGCGCCTCACTTCGCGGGGCTTGACTACTTTCAGGAACGGGCTGAGTGCTCACGTTATCGGCATCGTATTCAAACGTCTTGGAGTAGGAATAACCGATTGGATAGGGGTTGCGAGTCCCCCAGGGGTCGCTTTCCATCAAATGAGGGGCCTGCCCACCTGTTCTGCGGTGGGTGTGGATGCTCTCATCTCCCTGAAGAGGTCTGGGTGAAATCGTCGCATACTTGCAGCTATCAGAATAGAGTAGAGCGCCCCCTATAAGAGGAATGGAGGACACCTCCCGACACGAGTTTCCGTTCCTAGAAGAGGTTTACACCCCGGAGCAGCCAAAAGTCGAGTGAGTCCTTCTCAGCGACGCGTCCAGCCGGGCACAGTGCTAAATGTCGCAGTGTGGTCTTCGTACATGGTTTGAATCCGCGAGGCAAAAGCGACCACCCTTTCGAAACATGGCGGCACGAGAATGGGATCTTCTGGCCGCGGGACTATCTGCCTCAGGATATCCCCCAGGCCCGCATTTTTGTTTACGGGTATAATTCCACCATCACGAATCCCCAGAGCATGTCGACAGCCAGTGTCAAGGATCATGCGAATACGTTGCTGAATCTACTGGACCTGGAGCGGAGTCCACAATTGGTATGGCCTGTCATAGGGGCGGTCGGCCGGGACGCTTCCTGACGCTTTACAGAATGTGCGACCGCCCAAGATCATCTTCATTGGACATAGTCTAGGTGGCTTGGTTATCAAACAGGTATGTGCTTGCTACTGACGAGGAGCTCAGACTAATGAAGGCGGAAAGGCCCTGCTGAATGCGCATGAAGACCCCAAGTACACGTCTATTCGCAACAACACTTGTGGCCTGGTATTCTTTGGCTGTCCGCACCGGGGCACCAAAGGGGTCGAGCTGGGCAAGATAGCAGCGAAAGTGGCACGGTTTGTTGCCAAGGGACATGCCAGTAACGATCTGCTCGATTGTCTGGAGCACAATTCGCTATTCACTCGGCAGATGACAAGCCGGTTTTCACACCAGTTGGAAGATTATCGAGTGGTGAGCTTCGTGGAAGGCAAAGAGGTCTTCTTGGGCGGTGCCGGACCGGCATCCGTGAGCCATGTAAGCCTGGCGAGGTCTCGGTACCCAACTTATTACTGACCAGGCCCTCAGTTAGTGGTGGATGAAGAATCGGCCGTGCTTGGACTCCCCGGACAGCGGGAGACGCGGTTGAAGCTGGATGCCGACCATTCCCAGATGTGCAAAGTCGGCAGCCGGGGCCCGATGTACAAGTTAATCAAGGGCAACATCAAGCAAATTGCTGACCAGGTCCTTATCGCTGATCAAGGATACATCCCGCAGCCGTCCACGTCCTCCCACCCGGCGCCTCCCTTGCCCCCGCGCCTACCAGTGAATAGCAGCATCCCGTACCCGGCACCGGTCACGCCCCAGCCCACGACCAAGCGAGTGATCGGTGTTCTTTACACCGCCGTCGACAGCGATGCCCGATCGATCCAAGCAGCGGAGCATAAGAATAACTGGCGATGGGACGAGGCGCGGAGGTTAGAGTATGCCATCTTCCAGGAACATCTGCGATCGCTCGGGGCCGACCACCACAGCACCCTGGAGATCGGCTACAATCTGGCGGAAATCGACCTTGAATCCGGCTATTTCTCCAAAGCATACGAGTGGGCACAATGGGTTGCTTCCAACAGCCAGCGGGTGTTCGACAAGCGACATCCTCTGGCGATGAAGGCAGAGAGTCTCATTGGCGAGATCCTCTGCCATCAGGGTAAAGGCCAGGAAGCCGAGTCCGTATGCGCAAACGTCCTTGCTCGCCAGCAAATGACCATCGGAGAAGACGCCCTCGATACCTTGGCAACCCGTCGTCGCTTGGCTGCTGCGTACAACGTTCTGGAACGGCGGCAGGAGGCCGTGCAGGCATCGGAAAAGGTTACCGAGCGTCTGCGCCAGTTGTTGGGGCCCAACCACATCCGGGTGTACTCATCCATCCTCGACACGGCCGAACAGATGCTGTCATGCCGATCCAACGACACCAAAGAATTGGTGGTGATGCGGTTTAACCCGGAATTCGACCAACTGGTGCAGGTGGTCGCACAGATCTCCCGCGAACTGACCGAACTCCTTGGACCCCGCCATCCCCTGAGCATCCGTGGCCTACGACTGCAAGGGGGGGTTCAGATGCTGGACCCCGACGGCACCACGACGGCTTCGGAAACTTTCCGTCGCGCGCTGGCTAGTGCGGAGGAGTACCTTGGTCCCGACCATCCCGAAACCATGAACATCGTAGCCCTGATGGGGGTGATGTACGCGACGCAAGGGCGCCTCGGAGGGATCTGGGCCCCCCACCACCAATCGAACACGGATCTGGCGACTCCGTGGCTGGTCCGGTATCTCAACTGGGCGGAGAGTCGCATGGGGGCGGGGTGTCCCGAGGTGCAGTCCACGCTGAACATGCTGGCCAAGATGTACATGGAGGGGAGGAACTATGTGGAAGCGCAGGGGTACTACGAGCGGTTAGTGGCCTCGTACCAACAAGGTCAGACGGTGGTGCCACAAGAGGTGCAAACGATGCTGCAGTTGTGTCGAATGAACACGCGATATTTGACACCGCAGCGGAGTACAGGACTACAGAGTTTGTTGTCGTCATTTCAACGGATGTGATTTGATTGTTATCATTATCGTCATTGCATAGCATATAATATTTATCCCGGCTCCACCACATATCCATACCATCACGGAACGGGAAGCGTCTAGTTGGAAATCTTATCCGGCACCTTGTGTCTATAAGCCTAAAATTAGCTCCGTATCGGAATAGAGACCAAGAGGCAGCCTACCCAGTGGCACCCTCAAACCGGGTGCGGGCACTATCGGTAATCTTCTCGTTGGTGGAGCGCATCTTCTGAGGATCAATCTTGCCCCCACCGTACTTGCTTTCGATAGAGTCGAGGCCTATATGAGATCAGATTCCGTCCATTTGACGCACCCGCCAGCTAGCGGCCGGAGAATGGGGCACCCACCCTTGTCTAGGTAGTCCTCCTGACCACCGGAGCCGCCGGAACCCTGGTCGTTGGACTTGTTGCCTCCACCGAGCTTGTTGGCCAAACCAGAGAGCTTATCCATGTTGAGTGATGTTGATAAAAATCTTTCTTCAAAATAAATTATTGTTAGATATGGAACTGGTTTCTTCACTGGAAGAAATGGCAGCTATATATATGCTGTGGTGCTTAGTGATAGACTTAGCCGTCGTCGTTGTGATGTCATGACGACAGCCAGATTGACTGCAATCGGGAGGTCCCTGGCAGCTCAGGTGGGCCCGAGTGAAGGAGATGTGCATCATATGCATTGGCATCTGGCATTGTGCATCCAAGTTCATCCCAAGCCGGAATGCCTGTTTGGGCAGCCGAGGCCATCACGTGCCATGACATCGAGATGATGTCAGCTGACTGCGCTTACGTCAGCGCATTAACCACATCACGTGACGCACTAGCCACGTCGTATTCGTATCCCTTCCTCGGCTGTCTTTCTCCTTTGCGCTCCCTTCGCGATGATCTGTCAACATGTCTCCTCGCAGACTATTGTTTCACCGCAGTGACGGCACTCCAGGACCATGCGATGCACATGGTGCTGTCTCACCCAGCAGCGGCACATGCCGACACGATAGATGTCATCAGCAGCCGCAGCAGCACCAGCCGCGGGGATAAATCTAAATCCTCGCCCACCACGCGGGTCCGACCAAACTCTGTGCCCAAAATTCAGGTCAGCCTTGTTGGCCCCCAAGAAACCCTCCGAGGACGTGGCGCAGGGGCAATCCTGCTGCCTAGCCGATCCTGCACCGTGATGGGCTGCTTCGCGTTCCAGGGACCCCGAATCACACTAAGGGGCTTTCCCACCCTGCCTTGGGCCTATCAAGGGTTCCCCAAACATGCGCGACCCTAACATTCTTGCCGAACTCCGGCTCAAACCCGCTGACTGTATTTGTGCAAATCCCTGCTGGTGGAACGGGTGGATTTGCCAAGCTACCCAAGCCCTTCCGGACGGTCCGCGGATGTGGCTGTCCCCGATGATATAAGGGAACGAACCTGTTCGATCTTTTTCCCCATCCTGCCGGTGCCTTCGTCCTCCCCGACTCCAGTCCGATCGTCGTCCCTGCCGATCATGAAGCTGCCTTTGCTCGCCGCAGCCACGGCTGGCCTTGCCAGTGCCGCTTCCATCCCGGTCGAGAAGGCCGAGGCTGAAATCGCCTCCGTCGCCGCTGACTTGATCGTTCGCGCTCTGCCCAATTCCCCCGATGGCTACACTCCCGCCAATGTGACCTGTCCTTCTACGCGTCCCAGCATCCGTGATGCCTCGGGGATCTCCACCAACGAGACCGAGTGGCTCAAGGTCCGTCGCAATGCGACCTTGACGCCCATGAAGGATCTCCTCAGCCGGCTCAACCTCACCGGTTTCGATACCACCTCCTACATCAATGAGCACTCCAGCAATATCTCGAATATTCCCAACATTGCCATCGCTGCATCTGGTGGTGGTTATCGCGCGCTCACCAACGGTGCCGGGGGTCTGAAGGCGTTTGACAGCCGCACGGAGAACACCACCAACGCCGGCCAGCTCGGCGGTCTGCTGCAGTCGGCCACCTATGTCGCTGGACTGAGTGGAGGTAGCTGGCTGGTCGGATCGATGTTTGTCAACAACTTCAGCACTATCGGTGAGCTGCAGGCCAGCGAGAAGGTCTGGCGATTCGACAAGTCCCTGCTCGAGGGACCCAACTTCGACCACATTCAGATTGTCAGCACGGTGGAATACTGGAAGGATATTACCGAGGAGGTGGACGGAAAGGCCAATGCCGGATTCAACACATCCTTTACCGACTACTGGGGCCGTGCGCTGTCCTACCAGCTGGTCAATGCCTCGGACGACCAGGGTGGCCCGAGCTACACCTGGTCCTCCATCGCCCTGATGGATGACTTCAAGAACGGTCAGTACCCGATGCCGCTTGTCGTTGCCGATGGCCGTAACCCGGGTGAGGTCATTGTCGAGACCAATTCCACGGTCTACGAGGTCAACCCCTGGGAGTTCGGCTCTTTCGACCCTAGTGTCTACGCCTTCGCCCCGCTGGAGTACCTGGGTTCGCGGTTCGAGAACGGCACCGTCGCCGAGAACTATAGCTGCGTGCGCGGCTTCGATAACGCTGGTTTCATCATGGGCTCTTCCTCCACTCTCTTCAACGAGTTCCTCCTCGACATCAACAGCACCAGCATCCCTACTATCCTGAAGGAGGCCTTTACCGACATCCTCGAGGATCTCGGCGAGCGCAACGACGACATCGCCATCTACTCGCCCAACCCGTTCTCGGGTTACCGTGACAGCAGCGAAGCCTACGCGACCACCAAGAACTTGGACGTAGTTGACGGTGGTGAGGATGGCGAGAACATCCCTCTCCACCCGCTTATCCAGCCCGAGCGTGCCGTGGACGTCATCTTTGCCATTGACTCCTCCGCCGATACCGACTACTACTGGCCCAACGGTACCTCCCTCGTGGCCACCTACGAGCGCAGTCTCGAGCCCAGCGTGGCCAACGGCACCGCGTTCCCGGCCATTCCGGACCAGAACACCTTTGTCAACCTCGGTCTGAACAGCCGCCCGACCTTCTTCGGCTGCGATCCCAAGAACATCTCCGGCCAGGCGCCGTTGGTCATCTACCTGCCCAACTCGCCCTACACCTACGACTCGAACTTCTCGACCTTCAAGCTGACCTACAGCGACGAGGAGCGTGACTCGGTGATCACCAACGGCTGGAACGTGGTCACCCGCGCCAACGGCACTGTGGACTCGAACTTCCCGTCCTGCGTCGCCTGCGCCATTCTGCAGCGCTCGACCTACCGCACCAACACGTCGCTGCCCAGCATCTGCACCACTTGCTTCAATGATTACTGCTGGAACGGCACGACGAACAGCACGGACCCGTCTACTTATGCGCCCAGCATCCTGATTGCCTCCAGTGCGGGAATGAAGAGCGCCGTGGATTACTCGGTCATTCTGATCGCGGCTGCCGTGGCGGTGTTTATGTCTGTGTAGAGTGCATGTTTGATACCGATACTGTTGTAAATGTCGCATGTTTCTTGACCATATTAATTAGAGCATAGAGCGTGATGAATGATGAGACATTTCTTCATCTATTGTTGCAGTGAAGGTCTTGTACGGAGTTTTTATTAATCAGATATCCTCCGGTCAGTAGCTCCAAAAGAATATAGCTTAGTGTTCCTAAGTAAAATTCAGTGTACATCCTATCAGGGATACAAGCACATGAGTGAGATAATTCTACACGAGGCAAAACTGCTACCTGAGACCTGCCATTTATTGTCAAGCTTCTGTGCAGTTCGAAATTCGTTAGCACATGTCATAGAATAGACATGGATTAATGTCATTGAGTCATCTAGCTCGAGCTATTCTTGACAAGTATTATTTGTTATTCCGGCTATGATAATTGATGATATTTCCCGCTCATCATATGTCGGGCTGATCACTTATAGAGTAGTATGATTGATATATTCGCAGAGACCATCATGCTTACATGCGGCTATGCCACATAGCCGCCTCCATCAGACCAACAAAATATTAACAACCCTACTCGAATAAGGCTACGCAACCCCCCTACCCCAAGATCCAGAACCCCCCCCCCCCCCCCTTCTCCTCCCTCCCCAAAAAAATAAATCAACAAAACCAACAACACAACCCCCAAAACCAAGCAAAGAAAACGAAGAACCAACTAAACCCTACCCTTCCCCAACCTCCCCACAATCATCTCCTCCATAGTGTACGGCAACCACTGATACATCTCCTCCGTAATCCCCCCAACATCCGCCCCATAAACCTCAAAAATCCAATCATTCCAATCCCAATCCACCCACTCGTGATAACTATCCATTGGCTCGCGCCTGCCGTTCGTGGTCCATCGTAGAATCGGACTGATGTATGTTCCGCCCAGGAAGTCACTCTCGGGAATGATTTCCGGGTTGGGGGAGCGGCCGATTTTGGCGTGTCCGAAGTCGAGGAGGGTGATTTGGATGTTTTTTTCTGGTGATGGTGATGGTGGTGATGAGGGGGATGGGTGTGGGTGGTGTTGGATGAGGATGTTCCGGGGGTAGGTGTCGAAGTGATCCACGCCTAGTTTGTAGATATGGGATTCCACGGTGATGATCTGTTCGAGGATGATTTTCCGGGTTGCTTGGGAGAGGGTGTGCGGGTTGAGGGTGTCCATTGGTAAGCCGCTGATGTGTTCAAGGAGGATGAGCCGGACGGGGCGGTTGCGGGGAGGAGTAGTATCTGGGTGTGTGATGTCTGTGGTGTACGAGCCGTAGAAGTGGGGGATGTGGGTGGTGGTTTCTCCATGTTCGTGGAGTTGACGATGGAGATGTTGGTATGCTGCTGTCTCCGTGGCGTATTCTTTGTCGATGTAGATGAAGGGGTCCACGCTGTCTTGGTAGTGGTCCCAGTAGAGTGGGTCGTATAACTTGGCTACGAGGGTCGTAGGCATGGTCTCGGGTAGCTGGTTTGATATAACTTCCACGAGGACGATTTGGGAGGATTTTCCGTCACTGACTCGAATTTGTTTGCGGATTTTGAGACGCAGGGTATGAGATCCGGTGTGGCCGGGTAGGGGGCTCTTGTTGAAACAGCGGGTTAGGACATCTGTGTTCTCTCGCTGGAAGGCTTCTTCGCGAGTGAGCAGGTATTTTTTGATGACTCGGTGGTTTGGGGGGGTATGTTCGGTGATGGTGAATTCGAACCCGGGGATGTATGGGAGAGCGGGTTTGGGGATGTTGTGGAGGGTGTTGTAGTCGTCTGTGAAGGGGTCGGCCATGTTGATGTCTTCTTGACATTGGAGAAGATGTGGACCTCGAGATGTGGCGGTTGTTTGTATGTGGTGTTGGGTTATATGCCCCTGTACTCAGTTCTACGCTCATGGACTCTATTATACCTCTGTACATATTGTGTGAAAGCACTGGGAGTCGATATAAGGAAGGGAATCGCAGTTATGCATGCGCTTTGATCTCTAGACCGAGACGATGCATCAGCACGATGAGCTCAACCAGGCACGTGAGCCTTTTTTGCACTTCACTGGGCAAGGAAAAGAGTGTGGCTGTAGCGGTGACCATTGTATTGTGGTCAATCATGACCATGACTTGTGAGAGAATCGACAACCAAGATCTATCTGTATTATAGCAACTCAAAAGAGAAGAAGGCTCAGGAAATGCCATAGCCACGCCAAGACCCGCCCAGGCACCTGTCCAGGCACCCACCGTCCCTTGCTGTTTCAGTCTCTTGCAAATCTCACGGAGGCTATACCTCTTCCTCCACTACTATTTCCTCAGTCCGGTGTCTTGTCGTTGACTGTTTCTTGTCAGCCTCTACATCCTTCCTAGCCTGTCTATTGTACACCCAACCCCCCTCCACCTCTGCCTCGGTGCCTCTTAGTTCCTTCAGCTACTTATAAACCGCATCTGCGACGTGACTTCGACGAAACAAAATAGAGCAGAACGCGTAGGGAGACTGCGGAGCAGGGTATTCTAGGTCGATATAAAGATCCCTTCACCCCCTCCTCCCCTCTGAAATCGTCCCACCCGGTGCAGCGGCTCGTGAACCCCATCTATATTCCATCTTTTTTTTTTAAAGAAAAAAAAAAAAATAAATAAATAAATAAAAAAAAATTCCGTACCCTAACCCTGTCTGCGCGAGGTCTCTGAGCTCTTCAATCTTACTGAATGAGACAATGGAGTCTGAATATTTCGACTGGGTGGCGGATTTTGAATTACCGGTGAAGCTCGCCAAGACCTCTACCCCTACTCGATGGCAGATGGGCCGTATAACGAAGGTAAAGGTACGCGTCCATGAGGACTACGAGTACGGGACTATCCGGGAGGCCACGGGTGTTTGCAGCGCCATCCAGATTGAAGGGCCCTCTCCGGGGCAAGAAGCCATTGCGAAGGTCAAACTACAGTAAGCTGATTGACTCCAGAGTGCAGAGGGTAGGGGAATGACTCCAGTAACAGGCTATCGCCTTGGGATGATCCCACTGTTGATGCCATAAGCATGGAAGCAATCAGAGAGATGGATAACCTGGCAAAGCTAACGGATGTGCACTGCTCATCTACACCGGCCTTTATTGGCAGAGCTCATTGTGTCCAGGGTGATGATCTTTATATTCCCGGTGGATATATTGTATTTATCTTAATGGAAAGGCTGCCCGGTCGGGATCTGGGATGCTTCCATGAGTTGTCTTTGGAGGAACGAGATGAAGTACGGATTGCGTTTTTGAAAGCATTGTGGTATGTGATAGATCCTTACGCTCATCTGTACGGTTGCCTGGAAGGATTTACTGATGTCGCGAATAGGGAGTTTCACCGGCACGGATTTGATCATTGGGATCCTCGCAGGGAGAATATCATGTGGGATAACGCTGCTCGGAAATGGTTGGTCTGAAGATCCTGTACCCTTATGGTATTTGAACTAACCTACCCAGTTATATTCTCGACCTTGAAGATGCCGAGGATCTTGAGATCAAAGGCATGGGAACGGATCCTCTCTACGAGCTGTCCGCGTGGGATCTGCATGGAAAAGCATCACGGCCCGCGTATGATCATGTTGACGATGATCCAATGATACCGCCTGAACGCAAGGGAGGGTGGACATTCTATGACAGGGAAGAAATGTTGGCTATGTTGATGCGTAGAGTCACACAGTAGAGCGCATGGGGGACTGGTACTCCGTCTATTTTCTATTGAATCATACATGTATTCCTTCTTTTTACGTTCCAGTCTCGAATCTGAATGCTACGCTGTTATGTATGCTGTCTCCATAATTTTGTCACAGCTGTGATTAACACTATATCCTCCGTTGTAGTCTGGATAGGCTCCCTTCTAAGCAGCTGAGATATGCGATGACAGGCTGTTATCCTGATATTGCGGTCTCGATGATATAACAATACGTGTAGCTGAGATTTCTGGCTTGGGACATACTATCTTCCTCCATTCTTGGTTCTTTGGCAGTAGAGAGATGTGATTGGGCCTAGATTCAATACATCTTGTTGGTGCGTATTTTTGCACACTGGCAGTCCATTCTGTGCAAAGTACATACGAGATCTTGTACAGCTGATACACCGGTCTAAATTCGTTCGTGTCGGACCATAACGCCTCGGCATAATAACGTAGCGGGTTCAAGTAGACGGACAGAATATGACTTGGCTCGATTCTACACTCTCGTCTGGCATGATATTTCCTCACTGGTGGAGGCTGCGTTCAGGCAGAAGAGATCTTACCCACCCGACGACAACTTTCTTAAAGCTGCTTCAGGGGCCCCCAAAAACTATATAACCCTCGCGTCCCTCTCGTACGAAAACCATCCTTTCCAATCCTCTACGATCCCCTGCTACATAACATTTCTTGATGCCCTTTGTTCTCTTTGCATCCAGCTAACTGAGTGTTACATAGACTCGACAGGATGTCTCCGAAGGATAACGAGGACAAGAACCCCACAGATACTCTACCAGAGCCGCAACAGACAGCCCGTGATGTGACTAAAGACGCTTTCCCTTACATCACGGGCGATGAGGGTCCTCGGTCTTCAGGCAATAGTCTACACGGCATCGTGTTCCTTGGGGAGCTTTGCCACTGGGCCAACTTTCAGAAAGAGGTCCGAACGGTTTTCAACGAGATTAAGTGGGACAAGGAACCTGTCCTTGATAGACTCAAGCCAAATGATCTCTACCATAGCGAGCATTTTCGCTGTGGCGCAGAGATCTCTACTAGCGGAAGATATATCGCGCATGTGCTCAACCCCATGAGTGGCATAGCAACAAAGCTTGGGTTCCAGCTCCGCTTTGGAGATTGGCATGCGGTGAAGGATCACCTGAAATGGATGCTCCCCGATTCCTCGGACGATGAATCCGCGGACGACGTAACTAGAGATGATGAGACCATGGGCCAAGACGACAACACTGGAGACGCCGAAGGAGAGGATCAAGATCGCAAGAAGCCCAAAAGGTCCATTCCCGACTATGCCATCATTGATGAAAGCCATGAGGCCCGCGCGCTCGGGGAAGCCAAACATCCTTGGCGTTCTTTTCCAGGTCGCTGGATTCAGGGAGCCATCCAGGGTGACGCACAGACGGAGACTCGATTACGTCGGTTTGTTGGTAAGTGTGCCTCTGTTACGCTGGGGCACTGGATGATAACAATGTTTATCTTTCAGGGCAGATAGCCAGAGACATGTGGGCGGCTGATCTCAAATATGCCTTTATGACCAATTACAGGGAGACCGTCTTTCTTCGCAGGGAAAAGGTCCAGGGAAAATGGACACTTTTCTACTCCGATGCAATCCGATTTGATGCCACGTCTGACATGGACAACTTCACAGTTTCGGTGCGAGAGTGCATGCTGTACCTGTTTAAGATTACATCTCAAGTTCCAAAGAAAGGTGGCTGGTCACTGGGTGGCATGGAGAAAGAGCCACTTGAGGCCTGGGTGCGGATCCCGAAAAGGTCCAAAAAGAAAAAGACAACCGACAACACATCAGCCAGCAACAAGTCTACCGACAACAAACACACTGGCAACAAATCAACCTATGCAGACCAAATGACGGTCGTCCGTCGTCCGAAGCCTCCTGCTGGATCAGCAGCCGGTCCCAAAAAGACATCGAAATGAAATGAGAGGAGACTATAATGCTAGGGGAGATCTGGTTCAAAAGGTTTTCGTGTATTGGCTACATGGACGGGAAAGCTAAGCTTTGGAGGTACATGAGGGAATGATCCGTGCCATTCAACCTGCCACGGATGTTCGGGTTGCTGAACTGTCCAGAATGATTGTCATCCTCTCTTTTCAACCAAGTGGGATGACAGGTTCTGTGTTGATTGTTTGTTTCGATGGTTTACCAGTTTCGATTGCTCTCAATGAGATTGCCATGTCAAGTTGCCCTATCTGAGGACTACCTGCCTCGCGTCATGTAGTTGCAATACAGAGGACAGCAAATTATAGCATGCTGTAACTTGCCAAGCCTAAACCGTGGCCGTTGATTGGCCAGATGAGTATCGTAACTAAAAACGAAGAAGACTCGGGAAATTCCATAGCCGTGCCAAGACCAGCCTAGGCACCCGTCCAGGCACCTACCCTCTCTACTATCTCCTTCACAATTCACAGTGGGTATTCCTGTCGCTGACTATCTCATGTCCTTCTTTGTGCCTCCTAGTACCTTCAGCTGTCATACTTATGGAACCAATCAGAACGCGTAGGGAACCGCCGGAGCAGGGTATTCTAAATTGATATAAAGATCCCTTTATCCCCTCCTCCCCTCTGAATCGTCCAACCGGTGCATCAACTCGTGAAGCATTATTCTAATCTCACCTTTTTCAACACCTTCTCCTGACCACCCTGTGCCGGGAGAACAGACATGAATCCTGACTGTTTCGACTGGGTCGAAGATTTCGAAGTGCCAGTGACGCTAGCCAAGACCTCTACATCCACCCAATGGAAGTTAGGCCCTATCGCTAAAGAAAAGATCCGTACTCATGAGAGTTTCGAACATGGGATGATAGAAGAGGCCACAGGCGTCTGCAAGGCTACTCAGCTTGCCGGACCCTCTCCTGGGCAAGACGCTATTGTTAAAATCAAGGTACAGTGAGTGATTGACTCCCCCATCTTCCCCTAAGCCGGGACGATGGCCTTCTTCCCAGTGGATATGTGGTCTTCATCCTCATGGAACGGGTCCTGGGTCGTGATCTACGGTGTTTCTCTGAGCTGGTCTTGGAAGAACGGGATCAGGCACGCATAGCGTGCATTAAGGCATTGTGGTATGCACCATATCATAACCACCAGTTTATGCGCGGAGAGCTGTTCGGGAGTTGTCGGTGTGGAATCTACAGGGTCGGTCACCACAGATAGGGCAATGCGGCCACACATGCAGATGACATTGTATAGCTATTCGTTTCCTACATATTGGCGCGTCACCCAGCGTGGATAGTCTGAACAGCCTGGTTGAAGAAATATCTTCCTTAATAGCTAGACGAACTAGATTGATTCGGTCGCTTCAATCCCCTGTCATAGCAACCCCGCCATCACCCTCGTCAACGCCTCATCCTCCGCATTCAACGCCTCAATCCCCGCCCCATCCGTCCCCGTCTCCGGCACCACCCCCTCCGCCACTTCGGCCTGCGTGCGCGGATCAAAGTAGAATCCGCCGGCCATTTCAAAGAAACTGGTCAGATCCTCGCAGCTATTTTGATCGACCGGGCCAGGCCCAGCCGGGGTGGTGAAGGACCAGAGGGCGGAGTGCGGTGCCGTCGGGAGGGTTGATAGTTGTTGCGGCTGCGGCGGGTAGGGAGATTCCATCGGGGTAAAGGACATGGCGTAGTCTGCGTCAGCGGTGGGTGGTGGTCGTTTGGGGTGATCAGGACGTTGGTGAAGGGTTTGATTGGGTAGTCGAGGGGATTTACTGCCCAGGTTGAGTCGGATGAGTTTCAGACTGCGGATAATCTTTTGGAGGCGCCGGGAGGTGCGGGCTTGGGTAGAGGATCGACGGACCATGTCGACGGCGTTGTAGAATTCCGGACGACAGACTTGGCTGAATCGGGATGGGGAGTGGAGGACGGCGAGGAAGAGGGCGGCCAGCGCGGAGATGAGGAAGTAGTTGAATGGTTCGGGGCGTTGGAAGTAGATGTCGGAGACGCGGCTGAAGAAGTCGAGCATGTGCACGGTGCTTTTGGCGGTTTCGACGGCAATCGATGCACTCGGAACGCTTTCTTCGATGCTCTCCGTGCTGAAGAGGTATTGTCGGTAGACCAGGATGCGGAGCTGGTTGGCTTGTAGCGCTAGCAGGACCTGTAGCATCATCATGCTGTCGGCGTGCGGGTTGGAACCGGTGGAGGATCGCTGCGACGGATCGAACCGCAGCTCGGGCGGGATGGATTGGATCCATTGCTGCACCTGGAAGTCGAGGTACGCACAGTAGTCGGCTGTGGCTGCTCGAGGACGGGTGCGCCAGCCGACCACCAACCCCCAGATCTTCGAGCTGAGGCGTGCGTACGAGATCATGCAGGTCAAGTAGGGCGTGGCGGTCCCTGGCTCGGGCAGGTTGGTGTCCATGTCCGAGTCCTGGATGGCAAAGGGTAGGCCCGTCCCAAACGACCACTTCCGGTCCAGCACGTAGATGCACCAGAATAGCCGGCTGGCCCAGGTGCGATGCAACTCGCCCGGGAACACGCCTCCCGTTTTCAGCCATGTCTCCTGACAGTGCAGGCCGAGCTGGACTGCTCCCCGGACTGCGGAACCGATGGTCCGCCATGCTATCACCTCGTCATCGCGGTAGGAATGGAAGATCGACTAGATCGGTTAGGGGAAGCCCAATGCAGAGAAGCAGAGCACGCACCACCAGAGTCAAAATAAGCAACTCCTTCATGTCCACCTCCGGCAGCTTGTACCGGGTCGCAAACTTGTCTTCCACGCTATCTGCCAACCACGCCGCTCGTTCGCTGCGACCGTGCGATTCCGCTAACAAGGCCGTCGCGACGATAATCTTCAGCACCTCGGCATCCCGCGCAAAGAACCAGTCCTGATCCTCCGTACTAGGAGTGGTGGCATTCGGACCATCGCCGTCCTCCCGAAAGTACTCGACCACGTACGCGCGGACACTGTCCAGGTCCACGCATGGATAGATCAGACCCACGGTATGTTCGTAGACCGTCACGAGTCGGAGCGTTTCGGTCAACCCCAGACAGCGAAGAGAGTCACCGGGCAAGGCCTCGGCTTCCGGGTCAGGGGCTGGACTCGGGGGTGCCGAGGAGTTGGACTCGGCCACATCCCCGTCGCTGTCCGAGGGCTTCTGTCGCGCGGTGAGTCCGAACTCCGCACTGGTCGGACCGACGTAGGTGGGGGATTTGGGACGGTTCAGGATCCGCTGGAGACCTACGTTGGCGGAAGTAGACGAGATGGTCGACATGGTGGTATGGATGCTGGTATGGTTAGCAGGCGTAGTCACGGATGTCGATTCCAATTGCCGGAGACGAGCGGCCATGGCGCGCATTTCTCGTTGGAGGGTCTCAATTTGCTGGTCGACGGTCTGCAATCGGCTGGACAGTCTAGTGGCAGCGGTGTCAATACAAACAGGGAGACATCAATCGTGGACGGTATACCTGTCATCTTTCACGGGGTCTTCCACCGCAGGCGACGCCGTGTTGGCCACCGCATGAGCATTAGGGGTGTACACGCAGCGCACATGGTCTCGGGCACACCGCGAGCACACGGGCTCGCCGCTGCATTTCAGCTTCCGTCGCTTACACTCATTGCTGTCCCGTTAGCTAGGGGCCAGGCAGCGGGCGGACTGACGCACCAAGCGACCTGGGTATATTTGGCGCGCTTCTTGGTCCGAGATGGTTCCGGCGTGTTGCTGCCTCGCTTGGATGTCTCACTCTCCATCGTTTAAGCGAGTCACACTCACTCGAATAAAATGCAGCCGTGCGTGGGCACTCCACTAGGACAATAGCAGTGATTCCGAGGGTATCAGGTCACTGACCTCGGGGTTCGGAAAGGAGACGGAGGGAGGCGAATTTTTAAGTGGCATTCCGAGCAATCCGAGGTCGGCGGGGCGGATCTCGCTGCATCCGCTGATTGGAGCAGGCCCATGCCTCGGACTACATCCTCATCCCGGCCGTGTCTTATAAGGCTGATAACTAAGGAAAACAAATTGATTTGTGGGGCAGCAATCGCCAATGCCACTAATGCAAGAACCGGTCCCACCCGGTAGTACTATGTAACTAACTATATATACAGTCCATTCGTAAATCATGTCCCATACCCCATCTAGATGTGCGCCGGTCGGCAGCAGTCGGATCCCACCACCCGCGACGAAACATTCTTGTCCGACGGCACATCCAACGAGGGGTTGGCCGTGAAAAAATCCGCGGGCCGGATCATCAATTGGAAAATTTCCACCGGCCTGACATCTCTGTTAGTGCTGCATTCTGAAAGCGGAAGAGGAAACTTACATCACAGGCCAATCCTCCACCCGGGGGTTGTGAGTAATGCCAAAGGTGCTCCAAACCACCACATCCGTGTCGGCCACCGAGTCACCGCGCTTCACGGCATCCGCCACACCTTCGATCTCTTCCTGACTCTGCAGGGTGTAGCGGCCGCCCGCATACAGCTCCCCATCGCGGTACTTGGTCACCCACACGTGATGCTGCGCGAACTGCGCCCGCCTCGCTTGAATCGAGTTCGGGTCGGCGAGGAGGCGCTGCGTCGCGAGCGGAATGAATTTGTATCCCACCGGCTTCTGGCTGATCGGGTTCGTCTTATGAGGGTTGACCATCTTGACGGTTCGGTTGAGCTCCGGAGCCGCATCAAAGTAGCCCGCGCGCTCCACGGTCTCCGTGGTGACCTTGTAGAAGTTGCCGTTGGGGTTGGTCATGGCGTTCATGGGCACTGGGTGCGACTCCTCAATCTGCACCGAGTTGCGGGTCCCATCAATGGCCGGGTCGATGCGCACACAGAAAATGTGCTGGTGGTTCTGGGCCAGAACGCCTCCGCTGACGACGTTGCCGTACTCGCTGACCTTGCCGGGGTCGATGTTCACCACGTTCAGGATACCCGTGGCACGAGACTCCACGGTGATGCCACCCGCTTGGTCGAACTTGTAGGCGAAGATGTACTCGTAGTTGGCCAGGGTAATGATAAACTGCACCACCAGCTCCCGGTGGCGGGTCACCACGGCGCGGCCGGTGCGCCAGTTGGAGTGCTTCCAGCCAATGCCGTTGTCCTGCTCGTGCAAGCAGATGGCGTTGGGCATCTTCTTGGCCGAGCCATCGGGTCCGGTCATCACAGCATCGAAGTATTTGATGACTCCCAAGCAGTCGCATCCAATCGAGAGATTGTTGGCCATGTTGCCACCACCGCCGTCACCGAAATCGAAGGCCTGCTTGCGATGGAACGGGGGTCGAGGATCGGCATAAGGCACAGTCTATGCCAGTTAGCTATGATTCTGCACCGGGAAGAGAAGGCAATCTCACCATCTCACTGATACTCAACCGGTGAAGCACACTGCGACCGTCATACCAGACATCGTGGATCGTGGCACCCTCGCGGGGGTTGAAGGCCACGCGGAAGCGCCATTTCTGCCACTCAACCAGCGACTCATTCGTAATCCGGAAGGACGGGCCTTCCGGCTGCACCACGTTCAACGGCTTCAGGTCCTTGCGAGTGCCCCCGGGCAGCAGCTCGGGCACATAGTCTGAGTCCTTGCAGTGGCCAATGATGTCCCGCTTGAATGTCTGCTCCGTCAGGCCATCGCCCTTACCACCGGTTGCCGGACGATCCACTCGGATGATCTCCTGGGTGAGCGCATCCATCACCGGGATGATGGGCAGCGGGTAGGAGTAGAAGTTGGCATCGGGGTTATTCTTGCGCTTGTCCGTGGCGAAGCACAGACCCTGGAAGTACCGACGCTTCTCATCCACGTAGTCCAATCCACCATATGGCCACGGCTCGATGACCACCTCGAAGCCTTCGGGGAGGTCGAAGTCGGCGAGAGCTTGTTGGAAGAGGGGGGAGGCAAAGCAACGCTCGACAAGGGTATCGAATTCACTCCTAAGACGAGTTAGCCTTCTCCTAAGGGATCAATAGACGACATACGTACAAAGTCAAAGAGGCGTGGTGCTGCTTTCCGACCACACGATGCTGGACACGCCGGCGTGTTCCTACATCGACAATCGACTCCTCAAATGACGGGATGTGATCGCTGCCGATAACGTCGTACTGGCACAATGCAAGACGATGAGGACGAGGCGTGGTCGGGCTCAGACGGCCCGAGTGCTCCAGGGCGAGGAACTCGAGTAGCTGTGCCTTGGGCGGCTCTGACAAGTAGATCTCACGGAAGTCAATGACAGTGTTGGGGTGCGCCGCGAGAACGACATCGCGGGCTAGGTTGGTCTCCTCCTCGGAGAGGATAGCAAGAGGGTGGGGAGCCATGGGGAGAGAACAAGACGAATGGGGAGTGAATGAGGAGGAGAAAGAGAGGGAGCGCTGGATTATGCGGGGGAAGCTCGACGCATTTGTATGGGCCGCGGCGTATGACTTGCCTCTTTGGGCCTGGCTGTTGGGCTCGGAATGTCGGAATGCGCGGAATGACAGGTGCGGGCGGCCAAGGGCGGCCAATGGCGGAACGAGTCCGTGGCTGGCCAGGTTCGATTGGCGCCCGCGGCCGATAAGTCTGGCGGTCACCATCCGATAGCGCTATCGCCTGTCGATAAGCAATCCTTCGATCGCCAGATTCAGTGTGACCTCAGTGTTATTATTATTGCAAATACAGCTGTGTAATCCGATATGCAGCCAGCATTGAATTATCTATTATTATTAGTATGGCATGATCCGAAGCATCTATCGTAATGTACATTCGTCAGAACATGAGACCCTTCCCGTCCGAACGCCATCAGCAAATCACCGTCACTCGTCTAAAAGATGCGCTTCGTGCTGGGCTTCACCCACTGCGCCTTCTCACACCGGTGAGACGCTCGCCAGCGCTGAATCTTGTCCAGATCCCATCCTGAGGACAACCGCACGCTCGAATCGCCCAGGGTCTTCTTCGCGCCCAGCCGCATGGTCCGGACAAAGACGCAGTGTCCCGACGAGTCATAGGTGAAACTGAGACACTCGGCATGGTTATGGCACCCCGTCTCGCAGGCCTCGAAGGAGCCATGTGCCGGCGATTCGGGAGGTTCCTGCCAACCGCCCCAGTCCCCGTTGTCCCAGTCAGGCATGTAATCCACACTTCCCAGCTTCAGGTACTCGAACAAGTCGGCGTACAGCAGAGGGCGCTAGGAGAGAATTGTCAGTCGCTGATATCAAGGGGCAACTACAGTACTTACAGTGCGATCCCGTTGATTCTCCCATCGCATCAACCCAGTCATATCCGACAACAAGGTCTTGTGCATACTGATCACCGGCTGGCACCAATGTGCCTCGTGAAAGGGAATGCCGTGGAGAGGATGGGGATTGAACATGGGCCAGTACCCCGACAGCTTCACGCCTTTCTCGAGTAACGCCCAGCCGAGAATCGAGTCGCCACAGCAGTCCGCTTTCACGAGATCCTCGTACTGCTGGCTCAGTGGGGGTTGAATGTACTCCCCATGGGCCCCGACTTCTCGGGACACCAGTTTCTTCATGGCGGCGGTGGAGAGGACAAATCCGGAGCCCCCGTAGGCGAAATAAGAGACCTCCTCCTCGTTCAGTCGCCTTCCGGGAGACGGCGAGCCCAGGTACAAGGGAACGTGCGGGTCCAACTGGTCCAGTAACCGGAACATATTATCCCACACCATGTAGGTATCGGATTCCAGAAAGACAAACCAGTCCGCCGTGGGGTTGATGTCATGTGCGCGCTCCACCATGGGGAGGAACTTGAAGCGATCGAGCCGCCATCCCTGCGGCGCCGCCACGTATCGGTCATCGCCCCGCTGAAGCGCATCGTAGGCATCAAAGTCGGACGTATTGGCGCGAAAGGACTCTGGAAGGGCGGCCAGGATGTCATGAACGCGATGGCCGTTGATTTGCGACTCGCGATCGGAGACAATAATGAGGTTGGGAATGCAGCGGGTCACACTGGAGATTTGCGCGTCGACGCGATCCGCCGGCTCGGAGGCGCCGATTTTCAAAACCACCTGGATGCGGGACAGCAGATAGGAGGGGAACGAGTCGCAGAGCTGGTCGTCGGCCAGAATGGGGTTCTGCACGCGGGGGAAACGGCTGGTCGTTTCCCAGTCCCAGAAATCGGGTTCGCCTTTACCTGAGTGGTGGTGATACAGCGACGAGGGGTCGAAAGGCGAGCCCAGCTCGATTTTGAAGACGGTGGTGGCGACGACGATAAATAGAATCAAGGCGAGGATGTTGGTCACTTTGCGCGACGGCATCGCCAGGTAGGGACGCCGGCGGTGGGCAGGTTCCCGGCCCATCGTGTGGAATGCGGGCGGGCAGATAATGATGCGGGATCGAAGGGGGTGTGGGCTGTGATAAAAGACCGGGTCAGTGATGACGGACTCGGGTCGGCATAGCAGCTCTAGACTCAGCCCGCGTGGCAGGAGACGATCGAGGGAAGGTAATCGTGACGCATGGGGACCATCGAGGACCAAAAAAGGCGTCAGAGGAGACGGAGCCACCCAGGGCAGCACAGGGGGGGATTTAATAGTTGAACCGTTGAAAAAGAGGATGGAAAGACGACGGGCATGCAATCTAATGGTGGAGGGCTAGAGAGCAACTAAAGACCCTGGTGTTGCCTATCAGTCCGCGCGTCCGCAAATGACCCGGCTGCGTAATATAAAAGGTAATAATAGGGCTGGGTCTTGGCACCTGGCTTTTTCACAGACCTTCCCTTCTTGACCAAATCCAAGGGTGCTACCCTCAGTCACTGTCTTGTCAATGATGATGTCTTTGATTTTCTCCCTGATCGACCGTCATGCTCGTGAGGCATCCGACTTTGCAGAGTGACGCAGTAATCCATGGACGGTGATGGCATCATCCAGGATCCATCCATTGGCACCCAGCCAAAGCATGGCGCCCCGCTGCGGCTCGTTGATTGGTAGCCATGGCCCCACCACACCATCTGCCGGTGAGCAGCAGCCAATCAGACATGCGGATGCCTCCCAGCGTAAGATTACTCGACCAGCATGACGGCACCGTCGGAGCCCGCCTGAAAACTCTGGTGACGCCGCGGTCAGGGTGGTATTCGCCCAGCACGGTTTCTTTTCTCTCAATCTGCCGATTGATACCGTATCTCCTTCATGACACCTCCATCAGCCCCACGGCGACGGGACTGCCTTCCCGAACCACCGTGACACCACCGTGGCAACTGACAGGGAACAAGGGACAACAGTGCAACCCCGTGTGACCCTGACGTGCACGGTGGGTGCATCCAACCCTGTCCCTGCTAGTGGATGGCTCCAGACAGGGGTAGGCTGATACCATCGAGCCTATCGCAGTGGATCCATTCAGGCACGACTTGCCAAGAAGACCACCCCTTAATCCTTCACACTGTAGATAGATAACAAGGAAAAGGCAGTTCTAGATCGCGGTGGACTCCGAAAGCCCAGATGCCGTCACAGAATGCAGCACTATTGTTTGAGGGTGGAAAGCGCAGGTGTCCACATCCGGTCAAATTGCGGCCTCAGGCATCAATTCAACCCGCAGCTCTCTCGGCTGCAGCAACAGTTCGGGCTGGACAAACACCTTATCTCTCTGAACCGGGTGACTGGTAAGAATGTTCCGATAGAGTTTGGGGGGTTGTTAAATTTAGCAGGTAGCCCCTGGTGCTTGCACTCTGCAGGGCTGTCGGAACCTGGTGGCTCACCCGTGAATATATATTGCAGGGTCAAGTGGAGTAACAGGGCACACTCAGCCAAGATTGAGCTTGGAGATCCAGAAGACAGCACTTTTTCCTCTCACTTTATGGAAGAAATCCAGTAAACTTGTCCACATGAAGTTTGTTCCATTGAGATGAAATTCTCGTCCCAGCCCCACTTGACAGGTACTGAGGGGCTGAACAGTAAAGCCACAGCACAGGATAGATAATAGTACAATTTGTGTTCACAAACGAGGCTTTTCCACCTAAGAAATCATAACCACTGTCTGAATCCCATCAATTGAATTCCGGCTTATATTCACCCTTCCACGACCGCCCATCTTCCTTTCTAATCTTCAGTTTGTCGACATCAATCCCCTCAAACATACGGACCTAACCTTCTTAGCGTGGATCGTCTAGCCACAACAATCAACTCACATTAACACAAACAAAAGGAGGATCGGGATCTGGAAGCTGGACAAAGCAGCTGCTCCCGCACTGTCCGCAAAAACGATGCCGGACCTGCCGGCTGTTGAAGCGGTGATCTTTCAACACATCTTCGCCCCTCTCGAGGACAAAGTCCTTAGTATCAGGATACACGAGCAGGTATCCGTTTCGGGAGCAGATCGAGCAGTTGCAGTTCATGACTGGATACTCGTGCAAGGGTGGGGAAAGGGTCACGGTGAACCGCACTGCGCCACAGTGGCAGTTGGCCTTGTGGACGCTGCTCTCATTGGTGGGGGGTGGCTGGGGATTGTATCCCGACATGATGGTGGTGTTGGCGTGATGGGGGGTTCGATCTTTGCGCACAAGGTCCTTGAGAGATTTGGGGCTCTTATGAACATGAATCTCAGCCTTGCAGTCGCGTCGGGGCCTATTAGGCTACTGCAGCATTCGTGACTCATAGTCACATGACATCAGCCTTCTCGTATCCTCTTTGTGGTACGGACTTCTCCGTACGAGGAGGATCCTTCCAGGTTTCAGGGTCTGCTGGCTTCCCGCCCGGATAACCATGCTGCGCCACGGACGCTGTCGATCTGACAACTTCAAGTTAATCAAGCTCTCTTGGCTGCTCTGGTTCCTCTACAAGGCTTAGTGTCCCGGGCCATGAGGTTAGGCGTCCAGGCATCAGCCTCCACCAATCAGCATGTTCCGCCAGCCGCTCCGAACTCCTTGCCTAATTAGGAAATCGTTGCGCTGCTGAGCTGCTTTCTCGGGGCATCAGTACAAAAGGCAGTCAGATCTATGGATCAATTTGATTCCCATTCCTCAACTCCCTCACAGGACTTCTGATAATCTTTAACCTACATTTTACCAACATGTCACAAGGTCCCGTTGGAAAACTGATCCACGGGGTCACCTCGAGTATTGGCCTCGCATCCGAAGTCCACGGATATAGAAAGGCGAAGAAGGCAGCCAGAAAAGAGCGAGAACTCGAGCAGCAGCAGCAACAGCAACCCCAAGAGCTATCGGTCTCCCCCTCTCAGTCTCCGCCTCGGTCTCCCGCTCGATCTCCCCCTCCATACGCGGCATCTCCCGAGGAGCAGGACGGAACGAGAGCAGAAGGCCCCACCGTGGACCAGGGAGTCGAGCGCACATGGCAACTCGATGAAGCCCAAGATGCCATAGTCGAAAAGACGAAGCCTCGCAAAAGCAAAAGTGGAGTCGCCAACCCGGACAAAGTTCTTGCCGCCTTTCTCCAACGCCGGCCGCCCCCGGAGACATTGCCAGACAGCATGTATCCGGGACCCCGACTCACTTATCCCGTTGCAATTCCCCAGCGCCGTCCCAAAGACAAGTCGCGCGGGTTTGTCCGCGCGTACGCCCCAGAGTTGCAAAACATGAGGGTGGACCAAGAGACCTGGTTGGATTTCATCGAGACGTTCAACGAAGCCATTCTGGCGAATCCATGGATCAACGCGCTGAATTTGGCGTCCCTTGCAGCTGCACCGTTGCCGTCGCTAATCTCCACTGCAATTTCGACGGCGATTATGGTTGCGACGACGGTGGCGATTGAGACCCAGGGCCGCTATCGGTAAATCTCCCGCCTTTCTTACTTGTTGTTCTGCTACACCAGCAATGAACTGTATTGACCAGGGTTGAGTTGCAGACAAAACAAAGCTCTCGACAGACTCAACGACGAATTCTTCCGTCCTCGCGGCCTCTACTGCCTCGTCATGACATGGGACCCGACGTCTTCCAGCGCCCGCACCAACCTCGACATTAACACCACCATCCAAAACACGATGGACAGCCAGGGCAAAATGTCCCACAAATTCCAGACTTCGAACGGGGTGACCAACGGAATGGAATCCATGCAGACCGCCCAACTCATCTTCCCGGATCTCGACTTTCTCGCCACGGCCACAAAGGACGAGGAGAAGGGTTTCAAGAAGAAGCTGGGGCGCGGCAAGGACTTTATCGATGATTACAACGATCGGAGGGCGCAAGCAAAGTTTGTAAGTATATCCTTATTCCTTCAAGATTCCTTCGCTGATCTGGCAACAGTACGCCGAGAACCCGACAAGCTATCTCAACCAAGCTGGAAAACCGAAATTCCTTTCCAAGTACGGTGATCCGACGCATCCCATGCACAACGGGTTATCTGGAGGCATTCTGGGAGGAAATCAGCAGGGCCGTGGCTTTGGCCGCGGGGGCGGCCTGGGCGGCATGGGCATGGATCGAGGAATCGGAGGTGGTGGTCTTCTCGGGCTGGTCAGTCTGGCCACCCAGGCGGTTAGTGATCATAGACAACGAAACGCCACCAACCGTGGGAATCCACACGCACCGTATGGGGATTCTCCGAGGCCTTATGGAGAACGCGAACAGCAATGCCAGCAAGCCAGGGGTGCTAATTCGGGGTACTATGATGAACGCGGACAGCAGCACTATCAGCAGCAATATGAGCAACAACACTACCAGCAACAGCCATATCAGCAACCGCAACAACAATACCAACAAACCAACTTTCGTGCAGGGACAGGTGCAGGTGCAGGGGGTCTCAGCCTGAGCAAGCTATTCAGTGCGGTACGTATCTCTGCTCCCTCAACTTGCATTGACGGGTGATGATACTGACATTCGCGCAGAAAGTTCTTTACCTCATGGTCGTCAACATGCCGACAGAAGAAGAGATGGCTCAAGCGCAACGGTTGACTGCGGGCTGGAATCTCGAGGGTCAGCAGCAACGGTATTGAGTATAGTGATGCGGTGCGGTCGAGTTGGATTCATACACTATACTATCTACATGGCGATCTTTCGGTTACTTGTTCTTGAGCGCATTATCCGTGGTGATTTGGTAGCGTTGTATATATCTGCTTGGCTATAATAAATGTCTACACATAACTTTCTATTTATCAATCTATGAAAGAGCATGCCTCCAGAACAGCTATTCCCCGATATCGCGCCAACACCAAGGGGAGATTAAACGTTAAATGCGACGAACGTGTGGGGCAAGGAAAACCAGAATCACTGACCATCCAGCAGATCGATGGTTTGTCTTGGATTAAATCGAGGGCACAAGAGACCACAAGCACAGGCCACTAGTCGCAGGGTGCCAATCTCTAGGGGCGATGGCGCAATGCGGGGGAACCCTATATAGATCCCTTGAATCGAGCAGTGTGGAGCGCACGAGCAGACTTCTTCTGGAGATAAAGTTGCCACCAATCAATTAGCCAAGACTAAAGAGGGAACTGTATCGGAATATGGGCTACAATGACTGTGACCTTGAATTCTTGGAGGATGGCTGGACAAAATCACAGATTTTTATTCTCCCGAGTTCAGCTCCATGGATCTGTGCCCACATCTAACATTGATTTTGTGTCAGTGAGTCGACTTATCGTGTTGTTTTAAAGAGACAAAGTCCGTGCTAATGCGCACAATGAATATCAAATGATTGATTGGTGTCATCTACTTTATAGGAAGAGACAGAAGCGAAATGCCACATGAATACCAGGAGATAATGAGAAAGACGAGAGCAACATCAAACACAGACGTAGTAAAATTCAATTATTCCATTTCCATCATGGCCCTAGAATGCTTCCACATTTTGTATGTAACAGATACTAATGACTCTACGCGAAAGCAACACATGCATGATTACAACTAGATAAAAAAACATCGATACCTCGAAATCAAAACGTAAGGGTATGCATCGCCCCTTCTCAACCACCCCTACACCATCCATCTCCGCTACAATGGGAGTCTTCTGCCACCAGTTCCCACTCACTTCCGCAGCCGGTACGCTCGAGATCCCATCCTGTCCCAGCTCGTGTCCCTCGTGTCCCCCACTGAGCTCTGCAAAGTGGCCTTGAGGTGCTGGGCCTGGTGCATGCACGACTTCCGAGTCTGCGGTGGGCTGGGCACGTTTGCGTTTGAGCATGAAAAAGACTAGTCCGGCAATGACGCTCACGCCAGCGACGGCTCCGATAGTGACGCCGACGATGCCGCCCTTGGACAACCCGCCCTTGGAGCTGCCGGTGTTGCTGGTGTTGCTCTGTGCGGATGTCGAGGTTGCATTAGCGGCGGCCGTGGCGGCTGTAGTTGCACTGGTGGGGGTAGTGATGACCGCTTTCTCGAACATGGTTGCCAGCGCGGTGTTGTTGAATCCATTCGCCGGTTGGGTGACGTTGGCACCGCCCGTGGAGCTGTATCACCGTCAGCAGAGATCGACCGGGGGCATATGACCAATTACCTTCCGCCAATGACATCGGTAATCACTGAGCTGAGCGCATATTTCCGATGTATCCGCGGCATTGTAATCGGTCAGCCAAGTGTGGTTGTTCAGGTTGAAGATGGCGATGCCGTTCTCAAATTGGCCCGAGTCGCAGTTCACCGGCTTGGGCTCATACTCTGAGCTGTCGGTGGGAATGGTCCCTCCCACTACAATCATCGTATGATTTCCCAGGAGATTGCACGTGTGCTTTTCGCGGATGCTGCTGCCCTCGTTCACACGGATCCAGCGGAATGACGGCAAAGAAAGAACATACACGTCGCCATCGGAATTGGCGGTGGTTGCGCCCATGCCGCCAAAGTCATAGCTATTGAAGAGTCGTCAGACGTGGCAATGAACCACAGGGGGGAAGCATGGTTACATGGAGAATGACGATCGGTCTGCTGCTGCCACCGTAATACTGCAGCCTGCCATCCGCCAGGAGGGAATATCCCCGGTGCTCTGCTGCGTGTACCATGTCTGGTTGGCAATGTCATACAGGGTAATGTATTCCATGGGGTTCTGCCTCGTTAGCTGCATATACCAAGAAAATCAACATGGGACATACATGGTAGGAGTCGTTCGTCTGTTTGGGCACACAGCAACGACAGCTTACTTCCAACCGGATACTTGTATCCACCAAAGGACACTAGCAACCCTTCATCGCCGACATCCTCCAGGATGTTGACATATCCTGCTCCAATAGTACCATAGTTGCTCATCTCCTCCGTCGACAGACTCGACCACGTAAGCGTGGACTGATCCAGGGTCAACAAGCCACTGACAATTTGTACATCTGCACCCGCGGTGCCATAGACGTTCGGATTACCGCCAGGGTCTTCGATCCCCCCAAGGTAGTACGCTTTGTTCTGCGAGTATGATACCACGGCACCTCCTTCCGCCAGACGAACATACGGCACGCCACCGAACCCATCTCGGGTCCAGTTATTACTTTGAATGTTGTACTTCCAGGTCTCGACAGGCGCTACATCCTTAAGCCCGTCGCGACCACTGATATAACCGCCGTAGAAATAGAGGTTTTGGCCATCCTTGAACTGGGATCCTTCATCACAGAAGGTCGGATAAGCGTCCGGGTCGGAGGCATTATATGGCTTTTCGATGTGCGTGAACTGATCTGAATCGGTATTCGAGAAGGACTTGGAGACGCCGATGGTCTGTAGATCTCGGACTGAGAGGGATTAGCATGGGCCAGCGACCACGCACCGCTGTCACACATACTCGCATAGGCCGAGATGGTATCATTGTCTTCGAGATAGCGAACCTCTCCACCGTCGATGAACAACGTCTGGTTATTGATAATTGCTGGATTGGAAGTCAGCGAGACATTACGTTGCAACCAATCAAAGAGGCCAGGTGGACTTTGGCCCCCAAATTAACGCGTACGACTGCGACTAGTAGATAATGGCTATGCACCGTAGCCTCGCCCCGCGGCCGCGGTCGGCGGTGGATACGAACTGACCATCAACATCCACCGCCTGAGGACGGAGGGCGGGAAAACAGTGAACGCACATGCCCATGCCTCTAGGCAAGGGGACTATGGTCATTGCGTAATTTGACTGGGGTGTACGGAGTACAGACAGCATGGCTCACTGTTCCCAGGAACTCTGTTCCGTGATGTCTGAGGGAAAGAGGGATCCACCGAGTTGATCCTGGTCATTTAGCAAAGCTTGGCGGCAAGCTATCGTCGTGCCCAATCTCCGAGATAGTCGGGCATAAGACACATTCGGCTAGAACGAAATTCTTCAGTGTTTGACAGGGTTCTCCACGTGGTTCGTTCCAATGGTCCAAAAGAAAAAAAAAAAAAAAAAAAAAAAAAACATCAAGTTACACGCTAGGTCCCGCCGAACGATGTCCTCTGTAACTGGCACGCATTCCAAGATACTGTCTGCCAGACTCTCCGTATAGGTATAGGTCCGATTAATTTTCAGTCCCGCCTTTTCCATTAAAGCATACCACTGCTCTTTCGTCCGCTCCATGGACGCCAGAGACACCATCATGGAGACATCAATCTGGGTGGCATGCCAGTGCGCCCCGCCATCTGGGATGACCATGTCATCGACCAGAATGATCGAGTCGGGGCTCATGGCGGCCATGATATTCTGAAGGATAACCACGGCCTTGTCATCCGGGTAGTCGTGCATGATCATCCGGAGATAGTAGATCCGGGCGCCTGTAGAACACCACATCAGCCACAACGACTCACAACCACGATCCTGACCAATCACATACCTTCAACAGGCTGCTTCGTAAAGAAATCATGCCCCATCATTTCCACCCCGTCATGCGGGATCCCTTGCGCCACGACAGACGGGAAATCCTGACAGATGACGCGGTTCGGCACTTGCTGCACGGGCACTCGGTCCCGAAGCATGACACACTGGTGGCCGATCGCGCCCCCGGCATCCACGAAGAGCGCTTGGTCCGGACGGAGGTCGGCCGTTTTCTCGTGGATCGGATAGACGTCCAACCAGGTGGGCAGACCCATGTGGTGGGCTTCCATGAACTGGAGGAAGTGGGCGAGTTTCTCAGGCATGGTTTGCATCAAGATAAAGCCGGGGAGATCGGTATTAAAGACCTTTTGGAGGGGGGTTTTGGTGGGGTCCGTGATGTCTTGGTAGTTGGTGGATTGGAGGAAGTCGGGGAGGGCCCACATCACGGGGCCGATGCTGTCTACACTGGGCATGATGTTAGTAACTGGGCCGCATGGATGAGGAAGGGCAGAGTACTTGTGGTAGATGGCGGATTGGATACCGGGGATAGTGAGGGAGTGGGTGATGTTGTTCGCGGTAAAGGTGTTGATGCCTGTTTCTCGGATGGTGCCGACGGAAGCAAGGTAGCGTAGGATACGGCCTGGGGGGAGATGAGAATGAAGGAGAGATGGGGGGAGGTGGGGGGTGCTCACCTAACAGGATTGGCGCTGCGTTTGTCTTCGCGACTAGTTGTTCGGTGGTCAAGGGCTCTTTGCTCTCGCTAAGGATGTTGAACAGCTTCAGGTCAAGGCCGACCCTGACCAAGGCGGGTTGCAGATGCTGAGTCCCTCATTAGATGGTGGCTGTGAAACGACGCTTCGCGAACGTACCAGGTAAGAAATTCTCTGCATCGTGTCCTGGGGAGTCTCAAGAGAGTAGGACAGATTGCTAAGGGTGTCTATGATGGTCTTTCGGGTTGCTTCATCGCCACTCCTAGCGAGCGACTGGATTTGAGCAACGATTTGATCCATGCTGAGATTGTTGATGTATCGAGATCTGGAAAGTGCGCAGCAATCAGGGCAATGGCTCTCATGCTCTGACAGCTGTAGGATATACGCTGGCTTTATATGTACCCTGAGGCTCAAATGCTGACTCGAGACATGAGGCTGTCAGTCTGCGTTACTATCAGTGGGTCCTGGCTGGAAAGTTGTAGCTGAAAGGACTTCGCATCGCTTCTGATAGGTGTCCTGCAGACCTATATAATAGTACTATCCACAAAGCGTGTTAGCGCTGAGTAAGACGAAGTACTCTGGTGCCAGATAGCCGGGCTAGATAGCAAATGGGAGGAATAAAAGCCCAGGGTCTAACCGAGGGGCATTTTTCTTGGCCGCAGGCTTAGCCTGTGAGACTATCAGGCACAGCGTCCGTTACTGAGCTTGGGGTCCATTAGAAGGTGGTGTTGAGACCTCGGGCTAGGCTTCCCCAAGCAATAGTAGTAATAGTAGTAGTGGTAGCAGTAGTGGTAGTAGTAGTAGCACTGCATCAAATAACCCAGGAAAGAGGGGGTGGGCTGATGTCTGCTACAGGCCCCTCACAAGTACTGGCATGAACTTGCCTGCTTGTCTTCATTCTACCCACGAAAACGCGGCGAGGCCATTAGGATGAACCATGCTGCAAAACCTGACCTCGTCCGCATTCAGTCCACGTAAGACAAAGAGGACGTAAAACAGTATGTGGTCGGATAGAACTGGTAATTACAAGGTGAGGCAGGCGTTTACGGTTCCGCGGACAACACCTTCCTGTCTTCAGTGTCGTCGGCAGAAACTTGTCAGCTCTTGACCACCGTATCGGATTGGGTTGCACGTCTAAGGATTGAGTTTTCCCCTGCAATCTCCCACTAGCCTATTTGTGGCACGGGTGGTGATGAGGCCATACAGCCGGATATCACTGACGGGCAGTGTCTGTTAGAAGAGGGTCACGTATAAGGATCCACCAGATGCATGGACACTCCTGTCAGTTGTACGCATCATGTTCCAGAGCTTGCTGCTTTTTAACGTCATCCCAGAGAGCTTCCGGGTGGGTGTTATCGGACTGAGACATAAACAAGAATCCTTTTAACAAAGGCACCACGGTGTCCCATCCGTTGAGAGACAATTGCTCTGCAACCTCCGCCAAGTGAGCCACATACCATGCCCGACTGACGGGTTCTTTGGATGCCATGCCACCCATAAAGAGCATCCAGAAGGATAAATCGGGTGCTATACATTGAGCAAGGGGAAGCCCTGTCCTCAACCGATTGCGGAGAGCTATCACGAGGGAGCTGATACCCGGCAGGCCTCCAAACGTCCTTATCTGGACGACGGCATATAACAGGACGGATAGTCGTAAGCATTCGTTCAAGTCAGATGCGATACAATCATGAATTAGCGACAAAACACGATGGATTGCATAACCCACCCACTCGTCCAGGGCCGGGACCTCGGCTGCTCCTTTGGTCGACAGACAATGGGTAATCCGTCGGAAGAGCCGGATTGCGGTCCGAAGCGCTGGATGAACATATGTTGACCAAGGGGAGTCAAAGAAGCGACCACCGACCAGAGATGGCTCCGAGACACCACTTTTCGGATGGTGAACATCCAGGTTCCCCAGTACTGCGGTCTTCCACGTTACTGACATTGGGAACACTGGTGCTGATATTCGGAGGACGCCGCTCATGATATCGGCACTGGCAATAACGGTTAGGGACCAGATCATCATGGAGTGTTCTAGTCAGGACCCACGAGTAGATCATTGAGACCGTCTCCCGGCTCAGCATGTCTATACCGCCCCTTAAATCAACCATTTTGATCAAGCCACTCAGGTGACACTCCACGGCTTCCAAATTGGCGTCTGCGGCCTAGGGCGCCGGGTCAATCCTCGATTCTCGCCCTGGCAGGGGACGACTCAGGCACCCACCTCTACACAGATTAAGTGCGCGATAAGGAGCAGTGCTGACTCCAGCAAAGGTTCGTTTGGACTTTGCACCATATTCTGGATGTGTTTAATGGTAATCGCCCGGAACTTCAGGGAATCTCGCTGGGCCTTTTGAACGACGGGACGCATCTGAGCCAGAGATCCCCGAAACTCTCGATGGGTAGCACTGGTGGACAGAAGAATATGTAAGAGAGCCGGCTGCCCGATGGCCTGCTGCAACCACCAGACCCCTATCCTTGAGGCCGCAAATGGGTAGATCGACTGGGCGCACTGGGTCCGATCTAGCATGCGGTTAGCAATTCCCCTGTCGCGCACAAGCGTGCGAGACGGGTCTTACAATAGTGAAAGTAGAAACACATATTGTCGGTCATGGAGTCGGCAAAGGATGAGAAGGGGTCCAGCCCTCCCGACTGCAAGGCTTGGTCCCACGACCCGATCCGGGGGTGGGATGGCAAGGGTTCGATGGAGGCCTTCAGCTTTTGCAATCGCTCTTGCTTCTTGGACCGGAAATGTCGTCTCTTCAGGAAGGCTTGTTTTCGTTTGGCCACAGCATGGGCCTGAGAGGACTCATCCTGGTAGTCGATAAATAAGAAGGCCCCTTGACTGTCGGGCCGATCGCTGGGGGCATCGGACTCGGCATGTGCCGGCCATGCGGTTCCTAAATACAGCTCCATACGTCTAAGTTGTGAGACTGTGAACGCCTCATTCCTCGGATGGAAGCAATGCGGTGGGGGGGGGGGGGGGGAAGTGATCAAGGAATAAAGGAATGGAAGTGGAGGGGAAGTGAAGAGAGAAGTGGACGAGGGGGAGCTGGAGCCTCGCGGCGCCCACTCAGCCCTGGCACGTGATTGGCCTCCGTCGGTCCCTGTCAGTGTCACTAGCTAGTAAATACTAGTTAGCTTTAGTGATAATCCTCGGTTCCTGGTCGAGATCGAGGAGCCGTCAGCGAGTCCCCGCGTGGTTTCTTCTTAGAATACTATTCATGAAAGTCAGGTCCCACCACGTGGGGGCCTGCAATACTGGAAGCATCAACACGTGGGCAATCGTCGCAACGGAGTGGTCGGAAGAGAAGCGACAGTCGGCAAAGGGGAAATTATCCATCTGAGCACCACATACTCCGTAGATATATTCACTCCAGACCCCCTCCCCTCAAATGGCTAGCATCTACGAGGGCCTGCTCAACATGATCTCCGGGCTGGTGACATTGTTGTTGACGGCGGGGCGACCCGCCCTCGCGACCCGCGACTCGTTCTACCCGCCCCTTAACCACACCACCTTCATCACCAACGCTTCCCTCGGCACCTACGGCGGCATCTACACGGCCCCGGCCGATCAAGCCAGCTCCCCCTCAGCGGAAAATGTCTACAACTATTGTTCCATGCCCCATCCCCGCGCCGAGACGTATTCGCTGCCGCCCCCCGTCGCCAACCAGTCCGTCTCCGCTCGGCTAGTCTACCTCGAGTATGTGCAGCGGCATCAACGACGCACCCCGTATAACATTCTTCCCGGGGGAGAGGTACGTTGAACCTCATCTATGATGAGAATGACGTCTAATCAGTGCCTCAGAATCAACAATATCACTGCGACAATCTCCAGGCGCATGTCTATGTCGCCCCGGCTTCCCAGGGCCCGGCTCCCATCCCGGTTTATGGTCAAACTTATTCCGATCCCTCCAATCCATTCCTAGCAACCTATGTGAATGGCTCCTGTCAGTATCCCCAGCTGACCATTGGGGGCTTCCTGGACGGCTACCAGCACGGGCGCGACCTTCGCGCAGTGTACGGCGACCAGTTGCAGCTAATCCCTTCATCGCCGGACGAGGACAACGGCAAAAAGATCTGGCTACGGTCCAGCACATCGGCCCTCACCCAAGGCTCGGCCGGGGGTGTTCTGCGGGGCATTTGGCCTGATTACAATGCACCCCTGCCGCTGCACCAACAAGCCTCCGGGGTCGACACGGTCGACCAGGGATTCTCCTGTTCTGCTCAGAGCGAGGTCCTCTCCGCCATTGAGTCTACGGCAGAGTGGAATGAGCACTTGACCGTAACCAAGGCCCTACGCAGTCAGCTGGCGACCATGTTCGATGCGGATACCTCCAGCTGGACCTCAACGTTTGACCATTTCGCGGACAATTTCCAGGCCCGTCTGTGTAATGGATACGAGCTTCCCTGTCGCGTCCAGAATGAGTCGCAGTGCGCGACCCGCGACCAAGCAGAGGAGGTGTTTCGTGCCGGCGATTGGGAATGGAATTACTGGTGGCGCCACAACGCAAATGCTACTCGGTATATCCAGCTAGTGGAAGGATTATTCATTGGGGAGATCGTCCGCCATCTGGAAGCGGTCCAGCTGGGAACATCCGAGCTTGTGTATAGCCACAACTTTGTTCACGATGGAGACCTCGGGCCTATCCTCGGTGCATTGGGCATCAAGGCACTACGGTGGCCGGGAATGGGATCAAACATTGCGTTTGAAATCTGGTACGCGCTTCTCTCTACCCATCTTATGATTCAGGATGGCACTAATCAGCTATAGGCAAACATCCACCTCCGAACTTTACGCCCGTGTCTTGTATAGTGGACGTGCGATCGAAACGATTCACGGCACCTTGGACTGGATACCACTCTCGTCCTTGATCAGCATCCTCAAACCATACATTCCGGACGACATCGTCGCAATGTGCCAGTCTAGCTGAGATTGTATTTTAATAGATAGAATGAATGACTGTCAAGTGACGGAATGTCAATCTTGGCAGCAATAGCAATAGACCCCATCCGAGCAACACTGCGGGAATGCTCCATGGCAACAAACGGCTTGGGAGCAGGGCGGCGAGCAAACATAGCAGGCTAAAGGCTTCAGTATAGTCTCATCTGCACCGCGTAGCAGGAACATAGCACGTACAATTATCGGTATCCGCCAGCACCCTTTGCACCGGCTCGATAGCATCGATCATGGATTCCCTCTTGATGCTCGCTGTCCAACCTGGTATTTTTTCAGTTATGTTCTCACCAAGAGTTGAATGCGACCTTACGGCTGATCTGGCGATGATCTGCACCAACCGTTAGAGCGCTCAACCACAGAGTCCAGAGATAGACGGTCTTCATTCTTCTTGTTGCTTGTCTTGTATATCAAGGAGCAGGAAAAGAGCGCGAGACTCACCCCGCTAAAATATACCCTCCTCCCACAGTCAGCTGCAGCTATCATTCCCCGCGTGAACATCTTGGCTGCATATCATCTGGCGGAGACAATCCAATCACATCACCTGATCGGACAAATCTTGGATATCATCTATTTGTTGCCTCAGGCAACAACATGTCACTTGAACGGTCGCATGCCACAGGGTCCGGGAACTTTTCAGCCGGTTCCGGTTTCCATTGTCCTCCTCCTCCTCCAGCATCGGCACGTCGGGCCCAATTCTCTCCGACCCAGACCTGCATAACTAACTGTCAGTCTGACACATCTCTTGTCTCCACCCGACCGTCATCATTCACAAGTGAGAACGGCCATTGGAGTTGGACGGGAGTACCATGCGTCACCACCGCACCCACGGTCTCACATCTTGGCTACCACGTACCCTCTGCCAACAGGAACGATGGAATTTGGAAGGCTTCGCGGCGCGCTCGATCGCGATCGACCCCATCATTGGCCCCGATAACCCTTATCAACGCCTCAACCGGACAGAATCCTGGTCGGGCTCGCAACATTAGTACGGATTAGAAATGCGTTTCCGCCCATCCCGAGCTTTGTCCCTCTTATCGCATCATCTCCTCGCTGTCGCCCAATGCCCCAACAAAAAAGGGCTCGGGAGGAGATTCTTCTTTTCTCCAGACACAATCCCTACTGCTCGATTACGCGCCATGGCTGCTGATGAACACCAAGAGTCTGTCTCAGAGGAAACTACGCCTCTCTTGGGGACGACGCCTGCGGGCGATGGAGAGGATTCGCCGCGGGTTCGTGTGACTCGGCTGAGAGGATCGGCCATAGTGGCTGCGATGGGATTGTTGCTGTTCATCATGAGTATGAAACCGTTTACAACTTTTGGCTGCTATGAATCCAAGCTGAAATCCATCAGCGACCAATATGTCGATGATGACCACTGCGCAGTCGGATATCGCCGCCGATCTAGATGCATTCTCCGAGACGACATGGTTCAACTCGGCCTTTTTGGTACGTCCGGTCTATTTCTCTCTCTATGTGGTTTTGGGCTTGTGCTGATGAATTCCCGTTAGATTGCCATGTCCAGTCTCACTCCTCTTTCCGGTCGACTGTCCGAGATATTTACACCCCGCGTCTATATCCTATTTTCATGCACCCTGCTATCTATTGGCCTCTTTGTGACGGCAGCAGCTCCGACCCTGGCAATTTTTCTTCTAGGAAGAGCGCTCACAGGATGCGGTGCGGGCGGACAGATGGTCATCGCTTTTGTCTTGACACTGGATTTAACGAGCAAAAAGCGCAGGGGCCTGTTCATCGGTATGATCAGCACCGGCATGACCATTGGTGTCTCCTCAGGTGCAGTGCTCGCCGGCCTCTTGACTCCGGCTTTCGGATGGGTAAGTTTTCATGAAACCCACATACATTGCTCCCTGGGATGACACGGGATAGCGTCTCATCTTCTGGGTCCAAGCACCGGTTGCCTTGCTACTGGGCCCAATGCAATTCCTCGCGATCCCGAAACGTCCCGGAGATGAGCAGCTGAGTGGACGTGCCCTCCTGCAGAAGCTGGCGCAGGTTGACTATGCCGGGGCGCTGACGTTGGTAAGAGCAACCTTTTGTTTGGTTGACCGAGTTTAACCGTTGCAGGCCACTTCCGTCTTCCTCCTGCTTTCCAGTCTTGCTGCATCGGAAATCCAGATGACTCCAATCTTCCTGTCTTTCGTCTTTCTGGCCGTTTTTTTATTGATCGAATCTAAATACACCGCCGATCCAATCATTCCGATCGAGGTACTCAAGGTGAGGAGTGTCTTACTCAGTTGCCTGGCAGGTGCGATCACGATGATGGCTCGCTGGGCCGTTCTGTTCTACTCACCGGTATATGCACTCGTCGTTCGAAACTGGTCTCCGGCCTCCGCGGGATTGATTCTGGTTCCAACCAATGCGGGATTCGGACTTGGAGGACTCTTGGTGGGATGGATCCATATCCGTAAAACGGGAAGCTATTACATGTAGGTGGTTCCTTGTCTTTTTCACCAGATGAAGGCCGCCTGGCTGACCGAATGCGTTTCAGTTCCGGACTCCTGGCTTTCTTACTTTTCGCCCTAACGAACCTCATGTTGTCGGTGCTTTCCACGCCAGAATCTTCCACCGTTGCCTATCTAGGTGCGGCCTTCTTCAACGGCCTATCCGTCGGGGCAGTCATGAACTATACTCTCTCCCATTTGTTGCATCTCACCAACCCAGAGATGCATTACGTGATCAGCGCCTTGTTAGGGATGAGTCGGGGCTTTGCTGGAAGCTTTGGGTCGTCCATTGGTGGGGGCTTCTTTCAGCGTGAGCTGAAGAGGGGTCTTGAGACGGGGTTCACGAAGCATGGGCTCGGCGGCCGAGATGAGCTGATCCGTAAACTGCTCGGAAGTCCGGCGCTGGTAAAGAGCTTGACGGGGGTGGAGCGAGCCGTGGCGGTGCAAAGCTATGAGCAAGCGGTAAAAATGCTGCTTCTGGGGGGCTGCGTGTTGACTCTTGCTGGTGCTGCTGTACAGGCTGGGACTGGCTGGGCTCCGTATAAGGGAGAGACGCGAGCAGATGATCTTGAAGACTTGGAGGCCACCCCTCAACGAGTTCGATGATCACACTGCGACCTCTAAGTAGGCATCCTCGTGGGTATCGTGCTACCGTCGCGTGAGATACTCGCGTCTCCGGTTGATCCGCTTTGCGCATCACCCTCCTGGTAGCCTTTGGCTTGGTGTCTCTCGTTTGAATACTGCGGATGCTGGTCTATAAAGCGATAGGCCCACATTTTGGACAGCTTGGGAGACGCTTTGCTAGAATCCGATTGCATGCCTCGCAGAATGGCCTCTGCCGCCTTCTTGATCAATTGCGGTGTCAGGGGCGTGGCCTCTCGATCCAACGTATCCAGATATTGGAACAGTTCGTTGTACTGCGCGTCATCCAGACGTAGATTGACGCGTTTGCGGGCACAGCGGGATTGTCGCCCGATGATTCGACCGCGTAGCCGGCTGTAATTCAGGCCGGAATCACGCGCGAGCCGGCGCATGGAGACCGTTTCATTCCGGGCTTTCTTGTCATTGTAGATGCGCACGGCTTCTTCGTATTTGATTTCATCTGCCTTGTAGGTTGACGCCATACTGGTATGTCAAGAGACGATACGCGGTGAGCGGGTGGAAAACGCATGGCGCCACGCGTGGCATTTCGACTCTGTACCTTGTGCTGGATGCCTGGGTGCCTGGGTGCCTGAGAGCTTGGCACGATGGATACTGTCAAGTGCACGGGCCCATACTTGGTGCTCTACTTAGTACTTACAGTAGCAACGTCAATTGCACCTATCAAAGCGTTCTGCTGCTGTCTACGGAGTACGGCCTTGATAATCATCTGCAGTACGAGAGTCGTGTCATTCCATCACAAAGATGACCCTGTGCACCACACTCAGGCACAGCGAAGCCTGCATTGCGGCGCCTACTTGCCTGAGCGCGGAAACCGCAACAATTCTATTAGTTGACCAGGAGGCAGGGATGCCCCAAGCGGTAGCTGTCTGCCTAGCCACCTTCACGTGGTAAATGCAGCTGCCGCCAATCACTCAGTCTACCAACTCTATCTTCTCCGGCCCTGTTATTCTCAAAACTCGTGTCCTACTTCCACAAGCTCCTCTTCTATATCAGAAATCCATCACCACCAACCATGCCCCGTACCATCTCCCTCAGCATCTTCGACAACGGCGCCAAGCCCGCCCACTGGGCCATCTTCATCCCCACCGGCGACCAAGGCCTAAGAGGCAAAATCATCCATGTAACCGGCAATCCCGCAACGGGTTTTCTTCCTAGAATTCAAGCGCAACTATGACTTCCTGAGTGAGACTCGCATATACCATATCCTTCCTCTCGCCCAAGTCAGTGAGCAGTATGTGAGAGATACGGTGGGGAATGGGCGGGAATCGATAGATACTATCGCGCGGGACCGGATGGAGTCGGTGGCGGTTGTTGTACCCGCTCCGGGGCGGAGTTTGAATCCTTTTGATCCGACGGTGGGTTGGGTTTGGTTATGGGGATATGGTGATTATGGGGGCTGATTTTTGGTAGGCGTTGAATTGTCAGAGCTGGATATTTCACTATGTTCAGAGATTGAGTGTGGAGGGATTGGTTTCTAGTGATGCGAGCTTGGTTTTGCAGAGTGCTCCGAGGGTGTTGCGTAAGTGATGCTATTGGCCTTAGGTTAGAGGTTTTTGTTTCTATACTATAGATTTTGCAATGCCGGTTTTGTTGCGTCAACCCGGTATATGCATCTATCGTTTACATACGCTCCGCGCATTTGATCCAATTCTCTATTATCCGTTAAATAGTAAACGCGCAGGTGAAAACTACACTGGCGAATACATGGGAGGCGGAGAGGAGTAGAGTGTAGCTATTTTTTTGCAGCCCCAAGTACGGAGTATTCACTGTCTATACAGATAAGTTGCCTGGTGAACCGGGCGGCAATATTGTTACTGCCTTGGTGCCTGAGGGTCTTGGCATCGCTTGGCCGCGGAATCTCTCGTTCTTCGAGCTTCGCCTTTGACACCGTGCAACTCACTCGTTCTCCTCACCTGCTCAAATCAATCGCATCCATCATACCTCACGTGTCACCAATCATACTCTATCTCTCCACAGCATCAACATGCCCCGCGCCGTCAGAGGTACGCCACCCGCAGCCATTCCCCGTCCCCGCTAACCGACGCGTAACAGGAGTCCTTATCGAGTGCGATCCCTCCGTGAAAGCCATCATCCTCAAGTACGACCAAGAAAGACACGACTATATCGTCGAAGATCTGGACGATGATCGCCACCTGGTCATCAAGGAGAGTCAGTTGGCGAATCTGAAGGCGAGATTGACCAAGGTAGGGATAACCTAAGTACTGGTTGGTCGCTTCCTGCTGATGAGGAATAGGAGCTCGATGACAAGGTGATGCAGCCGGACGAGTCGGAATCGGAGTAATCGGATACTTTATGTGCGCTGGCGGTTCTGGGTTGCAGGTCTTCTCGGTTCCTGGGTGATTTGGCAGCGGTCGGTTCGTGTCGCTCGGATCTGAGGCTTGTTTGGCTAGGTGTCAAGTCACTACAGATGGTGCTTGCGAGGGTCATTCTGCGATATCTTGTGCCGAGCGTAGGATATGGTGCGGGTTGTTGGCAAGCAGGCGAGCTGATGACATGCCAACATCGTGGTTACCACAGTATGCTGAGTGCCCTGGCTCTTTCCCTGAGGCAACACCATGACGCGGGCGCCTTCCTGCTGCCATTGCCCAGGTGCTCCTACCTTAAGTGATAGCTGCCTCAGCATGACCTAGCAGTTAAAAACTCACCAACTTGCAGTGACCATCTTCTCAACATCAACCCACACTACAATCATACTTACTGCACATTCTCATCGCACGATCTTTATCACACGTTCTTTACACTGAATTACGAGATTTTCGATATGGCTACCATCGGAAACAGGGGGTGGATCGGATACCCCCTTCTCCCAGAGCGTCCTAAGGCTCCCGTGACCATCAGACCTGCATTCGACATGCGTCTTGTTGAGGGTGGCTACTATTTGGACGGGAACTTGCCCGGCCTCAAGCGAGACCACGTTTGGGTGCACATCGAGGGTCAGCATTTGGTGATCTCCGGGAAAATCAAGCGCGAATACCCTGCCCCTCCTCCGGATTTTGAACCTGACTTGAGGGTGGACGGCGGCAACGTATCTGACTCAATCCTGTTAGAAGAGTCCCTGGATAGTATGAGCTTTCACCAGATTGATGCACAACTTGCGGGGTATGAACGAAGCCGCGTTGCCGGCGCCGGTCAGGGTGCACCTGCAGGTGAACAGGGCAATGAGGACGGCGGAGCGGCCCCAATCCCTACTGCTCAGGCGGATCGTGGTGGTCAAGATGCTCCTGAGGGTCCACCGGCCGGGGATGTGTGGATTGATCTCGGTCGGTCGGGATCTCAGCGACGTGCAGACCCGCAAGGCGACCGAGTCCAGCGAGACGAACCAGCCCTGCGAGGTGAATCAGCCCAGAGAGGCGACCGAATCCAGCGAGGTCAACCATCCCAGCGAGGCGAAGAAACCCAGCAAGGTGAACGTTCCCAGCGAGGGGATGGAAATATGCGAGGTCGAGGACGAGGCGAAGAGATCCAGCGCCGTGGCACCAACCCGCGCCGTGAAGGGAGCCAGAGAAGGGTGACCGAGGGAGGTGGAGAGGATGGAATCAGGCACGCCCGAACACAGTGGAAGTTGGCTGAGCGCGAAGTTGGTCGTTTCTTGCGCGTGTTCGAGTTTGACAAGCCAGTCGAACAAGAAGCGGACGTGCACTTCCACGACGGCATTCTTACTATCTGGGTTCCACTGGCGCCGATTTTTGAACCGATTGGTACGGCGGTCTCTCGCGACTGATGGTAGCTCAGAGGTTGCCGAGTAGTTAGTGACATTCGTTTATGGCTGTACTAGTAGATAGTGTCCGATAGATGATATGCGCATCTGAAGTTTGACAGGATATTATTTGAGTAGGCCAGTAGATGCTACACAAGGTAGTGAACCGGGCTCGTGACTCATGTTCTTCACAACATATTGATAACAGATGCCATGAACTCTATATCCTGATTTTCTAGTCCAAGCTAGTATACAGCGCTAAACACCCAACACCGACCAGCCAACACCCAAACCCAAGAAAAATAAAGCACCAAAAATGCATCATCATCATCATCATCATCCTCCACCCCTAACCCTTCCCCTAAAGCAGATCACCCCTACGCATCCCCTCCCTTCTTCCTCCCACTCCCAAACATCGGATAATTCAACGCCTCCCACCTCCCATTAAACCCAATCCCGGGATGCCCCCAGGTACTCATGGCAATAACGGCAATGGAAATCATCATGCCCTCCAACACCATAAACGTGGACTGATCATTCGCCAAATGCGAATTAAACCCCCCACACAACTCGGCCACTCGAAAACAACTCCGAATGTAAATACACACCACGGCCAGACCCTGACAGAACAGGAAGGCTTTCCAGCGATTCGACGCCCTCAGGGAGGCGAATTCGGGGTTCAGGGTGATGAGACCATCGGTATCGGGATCGGCATCGTTCTCGCCGGGGACGAGGTCCTGGCTATCGGATTCGCGTTTACTGGGGGGGGTGAGACGGAAGGTTGTGTTCGAGGTACTGGGGGATGGGGAGTTCGTGCTGAGACGGTAGACGCGGAAGGCGAAGTCCAATACGATGACGATGTAGAGGGTTAGGGAGGCGACTTGGGAGGAGAGACCGGCGATCATGATGTTGATGCCGTCTTGGACGGTGGAGGCGGAGTTGGAGGTCGTGATGGCGCCGCCGGCGGCTTGCAGGAGGAGTGAGATGATGTCGAAGCTGATGAAGATGAGACTGTAGCTGCGTTGTTTGATGCGGGAGATTTGCGCGCTGTAGGCGCCGACGATCCGGGCGAGGGAGACGTAGATGGCGCCGCTGAGGAAGGCGGGGGCGATGGTGAGGCAGACGAGGTACCTATTCTTTTATTAGGGTGGGGTGGGGGGGTTAGGGAAAGGGGTAGGGGGGAATGGGGCTTACATGATGAACCATCGGTCGATGAATGGGTTATGGCGCATGTAGATGCGCGCAATGTAGCCCAGAACTTCTAGGATCAAACCGCAGATGGCTCCGAAGAGGTAGCCCCAGGTGCGGTGGCGGATGCCGAGGTAGCATTGCACGGGGATGAAGAGGGCGAAGAGCGCGATGTAGAAGGCATTACCGCCGAGGTTGGGTAGGTAGGTGATGTGCGCATAGGACATGGGACACGTCTCGAGCGTACATTGTTGGCTGCTGGTGATCCAGGGCGCTGGAGCGGTGACGGTCGTCATGATGCCTGTGAACTGGTGCCAGAGACAGCTTGGGGAGCAAGTGAGGTAAATTGTATTCCTGGAGTCGTCTCCAAGGGCAATCAGTACCGGCTGCGGATACTAGACTAGTACTGGGAGGTGGTGGTGGTGATGGTGGCAATCGGACGCGCCATGTATATATATATCGCTATGCCGGCGAGCGTACTCCGTACATGTCAGGACTCAGGAGAACATTCGAGGAACCCCTCCTATAAATTGAAACCGCAGCATTTTGTCTGCCTGGCGCCATGCCGACTCCGCAGATCGGCGGCGACCATACGGGAGTCGTCGCGCAGGATTCGGGATCAACTGTACTCTGTGTTAGTCTGGCCGGGGATCGAAGAGTATATTTACGCGGCAGCCAACCGGCTCGCTCGGGTGGATGGCCAGCGGGTCGGCGGCAGTCCATGTTGGCCCGCTAACTGGTCAGCGCGTACGCAACCAAAATAGCACGGATCGGGCAGCGGCCACGCGCGGATCGTCGCTGCCCGGTGCGTTTTTACGCTCGAGCCAATCAGGTTGCAGGAAAATGAGGGACCCTGAACAAAGTGATGGCATGCCTGACGGCCAGGGCATTGCCGGATCGACGCGTGACAGCCAGCGGCGTGGATGCATTGCATTCCGCCACGCTTCCGACCACTACTTAGGACAAAGAATGGCCGCTGTTTCGCGTCTGCCTGGATTGAGCCATGGGTAGGCAGTCATATTCGCCTGCATTTCTGGTCGTTTCAGGGAAATGGCCCGGCATATACGCGTTTGGCTTGGTTCTTGGCCTTTGGGTACTAACCGCAGTGTTATCCATGTGCCGGTAGTAGGCGATTAGCAATCCCGTTTCACATCCGAAATTGGTCCGTCGGCATCTCCGAGCATCGCAGTCAACCCCACGAACACTTCGAGCAGGCTACACTTTCCAACGACCGACTAGAGAAGCACAAGTCCAGGATGATGCAAATACTTCGATTTGAGCCTCGAGAAGGGTCCTACTATAACGGATACCTCCAACTACAGCAACACGAATCCACGCAGGAAACACAACACGACCCCAAATTACTACGGACCAACACCAAGATATTATCGGGGCGGGATTGTTGAGCTGCATATACGGTTTCAAGTTCGTTGGAATCCCTCGACAAGAGAATATAGGGCCGGGACATATACGCCGGGATGCCGCGCGGGCAGGAATCCAACAATCTGAATGCGATATCGGACACGGCATACAGCTTTATCACAAGTCTCTACGGGGGTCGAACGGTCTGTTAGAGGAAGCGAATTGAGGATTCTCGCGTCACTGGCGACTACGAGTGTAGTGTATACGATCGTGGGATCTACGAATGTTTGGACAATGTCGACGAGTCTAGGGTGAAGCATTCGAGCAGACGACTAGAAAATTGAAACATCGCCTCAAGGTAAGGTCATTGATGAAGTATACAGAGTGAGGTGTGATTTCTACAGGCAGCTTCATCTGAGTTTGCAGAATCTGAAATTGAGATCGACATATATACAAGTGCTCAATCAATGAAATAATGTGCAGCTCCCTTCCAACGCCACTCCACAAATATCCAGCAGAATCGAGGTATAGACAACAAAGCCAAAGAACCAGAATGAGGAAATTATATTCTATACAATCCAAAGCATCTCACTCATCCGCATCTCCCAAACGCTCCGCAATTTCCAACAACGACTCCTTCACCTTCGCCTGCCACTCGAGCAGCTGCTTCTGCCGTGCCATGCGCGTGTTATACACGAACTTGATCTGCAGCGAGTCACCAATAACAATCGCCTGGGTCTCGACCAGCGCCGTCCGAAGAAGACCGGATCCAGAGCCAGTCGCCTTCGGCTTGTTGACGTCCACATAGCGAAGCACCGAATCGTCCCGCTCCAGCTGCTGGTATTGACCGAGGTAGTTCATGGAGAGCTCAAACGGACTGTGATGCTCAAACGCGGCGTGTCCATCCTCGGTCAGCCAGCGGGTCGCCCAGTACGGGACGCCGTTGCCCGGGACGCTGGCACGCACGTCGCGCACAGCCTGCAGGTCATCCACGATATCCGCGGACGGTTCGATAACCACCGGGGTGGACGAGGTGAACCATCCGATGGTGTTCGAGACGTCGAGGTCGCCACCAAATTCATCACGACCGTGACTGTAAATGAACACCGCGGGCACGGGACGGTCACTGAAGGTTGCGCTGAATGCGTGGAAGATCGCTGACAGGAAGATATCGAGGGGTTTGGTCTGGAACTGGTGGTTGCATTTGCCCATCAAGCGAGCCGTGGTCTTGGTGTCGAGAGAGAATTCCTGAATGGTTTCGGTCACGAACAGGTTCATGGATTCTTCCATCTGCCAGTAGTCGTATCGGGGCGCAGGGATCGAGAAGGGCAGCACGTATTCGGGCGTCCATTTCTGCTCCGCGTGTTCCTTGAGCCGGCGACACCACAGGGCAAACGAGTCGGAGCGGTGGGAGGTGATGGCCCCGGAGGACAGACCCTGTTGGAGGTCCTGGAGCAAGATTCGCCAGGAAACGGTGTCGATGACCATGTGGTGGATCGTGAGGCCGAGGTAGCGGTCTCCGTTCGGAAGGTTGAAGACAATGGCACGCATCAAGGGGCCACGCTCCAAGTCGAACCCGGACTGGTTAGGAGCGGTGTAGGGTTCAATGGCGGTCACATCAGGTACATCCATCTCCTCGTACCAATGGCTGTTGGACCGGTCGAGAGGGATATACTGCATCCAACGGCCAGAAGCATCGCGCTGGAACCGAGCACGGAGCATGGGGTGACGTTGGACGGTCGCGTCAACGACTGGCTCCAGGTCGACATCGCTGTGAATCGACAGGAGGAACGTAGTGTTGTAGCGGTTGAGATCGCAGTGCTGCTTCAGTCCAAACTCCCAGGTCTGCTGGGGCGAAAGGTTGAAGGGAACGCCAATGTCGTCTTCCACCGGCTCAGCCTCCTCGTCGAAAGGTCGCACTCGCGCCGCCAGTTCGGCGATAGTCGGACACTGGATGAGATCCTTGACTGCGAGGGAGAGCTTGGCATCGCGACACTGGGCGATGACCTGCATGGCGGAAATGGAGTCACCACCGAGGCTCTGGAATGACCGCTCCATGCTGATCTGTTCCTCGGGACGGTTAAGCACCGAGGCCCAGATCCGGCGCAATGCAAACTCAGTGGGCGTACTTGGGCCCCGGCCACTGGCTTTCGACCCTACATTGGCTATCTGCTCATACGTAGCGTCGTCCAGTGCCTCGACCCATCGGCGGACCTTCTTGCGGTCCAACTTACCAGAAGGTAGCAGGGGGATTGCGTTCACCGGCACCCACAGAGCAGGGACCATGTAAACGGGCAGAGCTGCTGAGATGGTGTTAGCAATCTTCGTCACGACTGCCATGATCTCGGGTCTCTGATCTTCCGGGACCAGCGAAACCTGTCCTTCCTCGGCGGGGAGATCGAAGCCCTTGAAAGACACCACGGCCAACAGCTGCTTCTTGAACGGACCCTGAGATGGGAGCAGAGTGAGGGCATGATGGATATGCTCATCACGCTCAATGTTGTACTCGATCTCACCCAGTTCGACACGCTGGCCACGGATCTTGACCTGACCATCAGCTCTGCCAATGAAATGAATCGTGCCATCGGCATTGTACCGCACGAGATCACCAGTCCGATAGAACCGCTCCCGCTCCTCAGCTCCCGGAATGAAGCTCTGCTGTTCAACAAATGCAGCGGCAGTTTTCTCGGGATCGCCGAGGTAGCCTCTTGCGAGGATGGGTCCTGAGATTAAAAGTTCACCAACAGCTCCAATGGGAAGCAGCTTCGATGGCTGCTTTGCATCCGCAACCCAGAGCACACCACCAACCGCATTTCCAATGTTGGCTGGATCCGTGGTCGTCTGCAGGCCGGGATTGGCTGCGGCTGCGACCGAACACTCACTAGGCCCGTATCCATTGTACAGCTGCAACTTGTCGGCCCAGGTGAGGATATCACCCTTCGAAAGAGCCTCGCCACCGAGAACCAAGGTCTTCAGGGAGGGCACGTCGGCCGGTTGCAGGAGCTTAAGAACAGAGGGGGTCATGAAGGTCCAGTTGATGGCGAACTCGTTGATGCAGCGCTTGATGTCTTTTCCGAGATCTTCGTCGGGCACGCAGATGCATGCGCCAAACATGAGGGATGTCATGATCTCGAGGAGACTGACGTCGAAGCTGTAGGAGGCAAACTGCAACACGCGGGATGAAGGGCCGAGACAGGCGAGCTTGCCTTGCGCGAGGGCTCCGGAGCAGAAGGCAGAATGTTGTACGACACAACCTTTGGGCTTTCCGGTACTGCCCGATGTGAAGATGACATAGGCGTCATGATGGGGGCGAGCCCTGACTTCCGGTCTGAGTCCGTTGCTCGTGTTGGTCAACTCGTCGAGGATGGTACGATCAACACTGACAATCGCCGGGACGAGACCTTCCCAGTTGGAGGCATATTTAGGAGATGCCAGAACCAGTTTGGCTGAGGTCTGGAGAGAAGCCTCGCGAAGGCGCTCCACTGGGGTCTTCGGGTCAAGTGGCACGAACGCAGCCCCAGCGGCCAGAACAGCGAGCATGGACACGATTGCCCACGCCGACTTTTCGAAAGTCAAGGGCACGAAATCCCCAGGGCCAATACCAAATTCAGTCAGGTATTGAGACAAGGCCGACCACATGTTTCCAAACTCCTCGTACGTTACCTGTTCGCTCAGGGTGTCGATGGCAATGGCCTGGGGGGTGCGCTTGATCTGTTGGAGCACGAGGTCTGGGACCGTGGACTGGGAGGTCTCTGGAACATCCTCGTTCCAGGCAACGATCTGCGACAGATCGTACCGGCCAATCACACTGAGCTGGTCGACTCGAGCCTCGGGGTTCTCGAGCACAGACTTGAGAATAGCAGAGAACGTGCCCGAGACGGATTGGGCCTGAGACTCGGAGATACAGTCGGTCCAGTATCCGAGTTTGATGTCCACATTATCCGGCGAATCGATAACGTGGACGGTGATGTTGTACTGTTCCTGTCAGCTAATGCAAAATACTTCGTAATGGATTCATACCTCGGTCGGCTCTCGTACGACGAGACCTTCAAAGTCAACATCGGCAGTAGTCTCATCACTGTCGACACCCGTCATGGTTTGGAAGGAGATACCGGTGTTGAAAAGCGGCATGCCTGCGAGTCCAAGGGCATGCTGAATCTCAGCCAGAGAGCAGTGTTGATGGGACAGAGAATCCAGGAATTCTGCTTGGCATGTCTTCAACGCGTCCTTGACAATGGTGGAATCGTCCAGCAAGGCCTTGCAGATCAGCACACTGATCGTCGGACCCACCATATCGACCAGACCTTCGATGGGTGCATCCCTACCCGATGCCAGGTAGCCGAAGCAGACATCGTCCCGGCCCACGTAGCACCGACAGACAAGTGCCCAGACGGTCTGGAGAAGATTGGACAGAGTAATACGGTGAGAAATGCAGAAGTCGCGCAGAACACTGGCAGATGTCTCCAGTGCCACCTGGGCGTACTTAAGTTCAGGCGCAGCTCCCGTATCGGCCAACTTGGGGAAATAGCATGGCTCAACCTCCGCAAGCTGATTCTTCCAGAACGCGACACTAGCCGACATGTCGTTGGCAGCGACATACTTGACAAATTCGCTGTATTTGGGGCCTCCCAGACGCGTGTCCAGACTCCCGGCATAGGCTCGCTTGAGATCCCTCATGATCAATGCCTTGGAAACGCCGTCGACAATGGTGTGACTCGCATCGACTCTGCAGAAGACTCGGCCTTCAGCCGTAAAGTGGATGTTGAATCGGTGTGGAGGGACCACCGGGCTAGTGCCGAGATCAATTGTCTCCTCGAGGATCGAGTCCACGTCAGCGTCGGAGCAAGGTGTCACTGAGATTTCGGCTCTCGGACGTCTGAGAACAATTTGAGCGTAGGGATCTTTGCCACCGAGGTCGTCGGTGAAGATTGTTCTCAGTGCCGGGTGGAAATCAACCACCTGTTGCCACGCAGAGAGCAGTCTGCCAATGTCGACCCGGTCAGAGGATGCCCTGGGAGTGACCTCCCATCCGATCGAGACATTGTAGCTGCCCTGCTTCCTGGCCTGGCTCAAGAGAAGGCCCTGCTGCAATGGAGAGCAAGGATACACATCCTCAATCTGATGCGACTTGAGACCGAGTCGTGGGAAGTTCTGGCGGTTCATCCTCTCGAGGGTTTGGTAGTCGAGGGTAAGTAGCGGGAAATCTGCCAGCGTCAATTCCCTCACTGTGCCAGATGCCAGCAACTCAACGGTCTGCGCAATGTTTTGCTTGAACTGGGTGGCCAGCTGAGCTAGCTCCTGGCTGCGGACTTGGTCAGATCCGACAGTGATCTTGAGCTGACCGTCTTCGATGAAAGAGGAAACCTGTAGCACCGTGGGAATGATAGCGCTTAAACTCCGTGGCGCCACGGTGGTTGTCTGTTTCAACACAACCCCTTCGACAGCTTGACCGGACACCCCGTAGCTGAAGATCAGGTCTGCAGATTCCGACAGCACCTTTTCTCCCTTCTGGCGGACCTGGTCTTTGGCCTCCCGGATTAGTTGAAGGGTCATCTGGTCTCGGTGGCTCGAGGACACATGCACGGGTTGCAGTAGAGAGAATTGTCCGACGTGATCTCCTAGGTGCTTGCCCGTGGAAGACTGACGCGCAGTGCTCTTGACGATAGCCGAGGATGGACGGTCATGGCTCTTGAGGGTCTGCTCGTATGACAGGATCAACGTGGCAAGAAGTAGCTCCCCTGCGTTCGTATCAAATGTAACGTTGCAAGGTCCGGTAAGCAGGCTAGTGGTATGAGAATCCAAGTCTAGGACCTCAGCTACATATGCCTTATTGTTGATAGAAGTAACACTGGCAAAGGCTCCCGATGGGCTGGTAACTGCCCCCAGATCACTCTCGCTCTTGAGGTGGTCAATCCAGGCACGAGAAAACTCATCATGGGATAGAAGCTGGCTTTCCCAGATCTGCTTCTCCTTGTCTGCATCGGACTGCAGCAAGTAGTCCAGATGTCCGATGATAGTGTTCAGCGAATGCGTATCAACCACAGCCGCATGCACCACAATAGAGATATACTGTGCACCACGGACCGTGAACAGATCGACCATGAAGCTTGGATTGCCAGCCACACAGAGCAAGGCTTGACGGCGCTGGACAATCTCCTGCGCTTCTTCCAAGCTAGCAACATGGTTCAGGTTCAAGTGGTAAGCGGGGTTCTCTAGCTCGTCGTGATCCCTGAAAAACTGCGACCATGTGCCGTTCTGCTCCTGGAAGCCGAGGGTGAGTGCCGGGTAGGATGTGATCAGGATGTCCAATGACTCGCTCAGCTGCTGGATGCGGATCTTCTGGCCCAGCTCGAGCAAGATCGCATGGTGAACCGCACCGTTGCCCAGACGAGATGCCTCCAGAAACGTCTGTTGCAGATGTGACACGGGGAGCTGACTCTTGCGGCCCGTCTCGCCGTCCAGAAGGAGCAAGTGTGCATCACCGGATTCTTCGATCTTCGAAGCAACCTCGCTGACATCATATCGCAACAAGTCAGCTACTAGAACAGTTACTCCCAGTCGGCGGAACTCGGACATGGCAGCCATGGCCTTGATGGAGTCACCGCCCACGGACAAGAAGTTGCTGTGCTTGCTGATCTGGTCCTCGGGGATGTCGAGCGTTTTTGCCCAGACCTTGCGCACCAGGGCTTCGGTCTTGCTCACAGGCGTCGCGTCGCTAAGATTATCGGTGTTGCCCATGATGTGCTGGAACGCCTCGGGGCTGATATCCGCCACCAAGTCGGCGACCTTCTTGCGGTCCATCTTGCCGGATGACATCAACGGCAGACTTTCCAGAACAATCCAGACGGTGGGAACCATGTACGTGGGAAGCAGTTGTGATAGACGCTCTGCAATGGCCCGTGTGTCTGCAGCAGCTTCTGCATGGTCCACTAGACGGATACTTGGGTGCGTCTGTACCGGCGAGGTCGCATGCTGTTTGTCAAGGGACACGACCCCGACCAGACGGGCCTTGCAGAGGCCAGTGTATGGCACGAGAGCCATGCCGTTGCGGATCAGGCTATCCGTCCAGAGATGGTGCTCTACCTCTCCCAGTTCCATGCGCTGTCCGTGGAGCTTGACTTGGTGATCCTTCCGTCCAATGAAGTGAATCATGCCCTCCGCATCATAGCGCACCAGATCACCAGTCTTGTAGAAACGGTTCCAGATCGGTGTCGTGCCGGGCTTCATCCACACAGGGCTGTCGAAGAATGCCGCTGCAGTTTTGACCGGGTCTTTGAGGTACCCACGGGAGACGATCGGGCCTTGGATGATGAGCTCACCCGCGGCACCAACCGGCAAGAGCACATGATGGTTCTCCGGGTCCACGATCCAGCACACACCACCGATCGCTTGGCCGATATTCCGCGGGCTGGAGTGGGGGTTCAGTTTGGTATTGGCGGTGGCAGCGACGGAGCATTCACTGGGTCCGTAACCATTCATCAACTGGAGACATCCCGCCCAGGTCATCATATCCGATTCGGACATGGCTTCGCCTCCCAAGACCAGGGTCTTCAGGAGCGGGAGTTGGTCCGGAGACAAGACCTTCAGCACTGATGGGGTCAGGAACGCCCAGTTAACACGGAAGTCGTTCATGGACTGGACGAAGTCGGCACGTCCGAGTTGCTCATTCGGGATGCAGATACAAGCACCGAAAATCAGCCCGGTGAGGATTTCCAGGATGCTGACGTCGAAGCTGTAGGACGCGAACTGGAAGATTCGGGAATGAGGACCCATGTTGGCTTCCTCGCCCTGTCGCAGAGACCCGCTGCAGAAGGACTGGTGCTGGATCATTGTGCCTTTGGGCTTACCTGTACTGCCCGAGGTGAAGATCACATAAGCGAGGTTCTCCGGGTTGGAAGCAGATGCTGGAATAGAGTCCCGACTGCGAGCGGGATGCTCCTTGATCGTCGCGGCATCGACTACCAGTGCCTTCACGGAGAAGTCGGCAAACAGGCCATGGTATTTAGCCGTCGTCAATACAACCGGTGCATCGACCTGGCCGACAATCTCCCGAAGACGCGCAGAAGGATGCGCCGGGTCCAGCGGAACGAATGCACCCCCGGCCTTGAGCACGGCCAGCAGGGCCACGACATACCATGCCGTCTTCTCAAAGCAGAGCGGTACAATTACCTCCGCCTTGACTCCCACCTTCACGAGGGTGGTGGCCAATCGATCCGACAGCGTATCCAGCTCCGCATAAGTCATCTGAGCGTCCCATGAGTCGATGGCGGGTGCCTGGGGCTGGCGGGCGGCTCTCTGTCGGACCAGCTCATGGGCGCACTCGAGCACGGCCGCCGGGGGAGCCGCGTTCCAGTTGAAGATCTTTTCCTGGCTGAGTGGGCCCAGGTAGCTGGCTTGGTTGAGCTCGGTTTCGGGGTGGTTGTTGATCAAGTCGAATGTCTGTCGGAGGGTATCGGCCAGGTGGATCACCAGGTCCTCCGAGACCGTGGATGGGGTGTACAGCAGTTGGATGTCAATGCCATTGGTAGAGTTGGTGGCATGGAGCTCGAGGTCAAGCTACAGCAGTCAGTTGCCCATTTCGAACTCCCAACAGCACTAACTGGCAAGTTTACCTTGGGCGAGGGTGGAACGGATTTGTCATCGCTGGATCCTTCGCGGAAAATTACCGCGCTCCGAAATGACTGGTAGGGGGTGTCGGAGGCACTGGTGGACGCATCCAGAACCGATTGTGCACTTTGTAATGTTTTCCTCACTGCGTTGAGGAGGTCATCGACCTTGTGGAACTCGTCGGGATCGAACGCGACATCTAACCAACATCAGTGAATCAATCGGATGCCATCGGGTCCGTGTGCGCACTCACGCGTAATCGCGGCTCCGGTCTCGGCCGCCGACTCGGCATGGTATTCAAAGGCCACGCCTTCCGATCGGTAACAACGAAGGGCCAGGCCGAAGGCTGTGCAAAGGATCTCGGGGACTTCAGCAGCACCAACTGACTTGTCTTCAACAGCCAGGAAGTCTTTGATGGGTGTGGGGAAGGAAGGAACGGGCGTAGTGCTCTTGAGAGACTTGGAGGGGGAAACAAGCAGATGAGGAGGTTCAGGCGTGGGCAAAGCGATGGGAGCCATTTTCCAAGGTAGACGCTGCAAAGCGCGTGTGGCCAAACGAAAGACAACAGACACAGACACGAACCCAGACACCAACTGCAGGCGGCGTGGATTAAAAAGGAATCGCATGCAATCGCGCCCCATCTCCCAAGGCGCATCTCCGCTGGATCTACGCGGGGACGTAAAAACAATGCTGTCCGGCGTCGCAGACTTGCATGGACGTGGAGTCCATCCAACATTCCAAGCTCCTGTCAGCTTCGTGTCGGATGTCTCAACGCCCGGTGCAGTTGGACCTAATTCGCCATGCGAGCGAAGCTGATACAATCCTTCTGCATGCACTGCGCCGTATTTCTGTACCGTAATGCCCTAGTATCATTCCATCCGTACTAATACGTATCGTATTTCGAGTACAGTGGAAATTGCTGTAATACATCTGGTATCATTACCATCGGCAGACTAAACCACATCGGGGCGATCGCCCAGCGACCACATGGAGGCACCAGGATCCTGCATGAGTCGGGCTTGTCGATCGTGTGGGGTCCAAAAAGATAAGCCTGCGATCCGCCGCAGGATCCGACCAGCAGCGCTGGCGTCGTTAGCCTTGTTAGATTTACGCGCCAGCCAATGAGCAGCTCCCACGATCAGGCGACGGCCGTTGCCAATCATCATGCCCCTCCTGCGCCCAACTGGTGCGTTGCGCTCCGACCTTCTCGGCGTAGGCAGCAGAGTAGAGTTGATGTGAGCTGAACGGAAGCTTCGAACATCATACCCGCACTCAGCAACATGTCGCCGGCTTAGACAGGGACTCGAATTCAGTATAGTCCCAGGCATTACAGTCTAAAGAACAACCATACCACTCAGTCTCTCCAGATGGCCCAGAGCCGTCCTCGCATTCAGTCCTCGGCAGACCAGCAATGAATTGCTCCCTTGCCTCCGAAGACGTGTTCGGGCCTCAGGCCCGCGACTGCTATGGCGGTTACGACTTTACGTTGTTGTTCGAGGAGTCAGTGATGACGATTGGTCCGGCGGGACTATTGCTACTGGTTCTCGTCGGGAGAGTGGTGTATCTATACCGCAAGGTCGTGAGGGATGGGAGTTCCGATGGCGCGCATTTGGCGAAGCTCGTAGGTTATATACCTATCCCAACATGAGAGGTGTCGCATTGTTGATGTCGTGCTAGGTCAGCTATGGGTGGTTCGCTGCCATTCAGACCGCCATCCTAGTGTCCTGGACCTCGGGCGATGAATTGAGAACGCGCGCGACTATCCCCGCTGCGGCGCTGAGTCTAGTCGCTGCCTTTGCGCTCGGTCTGGCATCGCATTTCGAACATACGCGCTCCGTCAAGCCGCCGCTTCTGATCGAGATCTATCTCCTCTTTACGCTGGCCTTTGATGCCGTTCGACTACGCACCTTATGGGGGATGGGATACCACGGACACATCTTCAAGTTATTGACCGTATCGGTAATCTGGAAGGCGGTGTTACTCGTACAAGAGGCCTGGCCGCGCGCGCTGGGCTCGTTAGAACAGGGGTATAGTCCCGAGGAGAAAGTGGGATGGATCAACCGACGGATGTTTTGGTGGGTGAATCCGTTGCTGTTGCTGGGGTCGAGGAAGGATCTCCAGGCAGCGGATCTGTTCACGTTGAATCATAGTCTCCAGTCGGAGGTGTGTTCGAGGGGTTTTTCGAAGGTGTGGCAGGATGGTGAGTCATATCCCTTTCCGTTCCTTAGGGTATTGCTGATAGTGGGTAGCGAGTCCAGCGACAAAGGAGAAGAAGAATGGGTTGCTGAGGGTTCTGGCGTGGGAGTATAAAGTGGTTCTGTTGACTGCTGCTCTTCCGAGGTTGTGTTTTACGGCCTTTACGTTCACGCAGCCGTTCCTTATTGATGCCGTGATCAAGTATCTCCAGACGGAGCGGGATGAGCAGAGGCGTAATGATGGGTATGGCTTGCTTGGTGCATATATTCTTGTGTATGTGGGGTTGGGAGTAAGTTACGCCGGTTTGGGATGTATGTGCGGTGTTGATTTTGTGCAGATTTCCGAAGCATGCTACCAGCACATCACGTACCGAACCATCGTGCTTATGCGCGGATGTCTTGTCCCGCTGATCTACGAAAAGACACTGTCCATGGATCCTAAAACCGCGGAAGAATATGCGCCGGTCACGCTGATGAGCGCCGACATTGAGAAGATTGCATTCGGCATGCGGTACATGCATGAAGCGTGGGGGAATATCGTGGAGATCGCTCTGGCGCTGTGGTTGCTGTACCGCGAATTGAATTATGGGGGGCTGAGTCCGATTCTTATTGCTGTTGGTATGAGTCGCTCCTCTGGTTGGTGATGGTATGCTAATGAGGGTAGTCTGTGGAGCGGCTGCCGCGACAATGGCGCCAGCTGTCGGACGTCGTCAGGCCACATGGGTGCAGGGGATCCAGAAGAGAATCGATGTCACGACCTACATGATCAACTCCATGAAGAGTCTGAAGTTGGAGGGTCTAACTCCATGGTTCATGGACTTTGTGCAGAACCTGAGGGTGCAGGAGATCGGATACGCGAGTAAATTCCGTTCCTTTCTGACCTATGCTGTTAGCTTGTGTTAGTCTTCCTTTCCAAATATTATGGGGTATCTACTAATCTCAACAGCATTCGCCACCTCGGTCATCTCCCCCGTCGTCGGATTCGGCATCTTCATCGCTTTATCGCGGTACGACAACGGCCCGGAACTAACTACCCAGCGAGCATTCACCACTCTTTCTCTCTTTACCGTCCTTCAGAACCCAATGTCCATGCTCCTGCAAGCCGTCCCCAACCTGATCTCGGCGGTTGGATCGATCGAGCGCGTCCGCGTGTTCTTAATGGCCGAGGATACGAAAGAAGTCGGCTTCCTGAGCTCCTTCACCTCCGAGCAGACCCTCTTCCCGGAAATGGACAACATCCGGGACCTCGAAATGAAAGACAGCGAGATGCAGGAAGCAGTTGTGGCCCAGAACTGGAGTGTTGGGTGGGTTTCGACCCGCGAGCCGGTTATCAAGCGGATGACGTTCAAGATCAGACCCTCTTCGCTGACGATTATTACGGGCCCGACGGGATGTGGAAAGTCGACGTTGCTGGCTGGGTTGAGAGGCGAGACGGCGGTTACGAAGGGGTATATGAAGTGTCGGTATCCCGAGGCGGCGTTTTGTAGTCAGGAACCGTGGTTGCAGAATGGTACGATTCTGAGTAATATCCTTGGTCCGTCGACGTATGAGCCTCGCTGGTTTCGAGAGGTGACGCAGGCGTCGGGGCTGAGACAGGATTTGAAATCAATGCCGTTGGGTGTTCAGACTGTGGTGGGGAGTAAAGGGTTGTCATTGAGTGGTGGTCAGAAACATCGTGTGGTAGGTCATTCGCCTCTTCTTGGTGCTGGAATACTAATGAACAATTGGACAGGCATTGGCTAGAGCGCTTTATTCCCGACAACCGTTGCTCCTCCTCGATGATATCTTTAGCGGCTTCGATGCCGAGACGGAGAAGCTGGTGATAGCGCGGCTATTTAGTGAGGGTGGCTTTTGTAGAAAGCACAACCTGACTACCATCCTTGCCACGCATTCGAGTGAGTTCCATTAAACACTTGCGGGATACAATTAGCTGACTTCGATAGCCCGTCTTGCTTCGAATGCAGACTACACCATCACCCTCGACAGCAAAGTGCATTTCTCGGAAAAAGAGGGCTCCATTGTCTCGAGCTTGCCCGGCCCTAGCACAGGCGACCACCTCGTGGAGCCCATATTGAATGATGCAAGGCTGAGCTGGATCGTCAGACAGTCCAACCCCGATGTACCGCATGAGCTGGCTGCCCAGCTCGAGACCTCGGATTCCAGCCGACGGACTGGTGATGTGACCATCTACAAGTATTATTTGGATATGGTGGGCCGGTTCAACTCAGTGTTGTTCTTCGTTGCGGTTGCGATATTTACTTTCAGTCTTGCGTTTCCCAGTACGTGCACACCAACATTCGGGGGCTACAACTGACAGTATCAGGTGTATGGGTCCAGTGGTGGGCCGCTGCGAATGAAAAACACCCGTACAAAGACCTCGGCATGTACTTGGGAGTGTATGCCTTTTTGGCGGTGATGGCGGAGTTGTCGTTATTCTTGGGATGCTGATAAGTCTGCCTCTCTTTTGAATGAGCGATGGCTAACATATCGCACGCATATGATCAGTAACATGGTCCCTCGAGCATCTCGAAAGTTGCATAAGATTCTTCTTCGCACGGTGTTGAAGTGAGTATTCTCTTAGGCTTTGGATGTTTTACTAACATTGATAGTGCTCCGATCTCTTTCTTCCACACTACAGACTCTGGCGTCACTACGAATAAGTAAGAGAGTCACAAGTCTTGGGGACCTATCTGACTGTCAATAGGTTCAGTCAAGACATGCAACTGGTGGACATGGAGCTGCCACTTGCTCTGGTTGAGACCAGTGTTGGTATGTACATCCAATATTGAACAATGGAATCCACTGACATGATCAGCTCTCATGTCTGCCATCGCGCAGCTACTCATCGTGTTCATCACGGGAAAATACCTCGCTGCCATCATCCCACTCTGTCTGGCAGTCTTCTATTTCCTGCAAAAGTTCTACCTTCGGACCTCCCGCCAGCTACGATTCATGGAGCTGGAAGCCAAATCTCCTCTCTATTCCAACTTTATGGAAACCGTTAACGGACTAGTGACGATCCGTGCCTTTGGATGGCAGACTAACTTTCTCAACAATATCTGTGGACTCACAGACGCATCGCAGCGACCATATTATTTGCTCTTTGTGATCCAACGATGGCTCACACTCGTACTCGACATGGTCGTCGCCGGTATGGCTACGCTTATTGTCGGCCTTGCAGTCGGTGTCCCAGGGTCCATTGGGGCAGGCTCTGCAGCGCTAGGGCTACTCAATATTATTAGTTTGAGCGAAAGTCTGAAACAACTGATCTCGAACTGGACCGTCCTGGAAACCTCAATTGGAGCCGTTTCCCGTGTGAGGCAGTTTGAGGATGACGTGCAGCCTGAGGATAGACCGGACGGATATATTGAAGTTCCGCCACGCTGGCCCGAGCGAGGTGATATCAAGTTCTTCAACGTGTCTGCTTCTTACAGGTAACGTCTGACTATTTTATCATACACATATACTGACTGTGTGATGCAGACCCGACAGCGACCCTGTCCTCAATGACGTGACATTATCAATCGCGGCGGGTGAGATGGTCGCTATTTGCGGACCCAGTGGGAGGTAAGTTGCCCCTAATACTCCGTATAGACAGTCGTTTACTAATATCTCTCAGTGGTAAGAGCTCGCTGATTCAACTCCTGTTCCGACTTCTCGAGCCCGACAATGGCCAGATTACCATCGACGGGCTGGACATCAGCTCCATTTCGAGCCAGGATATCCGGTCGTCGCTTTCATGTATATCCCAATCAGTGACCATCCTTCCTGGTACAGTACGACAGAACATCGATCCCCTCGGAAAGGAATCTGATGAGAGCATAACCAATGTGCTGAAAGAGGTCAAACTATGGGACATCGTATCGACGCAACTGGATGGCTTGGATGGACAGGTCCAGGAAGAAAGCTTCTCGCAAGGACAGAAACAGCTTCTTCGCTTGGCTGCTGCTATGCTGAGGAAGAGCAAGGTGGTTGTCTTGGATGAAGCAACGAGCAGGTATGCTGAGAACTCATTGTCATTACTTGATGTCAGAATAACTAACCTTGGACAGCGTCGACCCCGACACCGATGCTCTCATGCAACGTCTCATCCGCACGGCCTTTGCCGGATGTACAGTGATTGCCGTGGTGCATCGACTCCACACGATCCTTGACTTTCACAAAGTGGTTGTCGTGGAGCGGGGTCGCATTGTCGAGTGTGGTGCTCCCAAGGAGCTGTTGGTCCAGAACGGTCTGTTTAGTCAACTCTACGGGAAGAGCAACGCCACGCCGGATGTGAGACCGGAAACGTCTTGGCTGAAGATCTGAACCGGTTGACTGTGGTTTGAGTTCTGAATTGACTTGGCAACTTCGGCGTTGATGTACATATGGGGGGTTTGGTGAGGTTTGATTCATGTGTCGCTCTGACACCCAACAGAAGCACTATAGATTTGTTTTACTTTCCCTAATACTCTTCATCTTCTTCTGCCTGTCAAGGTTGGGTATAGCAATATCATCCTCAGTATAAGGCAGTGACTCACACGACGGAATTAATTCCATCAGAATTCCAAATACTTCACGCTTAATCATCACAAAGGAATCAGGCCACGTCTGTTTGAATTGGCATAAATATCACCCTCGAGACACCTCTCAGCATCTCACAGCCTTTCTTTTCCACTTCGCTGAGCCCTATACCTTCGCCAAACCCACACTCATTGCAACCATGGAATCCCACACCCTCCCCATCACCCCCCAAACCACCATCCACTTCACCATCACCCAAACCCCCACCCCCAATACCAACCCCCTCCTCATCTTCCTCCACTACTGGGGCGGCTCCAGCACCACCTGGTACAAGCAAACCTCCCCAACCTCCCCACACACCCTCACCAAAACCCACAACACGGTGACCATCGACCTCCGCGGCTGGGGCCAGTCCACAGGCCCTACCACCGACCCAAGTCCCAAAGACTACTCCATCACCCCGATGGCCAGCGATATTGTCTCTGTGATCAATCACCTCCACACCACCACCCCCCTCCTAACCAACGGCATAACCCTAATCGGCCACTCCATGGGCGCCAAACTGTGCCTGGCTGTCCTCTCCACCCTTCCCCCTCCTCTCCTCTCCCTCATCAAAGGATTAATCCTCCTTGCACCCGCCCCACCGAGCCCGCTCATCCTCCCGGAAGAAATGAGCAACCAACAACGCAGCGCCTACACAAGCGAAGACTCAATCCGATGGACCGTTACGAATGTCCTCTCCAACACAGCGAGCCTCTCTGCCAATGATATGGATATGATCGTGAAGGATAGTTCATCCGGTAATGCGTTAGCGCGTGACGGGTGGATCTTGTATGGCATGGCGGAGGATATTACCGCTCTGGTGGATGGGGTTGTGGGGAGGTTGGAGGGGAGGGAGGTGAGGGTTTATGTGGTTGCGGGGGAGGAGGATGCTGTGGAGAGTAGGGAGAGGGTGAAGAGGGAGGTGGTGGGGTTTTTGAGAGCGAGGGAGGGGTTTAGGGTTGAGTTTGAGGTGCTGGGGGGCGTGAGGCATTTGGTGCCGTTGGAGGAGCCGGGGGTGGTGCGGAGGGCGGTGGAGTGGGTGGGTTAGGGTTGGTATGAATCATGTGGGCGCTGAGGGACTGGGGGGTGTGAGTGTTGACGGTTAGATGCGACGTATAGTATTTGATATAAAGAACAAGATGCAGAAAGATGCCGAAAGACAAGTATTAAAGTAGAATCGAATGGGAACTGGATCACTTGATGCGAGTTATTCTAGAGCAGAAGTACAGGGGTGGAGATACACATGAAGCAGAGGGCTAGACGACCTTGCACCAGAGTCTGAAAATCACAGGCCCATGGTTCACCATGAATTGGGTATACCAATAACTCAACTCAGAATAGGATGCATAATGCACATCAGACATTATGAATTTGGTTAATAATTATGATAGGGATCGATATTCAGATAGCTGCATATGGGAGACGATGAGATCACATGACATGGAACTAGATTGCTCAATCCGCAGTGCAAGAATTCCACTGAGCAGTCTATAGGTGATGCATTCGGAGCCTTGTGGCTCAAATTCTTATCATCAGTGGTAGAGTTGGTAGCTCGTGTTCTTTCACTAGTATGATCCCTCTAGAAGCACACCTCGAGCAGTTCGCACCAGTGACCACCAATCGAGCGGACTCCGGCGCACCTCATGAAGTGCTGTTATCACGGTATGCTCCAGACCGCTGACATAGAATGCACTAAATTAACCAAGTGACATGCCCGTGTTGACAGCCAGCATGACTCAGGTACAATATCCGCGCAGACCAATAGCACCCCAGTCACCACCAGCAGCTAGAATACTAATAAGCGCCATATCCCTGTCGCCATGTGTTCGGAAAAAGGGTCCCGTGGCGTACATATATAATAATAGCTATATGACACCACTAAGACACGTGCGTGCCACGTTTCGGAGCACGCCCGGATTTAACGGTGGGGCTGGAATGTTCCAGAGATGTAAAGGTCGTACCGCCGATGAGGCTGACAGCATGAACGCAGGGATCCGCCCCAACACAGGATCCGAGGGATGCCGGGGGCGGATGCCATTGGCGGATCTCCCGCGGTTGTATTGTTACCCCGGAGGGATTTGTCCCTCCCCGCCGCTCCACTCAAGCTTTGTTTCATACCATACCAATCCGCATACCATACACTAGTGTCAATACCACTCGTACAGTACACTGTACTACGGTCGGTAATTCCGTTTTACAGACAATACACAGAGTATCAACGTCAGCGCACTCTCACATCTGCATCCATCCTTCTCCGCCACATCGGATCCTGCAACATGCATATTTACGCTGCAGATCAGCTTCTTTGCTGCCCCCTGCTTCTGCAGCGCTCAGCCCTGCTACCTGTCCGAAACCTCCGATTTGGCCCCTCCTTATCGTGGTATAACGGACCATTGCTCGGCTTATCTCGGCGTGTCACAGCAGGTGGTATGATATAACACATGGACAGACAACAGTCTGAGTCTCAGGTTCTGACTACAGTCTAATCTCCTCTCCTTTCACAATTCACCATGATGAGTGTCAAGACGCCCTTGTCGAGTTTGAGCTCGGAATTCGCGGGCCTCACTCCCGAGATCTCTCGACCGTCCTCTGTCGCCGGCGACAAGCGGTCGTTAGCTGCTACCTATGAAGCAATTGACACGAGAATCACCCTCCCTGCCGCCCAACTCCCTTTGGCAAATACCTTATGGAAGGAGTTTACTCTGACTCTGGCCTCATCCGCCGCCGAAAACGATCTGTCCACCAACGAAGGCCTCGTCGCGGAATTCATCAACTTCTGCATCACCCGGTCCAGCGACGAGACACAATACGACGACGCTCCAGCAGTACTGCAGCTGCTGGACTCTCTTCTGGAGGCCTTTGAACAAGACTTTCTGGGTGGCAACGACGTTCACTCGGCCGTGGTCCATTTTGACCTTCAACACAAGAGCCCCATCATCAAGACATACTTTGCGGCACAAGGGACCCTCAGCCGCAAGCCCAAATACCAACCCTCTCTTCTCCTGCAGTCCGCCTCTGACGGCCCTTCGCGCATCTACGCCTTGTTTGGAGGTCAAGGAAATGACGAGAAATACTTTGATGACTTGAAGGACACATATACCACATACACCGATATCCTCCGTCGCTGTGTCTTCTCTGGAGCCCGGTTGCTAGAGGACCTTGCTGGGTCATCTAGCTTCAAGGCACACTTCCAACATGGCTTCTCCCTCATGGACTGGCTGGAGAAGCCCGACTCTGAGCCGGAATCCTCATACCTCCTCTCTGCGCCGGTCAGCATGCCTTTGATCGGCCTCCTTCAGCTCTGCCATTTCATCGTGGCCTGTCAGACGATGGGACTTTCCCCTCGAGAGATGCACGCTCATTTGTCCGGTGTCACCGGCCATTCACAAGGTATTGTCGTGGCCCTGGTGACATCCATCTCAGACACCTGGGAAGACTTCTACCGACACGCCCTCGATGCACTACGCATTCTCTTCTACATTGCCTGCCGCAGCCACGAGCTATACCCGCCCCAATTCATCCCCGAATCCATCAGACAGGAAGCAGAAGATAATGGCGAGGGAACACCCGGACCCATGTTGAGGGTGCGAAACCTCCGCCAGGACCAACTCCAGAAGATCATCGACACGGTCAACAGCTACCTTCCCACTGACTCGCATGTTGCCATCTCTCTCTTCAATGGGCCCCAGAACCTTGTTGTGACTGGTCCTCCGCTCAGTCTCTATGGTTTGAGTCGGCATTTGCGCGGCCTCAAGCCAAAGAATGGTCGGGAGGCACAGACCCCTGCTAGCAAGCGGCGGCCTAAGATTGACCATCGCTTCCTGCCTATCACGGCACCCTTCCACAGCATGTATCTTGATGAGGTTGCTGCTCTGGTGGTGCAAGATCTTGGTGACCTGAACATCACAGGTGGCCAGCTGCGTATCCCGCTCTACGCTACCACCGACGGCCACGATATGCGCGTGCACCGGGATAGGAACATCATCTGTGACATTGTCAGCATGATTGCCCACGAGCCAGTTCACTGGGAGAAGGCGACCATCTTTCCGGAAGCTACACACATGATCGACTTTGGTCCGGGCGGCGGTGCCGGGGTTGGGGTTGTCACCATGCACAACAAGGCCGGCCAGGGAGCGCGACTCATCCTGGGTGGCTCGATGAAGTACAGCGAGGAGTACGGCAGCAAGGCAGAGCTATTCAACCGCGACCCCGAGCATCCAGTCGTGTATGCCGAGAACTGGGCCGAGGCATACAGGCCGCGTCTGACTAGAGACGCCGCGAACAAGGTGATCGTCCAGACCAAGTTCAGTGAGCTCCTCGGACTCCCTCCCATCATGGTTGCGGGTATGACGCCCACGACTGTTCCGTGGGACTTTGTCTCCGCTACCATGAACGCCGGATATCATATCGAGATTGCTGGCGGTGGTTACTACAGCAAGGGTGCTTTGGAGGAAGCGATCAACAAGATCGTGAACAATGGAGTCCCGGGACGGGGTGTTACCTGCAACATCATCTATGCCAGTCCGAACTCGGTCCGCTGGCAGATCCCTCTGCTGCAGGAGCTCCGTTCCAAAGGCGTCCCCATTGATGGAATGGCCATTGGCGCTGGAGTCCCGTCCGTCGACGTGGCCAATGAATATATTGAGACTCTCGGGCTGAAGCACATTGCGTTCAAGCCTGGGTCTGTGGAGGCGATCCAGCAAGTCATTGACATCGCCCGCGAGAACAAGTCCTTCCCCATTATCCTTCAGTGGACGGGCGGTAGAGGCGGTGGCCACCACTCGTATGAGGACTTCCACGCACCTATTCTAGAGATGTACGGCCGCATCCGGGCGTGCAAGAACATTGTCCTGGTGGCGGGCAGCGGCTTTGGCGGCGCTGATGACACCCTTCCCTACTTGACCGGAGAATGGACCAAGGCATTTAACGCCCCGTCTCCCATGCCATTCGACGGCATCCTGCTTGGCAGCAGAGTCATGACCGTCAAGGAAGCCCACACTAGCCTCGAGGCCAAGCAACTGATCGTGGATATTCCCGGTGTTGACGATGCCGCCTGGGACCAGACCTACACCCGACCGACTGGAGGAGTACTGACCGTCCGATCTGAGATGGGCGAGCCCATCCACAAGATTGCCACTCGCGGCGTGCGCTTCTGGGCCGAGATGGATCGAACCGTGTTCAGCATTGCCGACAAAAAGGCCCGGGTGGCCTTCTTGAAGGAGAACAAGAACCGCATAATCGACGGCCTCAACAAGGACTTCCAAAAGGTTTGGTTCGGACGCAACGCAGATGGTAAGGCATGCGAGTTGAACGAAATGGCCCTCGCCGCGGTGGCGTGGAGAATGGTCGAGCTTCTTTACGTCAAGCACCAGGACCGCTGGATCCATCGCAGTCTGCAGCAGTTGACTTTCGACTTCCTGCAATGGATCGAGGATCGTGTCAGCCCGTCAAGTGATGCCTCGAAGCGTCGGTATTGGCAGTCGGTCGGCCAAGTCGAGGAGCCCTACATGGCTATCGAGCAGTTTTTCGCCAGTCATCCCAAGGCGACAACGGAGCTGATGGATGCACCAAGCACGCAGATGTTCATCCACCTTTGCCGCCGCCGCGGCCAGAAGCCTGTTCCGTTCATTCCTGTTCTTGACGAAGAGTTCGAGGTCTGGTTCAAGAAGGACTCTCTCTGGCAGTCTGAAGATGTGCAGGCAGTGCCCGGACAGGATGTCGGCCGTATCTGCGTTCTTCATGGCCCTGTCGCAGCCAAGCACACTACGGTGGCCAACGAGCCTATCAAGCAGCTGCTGGACGGCATCCATACCCAGTGGGTGCGGGCCCTAGCGGAACGGGGACTTGACCACGACCAACTGCAGACACCATTGACCGAGGAGGGCATGAGTGAGGTGCCGAGTGAGATCTCCCTCACCAGGACCTATGACCCCATGCTACTTAGCGATGCGCTGCCGCCAGTCGAGAACTGGATGCAGCGGCTGGCCGGCACGCAGAAAGGCTGGAGACATGCCATCTTCTCCCAGCAGACCATCGTGCAAGGCCACAGTGTCTGCGAGAACCCCATTCGCAGACTCTTTGCTCCCCGGTCAAACATCTATGTTGAAGTCGAGGAGAGCACGTCTACCGAGCAGTCCGTGATCCGGATGTTTGAGAGAGGGCCCGATAGTACGCCAGCCTTGGTCGTTGAGGTCCATGCCATCACTCAAAATCTCATCAAAGTCATCCTGTTTGAGGACCGCACTGTCACCGGCACCCCGGCGGGGCTCGAGCTGTTGTTCAGCTACCACCCCGAGCTTCCTTTTGCGCCTATCCGCGAGCTCATTTCCGACAAGACTGACCGGGTCAAGGACTTTTACCATCGTCTTTGGTTCGGTGAGTCATTGAGCTCCGCTGGTACCCTGTCCCAGGAGGAGCAATTCCACGGTGATGCCGTTACCGTAACTGCCGAGGACATCAAGAAGTTCAGCCAGTGTATCGGCAGTACCTCGTCAGCACCCCGTTCGAAGAAACTGAGCGTGCCCATGGACTATGCAATTGTCGTTGCCTGGAAGTCTGTCATGAAGCCATTGTTTACAAAGACCATCAGTGGCAACCTGATGAAGTTGGTGCACCTGTCCAACGAATTCCGCCGGCTGGGAAGCTCGGACATCCAAGAGGGAGACGTTCTCTCGTCCCGAGCTAACATCCGGGCCATTCTCAATGAAGACTCGGGCAAAGTGGTCGAAGTTGCCTCCTTGATCAGCAAAGATGGCGTTGATGTCGTCGAGGTCATCAGCCGCTTCATGTACCGAGGAACGTACAACGACTACGACACGGCTTTCCAGCAGGTCAAGGAGCCCAAAGTCGAGCTCCAACTCCCGGGTATCAAGGATGTGGCAGTCCTTCGTTCCAAGCCCTGGTTCGCTCCTCAAAACCCTGATCTGGACCTACAAGGCTTCAAGCTCACATTCGAGTTGGAGACCCACGCCCAGTTCCAGAGCAAATCAGTCTACCGCCAGCAGAGATGTTTCGGTCCCGTCTATGGTCGGTCTCCAGCCGGCGAGACCCTCAAGCTGGCCTACATCGACCACACCGTGGGCGTTTCCACCAGCAACCCCATCATGGATTACCTCAAGCGCCATGGAAGCGTTGTGGAGCAGCCCGTTCTGTTCCAGTCACCGATCACCCTTGGTGGTGGTGAGATTCAGTTCAAGTCTCCCAAGTCCAACGAGGAGTATGGCGCGGTCTCTGGCGACTACAACCCCATCCACGTGTCTCGGACTTTTGCCGCCTACGCCGAGCTCCCAGACACCATCACTCATGGCATGCACATGAGCGCCAGGGTTCGTGGTTACCTGGAGCAGTTGACTGTCCCGGGCAACCCCAGTGGCTTCAAGCGCTACCAGTGCAATTTCGTCGGCATGGTGCTGCCGGAAGACGATGTCGAGCTGGTGCTGCAGCACGTGGGCATGGTGAACGGACGGAAGCTGGTCCATGCGGAGGCACGTCGCGCTGGATCGGGTGATAAGTTGATTGTCGCAGAGGCAGAGATTGAGCAGCCCAGTACTGCCTTCCTGTTCACCGGTCAGGGCAGTCAAGAGAAGGGCATGGGCATGGAGCTGTATGCCGCTAGTCCTGCTGCTCGGAAAGTGTGGGATCTGGCTGACAAGCACTTCCTTGAGAATTTTGGTGAGTATGATTCCCTCTGTATAGATATTTCTCTAACAGGCTTAGGCTTCCGCATCACCGACATTGTGCGCAACGATCCTAAAGAACTCAAGATTCACTTTGGTGGCAGTCGTGGCCGGGCCATCCGGGAAAACTACATGGCGCTCCGTTGTGAGATGATCCATGCGGATGGACGCACAACATCCGAGAAGATCTTCAAGGATATCACGGAGCAAACCAAGTCGCATACCTTCCGATCTAGCACCGGTCTCCTGTCCTCCACCCAATTCACCCAGCCGGCATTGACCCTCATGGAGAAGGCCATCATCGAGGACATGAAGGACAAGGGATTGTTGGCCGACCACTGCAGCTTTGCTGGCCACTCGCTGGGAGAATACTCTGCCTTGGCAGCCATTGCCGAGATCATGCCTATCGAAAGTCTGGTCTCAGTGGTCTTCTACCGAGGTTTGACCATGCAGATGGCAGTCGAGCGCGACGAACAGGGAAGATCCAACTTTTCCATGTGCGCCGTGGATCCGAGTCGCCTGTCAAAGAGTATGTCATCCCAGTCATCAATCTCTATGCAGTAGCTGACCCATCCAGCATTCACCGAAGACCGTCTCCGGTACCTGGTCTCGCTCATCGCCAACGAAACCGGCTGGCTGCTCGAGATTGTCAACTACAACGTGGCCAACTCGCAGTACGTCTGCGCAGGCGATGTAAGTCCCAACCACCCCCCAAGGAAGGAAGGCTGGCTAACCCCTCAGCTCCGCGCCCTCGACACCCTCTCCTCCCTGATTGGCGTCATCAAGCGCCGTCAGTCCGACTTCCAGGCCCTGTTGCAGGGCAACCAACCCGTCGAGGACATCCGCGCCAGCGTGCTCGACACCCTGCACCAATGTGCCAGTGCGGCCAAGGCTAAGCCCCAGCCCATCCAGCTCGAACGCGGCGCCGCCACTGTGCCACTCCGGGGGATTGATGTGCCTTTCCACTCGTCCTTCCTTAGCCCGGGCATCACTGCCTTCCGCGCCTGTCTGTACAAGTACATTGACAAGGACACTCTGGATGCGGACCGGCTGGTGGGCAAGTATATCCCGAATCTCACGGCACGGCCGTTTGAGATCAGCGAAGAGTATTTCCGGCAGGTGTTTCGGTTGACGAAGTCGCCGATTGTGGCGAAGGTGTTGGCGGAGGTAAGCTTATACCATACTTTCTTCTTGATGCTTGTACTGACTGGGCATAGTGGCGAGAGTATACAGATGTTGAGCGGGGGTTGGAGAAGGTTACTCGGTCTGCGGTTATTGAGGCATGATTGTTGATGGTTGGCGTTGTTGATATCCGGTTTGATTCGCTTGAGTGTGGCTTTATGAAGTTTAAGTTTGTTATAGATTGATGTAGTACTTGGTGTGAGGTTACCTGCTGGTTGGGGTCTCGTCCATGTCTCATAGTTGCGTCTACCCTAGTTATCTAATTGTCAGATTGTTTGTTCAATCACCTTCCTGAATTTATCCTATAATAGCATCTAGAGGTCTTTGTTGAGCATTCAAGTTGATAGTTTTATCGATGTTATAAACGAATGATAGCCCTTAGACCTGGTGTATGAACACCTCCATCGGACTTGGAATTTCTTGTTGACTGTTAACTCGACCGCTTATACGCATATCCCACGAGGCCCATTTATGGATTTCAAATCACAGTCATTATCCACATATCTCTCCGTCTATGCCTGAAGCTATACTCTATACCCCCCTCTCCATAACCACCACCAACCCAACCATCTAAGCACCCTTAAAACACCCCAATGGCATTCCCATCCCCCCGAAACGTCTTATGCAACTCATCCAACGCCAAAAACGGCTTGGCGATCTCCAACCCCTTCAATCTCTCCTCCTCGACCCTCTCCCACGACCAATCCCCCTCCTTCACCTCCGCGCCCTTCTCCGGCAACAGCCCGGCAGCCGTGAGCACCGTCTCCGGACTAACCGACACCCTCCCCTTCTTAAAGACATACCTTGTCACCGCCGACGCCAAAATCCTCTTCTCATCTACTGCCCCCTCTCCAGCCCCAACCTTCCCCCCAAACACCACCTCCCCCACCCCCTTCCCAGCCCCAGCAGGCCTAACAAAATGACTCACCAAAACCAACCACTTCCCATCCCACCCCAACACCCTCGAATGGATCTCATACCCCTGATACGGCTTAATCTCCCTCTTAAACACGCACGCCGTCGATCCCAACGCAATGCCCAGTTCTCCGCCGGAGAAGCCCAACGACAGCTGATTCTTGAACAGCGAGGCGATCAAGTGCACGCGGTTGATGTCCAGGTCTGTGAAATACGTGGCGTTGGATTTGTGCATGTTGTAGTCGGTTTCGAGGAGGGGGGAGGATGAAGTGGTGATGATCGGGTAGAAGAGGGTTTGGGGGGTGTGAGGGCCGTTGGTTATGGAGATGGTGCGGGGGCGGTTGAGGAGGATGTGTGATTTTAGGACGTTCAGGAGGCGGATCTTTTATAGTTATAGTTATCTCTTGGTTAGTTTGGGTGTGTTGGTTTGGAGGGGATGAGGGAGGGAGGGAGGGGGGACGGACATGCCACACGAAGGGAAGTCCCTTCAAGTTGAGGAGGATGTAGGCGCCTCCGGCGGCGAGGAGGGCGTTTTGCCAGGTTAGGTTGTCGGAGAGGGTTTGGAGGTCCATTGTGCTGGTGATGATGGGTGGCGTGACACTGGGCTGTGGGTGATGGAGTGCGAGGTTCTTAGGGTAGAGGATATTAGAGAAGTATAGAAGAGAGGGAACAGCAACAGCGGGAGGCCGCAAGACCTCTGTCTTACGCAACAGCCTCTATGTTGCCTTGTTGGACCCAAAAGCCCCATCACGTGGCCGTGTTTGATCTCACCCCTGCAGCTGCAGCTATAGCTGCAGCATTACTGACCATTTTCCACATTCAGGTCCACGTGTCTGCAGCTCGGATCCTTCGGTGTTTTAGTGGGCGGTGGTTGGGATTCCCGGAGAGAGTCCGACGATCGGTCGTATTACATTACTTACGATACTTACGATACTTACATACGTAATTACGCTAGTACGGTGATACATCCCGAATGCAACCCTCATCATACATCATACATTATACATCTATACATCTCACCAGGACTAAATCCAGCTCCATTTACGCAGGATCAAGATCTTCACACTACAGTTCAGCTGAATCAGGTCCACGTGGAGTCAAGCTTGACACGTTGCGCGGATCGTCCTATGGGGCCTGCACGCTGTGCCATGTGCTAGGACCCAGGGTAAATGATGTCCACCTTGCTCCGGCATTATATACGCTGGTGATATAGCATGGCGTGATGTGTATTGCGGCTGATGACGCTCTGGTAGGGATAGGGGTTCGGGAATGTGCGATCGGAGACGCACGTGGTGGTGGTTCTAGAAGTCGGTGCTAGTCGGGGATTGCTCGGGGTGGCTTGCTGGGTGGTTTGTGACAGCTGAAGAGGTTGGGGGGTAGTGTAGTCGAGATAGGGGCTTGGTGGTGGATTTACGCGATGTAGCTGGTGGACTCATACTCTGTTATCGTTTGCAAGTATGCGCGCTTTAGATCGGGCATGCTTGGGTGGGGTGGGTTGCAGATAGGTCGAGGGATGACATGAGAGTCTAGAGAGGTGTTACTGGTGACTCGGGGGCTACTATGCATGATTGTGTAGTGTTCATGCTGTTTTGCAGTTCTGGATGTTGATTGTGATGGTAGTACTGTGTCGAAGCCATAGCCAAGCTAAATATATATCACAGTCTTCATAGAGAAACCTCATTGTTCAGAGCCCCCGTAGCCTCAATCACACACCTAGAAGCAGCAATACCTTGTTAATATTTATATCTAACACCGTAAAACACCATCAACCCATCATTGCGGACTTTGAGATCCTAAGGTGGTGGTGATGGTTCAACCCAGGGTATAGCAAAATGCGGGGTAAATACGTCTCCTCTTAAAGCATTAGGAAGATGCGGTATACATCAATTGGTCCCATAGCTCAGTTGGTTAGAGCGTAACGCTAATAACGTTAAAGTCGAGGGTTCGAGCCCCTCTGGGACCATCTTTTTGCCCCCTTTATTTCTACTCAAACAGATAGACTGCGAGGCTCAATTGACGTTGTTATTCACCCATCACACAATGAAAATGGTGGATTGTTGTTTTTGCTTTAGGACGTCCCAATGAAGAGTATCCTGTATCTTTCAAGAGCCACAGGGCAGACATATTGTAACTTTGAAGAGTTTCGAGCATTGGGGGTGTCCCAGACCGGGAATGAGTGGGGCCCTGGGAAATTGGCCAATAAGCGGCTTCTATCTTTTACATCTTTTTAGAATGCGTCCAACATTTGTGGCTTCATCTGTTATCGATGTGGTATCAATCAAGTATGCAGCAAACTGGCTCTGTACTGCTATTCTATGTAACCGGTGTAATAGAGCGGGCCTGACATATCTAATGGGGCATTTCTTGAGCGAGGTGAAACACTCATAAGCAAGGATACTTATGCTGATAGCTGCAGTGTGGACATGCCCTGAACGAAGAAGTCATGCATTGAAGGTTTGTTGATGTCCAAATAATACCGATTCAAATGGAACTTCTCTTAGCCCTACTGGAAAATAACTTCCCAATACCGAAAATCAAAATCATGCTTTGTCTCAAGTAACCAGAACAGCTACACAGCCCTATTCAACCTACATCCTGTTCCAACCAGCAACAACCCAATCAGGCCTCATCAACAGTCCCAAACGTATAAGTAGCCAAATTTACCGCCGGCCGACTCTCAGGCGAATAAAACAACCTCGAACTCTGACCCCACTGCGGATTATTAACCCCATCAATCCACCCCTCCGGCTCAATAGCCACACAACCATACTTCTCCACAAACTCCACACCCTCCTTTCCATCCTTCCGGTTCCTTTCAACCTGAGACGCCTTCACCGGAATAGAACCATCCATATTCAAACACGTGAAGAACTGAACAGCAGGCTGATTCGTCGCGACCTCCATGCTGATACCAGTCGTAGTGGAGTTAATACGCAGAGCCGGAACCATGGCGTCGGCGGCGGAGTAAAGAGGATCCCGGTCGATGATGAAGCAGTTGTCGTAGCCTACACAGTCCGTACCGCAAAGGCCCTCGGTGTATTGCATGTCTTGTCCGATGATCTTACCGGTGGTAAAGTCCATGGAGTGGTGGTTGGAGTCGGCGACGGTGGAGATCGTGCCGTTGGGGACTTGGATGCTGTCTGTGGCGATGAAACGCTCGGATAGGGGGAGTTGTAACCAGGTGTCATTGAGGACGGTTGGTTCTTGGAATCCATTCAGGTTCCAGTAGATGTGGTTGGAGAGCATGATGGGGGTGGTTTCGGTGAGAGATAAGGAGACCAGTTTGGTGGTTAGTCGGGGTATGCCTTGATGGGAATCGACGGTGAAAGTAGCGTGGGTGATGACGTCTCCTGGGAAGCCCTCCGATGCGGCATCGTAGAGGGTAAAGGTCACGGAGGAAGAGGTGTATGCAGCAACAGACCAGTTGCGCTGGTCGTAGCCGATGGTTCCGCCGTGGAGAGTGTATAATCCGTTTTGGTTCTTGGGAATGTGGTATTCGGTGCCGTCAAGGGTGAAAGTACCGTTCTTGATACGGTTGGCGATTCGGCCGATGACGGCTCCGAAGTAGGTATGGTTGGTCTCGGTGTCGTGGAGGTACTGACGAGGGTTGTCGTAGCCGACGATGACATCTTGTGGGGTTCCATTCCTGTCGGGGACGAGTAGGGATGTCAGGCGGGCGCCATAGGGAATGAATTTGGCAGTGATATTGTCGGCAGTGAGGGTGAAGACTTGGAATGGATCTGTAGACTGCTGTGGCCGAGAGGAGTTCAGGCCAAATACAGCTGGCACAATTGACAGTGCCGTGAGGTAGGGTTTAAGATACATCGGGGATTGTAGACCGGAACTAATGAGATACGGAGGGAAGAAGCTAAAACGTCTTATAGTATTAACCGAAAGATCGCGATTATCGAGACATCCGGCAGGATGAAGAGTGCTTTTATCCTAGGTTGACTGACTTGCAATTCACGGGTATCCGTCTCGGCATGCCGTCCGCCAAGGTCCGTCCCGAACTTGGCGGGTCTGGCCCTTCTTTATTAGTGATGTCGATCGGATAGGATCTGCTCAGGGTCTCGATTGGACCAATGGCAGGGTAACAAGGTTGGGGATCCACCAAATCTGGCAGAATAAGAGTGATCGACATCACCTCGGTCACCATTTTCGGACTAGCTGAAGGCTGCTGTCATTACCAAGCAGAAGGTCGAGGCCACGTTTAGTATCTCCCATCTGAGCAGTATGATTATTCATAGCAGAGCTGGGTGATGTTGAATCGACTTATCTGAGACAAGTCCAGGCCCAATAGACCCCCTCCGACCATCGGCATAGAACCTGAACGCTGAGAAAATCCTCCTCAACGTCATTACCAGTAACCATTCTAACATTACTCTCGTTCAGGGTGCTCATCAGATGCCACCGTGGCTACCTGCTTCAAACAGTGAGGACTGTCCATCAATGCTCGTTTCCTGGAAGCGTTCTGTAGCGGTGAGTTGCTGCCAGTCCAGTAGGGTGCTCTCATCATGTGCGAACCCTTCCAGGCTGCAACCCACCCTTTCTCAAGGGCGACTTTTAATGGTTGAAGATGTTTCGAATATTACTCATATGCTACCCTGTGGTTTGGTCTGTGACTGTGGGGGTGGAGAGTCGTCCAGGCGCTGTAAAGGTTCCGCCGCTTGATACCTGTCTGACTACCAAGAACTCATAATTTACTGGGTAGAATTTCATTTGAATCGATGTTTGAAGTCACAATATAGAAGATAGGAGGTGAGCCTGCTGTTAGAGCTCGTGCCTACCACTGGATTTACTCAAGCTCCTCAATGAATGCATCTTGACAAGAAGGTGAAGGATCTTTTCACGATGACCTGTCACTCCAATGGCCCGTCCACAGACCCCATATCAGACCAAATAGTGTTTGTTCCCATCCGGACCTTCTCGGCCATACCCGTGCTAACCGATCACAAAAGCGCCACACACTTCATCTCAATGTCGGTATACTCCGGAATTGACTTAACGGCAACACACCTATCAAATTAATCGATCGTCCGATTTAGCTCCTATCCGTAAATACCACGCGACGGGATAATTCCTTACGTTCTGACGGGCTTGATCTCTCCAAACCATTCCAAGTACGTCTCATTCATTTTCTCGAAATCCTCCATGTCGGCCAAGAAAACATTCACTTCCACCATCTTCTCCAGGCTGGACCCAGCCGATTCGAGGACGGCTTTCAAATTTCGGATGCACTGATTCTGCAATGTCGTTAGTAGATGAACTGCCGGACAGAAACCGGATTTGGTGTTCAAGAGCGTACGTACTGCACGGTCCTGGATCGTACCCTCGACAATCCTGCCGGTGGCATCCTTGGGAAGCTGACCAGAGCAAAAGACAAAGCCATTTGCCACAACTGCTTGATTGTAGAATGCGCGTGGGGGAGGGGCGTCTTGGGTGTTGACTGCTTCTCGGCGGGCGGACATGCTTGGCTAACGGAGCGACACGTTTGGGACAGGGGGGAGGAATCAGAATGAACTGTCTTGTGCGCCATCTCTACCACAATTTTTGGGACAGATCGCCAGCATGGCCCACGAGTGTGCGCCCCTAATGCAAGCCCTTTTGGCTCTCTCAGCTTGTAATATGGGCCGGACCTCACCGGAGAGTGGAGGAGAGATATCAAGCTCCCAAGTTATCTATAGACCGCGCCGTCATGACCTTGTTTCAAGCCAGCAGTACTACGGGTCTCGGCCGTGCAGCAAATCGCAAAGCTGATTAGCGCAAATCCCCCTAGCTCCCCCCTGCACATCTTAGCTGTCTTGCTGTTGTTGTGTTGTTTCGAATCGGCGATGGGGAAATTTGCTGGCTTCCGCTGCCATGCGCAAGGCGTGGACACGTTCATTCGTGCACACTTTCATACAATAGTCGCAAGCCATCTGGGTTGCGAACTCACCGCAGCATGGATCATGGCGAGAAACCACAACTGGTGGCTCAGGATGAACTTCATTCTCATTCCAGCTTAGTCAAAGTGGGCTCCCTCTGTCTCCGGAAATCGCAAACATACTGCAGTCTGTCAACGCCCGACGAGCGCGAGTCACATCAATCCTATGCGAGTCCTACCGGATCAGCAGTATCGCTCTTCTTCAGCTGGCCCCATACGGTGCAAGACAATCCTTGCATTCGAGTGTGGAACAGTGCCTCGCGTCTCTCCAAACTGAATCTAGTAAGCTCGACGATTGGCATTCCGCCCTCCCACAATCCGAGCTTCCCATCGATCCTTCTTTCGCTAGCTTTCAGGCTGCCAGCCATAGCCAAGAATTTATCCGTCCGCTACTCTTCACCTCGCACCTCCTCGCCATGAATTACGCCTACTATCTCTCCGGCCGTATCATGCAGTGTACTGCACTATTCCATCCCCATTCCCACCTCCGTTCTGCCGAGGCGGAAGCCCCACTCATTGGATGCTGATTTTACTCCGCGTGGTCGCAGGCCTCGACAGACAAACCTGTCTTCGAGAAAATGTCTATTCAATAGGAATCTCCAGTCTACTGGCATGCTGTGTTCTTCGCTGCCACGAGATGACCTTCATCAAGTGGGTCGAAAACTGGTTGCGGGGCTGGAGGGAACTCGATACACTGGAAGAGGGCAGCTTCCCTATCGCCCAAGCGTTGGAAGTGACTCGGCTCGTGCGTGAAGAGAAGGACGCTGGGAATGAAGTTTATGCGGTCGCGCTGCCCGAGGATGACGGCGGGGGTGGTGGGAAGTTTACCTCGTACTGTAGTCAGCAGTTTGATAGATTGGTTCTGGTCGGGAGGAGGAGCGACACAGGGCGTTTATATTCTGAGATGGTTCCGGTTTGGATAGGTTAAATTCGAATCAGAACAATATAACTTTAATTCCTTGAAAGTGATTCCCCTGGGTGCTATAGCAATACTCTGATATGATATGTAAATCAATTACCCACTTTCTATTGACGCAATGAGAAATGAAACAAGACCTGACAGAATTTCATCTTGCTAACGATCACTGTGTGTAAGATTAGAATGTTAGTAGGTGCACAGTCGCTGGCTCACAGTGGTCATATCCGAGGTCGCACTGCATGACTGAATAGAATTTAAAGAGAACCATGAAGTCCATAATGTTAACAGTATTGCTCGGTGTACAGATACCGGACTCGATCCTTCACAATATTCACCACGCACATAAACCCTCATCTCTCCATTCCGCGTATACCCCATAACCATAGTAAGAGGATTGATCTGTGGCATCGGGTGTGGAGGTACTCCGCAAGACCACTACAGTCAGCACACCCGCTGCAGCGACTCCTTCATCCTGTGCTCGGTTGTCGGATGTAGACGTGGGGACAGATGTGATGGCTATCTCGGATGCCGGCTAAACAACGGACGGAAGTGCCGATGAGATGGCCGTATTCGATGCTGAAGTATCCCAGCAGCCCTACAGCAGTCTGCATACAGGCCCACCGGCCTCTACATGTGAAACAGACAGACATCTCCGCGTAAATGCACGAGTAAGCGCATACGCCTGGACCAATATCTGGAGGGCGATGAGATCAGCGTTGGTTCTACACCAAGTGTATCTTCTGCTCTCTTTCTTACCACGTGGGCCGATCTACTGTCCGGCTCAGTCGATCAAGGTAGTACCAACCGAGGTCATCCCCGACAAGCATCCCCGAGCAGACCCTGGCTTGCATACCTCAGCACCGCGTATATCCATGAAACATAAGCGAGGTGGGTCAGATGTTGCCAGGCCACATCAATCCCATCCAGCAGCGTAGCAGAGCATAAATACTCTACCTCCACCCGTTCAATAGCTCCATCAAAACACATCACTCACATCACTTCACACAATGGCCCCTCGCACCCTTCAGATCGCCTGTGCCGGCCTCGGCCGCATGGGCAAGCGTCACGCTTTGAACCTTCTTCACCGGTCTCCTCGCTCCACCCTGGTGGCTGCCTTCACCCCAGACCCTGTGGAAGTCGAATGGGCAGAGACCAATCTAGTCCCCTACGGCGTCACCATCTACTCCGACTACGATGCTCTCCTCGCCCACCCAGGCCTCGAAGCCGTGCTGGTTTCCACCATTACCACCGTACACGCCGAACAATCCATCAAAGCCATCGAAGCGGGCAAGCACGTTCTCTGCGAGAAGCCTCTCTCCACCGACGCTGAGATTGTACGTCCCTCTCCCCCCCCTAACCTAACATCCATACTAACAGAACCAGTGCCAATCCGTCGCCGACGCAGCGACCCTCCACCCCGAACTAAAAGTCATGTGCGGCTTCTCCCGCCGCTTCGACACCTCCTACCGGGACGCCTACAGCAAAGCCAGCAGCGGCCTCATCGGCACCCCCTCCATCATCCGCAGCCAAACATGCGACAAAATCGACCCCACAGGCGCCTTCGTCAACTTCGCCGCCACCTCCGGCGGAATCTTCTGCGACTGCTCGGTACACGACATCGACCTAATCCTATGGTTCTTCGGCGCCTCCAGCAAAGTCAAATCCGTAGTCGCGAGCGGGACCGTCTCCCTGCACCCGGAGCTGAAAGCGTACGGGGACGCGGACAACGCGGTAGGGATTATCGAGTTTTACGGGGGCCGGGTGGCGTATCTGTATTGTTCGCGGATGATGGCGGCGGGGCAGGAGGATACGACGGAGATTATTGGGCCGGAGGGGAAGTTGGTGGTGAATGGGCAGGCGCAGAAGAATCTGGTGGGGATTTTTGATCGAACCGGGGCCAGACGTGAGTTGCCGGCGCATTACTATGAGCGGTTTGAGGGGGCGTTTGTGGAGGAGGTGAATGAGTTTGCGGAGGCGTGTTTGGATGGGAAGGAGTTGCCGATGGGGATTCAGGGGGCGGTGGAGGCGGTGCGGATTGCGAGGGCGTTGCAGGACTCGTTGGTGAGTGGGGAGAAGGTGCGGTTTGGGGAGGATGGGAGGAGGGTGTGATCGGAGCAGAGTGGTGCTGTGATACTGTTTGGTTACTTAGTATGTGATAGTTAATGGATTGATGCATGAATCGTTTGACGGTTGTTATTTGCTGTTGCCCAGTTTGGCAGGCATTGCGAGTCGTAGTGGAGATGGACACGAGGTGGAGAGAGACGTTGGTTTAGGGCAGGAATGATCTGCGGTACTCCGTATGGCGGTATGTATCGTCTTGGGTATGGTATGAACGTTCGTATCGTGGTAATATGTTACTTACACGGTAATATACACTAATACACATACCTAAGCAGCGGCTTCCCGCAAGTTAAGACATTAAGAAACGCATTAAGCATGCTGACAGGATTCCACTGCAGCTGATCTCACGTCAGCCTCACCCGCCAAGCAGATTGAGAACACTGAATCATTCCACTCTAAACGCAGATCGTCACTAACCCAACTGGGATAGTCTAGCTGCAGGAGAGCTCGATCCTGCCGACACCGCGCAACAGGGCAATAATATGCCCGCTAATCTCCGAACACGAGCTCAAGCCTCAGGCTGAAACACTGTCATCCAGCCCCGGAATGTTGATGCGTATATGGATGCGTATATGTAGTATGTAGGCGTATATGTAAGCGTATATGAGATGAATGGGGCCGAGTATGTATGGGATCGTCAGCAGCCAGCATCAGATTGATTTATCTTGCCGGTGTTCGCATGATTCACTCTCAGAATCAACTCCTACACTCGACACAATCCAGCCAGCACCGCACCGCACAACAACACAATGACCTTTGCACCTCCCGCAGCCGACCTTGGTATGTAACCCAGCATCCCATCTACATACACTTTGCTGATCAACCAGACTGGTCCAAACTCGGCCTTGCCGTGACCGACATCGGTACATCCCAACCACTATCCCACCATCATCACCAGCACCACCACTAACCCCCCCAGTCAACGGCCACGTCGAATGCCACTACAACCCAGCAACCCAAACCTGGGGTGCCCCGACCTTCGTGGAAGACCCCTACCTCCGCATCCACGGTCTCTCCACGGGTCTCAACTACGGTACCCTATCCCTTCCCCCATACCCTTCCCCTCTTCCCCACCCACCACCACCACCACCCTCCAAAAACTGACAACAAAACAGGCCAACAAATCTACGAAGGCCTGAAAGCCACCCGCTCCCCCACCAACGAAATCCTCCTCTTCCGCGCCCCCAAACACGCCACTCGAATGGTCCACTCCGCAACCCTCGTCTCCATCCCTCCCATCCCCCCAACCCTCTTCCTCGACGCCATCCGTCTCGCCGTCTCCGAAAACGCCCCCTTCGTGCCTCCCCACTCCAGCAACGCCGCGCTGTACATCCGTCCCCTCGCCTTCGGCACAGGCGGGCACTTCGCACTCACTCCGCCCCCGAATTACCTCTTTGCCGTGTACGTCCAACCCTTCGGGACCTACCACGGGACGTCCGCAGCGGATGCATTGGTCATCGAGGAATTCGATCGTGCGGCGCCGAGAGGGACAGGGAATGGTAAGGTGGGGGGGAATTATGCGCCTGTGATGCGGTTCACGGAGAAGGCGAGGGCGGAGGGGTTTCCGCTCACGTTGCATTTGGATAGTTTGACGCAGATGGAGGTGGATGAGTTTTCGACGAGTGGGTTTTTGGGCATTCGGAAGGATGAAGAGGGGAAGGTGACGTTGGTGGTGCCGGATAGTGGGAGTGTGATTGAGAGTGTGACGAGTGATTCGGTGCAGGGGATTGCGAGAGTGTTGGGGTGGGGGGTGGAGAAACGGAGGGTATGTTCCATCCCTTTCTTGCTTTGATTTGGTTGGGTTGGGTTGGGTTTGGGGGGGATTGGCTAACGGTGTGCTTGTGTGCTGCAGATTCCGTGGGATACTGTGGGCCAGTTTACGGAGGTTATGGCTGCGGGCACTGCGGCTGCCGTGGTGCCCATTCGGTCGATTACGAGACGGTCGACTGGGGAGAAGTTGGAGTTTGAGAGTGGGCCGTTGTGTTTGGAGTTGTTGACTCGGTTGAGGAAGATTCAGCGGGGAGAGGGGGGAGAGGAGTTTGCGGATTGGGTTGAGGCGGTTAAGGCGCCGGAGACGGTGTATGAGAAGTATGGTGTGAAGGAGGGCACCAATGGGGTTGCTAAGGAGATCTCGAATGGTGTCACTAATGGGTCGAACGGGGTTAGCAATGGTGTTCATTAGGTGGTACTGTTGTTGGGATTGTTTTGAGATGTTGAATGATACTTGTGCTTTAGTTTATATGCTGTTTCCGGTTGATTCGTTACGCTGCTTTTGTAGTCAAGCCTCAGTAGGTTTTAACCAATGGCTAAGTACATATTTCACTTCAGCATAGCCGGCTGAACAAGTCCAGTCCACGTCTAAAGACAGTTGAGACAGCTGGGTAACTCTCCAAGTAGACTAACCTTTGTCCGAGCAGTGGTTCTTGGTCTCGTGTGTCAAGCGATGCGTTGTGGTCACTGTTACACATAGGGCTATGCCGATAGCCCTAAATATACCATTGCCACAAAATGAAGCCACCTAATGCTTCCATACTGGTTCCATTCTATGATTCTATGATAATCTGATCTTATCGTGAGATTGCTCAGGATAATAAGAAACAAATAATCACTGAATTTTATAACACTAGAGCATGATGTGGTATGAAACAACCATATCGCCATATTCCCACCTCAGGCACGTACAACACTCAATAAATCCCAAGCCAGCGACTGAACCAAACAATACATTTTCACATAACACACCACCCCAACCAACGTAATAATATATACAAAGCAACCCCCCCACTACACTACCCTAAGCTCTCTCCCTAAAACAAACCATCGGCCCATCCTTCGACGCCGTAATATGATCATAAAGCTGATACTCACTCTCCCTCTCTCTCCCCGGTCCCATTCCCTTCCCACCCGCCCCAAGTCTCCCCTCCTTCCCCTCCCCCAACACAAACTCATACCTCCACAACATCATCGCAATCCCCAACGTCAACTCCGCCAACGCCAATCCCTTCCCAATACATCCTCTCGGCCCGATCGAAAACGGATTAAACGCGCCCTGGGCCTTGGCCAAACTATCCCGATCCGCACGTCCCACGGCATCGGTATCGCCCTCCGCGCCGGCGAGAATCCAGCGTTCGGGCCGGAAGGCATACGCTTCCGGGTAGTAGGTCTCATTGTGGTGGATGGCGTAGATGCCCGTGCCGACGTCGTAGCCGGATGGGATGAAGTGCCCGTCGAAGGTGGCGCCGCCGGGGCCGACTTCGCGCCAGAGGGCGGAGCCGGCGGGCGGGGAGAGGCGCAGGGCTTCGTCGATGCAGGCCCGGAGGTAGATGCAGGAGCTGAGGCGGGGGCCCAGCGTGATTTCCTCGGTCGAGCTGAAGGTGTTTCGGATTTCGGTGGCCACGCGCGTGTACCAGGCTTTGTTGTGCGAGAGGTAGAAGAGGCAGGAGGAGAAGGCGGTGGAGGAGGTGTCGGAGCCTAAAAATACCTTATCAGAAAGAAGTTTTACGGTAGGAGGAAGAGGGGGAGGAGGGGGCCTACCGGCTACGACGAGGGTGGTGGTTTCGGCACCAATCTCGGCGAGGGAGAGACTTTGTTGGGTTTCGGGGTCCTTGGCATCCAGCAGGAAGGTGAAGACGTCCTGGCGGGCGGACTTGGCGGCTTTGAAGCGGCGCTGGAGGAGGGTGTTGACGAATTGGATGAATTTGTTGCGGGCCAGGATGGACTCGGCGAAGAGCTTGCGGTCCCAGCGACGGAAGGCGAGGATGGGGGCTTGAGCGAGGACGGAGGTTCGGACGTTGGAGTCCTCGATTGCTTTGACGACGTAGCGGTGTTCGTCGTTGGTCACCATGTTGTAGTGCTCGCCGAAGAGGACGTCGGACATGATGTCGAAGGTGAGGAAGTTGACTGCGAGTATCAGTATTGATTGTGAATGGGGGAAGGACGGGGGACATACAGTAGTGAGCAACATTGCGTGGAACAGACCAGTCGCCGGGTTTACTTCCCACTAGCACAGTGCAGAGCTCATTGATGTGCTTGAGAATGGCTGGCTGGTACCGACGCAAGGCAGCGTCGGACAGGCCCTGACTGATGATCCGTCTCTTTCTGCCGTGGGCTTTCTTGTCGATAAGGGTCAGGGTGTTCGGGGCACGGTGGACCATGGCGCTGTAGAGCTTGGACTTTTGAGTGTTGCGACCGAAGCCATAGATATCTATACCATTAGCTACATCCCATACACTGCAGAGGTAGCGTACCGTGAAGACCAATGGAGGTGTTGATGAGAAGCTGGTTAGGCGCATAACGGACGAAATCCCCTGCTGAGATTAGTACAGCCATTAACCATCTGGACAAAGCATACCGTATTTCTCATGACAGCGCGCCATGTCCAGATGCAAGTCGCCCTTCCACGCATGCCAGCCCGAGTAGAGGCAGGTGAACTTGGCCCAGAACGGACCGGGGAAGTGCGCCAGCGGATGGAACCATAGCTGGTAGACCACATAGACAAATATCTATGACTGTGAGTATGCGTATGGCAGTGGGCAGAGATTGGACTGACCGAAGCAACAGAGGCCCCAAGCAGGGCCAGCACACCAGCCTGCCAGGAGGCTTGGAAAGCAGACGCAAACACCATGATGTGAATTGTACGTGGAATGAATGTATGAGAAACTTAGAAGAGAGAAGCACAGAGATGGCTGGACTATGAAATATGAACAGTCATCTGTAAACTGCCTTCTAACAACGCACCAGATCATACGACAGACATCCAACAGTTTCAGACTCAGCACAACACTGCAGCCATGATCATCCGAGCGCTGCAAATACGCAGTCAGCTCCACATTCCTCGTGGCCATGCATCAACTCCACTGACTCCGGGAACGTGGTGAAGGATTAACGCACTCCGCCACCTGGCACCCCCTGCTGCCCCCTGTCGCAGGATCAGGATCAGCGCAGAGATCGGGACGGTCAGATACCGCCCGTATTTCCAAACATACGACCGTAACTTACCAAACATACCAGTACTAGCGCAGAAACCGCGTAAAAAACACAATACGAGACGCTCCACGCGGAAATCCGCTAAACCCTATTTACGCGCGGTTTCAGGATGACGCCCCACTGACGGCGCTCGGATGTATCCCAAAGAGCTGACAACATCGCTGGTCATGCTGACGAACTCCGAGCCCTGCAACGGCGCTGGGGCCAAAAGTCGGAGCCAGCCGCACGAGCAGCTGAGATAACGCCGGCCTGCAAGGCACAGAGCGTGTCTTAGTCTCGAACAGGGGGCTCGGGCGGGCACATATATCCTGCCCATGGGTTTCCTCGAAATACCTCTCGACTCCCAGGACGCATCAGTTCAACACAGCCAGCATGGCGGACATGGACAAGATGCACCCCCAGGTCCAGCGGGAGCTGGCTTATGTGTTGCTGACAGAGCTTCTGGCGTGAGTGCCTTCGTTGTTCGTTCGTTCCTGGTGATGGCAACTGATGTCTTCATAGGTACCAATTTGCTTCGCCAGTGAGATGGTATGTCCCTGGTCCTTGTCCTTGGCTCTTGGCGAGGCTTCTCTGGCGGTGCGATGCTAAGACTCGGTAGGATTGAAACTCAGGATGTGGTGCTCCAGGAGCAAAAGGTCGATCGGCTGGTCGAGATTGGCCCTGCAGAGACCTTGTTGGGCATGATCAAGAAGACGCTGGCGGCCAAGTACCAAGTCCATGATGCGGCACTTGCGGTCCAACGAGAGATCTGGAGTCACAAGAAGAATGCGCGGGAGATATATTACGAGGGCGGTGATGCCGAGGCCGCGCCAGCCCAAACCGGAAAGGACACCGCTACCCCGGCACCCCAAGCTGCCACCCCCAAGACTCCTGAGCCAGTTGCTGCACCCCAACCAGCCCCGGTGCGGCAGGCAGCTTCCAGCATTGACGACAAACCGATCGCAGCCCTGGACATCATCGTCGCCCTGATTGCACACAAACTGAAGAAGTCATTGCAAGACATTGACTTGAGCCAAACCATCAAGAAGTTGGTTGGAGGTGAGTACCATCCCTGGCCATGATGTAGTGCCTCTCTGACCCCTGTGCAGGCCGATCTACCCTGGAGAATGAGATCGTCGGAGACCTCGGTGCCGAGTTCGGCGCCATCCCCGATGCCCCCGAAGACACGGCCCTGTCCGAGCTGTCCCAGTCCATCGAAGCCGGCGCCTGGAAGAAAGGCCTGGGCAAGACCACCCAGACGCTGGTCAACCGGATGGTGTCGGCCAAGATGCCGGCCGGGCTGGGCGCGGGCGAAGTGCGGGCCCATCTGCTCGGCAAGTGGGGCTTGCCGACGGGCCGCCAGGACGCCGTGCTGCTCCGCGCCGCCGTCCAGCAGCCCGCCGCTCGTCTGCCGGATACCGGCGCGGCGCAGGCCTTCCTGGACGACGTTGTCCAGCAGTATGCCAAAGAGGCCAATGTCAATCTCTCAGCGGCGGGTAGCTCCTCCGATGGCGCCGGGGCATCGTCCGGCCCGGTCGTCGTCGACCAGACGGCCGTCAAGGCGCTGGCCAAGACCCAGGATGACCGCGCCCAGGCGATGCTCGAGTTGTACGCCAAGTTGCTCGGGGTGGACCTGCAGGCAGGACACAAGGCCAGCACCAAGGCAGCCGAGGTCATCGCCGAGCTGCAAGATGAGTTGCAGCTGTGGATTTCAGAGCACGGCGAGGTGTACGGCTCCGGCATCAAGCCCATGCTGGCCGTGGCCAAGGCCCGCCGATACGACTCGTTTTGGAACTGGGCGCTTCAGGACGCCGTGGATCTCTTCCACCGCATATTGTCCGGCAGCATCGCGCTGACGGGTCATGAGATTGAAACCATCATGGGCCGCATCGCCCGCAAGTCCAACCCCAAGCTCGTGCAGATGCTGGAGTACTTGGAGACACAGTGCCTGAAGCTGCGAAACCCGCGAGCGATCCATGCTCGGGATGTCCTTCACCAGCTGCGGGTGGCATGCAACCCACAATTATCCGGCATCCAGCCCCTAACTGCCCACCGGTTGGTGATTGACGCACCCAAGACCACCATCGACAAACAAGGGCGAATCCAATACACGGAGGTCCCTCGCACCGGCATTGACTCCGCCCCGCCAGCCACACTCAAGACGCTGGGGCGGCAGGGATGGGAGACCCGGGCGGATTTGACTGCATCCTTCATGGCCACTCTGCGCGATACGGATCAGCAGTGCCTTTCCTTCCAGGACGCCGAGGTGCTTGTCATCGGCGCGGGACGGGATTCCATCGGCACGGAGATCGTCCGCGGTCTCCTACGAGGAGGTGCACGGGTCCTAGTGACCACCAGTAGCTACTCGCTGGCGACGACACGACTGTACCAGAAGATCTACGCCGACGAGGGAGCCCGCGGGTCCCAGCTCGTCCTCATGCCCTTCAACCAGGCCAGCCAGCAAGACCTCGAGGCCTTGGTCTCTTACATCTATGACTCCGATAAAGGCCTCGGATGGGATTTGAGCCATGTCGTCCCCTTCGCGGCGATCCCCGAAGGGGGCCGTCAGATCGAGGACATCGATTCCAAGTCCGAGCTGGCCCACCGGATCATGTTGACCAACACGCTGCGACTGCTGGGAGCGATCAAGAAGCAGAAGCAGGCGCGCGGATTCGACAGTCATCCCGCCCAGGTCATTCTCCCCTTGTCGCCCAACCATGGCATTTTCGGTGGCGATGGCCTGTACCCCGAGTCCAAGATCGCCCTCGAGACGCTGTTCAATCGCTGGAGCTCGGAGTCATGGGGGGCTTACTTGTCGATCTGCGGTGCAATTATCGGCTGGACGCGCGGCACCGGACTGATGAGCGCCAACAATGGCGTGGCAGAGGACATTGAGAAAATGGGAGTTCGGACTTTCTCCCAGGTCGAGATGGCATACTACATCCTGGTCCTCATGTCCTCGCCCATTGCCACCGAGTGCGAGGTGACCCCGGTGCAGGCCGACTTGAGTGGCGGCATGGGCCATTTCCCGAAATTCAAAGAGACCGTCGACTCCATCCGGCGGAAGCAGAAGGAAACCAGCGAGATTCGCGAGGCTTTGGCAAAAGAAGAGGCCTTTGAGCGCGCTGCCCTGGGGAAGCCATCGGAAGAGACACCTCAGGTGCGGGAGCAAAAGGCCAAGCTGGAACTCGACTTCCCGCGTCTGCCTGACTACCAGACAGAAGTCCTGCCCTTGGCGGGTCAGCTGCGCGGAATGGTCGATCTGGACCGCGTGGTCGTTGTCACTGGTTTCTCCGAAGTCGGGCCCTACGGTAATGCCCGGACACGTTGGGAGATGGAGGCATACGGGGAGTTCTCACTGGAAGGCTGCATTGAGATGGCCTGGATCATGGGCCTGATCAAACATCACAACGGACCTCTGAATGGAAACCCTCATTACCACGGCTGGATTGTCACAGCGACCAAGGAGCCTATCCGCGACATCGACGTGAAGAAGCGATTCGAAGAGCACATCCTGGAACACACTGGCATTCGACTGATCGAGCCCGAAATCAACGACGGCTACGATCCCAACAAGAAGAAGTTCCTGCAGGAGGTGGTGCTCGACGAGGATATGCCTCCGCTGAAGACGTCCAAGGAGACCGCGGAGCAACTCCGACTGGAGCATGGCGACAAGGTCGAGGTGATCCCAGAGGGCGATGAATACACGGTTCGTCTGCTCAAAGGGGCCTGCCTGATGATCCCCAAGGCACTCCGATTTGACCGCGCCGTAGCCGGTCAGATCCCGACCGGCTGGGATGCCCGGACGTATGGTCTCACCGAGGATCTGGCCAACCAAGTCGACCCGGCCACGCTCTACGCCCTCATCGGGACGGTGGAGGCACTCCTGAGTGCAGGAATCAGTGACCCCTTTGAAATCTACCAATACCTCCACATCTCGGAAATTGGCAATTGCATTGGCTCCGGATTGGGTGGTGTCAAGGCGCTCCGCAAGCTGCATAAAGACCGGTTCGTTGAGAAGCAGGTCCAGAACGACATCCTGCAGGAGTCATTCATCAACACCACAGCAGCCTGGATCAACATGCTCTTGCTGTCCTCGACCGGTCCTATCCGCACCCCAGTCGGTGCTTGTGCCACCTCGATTGAGTCGCTGGAATCGGGCTTCGAGACCATTGTCTCCGGAAAGGCCAAGATGTGCCTGGTCGGTGGCTTCGACGACTTCTCCGAGGATGTGTCCTACGAATTCGCCAAAATGAAGGCCACGGTCAGCAGCGAGGCCGAGTTCGAGAAGGGTCGCGATCCCAGCGAAATGTCTCGACCAGCGGCTGCCACCCGTGCTGGATTTGTCGAGTCGCAAGGCAGCGGTATCCAAGTGATCACGTCCGCTCAGTTGGCATTGGACATGGGCCTTCCCATTCAGGGGATCGTCGCATGGGTTGGAACCGCCAGTGATAAGATCGGACGGTCGGTTCCCGCTCCCGGCAAGGGCCTCCTGACGAACGCGCGCGAAGCACGACACCGCGTGCCCTCCCCGATGTTGGATATCTCGTATCGACGCCGGAGATTGAACATGACCCTCCAACACATCAAGGAGCGCGTCGACATGGAGGTGGACATTGCCGAGGCTGAGCTTGCGGACCTCAAGCGCAGCTCCGGTCCTGTTGTCGAAGAGCGGATCGAGGAGATCAACGAGCGTCTCCGCTACGTCCGCCGCGAAGCCCAGGTGCAGGAGAAAGACGCGTTGAACACGTACGGCAATCACTTCTGGAAGAACGATCCGGAGATTTCTCCCCTTCGCGGAGCCCTGGCCACATGGAACTTGACCATCAACGACCTGGATGTGGTCTCATTCCACGGGACGTCGACGGTGCTCAACGAGAAGAACGAGACGGCTATGATCAGCCACCAACTGCAGCACCTCGGTCGGACCAAGGGCAATCCGGCGCTGGGAATCTTCCAGAAGTATCTCACGGGACACTCGAAGGGTGCGGCGGGCGCGTGGATGCTCAATGGGGGTCTCCAGGTGCTCAACACCGGTTTAATTCCGGGCAACCGCAATGCGGACAACATCGATGCCGCCCTGGAGAATGACTACCTGGTGTACCCCAGCCGCAGCATCCAGACATCAGGAGTGAAGGCCTTTTCCGTGACCTCGTTCGGGTTCGGACAGAAAGGCGCGCAGGCGCTCGGCGTGCATCCGCGATACCTCTTCGCGACGCTAGACCAGACGACTTATGACGCGTACCGGGGTCGCGTCGAGGCACGACAGCGGCGTGCGCAGCAACATTTCCGGTTTGGCATTGCGCATAATGCCGTGTTCTCGGCCAAGGAGAATCCACCGTACGCCAAGGAGCAGGAGTTCCGCATCCTGTTGGATCCGGAGGCGCGACTGACGGAGAATGGGCGGGGAGAGTTGGAGTATGCCGAGTAATGGCGATAATCGATGCCCTGGTTTGTAAATACTGATGAGCTGTTTGATTTCTTTGTGATGCACCGGAGTTTTGTGAGAAGCAAGGATTTCTATACCATGTGATTTGCCGGTTTGTGTGCGATGCTTATTTGCTGGGTTTGCTGTGTTTTCTATGTTTGTCTCGGGGGTGCCTTGTTTGACGTCATCCCATTGGTTATTAATTCTTCCTGATGTCGCGAATTCCTCCACTTGATTGTCCCATTTGCCATTGCGATCGTGACTAGAGCAGCATATATCATGAGTTTCTGCGTCTATGATTGTGTAGTCCCCCTCGCAATGACCTCGATCGACATAGCATTTGGTGTACCCGAACTAAATCCTGTTCACATGGGGTGGGGCGAGGAACCGAGCTAAGCGGCTGCCAGTTGACAGTTTCACCAACGGTTGTCAACGGTTCTTTCGGGACGCTGGACCTCGGCATCTCCTTTCCCCAGATTTATGTCCAATTTAACCCCTGCTCATCCCCTCATGTCCCTCCACTTCCTCTCGACCACACCTGCAACTCATCACCCACCATGGCTGACTACACCTATCAATATCTCAATGTCACCTTTCCCCCCGAACACCAATATGTCGCCCACGTGGAGATCAACCGTCCCGACAAACTAAATGCCTTTATCGAAGCGTGCGCCCCTCCTTCCCCTCCATGAACCTCATCTAACTCCATCCCAGCATGTGGCTCGAACTGTCCGCCATCTTCACGCGCCTCTCCTCCGACCCATCCGTCCGCGCCATTGTCCTCACCGGCGCCGGCGACCGCGCCTTCACCGCCGGCCTCGACGTCAAAGCCGCCTCCGAAGGCCTCCTCTCCGATTCGCCCGGACAGCCCGACCTCGATTCCGCCCGCCGCGCCACCCCTCTCCGCCGTCACATCGCGTCCATCCAAGACTGCATCTCGTCGATCGAAAAATGCGAGAAGCCCGTCATCGTGGCCCTACATGGCATCGCCCTGGGTCTAGCCATCGACATCAGCGTGGCCGCCGACGTGCGGGTGTGCTCCGCCGACGTGCGGCTCGCCGTGAAGGAGGTGGACATCGGACTGGCGGCGGATATCGGGACGTTGAGTCGGTTGCCCAAGGTGGTGGGGAACTTCGGGTGGGTGAAGGAGGTGGCCTTGACGGCGCGGGTGTTTGGCGCGGACGAGGCCTTGCGCGTCGGGTTGGTGAATCGCGTGTTTGAGAATAAGGCGGAGACTGTCCGGGGAGCGTTGGAGTTGGCGGGGCTGATCGCCACCAAGAGTCCGGTAGCGGTGCAGGGGACGAAGGAGTTGTTGAATTATTCAAGGGATCATACGGTGCAGGAGGGTGAGTAGATGCTCGGGGGTGGGTATGAAGGGCCATGCTAACACATTGTTAGGATTGCGGTATACGACGGTCTGGAACAGTGCGATGCTGCAGACCAAGGATGTCTCGGCGGCGCTGTTGTCGGGGATTCAGAGGAGGAAGCCGACGTTTGAGAAGTTGTAGGATATGTCTCACATCTGTATATTCCTGGAGCTCGCTAGCTCGAGATCTCCGATTCAATTGATTTTTGTCTTCGCTTCTGAATGAAAAGTGCTGCTGTTCCGATGGATTTGACCCAGCAGTCCTGGATGCAACATAAGACCAACATGCTTCCATTGCACTGCCATTTGCTTATTGTCAACTCCTTCCTTTGCTGAGAATGTCTCGACCGCTAGTGGTTTCCCACAATCTCGATTTATTGTTTCATGGGTGGAGGGAAAGCAGTGACGCAGGCGGGGATGAGAGGAATATCCTCGCGGTATGCGACCGGGGAATAAGGGGCCAGTTCTTATACTAGCTTAGATCTTTATGGTGTCTGAGCCCATCGGGGCATTTCCACTCGGTTGTCCAGTACTGACAATGGTTGTGCAGCCTACCAGACTGATGTCCAATCGATGCTCACCGTACGGGTCTGGCAGTGAAAAGTGGACTGAGCTTGGTTGACAGATCAAGTCGATAATAGACATGTTGGGTAGGACACTAAATGCTGTTGACCATCTGAGTTGACTTATCTTGACTTCAGGTCGATTGACCATAGTCGATTGTGGCGACATCCTCTGGCGATCGCAGGAGCGAACCCTAAATCACGGATGGTGGCACCCACCCAGATTGATATCGTCACATCGTGGGTAGAATTGGCGGTCAAGCAAAGGATGATCGACACTAGCGCGATCCATTTGACGAAAATCCTTGCCAGACCAGGACATTGGGTTATTGCTTTTATCCGGGACCAAAAGCAATATACCCACGCAAACAACGTGATGGGGGCCCTGAAGCGGGGAACTCGTCCCCCCGGATGGTGGTCAACGACCTAATGATCGCCTTCTAAATCGGTCGAGATACTGCCTTGCTGGCTTCTAGTCTTCTCTTCCAAACCCCCAGGGTAATTAGAACTGACCCAGCAAACAGAGTTTAGAGACAGACAGCTCCATCACTTTCTCCAGCCATTGGAGGGTGTTATCCCGCGTGCAATCGGTCCTCGGCTACCTGCAGCAGCAGTGAAGGGGACCAATCCCCAAGCCTCTATCCAGCCATCTCGTATTCTCCGCTGCCTTATCTTACTTTGGGCTGCAGCTCCAAGACACGAAGGTGCACAGATAACGCGTGGCCAGCCGAGGGGACGGCTGAATTGCCCTCCCACATCTTCCCCATGTGAAATCTTACACCTTGCAAGTCTGCAACTTCCCCCTATACCTACTGTCATCCAACCATGGCCAGCACGGAAGATGCACGACCCGACGATTACCCCCACCTATCCAGACCCTGTCGGTTGATGAACTCTCACTACGACGTGGTCGTCGTTGGATCGGGGTATGGAGCCGGTGTTGCGGCGAGTCGAATGGCCCGAGCTGGCAAGAGCGTAGCCGTTCTCGAACTCGGATGGGAGAGACGACGTACGTATGCTGGTCCAGGGTATGTTCATGACTAACCCAGCAGCAGCCGGCTCGTTTCCAGATTCTCTATGGCAATGTCTGAAGGAAATCAACATCTCAGGGACCGCGCGCTGCCTGTCCTCGGACAAACCCACTCGTCTGTTCCAGTTGATGCTAGGTGATGGACAGCACGCCCTGGTTGCTCATGGTATGTTTATTGTCTACGTGGCGACGGAATACACCGCTGGAACTGTGTTAACGTCCCTGGATATACACAGCACTAGGTGGCTGCTCGCTCATCAACGCGGGGGTCTTTCTAGAGGCCGATCAACGCACCTTGCAGATGAGTGCATGGCCCCCGGAGATCCGAAAAGACCCCTCCGTGCTGCAGCCTTGTAAGTTGTTGCATCCCATATCTGCGGAGGAATGCAAACTAAGTCCTGCCAGACTACTCACGCGCAGCAGAGATGCTGCAGCCTTCTCCATACCCAGATAATCATCCACGTCTAGCCAAACTGGACAATATCCAAAAGCAAGCAGAGTCGCTTGGAAAGGCACACAGCTTTTACCGTGCGCCCCTGACAACGTTCTTTCGTCGCGGTCGGAATCACGCTGGTGTTATGTTGCAGGGGAATACGGGATCAGGAAACGAAAGTACCGGATTGAATGACGGATCGAAAAACTCCGTTGCTACGACGTACCTCGCGGATGCGTGGAACTGGGGTGCCGAAATTTTCTGCGGCTGCCAGGTCCGATACATTGAGCAGGCACCCGATCATAAGGGCTATGTGGTGTACTTTGCCTGGCATGGGAAGGGAAGGTCAGCATTTGCGGAAGACGTCCAAACCCAGCTGTTCTGGGTGAAAGCCGTAGGTCTACCACACAATGGTTGCATGCATGTGCTTACTGGGCGGCGCACGAATAGAACGATCTGTGTTTTCTCGGGGCCGGTGCGTTGGGGACAACTGAGATTCTGCTTCGTTCGAGAGACTACGGCCTTCCGATTTCACCGATGGTCGGAAGAAACGTGTCCGGAAATGGGGACATGCTGGTTTTTGGTAAGTGTGGTGATTTTGGTACGGCAGAACTGATGCCAGGCCTAGGATACAATGGTGACATGCAGGTCAACGGCATCTCCGGAACCCAGAGACCCGGTCCGACTATCACCGGAGTCTTGGATTGCAGAGGGGAGGGCTTGTCCAAGAATGTCCTTGCCGACCACGTCATTCAAGATGGGTGCATCCCAAGACCCTTTAGCCCTCTTTTCCAGGCCGTGCTCATGTGGCAGACAGCCCGACTTCTAGTTGCCCCATCGCTTGCGGGGGGTGTACAGCAGTGTTGGAAGGTCATCTCCAATCTCACAATCCGTCTATTGAACCCATCTAAAGGAGGTGCTATGCAACGCACTTCGACTTACCTAGTCATGTCACACGACAGTAACGAACTCACCCTCACCTTGGAAAATGATAGATTACTCCTGCGAGGTCCCGCAGAGGGGCGGTCCGAGAAGTTTTCTGAAATCAGAAACATGCTGAGATCCGTGGTAAGCCGCGCAGGTGGAAAGATTGGCTTTTCACCTTTATCTGGTAGGTTCGTCTCATTGTCAGTTGGCCTAGCTAAAGTCTACAGGTTCCCAGAAGGCCGAGGTCACTGTCCATCCACTCGGAGGGGCCAACATGAGCAGAGATGGCACAGGCCGTGAAGGTGTCACAAACCATCTAGGCCAGGTGTATAAGGGGCACAGAAGGGAAAAGCACGAGGGGCTCGTGTGCTGTGATGGCTCGGTCGTGCCGACTGCATTGGGTGGGTAGCTCATGCCCTCATTCTATATTGGCTGTTAACGTGTTAGGCGTGAATCCCCTTGCCACAATAACTGCGCTTGCTGGGCGATCGGTTGATTTGATTGCCAAGGAGCATGGATATTCTATTGATATGGCAACACCAAACGGGAGTCTTGATGCTCTGTCGCAGCCAATGGTATCACATCGCCGGGAGATCGAGGATACGTCCATCGCCAAGTCACTATCGCCAATTAGATGGCAGTTCACTGAGCTTCTCGAGGGTCACATCAGCACACGGCCAGATGAAATGGACTTTGCAGTATGCGAGACACTAGGAAAGAGTTCATCGTCTGCGATGCGGATGTTCCTCACCATTGAGATTTGCCGGAGAACAGGTGAGTGACGAAATGCTGTTCATGATGAGTTCTCACAAGGCTAGATACGGGAGGGCTGCAATACGAGGGGATCTGCACCGGAACGGTGTCTTGCAGGGCGCTATCCCGAGGGCCGATGAGAGTCGTAAATGGCAAGATCCGGTTCTTCGTCCAGCCAGCAGAGCAGCCAGATTCGACAACTCTCACCTATTCGTCACAGTTTATCTCACTAGAGAATACCCGGTACCATCTCGAGGGATGCAAGCAGATTGATGCAACGTCCTCCTTCTCCGTAAGCCGTATGTGGGAGGCCACTACCAAGGTCAATGTCCGCATCACACGGGATGACGGGATGAAAGTAGCAGCTGGTGCTCTCCACATCTCATGGCCGTCGTTCCGCCGGCAGATACGAACTTTCCGGACAACAGAGCCCTTCAGACTGAATCTGCTGCCGGCGCTGGTCATGTTTCTAATCTACTTTGCATTCCAGCTAGCGATCTTCTTCTTTCGTCCTCTCTCGCCAGCACGAAAGTCTCGCCGCTCCTCTCACGTTCCTATCAGCCCTAAACAGCAACCATCGGCCACTCACCTACTGCAAACACAAGATGGCATCACCGTACGCCTGGAGGAATACGAGCCACAGCCGAGAGCAGACCAGAAAGGCCCTGAAGCCCAGCCAGTCCTCTTTCTACCCGGAGTTACTGGCAATGCCGCACACAGTACCTTTGCGCTACCATATCTACGCCGCAACATGGTTGAATATTTCACAGCACGCGGATGCCGATGCTACGTCCTAACACCTCGCTGGGGCGACAACCCCACCGTAGCAGCCAGCTGCACTGTTTTCGACTGTCGTCTAGACATCGCAGCAGCCCTACAACACATCCGCCACCAACAAAAACAGAAACCATACATAATAGCCCACTGCCAAGGCTCCGTAGCCCTCGCAATGGGTCTCCTCGACGGCACCATCAACCGGAGCCAGCTCCTCGGCATCACCGCAAACTCCGTATTCATGAACCAGAAGCTTGCACACTGGAACTCAATCAAAGCAGCCACTCCCATTCTAATCCGTCTCTACCAGCTGATCTCAGGCACATACTACCCCATCGGCAACCGCCCCGACAACAGCCCTATCCAAAAAATACTCGACATGCTGATACGCTTCTACCCTGTCGAAAACCGGCGCGACATCTGCACATCGACCCATTGTCACCGCACCACATTCGCATTCGGACTCTGCTGGAACCACCAAAACCTCGACACGAATATCCACGACCACGTGGGCCAGTTCTTCGGAGACACATACACCACGATCCTCGAGCATATCACGCGCATGGGCACGCACGGAGCGTGCTTGGATAATCAGCTCCATGCTCTGGTTACGGAGGAGAATCTTGAAAACTTGCGGGGTGTGCCGATTCTGTTCATGTCTGGTACGGTTAATGAGGTGTTTATGCCTGAGTCGACGCTGCGGGATTATGAGATGCTAAGACGGAGGTTTGGGGAGCGTTTGTATCGGCGGTTTTTGGTCGAGGGGTATGGACATTTGGATCCGGTTGTGGGGAGGAATGCTGATCGGGATGTTTATTGGAGGGTGTGGGAGCATGTTAAGTGGTGTGGGGGGAATGGTCAGTGTAGGGATCCCGAGGGCTGATGGTTGAGATAGAGGTAGATGGAGAGGATATGGGGAGGAACCTACATACTCGAGGTATCAGTGTAGTATCTCCCATCATCTAGCTACAATTCCAACATCTCTTGAATCTTACAAAGTCTAGCACTGGAATATTCAGCATGATATAGTCCAAATCCGCTCGATATTCAATCCATATAGCAATAACATTCAACGAAAGACATTCCTCTACATCCCCAACCCTAAACCATCTACCATCCTCCCCACTCCGTCATCACCACTCCAGAACCTCCCTCAAATCCTCCACGCACCCCCTCAACACCCCCCATCCTCTCCCCCACCGCAACCAGTAAATCCCCCATCAACTGCACCGTCTCCCGCACCTCACCCCCCACCAATCTCTCATCACTGCCGTTCTGCCGCGCATCCACCAACGCCTGGGCGTTATTTTTTACCTCGTCGATGTTTGTCCGGACCTGGTTAATTAGATTTGGGCTCATGGGCTTGGGTTTCTTGAGCTCGTCGATGAATTCTTCGGTCAGGAGGCGGAAGGTTCGAAGGTGGGTGAGGGGTTCATGGTGGGTGTTGCGGGGGTTTGGTTTGGTTAGGTTGGGTAGGATTTGTGCAGGATGGGCTGGCTGAGTGGGTGGATGTGAGGTGAAGCTGAAGACTGGTGGTGGTTTTGTGGTTAGGAAAAAAGGGATGGGCGTTTATATAGACCATCGTAGTAGTATCATGAATCGATGAATAGGCGCATGGCAAATAAGTACGGAAGGTGCATATATAAAGCGTGGGCATTACTGGGCGTGGCTTTTGATTTGGTTTGCTATGTCGTTGGATTGCTTGAGCTAAGAGGGGAATACGGTTGGGAAAGGGTGTTCTACACCCTAGCATGCGAGTATTCCTGGACTTGGGTACTGTATGCCGGTCTGGGTCTGGTATACGGTAGGGGTAATCCGGTGATTTGGGGATGTAGCACACAGGATATAGGAATGGATAGATTAGGGCATGAAAATGAAGGAACGAATAGGAAAGTACATGGTAGTATTGCATCTAGGTTCATTAGAGTTTACTGAGCATGGTCTTGGTTCTCTTCAAACTGGCATATCCTTGGATCGTCATCAAAAGAGAAACGATACGATGGTTGAAAGACGGCAAGATCTTTCCATCGTTATAAGACGCATTACATCTGTCTGTCTGAGGCTCGCATCGTTAATAAACAGAACCACCATGCCAAAATGCAAAGGAGACTAGTCGTGAAAGAGGGGGTAGCAAAAAAAATATACCGGATTACCTAGCACTAAGCCAATCACGACACAAAGCCACTTTCGGCCCACTCCTGATACCAGAGACCTAACTCCGATGGGACAAAAGGATATGAAATAGGAACCAGAACATCTGACAAAGCCAACGCAGTTAGCATTGAAGAGTCTGGCATAGTCTAAGCCTCAAATCGGAACCTTGTAACTGATCTCCGTACCCTAGACATAGTTGCCATTCTCTGCTTGACCTTTTTAACACGCTGGAGTTGTCATCATCTACAGATTTTTCATCCCAGTATCACTTTACTTGCTCGGCAACAGTAGGGGCGACTTGAGGCAAAACAAGCTCAAGGCCATGTTTTCAAAGCCTTCAAGTGCTTGCTGCGGTGAGATAAGTATAGAAGTTACCATCCACACCAAGTCATGGTTATTAGGATGATTATAATACTCTGAATACCTGTAAGTGTATCAACTTAATATATTCCTTATCCTCCAAGATAGTGTTATAGTCATTTTTCGATGCCATTTATATACAATACTGTGCATCCCTAGCCAGAACAGCAAGAGGATATCCGAGTAGAAATCCCTCGATAGGGGTAGATTCTAATGATAAGGCGGTTATACCGTCGGCATCGATCTATTTCCGCACATCACAATGAAGCATTACGGACTGTATGGTATTAAGTACTGCGGCGGTCATCTATAAAAATGTTTATTAATACCTACTGTGCATAAATTCATCAGATTATGAGGGTTATCATCAATTTCCTAGCAGATCTGGCTTACACGCAAGTGGCTCCAAATAAGGCAAGTGCCAACCTATTCCAATCCTACCATCAATTCCTTTGATCCCGTTTGCCGTCCCGTGACCCTCCTCCAGCTCTTCTTCACCCTCTCTACAGCCCTAGCCTTCCTCCCCATGCATCTCTCAGATGTAACCAGCTGTAGATAAGCTCTCCGGCGACGTTCCCAAATTTTGCACAAACACAACACCAACTCATTCGAAAGAAGCTTTCGACTCAAAGGATTGTACTCCTTGGAAACCCACGCCCGTCGAAGGACTAAGTGCAGCCCATCATGAAGGCTCAACGGCTCGGACTCGGACAATACTTTCTCCAGTTTCGATTTGGCCAGGAGACCCATCGATCTTTGAGGGTCGAAAAATCCATGAAAATGATAGTCTGGTAAGACTTTCAGAACTGGAAGGCGGTTATTATAGCAGTGCTTTGCGGTTATGGGACATGCCCTAAAGCATGTTTTCCTTTGCACTACGTCAGCTGCTCGAGCGAGGTTGTTCTCGTCCACGGTGTCGTTGATGACGTACATTGAACCTGGCATATTTCAGTCATTGGGAGGTTGGTCAAGTCACAAGGAGGAAGTTTGCTTACATCGAAAGTCTCGTAGCAGTTGGTGCTGGAGTCTGGGTCAGGGTTCGGGCGAGTTATGCCATGCTCTTCGAAAGCGGGGTCGAGTGTATTGGCGAGAAGATCGCCAATGTCGGCAACGTGTTCGCGCATGCTGGGCTGAGATAACCAATGAGAAACAGATGTGAGGTTGATGAGTTGCGGTTGTGTGACCAAGACAGTGTAGCCACTTCAATAGCTCCTCGTACTCTGCTCAGCCCAGAGAGTCAACAAAGGAGCAAGAAAATCGGGCGCTCAAAGATACAACCAGTTCTAAACAATGCGAACAGAATGATACAGCCTTGTGAACGGAGCATAGCAAAATATGAAAGAATCAGCTGAGTTGACCCAACTATAAGGGATTTAGATGATCATGAAGAAAGAGTTGTGGCATCTTCCATATTCACAGCGGAAAGTAAGGAAGAGCGAAAAGGAGCAAGGTTACAAGCCAGTTCTTTGGATAGACTACGCGGTAGTCGCAAAGACAGTTGTGGTGGACAAAGAAAGTTGACAATCGTAAAGGGCATTTACATGAAGGAAGACAATGAATAAAGGCATGGGTTGTGAGCTTGGAGATGTGTTCTCTAGGGCAAAAAACGAATACACATGCATCATCCGTGAATCGAACACGGGCCTCATCGATGGCAACGATGAATTCTACCACTAGACCAATGATGCTTCTTATATGTTATCTCAGTTTAATTTAACAACAAAAGCAGATAAAAAGTAGGAATCAGGTTTGAAGAAGTTATCCGCGTCATTCAGCCTTTGTTTCCGGATGCCAGAACCTTGACATGAAGGGCCGTCTCTATTGCTGCCTAAGGCACCAATGTATGGTTCATTGTTAGAAGGGATGGGGAATACCTTCATCACGGATAATTTCCGCTTCTTATGACTATGACAAGTGTGGCCACAATTACGACATGCATCAAGCTCTTCTCGGAGAGGCCAAATATCTTGGGATCGGTCGATGAGAGGAATAGCCGAGAAACGAGAGGTATCATCGGGCTGTGATTATTTTTGGCCCGACAGAGTTGGCTTAAGGCCTATATACAATCCGAAACAGAAACAAGATCGTGTTGGGCTTACTGTCACCAGATGTGGTTGTAGCGTGAGCTTTATACTTTGCCCTAATTTCCCGGGATACTATCATACCGATGCAGTACTAACTGATCTCGTATCAGTCCATCCATCCCTGGTACCAGATCGGATAACCACATCCTCACTCCACTAACCGGAAAGCGATTCCGCCACTTCCCTCTCTCTTTTACGAGAGCAGCCTCATGCATCCTAGCAACCCCACGCCCAATACACTCACACCACCTGCGTATTTACACCTACTCCATATCCACATGCACACAGCATCAATATGACCTCTCCCTCCTCCTCACCCCCAGAGCGGCGTCTCACCCTTCAAGTAGGCGAACGCACCTTCACAACCACCCACTCGACCCTAAGCGAAAGCACCTTCTTCACCTCCCTCCTTTCCAGCCGATGGGCCAACAACGCCCTCCCCGACGGGAGCTACTTCATCGATGCGGATCCCACCCTCTTCGAACACATCCTACGCTATCTCCGACGAGGCATCTATCCGCTCTTCTACTCGCCAGACAAAGGCCACGACTATGCCCTCTACGCGGCTCTCCTCGAGGAGGCACGTTACTTCGGTATCGCGGGATTAGAGTCCTGGCTAAAGGAGAAGCGGTACCTTGATGCTGTGGAGATCAGTACCTGGGTGGATACGATTGACGATGGAGATACAACTTTACTACACAAGACAAGACGCGTGAATGATTGGGTGGGCTATTATCCCGAGTGGGTCCTTGGCAAGGTCTATGTTTGTCCCAGAGGAATTGCGGTACATCGGGGCAATCCATGGGCGTGTGGGAGGCAGTGTGCAAATGCGAGAGGCGGAGAAGGGTATGAGTATGAGGACGAGTCGGTTGTGAAGGTCTTTGTGGTGCATAAGTCGGTGGTATTCCATGAGAATGTGTTAAGGAGGGCTGTTCAAAATACATAAGTAGGACGCGTAGAGATCCTGGGGTTTGGCATGATGTGTCACAATTCCATCCCCGGTTGTCATGGGGTGGATGGTTTTAGTATTCTAGTGCAAATTGAAAGTGGTGTGCTGGCGTCTATGTATTTACCGCGCACTCCTTGCTATCTTGATAGTCCTCAAATATCAGGGTAGCGCTGGAAGAAATCCATCATCTCGTCAATAAGTCTTGGTTGGGTTTCCAAATTCGTGGCGTAAAGCATCCTGTAGCGGCCAACGGGCAAAGGCCTCCCCATGCGGTTGAGTACCTTCACCACTATCTGCTGATGTCCCAAGATAACCCATTGAATCCCTACAAGGGCATGCTTTATTCTCTGCTTCTAGCCTGCGAATTCATGATAGTTAGAGATATCCGACACCCCAGATTTGGAAGATCCCAAGTGTAATTTTCTTTGTGGCTGTTATAGCTTATAAAATCAGAACAACTATCTCAATTGCATCATTGGTCTAGTGGTAGAATTCATCGTTGCCATCGATGAGGCCCGTGTTCGATTCACGGATGATGCACGACATTTTCTTTTTTTTGGCGGCGGTGGAGCTATGGTAGAAGGGCACCACTGATGCAGTGATGATACTGAATTTGGGCATTGTTTAGTGAGTCATAGGCTGGAATCTTATCATAACTCTGCACATGAAGTAGGGGACCTTGACCCCTCTGTGTTAACTTACACCAATATCATTGATCATTCTTACCTTGCTTCAGTGTTTCTTATTTTGAAAGCTGTGAAACTTGTTCCAGGCAAGCCATCATGGCTGTAGAGTATTGGTGACTTGAGGGTTCGAAATTGCAATGGACAGCACTGCTACTAGTGGAAGTGATGTATCATTACACAATGTGACCAGTCAATGCACCATTGCCCAGGAGACTACTTCGGGGGTAACCACTTTGCTGCTAGTGTGATCATTTATACATTGATCGGGAGTGAATTATTCCTTCAAACCCCGTTAACTATTGGTGACCTTCATCGGTGGTGTGAGGAATCATAACCTCCAAGTCTATACCGCGTGAAGGCCAGCTTAGGGATCCACCTTGGCAGTGCCAACCTACGGATTATTTATCTGTAAAGTGTACTCACAGGTATGCAAGTGCTGCTTGATGCACGGTGGTCAGCAGTCTATAAAAATTCTATATTGTGTCATATCATAATCTGGAAGCTGTATTCCCTTCCGGTTGTTGGTGTACAAGCAACTAAGCTCTGAGCCGTCTTTCCTAGAAATTGGGCTGGGTGGCTACTTCTGCAATGACCTTGACCCTCTAGGCAGTCTTGGCTGGTAGCTCGGACGCAAGATCGAACCAACAGTGCTGTCGGTGACAAACTGAAGGATGCCAGGGCCACCATCGGGAGCTGCGTTTACCCCTGTCATGGGCAGGATTGCCGTGCCGTGTCGTGCCGTGCCGTTGGAACTGATGCACCATGTTCTCCAGTATGACATCGATCCTAGACGCTGGAGATGCAGAGTCGGGGGTGGGCTTGGCGCTAGTAGGGCTTTCAGGTGAGAAAGTGAGCTTAGCATCAACATTGACAGCACCTTTATTCCATCAGCAGTCGGTACCTTCCGTAACGGACGGGAACGACAGGTGCAACGCAGTGGAGATGTTTCGATGCACTAGTTGGTCACATACGGGAAATTCGGCATATCATGCCAGCGCAGGCAGCTAGTGCAGTCAACGTGTAGATGGTATCCACCCCGCCAGATACAGATCAGCGGATTTATCTCTACACCGTACAATGGCTGCTGTACCTGCTCGTAATCGAATGCAATCGGTTGAAATGCTGAAATACGTGAGGGTATCTGTATGGTGGGGTGTCGAGGGTAGGTGGATGATAAGCTAGATCAACAGACCCAATGCGCTGCAGTCTACTCCGTACGGTCGCGGTCGCTTCGAGCTACGGAGGTTCCGTTCGGCTGATATCTATCCCTAGTTGTAGCGACAGAAAATATTATAAAGAGGAAATGGCAAAGGGCAAAAAGATGGTCCCAGAGGGGCTCGAACCCTCGACTTTAACGTTATTAGCGTTACGCTCTAACCAACTGAGCTATGGGACCCGATTGGATGGGAAAGCGGGTGGCAAATAACATTATCAAGAGAATTATGGCTATGCATTAGCTTCCGCAGGAGTGTCGGGGGCAGGATGTGATTGAAAAGGATTGAGTCGGTGGCGTTGGGTTCAGCAATGTAGAGGGGGTGTGTGCTTAGAAGTAAAGCGAATGTGAAATATGGTGGTTCGTCTATAACCAGTGGGGAGTGGAGGATCGAGTTGGTCTGGGTGGAATTGTACATGGGCTTGCTAGGGTAAGATAAATATATTGACGACACGGCCAGCATTGCCCAGCACAAAACACAACACATCAAAATAACAAGTAATAGTTACCACAATAATCATGTCCCAGAAGATCACACAAGTAGTAGTTTCATTAACTACATTTTTGGTGATACAGCTGAATCCCTGGCTGCACTACGCGCCACACTTAAAGTCAACCCCCGTCACACCCCTGTATAACACTAGGACAGGGGTGGCTAACCCTAATTCAACCAACCTCTACCCACATGACCAGCACCAAGACATAGATAAAAAGACTAAATACAATTCTATCACATAATAGCAGAGTAAATCGATACAAGTCAATAAGTCACAAAAGAAAAATCTATATGCGTGACGCGACCATTTTATCGAACCATTGGCTCCATAGCTCCAACACAACCAAGCTCTCATTCATCGCCCCCGCTTAATGTCATCCGCGATCTTCTCCGCCAGCATATCTATTCCGGTTAGCGATTACTTCAGTTCAAGACACAGTAACCTGAAAAAAAAAAAGAAACTCACATATTGTAGCCTGCGGCAACCCCGGAGGCAAAAACGGAAAGGCAGAAGCATCCACAACACGCACTATAATTACCAATCAGCACGATCCTCCCCCAGTTTCCCCATCACCCAAGCCTAATGTACTCCAAAACATGGAGATAAGGAAGAAAAGAATACTCACAATTCTGCACCCCAAACACCCTCGCCCGATGATCCACCACCGCCCACGGATCCTCCTTCTTCCCCATCCGACACGACGTACTCGCATGATACATCGTGTTGAAACTCTTCTGGATCTGAGCATGGATCTCTTCATCTGTCGTTACTTCCCGTCCAGGATAATACTCCTCTCCGATCGTCACATTCCCCATGACAGGCGCTTCCATGATCTGTCTGAGACGCTTAAACGCCGCCACAACCATCTCGACATCCTGCTGCGTGGTCAACCAGTTCGGGTTAATCAATGGCGGGTCCAACATTCTCGACGAAGAAATGCTGATATTCCCACGGGACGACGGGGCGATGAGCGTAGCCAGCAGCGTAGCATACTGGTATCCATCCGTCGGAGCGGAAGCGGTCCTGGATTCAAAGTCCCCGACATAGTTCGGGAGGGTGAGGTATTGGATCTCGGGCCAGTCCGAGGGCAGACTATCGAGATGGGCACGGGTAGTGTTGGAGAAGGAAGTGCGAAGGGAGGCGGGGAGTTTCTCGTAGCCGGCAAAGTCGCCGCCCGGGCTGGCGAGGGGCCCGGTGCCGTTGGCGTTGAAGATGGCGGTGGCGAGGGCGTTGGCGTCGCCGTATTGTAGGGCGGTGGAGGTTTGGAGGTTCACACGGTAGGCGATTCCGAAGAAGGGGTGATCGCTCATGTTTTGGCCGACACCGGGGCGATCTGCGATGAGAGGGATATTGTGTTCTTGGAGGAGGGAGGCGGGCCCGACGCCGGAGACGAGGAGAAGTTGAGGGCTTTGGAAGGCGCCGGCAGAGAGGATGATCTCGCGGCGGGCGTGGAGGGTTGTGGTCGCGTTGGTGGGCTGGGTGGTGTTGGTCAGGCGGGTGATTTCGACGGCATGGGCCACGCGGTGGTCGTTGAAGAGGATGCGTTCAGCCAGGCTGAGGTCGAAGATGTGTAGGTTGGGTCGGTGGACGGCGCCCGCGAGAAAGGTGGTTGCGGCGGAGGCGCGGTGGCCGGTGGTTGGGTCGATGGTGAGGGCCACCCAAGACGAGCCGTTTAGACGCCCGTTGGTGAAGGTGTCGGTGGACCGGATGCCCATGGCGTCCATGGCGAGGGAGATCCAGGTGCTGAAGCTCTGTGCCCACGAGGGATAGGTGATATGTAGCGGCCCCCCGGTGGCCGTGCTGCCGGCAGACTCGGACGTGGTGGCGTTGGCGAGACGGAGCTGGGTGTTGGCCGGAGTGAAGTTCATGCTCTTGCGGTAATAGTAGGACGAGGCATTGTAGGCATATGAGGCATCCCCCACAGTGTCAGCCCACAGCTGCAGTGAGCCTTGGGTGGCTTCGGTGTAGCCCATGTAGTTCAGGTTGGTGCAACCCCCGAGCTGTGCTGTTAGCGACCCGAAGTTAGGGCTGGGTGGGATACGTACCGACTTGCCGCGGCTGTAGTGAGTGGATTGGCCATTTACTCCCTGGTCTGGTAAGCGATAGAAATCATTGTAAGGAGTAGGAGAAGACATACGGCTTGTGGAGTGGTGACGAACCCCCATTCAACCATGGGGTTTGTGTCGTTGGGCGATTTTCCAGTGTAGTAAAAGTCATGTCCGGGAATCTGGCTCTGGTTGCCTGTCACCGATTCGACCCACGTACCCGCCTCAATGATGGCCACGGAGACAGACGGATCTTCAGACAGGCGAGTGGCCACGGTCAGTCCGGCAGAGCCTGCCCCGACGACGATGTAGTCAAAGGTTTGAGCGGAGCGATTCTGAGGAGCAGCATTGGTCACGCCTAGTGCGAAGACCGCTAATGCCGCGAGGAGTTTGAAAACGGTCATGGTTGGATTAGGGTTACTCTGGGATCAGGGGAGTAAAAACGTGCGGCTCAATTGAATACCAATGGATGGATTAGAGTCTGGCATGAGACGATTGCTGGTAGGCCATGTAGGAGGTGAATGTTGATTCTCAACATACTGGACTACAAGCCAACTCGCCCTTTTATACTTACATTCGCCCTCCATAAGCCTCAAGCCATGATACTCGGACTGCATCTTCATCGCTTACGAAGGATTCAAGAATACGACCTGGGCATCAGCTATCGAGTTACACGCATACCATCCTGTCAGCTGATGCGATCTAGTATTCTGATCGACGTTGGGAGGACACCCCACGTGGAGGCGGAAAGTTGGCCCCCAATACCTCGTGGATACGCAGCTTATCCCATGTGGAGGTCCAGGATGAGCGGGTCCATCTCGGCACTCGTGGCCCGGCAATGATGGGCATGGGTTTATTGTTAACCGCTGTAAGCTGGAAACTTTATTCCTGCTCAGCCACTCTTACTACTTGTCTCCAACAAGGTTTCGTAACTTGAAACCGGGTTGCCACTTCCGGCCTCTGCATCTGACTCCTCCGTCGATGTTGGACATCAAATTTAGGTCAAGATGATCCATCGCCTGCATTGCCATCCCACTAGTTCCAACAACTCACGCTTCTAATTCAAGCCAGGGCTTATCTATGTATCTGACCTACACAGAACCAAAATTTTCGCGTGCCAACTCCCTGCCCCCACGTTTTCACAGTGACTGCCAGTTATTTTTATTCCAGTGCCTCCATGACCGAGAGTTACTCCCCTAGATCGTGCAATCGGTATATTATCATCCAGATGATATCATATGAGAGATCGCTGCGAGGCTGACATCAGCAGGTTTCATAACTTTTAGAAGTCATTGTATGATTAAAAAAACATTTTATACGAGCAATTCATCTCGCTTCTGATAACTCTCGGTATCGCTAGGATGGACATCTGACCAGGTTGTGGCCTAGCTACCTGTTCAACCGGACGGCGTTGTTCTCGGCAATGCGGGTATATGAACTCAAGTGGACAACGCTGGTCTGCATAGTGGGGCTTTCTATTATATGTAAATATTTGGTGCTGGTTAGGAAGAATAGGGACAGGGTGTCGTGGGTGAGGTGCTCATGTTGCTGATGCATGAAAGATTGAGACGATGGTGGGAATCGAAGAGCTCCCCGCATGTGCATTCAGAACTGCCATCTGCAAATCCTAAGACCTACCCCGTGAAGATGCCGTATAGATGTAAGATATCGCTAGTCCGATACATGTAACTACCCAATTGATACTAGCTCCGTTCAGGTGTTGCACATCCTCACATTGCCTCTTTGGGACCATCCGGCGGGCGTTACACAAACGGGAATCACTTCCTGAATCAACATGATGATCGACCAGCCATCCTAATCCCAGCAGACACCGAGTCAGGGGTCCTCCTGCAGCTGTGATACGTTGTGTGCAGCCAATGCTGGTGCTGATCGATTTGGACATCTTTCTCGTTTGATCGGTCGCATCCCTGGAGCTTGCATCAGATGCCCCTGAACCATGTCGACTTGAAACTGTCGTCAGATCTGTTGCTGAGGCGGACATAGTAGAATCAATGCCCAAAGAAGCAGAAAAATAACCCTGGCAATAACAATACTGACTAGGAGTGTGATCCTTGTCCTTATGGAGAGAGCGGTGTGGCCAAGGCACTGGGCTATCCCACATCGGGCAGGTGGAACTCGGCAAGCGGTCCCCGCCCGGCAGAGCGGCGGCTCGGCGCCCAACCCACGGTTGCCCGGACGGGCTCGCTTGGAACGTGGCTGTCGACCTGTCAAGGGAAATTCAAATTCAAGCCCAGCCATTGCGGTCGCTATCTACGAGCTAATAGCGGTAGCTTCAAAATCACACTCAAGATCCCGGGAGTGGCCTTCCAATCGGCATTTGACCGAGCGGGAAAGGGTTCCGCGTGGCGGTCACGGGTCCGGCCCCGCTGCCTGAGGCGTCGCTCGGCAGTTCCCACCCAGCGATCAAACACCCCAAACATCCCCGACAGCTCAATCTTCAGCTCCGCTTCTCAGCTCTTCTTTCTTTCCTTCTTTCCTTCTTTCCTACTCCTTTCTCCTCATCACGTCCTTCCCGGTTCCCACCTCCACCTTGACTGCCATCTTCTCCTCCACTACCCATCTTCCTCATGTCCCATTCACCCCCATAACCCTCGCTTAATATCCCGGGCCCGACTGTCTCACCTCGGCCGACCTGCGTCAACCCCGCCCCGTGCTGACCTCCATACCATGTCGAGACCATGAGTTTCTTCGCCCAGTTCACCAACCTGCCCACCATTCACACTCGCAAGGCTCTCCTTCTACTGGACTTCCAGAATGACTTTGTCCGCCCGAATGGAGGCCTGCACGTGCCCAACACCGCCGAGTTTCTCGATCTCCTCCCGCAGCTCGCCTCGGCCTTTCGTCGCAACGGCGAGGTCGTCTGGGTGCGCTCCCATTACCACACCCAACAACCGTTGGTCTGTCCGTCGGATGCGCAGGAACTGGTAGTACTCGGTCGCATGGATCAAGACACAAGGAGGGACCAGACGGAGGATGATGAAGGTCTCGATCCCGGGGACGAGGATCCGCCGCCGCTTGTGGACGAGGAGGCATTCCTCTCCATGGACCCGCCGCAGTGCTGTATCCCCCAGACGACCGGTGTACAGTTCCCTGCTCCTATCTTAGCTGCCATCGACATGGAGTCCGATACCTTGATCGACAAGACTGGATATTCCGCCCTACAAGACCAAGGCCTGATCCTATCCTTCCGCACCAGTTTCGTCACCGAAATTTACCTGTGCGGATCGCTGTCTAATGTCTCCGTCTATGCCACCGCCCTGGATGCGGTGCGCCACGGTTTTACCGTCACCCTGATCGAGGACTGCCTCGGGTTTCGCAGCTTTGCGCGCCACGAAGAATCCATGCGCCGTATGGCGGACATTCTCGGCGCGAATGGTATCACCACCCAGGAGCTGTTCGAGGAACTTGACTGGGAGGAGACGGATGAGATCGCGCGCCGAGGGGGCCCGCGACCCTTGCAATCGCTCACCCCCGTCGGCATTGAAGGCGTCATGGATGAGCTGGAGGTCAAGACGAGCGCCTCTCCGATTGCGAAGGAAGAAAGTCCGGAGTCGACATCAAGCGGGGCCCGACGTCGCCGGATCGATGACATCCTGGCGGAGTTTACCGACAATGAAGACGGCGATCTGCAGGAATTGGCGAATTTGACGCGCGCACGTGCTCGATACGGCTCCGAGTCGCAGAGCGGTGCGTCGCAAGGGGGCTCGGGGGAGAAGAAGATCCGCAGCCGGGTTCGGCGTACAAAACGATCCGATCCAAAGCCCGAGTCCGCGTCGCGACCAGACAAGCGACGCAGCGGCAAATCCAAGAAACCAGATGTATACCGTCCGGGGGATGTGATTGGCGAGGGCGATTCTCGCATTGTATACGATCTCGACCTACCGTCCGAGGCGTTTGAGAAGATTCGCGAAGAGGTGGCGTGGCAGAAGATGTATCATCTGTCCGGGCAGGTGCCACGATTAGTTGCCGTGCAGGGGAGGCCGCTGGCCGACGGGTCGATTCCGATATATCGCCATCCGGCTGACGAGTCGCCGCCCTTGCAACCCTTCACAGCGACGGTGAACCGGGTGCGCGCAATTGTCGAGCGTATCCTCGGGCACCCGTTGAACCACGCACTCATCCAGCTGTACCGAGATGGACAGGATCGGATTTCAGAGCATTCCGACAAGACTCTCGATATCGTCCGCGGCTCCGCGATTTGCAATGTCAGTCTAGGTGCGCAGCGGGTCATGGTCCTCCGCACCAAGGGGTCGTCGGAGGATTCGGAATCCGGTCGACAGACGCAACGCATTCCCATGCCACATGAATCGCTGTTTGTCCTCGGGGAGAAGACCAATATGCGGTGGCTGCATGGTATCCGAGCAGACAAGCGTGCCGAGGCCGAGAAGTCGATCGAGGAACGCGCCTACGAAGGGCAGCGCATCTCACTGACCTTTCGCCATATTGGCACCTTCTTGGATCCCACAGGCGACACGATCTGGGGGCAGGGAGCGGTTTCTAAGTCGCAGGATGGTGCCCATCCGGTGATCCACGGGGATGCAGCCGAGACGGAGCGCATCATCCGAGCTTTCGGGGAGGAGAATCACGCGACAGAGTTTAATTGGGAGGGTGTTTATGGGGGCGGCTTCGATGTGGTCAACTTTGTCACTGCCTGTACGACCAAGCTCATCTTGGGTTCTGACGCCGTGGCCAATCTCCGTGTGCGTCTGTGTTTGAGTGAGAACGGCATCCGCTATGAGATCAGTTCCGACGAGGCACCTGCAACACAGCCGCTATATATCACCGCCGATGGCGCCCAAGTCGCTGGTGACGTCATCATCCTGACCCATCTGGCGCAGCGCGCGGCGGAGCTTGTGCGACCTGAGATCGAGGCACTGCGGGGGGGAGATCATCTGGTAGCCATTGACGAGCTCCTCGCCAGCTGGCGGGAATACCAACGCCAGGGTCAGGGCGAGCTGCAGTTGATGCCGTGGGAAAAGGCGCTGGACGGACAGCCATACCTAGACGGAGCCGTGTTTGGGATTGACGACTGCTCCCTGTGGCCGGTCCTCCGGGAAATCGCGCAGACGCAGCTCTTGTCCGGAAAGAGCTACCCGAACCTGCTGCAATACTACCAACGGGTCGCAAAGCGCGGCATCGTCAAGAGCATACTGGAAGAGTGAGGCATGACATTACGAGAGACGACTTATGAGCGGTTGCACGATACCTATAGCATCGATACAGTAGTTTAATATCACAATTCTCTGTTCACTTGGATTGAATATTCTAATTAGTAGTATTAACGATGGTGACATCCACCGGATTGATACCTGGGGACGTGGTAATGGGTACATGATACTCCAATGCATAATCCTGATCCTGTCCACTCACTACCTTGTATAGTTCTACCGATATAGGCAGTCCTAGTAAGCACCAACGCACGAGATCAGCATTAGTACCTTCCAACGCACCAACTGTCAATACTCGGAGTACATACAAACCCCTCCCAACAAGGGAATATCCCTCCGGAGACCATTACGCGACTTTGTGGAAAATCCCGCGATCAGCCTCTGACAATGCTGACCCGATGCGGGGAAGCAAGCCCTAACGCCACGCCCTCGGACAAATCCTCTCCAGCGCCACGCTCTGCAGACGAGCCCCTCTTCCCGCCGATCTCATCTCTGCAGGACACGGACATGCAGGGATTGCTCCGTTCGGGGCATCAACCCCCGATGTATTTTTCCACGTATGATGCCAACCCTAGCCATGTAGATACCTGCTTTCGTTGACTGTATAACTACTGTGAGATCCAATCTACCACCTACCACTACAGCCGTGAACTACCAACTACCACCACAACCACCACCATGAAGCCCTACATCCTCTCCCTCGCAGCCTCTCTGCCCACCACCCTAGCCACGACCATCTACCTAGCCGGGGACTCCACCATGGCCACCGGCGGCGGTGGCTCCGGCACAAACGGTAACCCCCTTCCCTTCCCCCACCCATCCACCAGACTAACGTCCCCAGGCTGGGGCGACTACCTATCCACCTACCTAACGAACAGCACCAGCAACCCCACCACGCTCTCCAACCAAGCCGTCGCCGGCCGCTCCGCACGCTCCTACACACGCGAAGGCCGCTTCAACACCATCGCCTCGACCCTCGAATCCGGCGACTACGTAATCATCGAATTCGGGCACAACGACGGCGGCACCCTCTCCAGCACATCCGACAACGGCCGCACCGACTGCTCCGGCAACGGGACGGAAATCTGCTACTCCGTCTACGACGGCGTCAACGAAACCATCCTTACCTTCCCCGCCTACCTCGAAAACGCAGCCACCCTGTTCCTCAGCAAAGGCGCAAATGTGATTATCTCGTCCCAGACGCCTGATAATCCGTGGGAAACGGGGACGTTTGTGTATGACCCGACTAGGTTTGTGGGGTATGCGGAGTTGGCGGCGGAACGGACGGGGGTGGCGTATGTGGATCATGGGGGATATGTGGCGAGTGTGTTTGAGGAGTTGGGGGAGGAGGTGGTCGATGCGTTTTATCCCATCGATCATACGCATACGAGTGTGGCGGGGGCGGAGGTCGTCGCGGAGGCGTTTGTGAGGGGGGTGTTGTGTGGGGGGGTCGGGTTGGAGGGGTTGTTGGATGTCGATTTGGAGGGGGTGGGTGGGGGGTGTTTGTGAGTTGTTTAGGACTTTTGGGTTGGTGTTGCAGTGGTAGGTATGTCGGGTACCTTTTGTAGTAGGTTCATGAACCTGATATAGCTGGTCGTGCTGATGGCCTTGTTGTGCTGGTGTTCCCTGGGCTATTCATACACATACAAACATCGAAAAACTACAGGAATGTGGTGTTGACCTTGCACACGCTGGTATCCTCGTCAAATATTGTTCGCTTTTGAATTTATTTCAATGTTCTAGCATCTATTGCATCTCCATCGGATGATCCCACTGTACAGCCCCCTTGAACGGCTCCGAGGCACGGATATACGTCAACACAGCCGCCTTTTTAATCTTCTTCGAGACATGATAATTGAGGAATGCCCCCTCAATCACATTCCAGGATAGGATATAGCGTGAGATGAGGTAGTACAGCGTATTCGCCCACGCGTGGAGCCGCGTCACCTGTGCTGATTGCTTAGCATCAGCTTGAACTTGCTCCGCGCGCTCCGTATGATACGCCTCGAACACACGACCCAGTGTGGCCGTGGATAACGGTCCATCTGCCCTCTGCAACGCCTGGTGTAGCCCATTACAGAGCACCACCACATCCTGAATCCCGTCATTGAGCCCTAGTCCCGCGTTCGGGGTGTATTTGTGACATGCGTCGCCTGTAAGAACGATCCGGTCCCAATTCCAGTGTTGCAGGATGCCCTCCTCTAAATTCGCCATGCCCGCATTGAATCGCTCCGCGAATACGTCCTTCACGCGTCGTGTTTCGGTAACAGAGTACTCGGCAAACCGCGCCGCCACGGCCTCGATGTCCTCGGTGGTGTACTTTGTCCGCTCGGTAGTTGGCTCTGGTAGACGTTCGTAGAGGAAGACCCACCCCCGCTCGCGCCCAGTGAGATACATGACTGACATATCTTGATTCTGGGTCTCAGTCATGATTCCGATCTTCTCACCTCCCCGAGGGAAGCTACACCACGTGCATCTGTATGTGGCCGGGAAGGGCTTCTCGGCGTCCCAGGGCTGTGCCGGATTCGCGGCCAAGGCGAGTCGGCGCATCAATTGCCGTGTTATGCTGTGGGTGCCGTCCGCGCCGAGAACCATGGATCCTTCGTAGGTGGTGCCGTCGGCGCAAGTGACTCGGACGGTGTCGTTTTTGACATCGGATTCAGTGCCGTGCGATTCGAGCGATTCGATATCAATGACTTTTTGGTTGACGAGGTATCGCTGTTTCGCTTGCTCTGGGAGTTCGTTGTATAGCGTCTCGACTAGGTGGGCGCGGTGGAAGCACACCGGGACGGTGCCATGGCTGGTAATAGTGAGCAGCGGAAGGTATAATGGGTTTTGGGGGGGGGAGGGCATACTTTTTCTGTATAATTTGAAATGGATTGTAATGACGGAATTCATATCCCTGATGAGTAAACGACTGCGATATATTGAGTTCACCACCAATAGCCATCAACTGATCAAGAAGACCCAGTTGGTGCATCACGCGCAGAGAAGGAGGCCCGAGAACTAAACTGGCGCCTTGGTCGAGAACCACCGAGTCTCTGCTTTCAAGTACGACAAAGTCGATGCCCGCGTGGCTTAGTGCGTGGGCTGCCGTGAGCCCGACTGGGCCGCCACCGACGATGATGACCTTGAAAGGGGTTGACATGGCGGAATATCAATCAGGGGTGGTGCTTGCTGAAGGAGGCCAGCGAGGCCAGTTCATATAGGTGATCCGAATGCCGGATCGGCAGTCTCTTGACCCGGTCACCCATGGCGAATGTAGTGGGATCTTGTCCGGCCGGTACATTCGGATATGTGCAAGGCTTAGACCATCAGGTGGGACCAAGTTTCGAAACGGTGATTGGCAGGATCGCTTAACAGATCAACTAGGATAGGCGGATTTGGGGGATGATCAGTAGCGCAGGATCTAGTCGTCTGCCTAAGCCTTCCTCCTAGCAATACTCGCAAGGTGCCTCAAGTTGCCCCAACATGGATGGGGTACCAACTAGACCAGATTTTGAAGCCAGTTTGGGTAGGGTGCCCCTGGCGACATCAATCCTGGTTCACATCTTGAGCAGCCGTTGGTTGGGAACTTGGAATATCCCCGCTGACTCAGAGGAGATTGCCTCTTCTCGATTAGTGGGTGGAGCTGGAAAGTGGAGTGGGGAGAGATGTCGGGGCGAAGATGTCACGAATCACGATTCAACTGTCAACTTTCAAGACTTTGAGCGCTGCAGTCAGGGGCCTTGGATCATCCGTTCCGAATGCTCCGCTTTGTCATCTCTCGGCGGGTTTCATACCGACCCTACAGTATGCAGCTACTGTCTTGCTGGCAGATTCGAACCTCGACATGATTTGTCTGAAGCCGTTTGTTAATATTTGGATGTCTATACCCCAACACCCTCCGTAATAATCCAATTTCTGCAACACACGATGTTTGGAGTACCTGTACAGTGTGGAAGATCTGCAGCCTGATTCCAGAGAACCCATTTACTTCAAGACCGAGGGTCAGGAACCCTAGAAACCCAAATCATTGTCCAGGTAGACAATTGCGCACGAGATTGGATATATGAGCTGCCAGCCCGAAAGATATCTTGGGATGAATCGGTACAACTTGCTCCCATAGGTAAATACCAAGGGCTACAAAGACAGAACGATGCTCCGTTCGATGGCATGTGGCAAGGTCCAGCTGCTAGTCTTTCCCACCGATCGATTCTTATCACTTATCTTGGAGCAGCCACAATATCAACCTAATTCATCCACATGGTTCTGCCGCGGATCTTCGTCCCGCTGCTTTATCATCTCTTCGAGAATTAATTAGTCAACTCGGTGGATATGGATCTATTTTTTATGGTCATTTGTATGTACATGGAGTACATGGTACATACTATGGTACGGTGCGAATAGATCGTTAGCTTTATCAGTGGATCTCAGGATTCTGCTAGTCCCCTAATATCTCAAGTTGCTGTGATTTGCCAGAAGTTGCTGAATAACCTCACATCATTACTCTAGAAGGAAGCGGCAGTGCCTGTGACATAATTGCCACGGGTGGACCAACTGATCCCACTAACGATCTTTTCGCACTGTACCATATAGTGTACTGCTGAATGCACCCCACTCCCCCATTGCCCCTCACGTGACACCGACCTTGGACACTTTCCTCTGAAGTATCGCACATATACCAATAAAAGTGGTTCCCCCATGATTTCCCTGTAGGTCTTAACCAACAGAGCCTACCACTATCAGAGTAGCCCGGTTTATGCCCATCGGTATCTTCATCGTTAGTCTTTCATCCCTGCGACTTTGATGTATGCCTAAGGCCGTAACATTCATGCCTCAGGCTACATGTAGCCTTAGCTATCCTCAGCGCCAACAATTCTTTACTAGAAGCCAAGCCTTTGGTGACTCTTAAGTAACAATCCCCATACTTACCAAGTTTCTCAGAGACACCCCTTTTAAAGCCCTTCATATGCCCGTTAGCACTTAGCCCGGTACCTGAAACTAAGCATCCGGAAGCCGTCTCGGGAGGTTCTTCCCAATTGCTGTAAGTATATAGCGTACGTACTACGATATAATTTTTTTTTTCGGCTTTGAACCGCGCATTAATTCCACTGGAGAGACCGAGACCAACCCAGCCTGCATCATTGACGGTGTCCCCCTACGGAAGTAAGTCGAGCCGAAACCCTAAGGCACATACATCGCAAGGAAACCGTTACGCTAAAAACAAAACACACTTGTCAAACGCTAAAAGTCCAACTCGGATTAAACTCAGTTACCACCTCTTCCCTACAGCAACCCTAATAATAAACAAGCAATTAAGACCAACGTGGCATCTCCCCACCATGCATGAAATAAATCACTCTAGCCACGGGACTACGTCCACACTATTTGAGTCTTGGCTATATTAGATATATTGGATATATTGAACACGAGTCAGCATAGTGAACTGTGGAGATGGTTCATTCTAAGGATGGATGGTATTGGGCAAGGGGGGATCTAATCTATGCTTGATTTAGACTAGTTTAAGTTATGTGAAACATGCAACGTGGGAGACGGGAGTTTGGTTGGTGAAAAGGCGGGTCGGGGAATTTTCGGTCAAGGGGTTTTTACCTGCATACATAGGATTTTTGAGCTGTTGGAGATTGTATCTGAAACTCTATGTTGGTTCTTCAACGTGGAGGTAGACACTCGTTAAGATGGGATTATTATTATCATAACCATAACTAAATCATATATACAACTCATCTCATCCCACCATATGTGCAACCCAGACCGTGAGTAAGTGAGTAGTGGTTTAAGAACACTCACTGATATAGATGGTATACCACCGATGAGCCGTCGTGCTATCCAGCAACGTACCATCGTTACCATCAGTCGAATCAATGCCCACAATCTCCTCGACATCATCCACCGTCACCGTCACATCATTACCACTGGTGATCCAGTACTCCGGGCTGAAGTGGTGGTATCCCAGCAACTTAGGAGGAAGCTTGGGGACGATATCGTCGGTGTGCGTGACACGGTAGTTACCCCCCATGTCTTGGTTCGTGATGTATTCGGCCAAGGCGAGGTTACCGATGCGGGGTTGGCCGTAGTTGTACTATTGATTGTTAGAGTTGCTTTTGAGGAGTATGGGGAGGAGGAGTACCAGTTCAACAGTGTAGCCCGCGTTACGGAACACGGTGGCGGCGACAGCGGCCAGTGCAGCGCCGTAGCTGTGGCCCGTGATGGCGAGAGTGTAATCCGGGTATTCCGCCACCGCAGCCTCCACCTTCGAGGTGATGGTCGTGGAGATATTCTCCCAGGCCTCGAGGAATCCCTTGTGCATTTCGCAGCCGGAGCAGATGTCGCTCACCGAGGTGAGGCCGAAGTCCAGGTCGGCGATCCAGTTGGAGAGGTCGGAGCTGCCGCGGAAGGAAAGAACGATGTAGTCGTTCGTTGGGTCGATGGCGATGAACCCGGTCGGGTCACCGTAGTCGCTGGTCCTGGGGATAGTTAGTAGGGAGTAGGGAATCGGGCATGGGTTGGGTGAGGACATACTCGTCGAACTCATCGATGGTCGTGGCACCTGCGGCTTCGACCAGAGGGCAATTGCCCACGGAGCAGGTCAGCGTCGTGCCAGTGGACTCGATGTTGGACGAACAGTAGGCAGCTGCGCTGTACTGAGCGAACAGGTCGATCTTGTCCAACAGGGCAGAGGTGATGTCCCTGCGCTGCACCGGAGCAGGGGCAGCATGGGCCAGCATGGACAGGGCTGCGACAGCCCCCAACTCTCTGACAAAGAACATTTTGAGATCGGCGAAACAGCGCAGGATGCAATTGAAGGAATGATCTGCTGAATTCAGGTCGGACCACAGTGGCGATCTCCTCCCCTTTATAGGGGAGTGGGATCAACCGGGGACAGACGTGCCGTCCACGGGCCATGGCTGTCGGGGATGTGCCCGTTGGCAGTGGACACATTGACACGAACCAGTGCTCCTTACCCCGGCCGATGATAGGAGGCGTCGCAATGGCCGGAGAAATGCGACGAAACGCTCCTGGCGCAAAAATCATTGCAGGATTTAGCCCCAGCAACTCAGCTACCCGCCAATCAGCGGACGTGTCTGAGCCGGGCTCCGTCGTAGCCCTTGGAACTTGCTCGGGTATGTTGACTGCAAGGGGTAGAGGCCATAGTAGGGGGGAGCCAAATGGCTTCGGGACTCGCCCGCACTCCGTGCCAGGGGAATTACCAGATTCGGGTCTGCATATTGCTTTGCAGATTGCTTCGGCAGTCACGCTCAGGCCACGCGTGTCGGACCAAGGTGGACGTGATGCCCCCGCTCGCGGGAGACGACCGGCTACTCTTCTAGAATGTCTCAACCAGTGATCCCCACCATGTGCCTGCCACTCGGGCTAGCGAGGGAGCGTAATTTGAACACTGTTGCTTCCACCAATCGGAGCCGCAGTGGCACCAGAGACGTGGATCACCCCAGGGACTGGCACTACCGTTCGAAAAGCTTAGTCGAGGGGCGGCAGAAGGGGGTCACTTGAAGGATTGAGTAAGCTCGTGTTCTGCTTTCCGCAGGAGTTCTTGCAGTCGGGCAGGTGACAACATTATCGCGATGCATTAAGGACAGGGACGGGCATCCTGCGCGGACCAGGCAGCCGCTGCATAATCAACCAGCCTTATCGTCAGGTCGGGATGAAGACGGTCTCCGAGGGATATCCTGGGCCAACATGTGACAGACTGGAAGAAGATAGGATCAACGAGGGGTGCTGCATGTGGTGATGATAAAGTTGATAACTGGATGGTGCGATGACGGCTCAGAGAAGGGGCTCCCGGTGCGGATTTACGCGCGGGACCGTCGGGGGTCAAATTCTCCCAGGTTTCGCCGGCAGTTCGCGGATTCCATCCCTCCGATGGGTCGACCAACCCCATCCATCAACCAGGTGGTGCACTGGGTTGCCTTGAGTCAGATAACAGAGGTGGGTAACGGGGATTTGACAATCCAACGCATGGGGGCCATTCCTGCGGAAAGTCATCGAAAGGCTCAGGGTCTCATGTTGAGGTTCCAGCACGTCATGTGATCACTGGTCCGAACCTGACAATAACCTACATCGTGGATCTGTGTCTTAGAGGATTATCATTGGGATCAATGGAATCAGTAGAAGTATCATCCATTTGTAATTCTTGGACAGACTGGTGAGTTGTTCGATGTTGGCAACTTGGGGCGGTAAAACTATCCGCTTGAAACATATATATACATCCGCTCCTTTTATAGACGGATCTTGATCCGCCGATCCGGATCGTAAAAGTGTTCTGAAGGTGGCCTACGAACAATACAGCATGAACCAGGTGATTCTACTCCCACTGAAAGGTTTATTTATATTCCTTATTTTGGGGGGACGATTCGCTTGAGAAGATGATCAGACATACGCAATAAAGCTATGGTGGTAACCGGGTACTCCGTATACCACCCACTTGAGCTTCCTTTGCAAACCACGACTTGTTCGTAGCATTGGATGGTGCCCTTTATGACCCAGTTCAACTTAAAAAGAAGAAAACACACAAAAGAAAAAGAAATCCAGTTGCTAGTAAAGTGGAAAAAGCAAAAAGATGCGTCCCGGGAGAGGATCGAACTCTCAACCTCACGATTAACAGTCGTACGCGCTAACCTGTTATTTGAATTAGTGACTGGGTGATGATGTAGATTTGAAAGGGCAAGCTTACCAATTGCGCCACCGAGACAACTCGTTGGAAAGGTCACTCTTAGTGTGCACTAAGTCTGAACCAAAAGACCCAGCCTCCACGGCAACGCGTTGTAATCCTCGCTGGCCGCCGGATCCACTCCCTGGTAGAGATACCGGAATTCCTCAGTGCTGATGGTCATGGTCTGATCAACCTCTGTCCGAATCATCTCGCCATGACTGATGCTCTTCGTCCAGGCGGTGCCGTTGAATTGGACATTATTCCATCGGGCAAACGGGTTCGACTCGGTGTTTGCCAGCCCGGTCCAGGTTCCGGTGAGGTTGGTTGAGGTCCAGGAGCGAAAGTATCGGTTGCCGTCGCTGCCGATTGCTTCCACGAGGAGGAGGTATTGGCTGTCACCGATGTGGTAGACGTTCGATGCCTCGTATACGTCGTATATGTCGGTCTCGTCGGAGAGTGCGATCACGGTGTTGCCCATCCCCGCTGGGAAATCGCTAAACGTGGTCTCCGACCGGTAGAGATGGCCATTGTCGTCCGAGGAAAAGAGGTAGCAGTTCAATGCATCGCAGATCACCCACATATCTACCCAGTAACCGTTCCCGATGTTGTCCGCGATGATGTCGGGCTCGCTGGCGAAGAAGTTGGTCGGGGCGCTCCATCCTGCCGGGTTGCTGAGATCAGGGTTGGTCGAGTAGGCCGCGTTGCCATTCTGGTAGATCAGATACCAGAGATTGTGCGGTTCGAAATAGAAGATCTGGGGTGCCGCGCGATAACCCGTTCCGATCGCGGTTTGGTCCAGGTAGTAGAACGGCGCCGAGTTGGCATCTGAAAAGTCGGTGAAGTTCAAATACACCAGACTATAGCCGGATTCTTTGGCCGTGCTTGCGAATACATGGTACGTCCCGTCAACCTGGATGATTGATGGGTCTTTGATTCCTGCAATGTCCCGACTGTCATTTTTGGGGGCGATGAGGATGCCACTCGAGTCCCATTCGAAGCTTGTAGGTAAATTGCTCCTAGTGTATAGATCATTGCTAACCGCGGCGGAGCAAATGCTGGTGAGCAGCAGAAGAAGGGTAAGCATGATGGAGCCTAGCATTGTTTGTAATAGAAGGTTGTAGTTGTGGATAATCCACATCAATGGGTTTGAAATTTGGGGATGCTAAAACGTACCCTTCTTAGCTTTATATGCTATGTGCACATGTCAACTTTGCGACTGGTTCAAGTCTATAGTTCTTCCACTTCTAGCATCTCATCAAGGCATCCCGCTTCCCCGTGGCGGATCCGTTCATATTAGCCGGCGGCAGATCAAGGCCTGCCCTGAATTTAGGCTGATAGGATTTCTACGATTCAGGCACAGTGCCTTCTACTCCAATAGGCTATGGCCCACAAGCCAACTAGTAGTTGACACTACTATTCTCCGCCATCCGAGACTTGATCCGGGGTAATGAGGAGAGACCTTGAACCCTGCAGATTCCCGCCACTGCACTAAATAATCCCCTCAACCCCGCATCTGCAGGCCGAACAGACTGAAAGAAGCTGATTTCCCTTGATATCCCTCAAAATTCCGAGAGCTAGGATAGCACGGTAAGACGAGAGGGATCTGATAAGGATTGAAACCAGGTATATACCTCGAGCAGTCATCTACGTAACCTTACTCCTTCCAACATAGATCAAAACGGTCTTCGGCTCAGTATCAGCATCCAGCACCTATCCACGTCAGCTTCACTCCAAGCCCAGCAAGAGAACTCACGTTAGAACCAAACGCCCTTCCAATCCCCGACGATTTCTTACCCCCAAACGGCACCTGCACATTCATCTAAGCCAGAATTAGTATCAACCATCATCCATATCCAGCGTCATCAAGCAGCCCAACGTACCACACTATCACAATTTACCCCACAAACTCTAGCCTCAATCCTCCCAGACATTCGCATTGCATTCAAATCTGTCGTAGAGACCCCCGCCATGAGACCATACTCTGTATCATTAGCCATCGCGACCACTTCATCCTCTGTATCAAACACTCGAACCACCGACACTGGACCAAATACCTCCTCGCGGTGTATCTCTGCCCCAGGATTTGGTTCGTAAAAAAAACAGTCGGTTCGATAGCCTCGATCACCGATTTGATTTCCTCCGAACAGGAGTTGAGCGTCTTTTTTCCCGCGCGCGATCATAGCAGAGACCTTTTTGAATGCGGCGGTGTCTACCAGAGGGCCATACTTATATGCATGATCTCCGGGCTCTAGCATCTCGACAACGCAGTCGTTGACTGAGAAGTGCTGAGGTCTTCCAATGGATCCACTGACAAGAGCGTCTCGGATCTAAATATCGCATTAGATGGGTCAGTCACGGTTGATGGCCCGACACTAACCCGTAAGCTCCACCATATTCTTCTATATAACTGGGCGGTCTGGCTACTCATGTGGGATTTAGACGTCCTACTAGGTTTGTTGGTCCTAACAGGGAAGGGTAAAGTTTGAACCTACGAGCGATGCAACCCCAGACTCCGTGCAGCTCCAATGGCAATCCCCAGCCAATGCCAAGAATCCTTCTGATCGTTGGGGCCACCACACCAGAAACTGATAAGGAACACAGCGACTACATTAATTATCTTGTCCGGGTCGGAGTCGGACTCATACAGAGCCCGAGTTTGTCGGTAGAAGGTCTCACGGGCTTGGTGTCTATGGGACAGCCCTGCCAAAGCCAGATCGGCGCTACTGCACATGGTAGCAGCCACCATGAGAACCCCGCATAAAACCAGGAGAGAAAACTTGTTGGTCTGACATTTTTGTAAAAATTCTGACCGACGAATGACTGGAAATGCCGGGTGAAAGTATCGGAAATAGACCTGAAGTAGTCGATCCAGGGAATCGCCGCTGGGAAGAAACAAAATCCCTCGCTTTTCCAGCAAGCGGGCCTGTGCCTGGACAATATTATGTTGACCCTGATTGCTGGGGTCGAATCCCTTAGCAATGGGAAAATGCAATCGCTTTTGGAAGGCCGGGGCCTCGCAGAGAAACGGAGCCAGAACGTCGTTGTCTACGGATCTAAGGCTAAATGACTCGCCTAGAAAAAGTGTACTTGCCTCGTCTGTAATAGGTGCTGGGGTAGATCTGACCCCTGGTCGGCAATGTGTAAGTAAAACCGGCTATTTGAGTCTACGTCTGCATCTGCACAGACGGGCGGAGTCAACGGTTGTACGTCGGACCGGTCCGAGGTAACTGCGACATGGGTCTCATCACGAGACGACCGGCGCATGTCCCTCTCGTTGTCTCTAGCAAAATGGATGGTGGAGGGATTTGGTCGCCTACGGGTGCTTTGGCCCGTCGGATATAACTGGTTTGTGTGAGCACATTATCAATCACAGGAAGGAACGAAAAGTTACCGCCCCCGCTGAGAATCAATCAAGACACACGGGGTATTGCTTGCCAGACAACCGCTGCAGGAAACCCCTCTCTGTGCATTGCACTTCACCTTGCGGGAATGACATCGGTGGCATGCGACGGCAGTTCGTTTCTGCGCTTTCAGTGTGAGGGGGATGGTGCTGGAAACATCTCAGAGGCGGGGAAGCGTATACTGTGCAGCGTTCTAGCTGGATGTATATACTTGACTGGCAGGAAGCCGGTCAAGGACAACGCTGAGAAGCCGAGAAATATGGTATAGGACGTGGAGCAGGAGCCGATTATTGCGTGCGGGGCAGACGGAGTGTCGGAAATTGAGCCATGCTGATCGGGAAAAGAGATACCGAAACCAGGAGGCGCTCTATAGATCAATAGACAACTGATAGACTGTCAGAGTGCCCGTGTGCCTCCTTTGAATGCTACCATTCACCTCTCTTACCTCCTTCTTCAAACACCACTATTCGATTTTCATGGGAGAGATGCTGAACTGAACCGATGACTAGCCAATGATCGGTATATTGTGAGCCTTAGCCTGGCGCTGATGCCCAGGACTCGACGGCTGCTAGACAATGAGCCTCATAGAATGATGGAAATGATGATGTTCTGACCAAGTGTGAGAGTTGATGATTGAAGAAGTGGGAAAGGAACGGATGAAAAGCGAGACACATCACCTGACTGGCATTCATTATACAAAGCACACTGGATCACCACCAAGTCGAAAATTCGTACGACAGAATCTGCGATTCATTAGGGAGATAACTGGATTAATTTGATCGGATTTGATTTCTCGAAGCTAATGAGGCTGTCTGCACGGGCATATGGTCTTCCCATCTAATGCTAGAGTTCTTACTCTATGAATTCGCGACAACTTGTATGGATGGATTTGATGTTAACCTTCCTTTATCCTTATTAAATAAATGAAAGAAAAAAAGAGAGAGAGATATTGAATACAATGACACTCGAACGTGCCTTGAACAGTGAAGGGTCGGTCCAGTGCCGGCAAAAAATTGACAAGGGTGGGATTCGAACCCACGCCATCTTACGATGATCAGGAAGCTTGGGAGCTGCATATTAAGGTGTGACCTTAACCTGACGCCTTAGACCGCTCGGCCACCTTGCCTTGGATGAAGAAAATGTGCTAACATTTGATAAATAACCACCCGGCGTGAGATCGATCATACCATCACTTCATGACTGTCGACTCATAGAAAACCGTCATGAACCATGGCTAATACCTGCCTTAATAGACATAAACGGCTAACGCAGAATGTCGTAACTACCGGCACCTGGTAGCGAGACTTAGGTAATGGGTAATCTGTGATATTTGTGATCCCGCTACAAGTCCATCACAGCATGATAGTCCAAACCACACCGATAGACTCTTTCCATGTGATTCAGTGGGCCTTGGACCAGACATATAATATTTTGTAGAACATTGGCCTGCTCTGGGTAATGCAAGGATTACACTATTACCAACGCTAGAGAGAGTGGGGTAGGCTAGAAGACAGTCCCTAGCAGGAAGCTGTCCAGAACATCCAGGAGCCCGAATCTCGGAGTTTGTCCCAGCTATATGCCCTGTGGGACAAGCCTGAAGGTTTACCCATCAATCAAATAACAGACATGGACAATCCTGCCATCTATAAGCTACTGCCAGTATGGCGAGGCTCCAGTCAAGACCTACAAAAAGAGGCCCAATTACACGAGGAACAAAAGCGCCAGATCCACCACGAAGTCCAAAGAGAGCAAGAAATGTGCCGTCCTCCCGCGTTTAAAACAGCACCGCACCAACTCCACCCTAATATTTGTTACATTATCCAGTATAGAAGATTACCCAGTGGCAGTTCCCTTATTATCCAGCTAGCGTTCAATATCTTCCAGCAGATCTTGGTGGGGAGGTTCAAGTATCCAATTAATCTAGTAATTAATCTCTCTATAACTGAGGACTTTGTACAGACCATCCAGCGGGGAGAGAAAAACCAAATTAACGAATTCCTTAAACCAGCTTACTGGGTGCTTGCTAATACTTATAATCAGGAATTACTTCTTCTCAGCCAATACAAAATCAACGAGCTATTACCAGACATCCGCGCATCGCAACAGATTAGATTACACATGTACACCCCGCGAACCACCAAGACGATGCGATCATTCAAGGGACTCAACTTTTTTAGCATCGGCTGTGGTCAGCTGAGCCCTCGCTCGCCTCAAACCACCACGTGAGATCTGGGACTCTTCGCGGGGACGCTGTATTTCGAGACGTTCGCGATCTACAAAGGTCTTCACCAATTCCTCGGTCTTGTAACGGACCAGTACCGGAATATGCTCGAGGATCGGGTGACTAATGAAGGGTTCGTTGATGCTGACACAAGAGAAGCATTTAACTGGCCAGTGGAATGTCCCTTCTGGGTGTGTCCGTTGCTGTTCTTAGCCGCGATTTTGGATATTCGTTGCAAGAGCCACGGGTATCTACAGACACATGCGGGATCGATTGTGGAGGGGCTGCCACTTGCAGAGGCATTTCTCCGGCCATATAGCTGATAGTTGGTATTAGTAGTATAATGAGGAGATTTACTAGATCTAATATTCCTCCCTCTGCTGAAGACTGGTTCTTGATTATAGTGTAGTGAAAATGGTCTTACGCGAGAACCCCAATGGCTAATATGGTTCATTTCAACCCTGGACTGATTAACCCTGTGGTATGATTCTCGTTTCTGGTATCATCATAGCGAGACGCTGTTTCCCCATCAACGAGAGGTCTTCACCGCTTTGATGTATCGCTTACTACTCTACTCTGTCCATCTACGCAGTTTGTTCTTAAGTTCGTACTTGAATATGATACACTATCTTAAATATGAGGGTTCTATTGGTTACATATCCTGTATGGTGTCAATATGCAAAAGCAAACACTTTATGTGTTGTGGGTATAAATTCTTTTCTTGAATTTCCGTCTCGAATCTCCATGTAGGACCCGTCAATTAGTACTCGCGTATTAGCAGATTCTAGTGGTCTTACTCTAACCCAAAAGCAATGTAGTCAGCCACAGGAGGCAACATACTATGAAACATATTATATCAATAAACCCGAATTAAATACATGCTATTACCATAATCTACACCCCCCCATACCCCCATCCTTCCCCTTCCCCTTCCCCTTCCCCCTTATATCAACACCCCCCCACACCCTCAAAACTATACACCCCCCTCCGCCTCCTTCTCCTCCCGTTCCACCCCCCCAACCAGCCTCGTATACCCCGCCCCACAAGACCCCTTAATGGTCTCCCACCCCAGCGAATAATACAACAACCCCACCAACGCCAATGCATACCCCACCATCTGGAGCACACTAATCTCCGTCCCCCAGATAACCACCGAGCACACAATAAGGAGGATATTCTTCGGCACGCTGACTAGTGTCATTGTTAGACCGGAGGTTTTGCCGATCTACATACCTTATTAGCATCCACATCCAAACCAAACCTAATTGGTAAAGAGGGAGGGGGGATCCATACGAGCACAAAAATCGACACATTCAACATAAACCCCACGGCGGCATTCGCCAGCAACACCCCCACCCCCGTCTCCGACACAACACCCCACCGAAACGCCCTCAACTCGGTATAGAACGCGATCAGGAAGTTCGTGAATGCGCATACCGGGGCTGAGTAGTATAATGTGACGAGGGGGTCCATTTTCTGCCCTCCGCCGTCATGGGCAGAGGAAGAGGAGAGGAGGACCTGGATCATGACGAGTCGATTGGCGTCGAAGATTAGACTGGCGAGTTGGTAGAGGACGCCGAGGCCGGAGAATTGCACTTCGCCGGCGACGGCGAGGCCGATGCTTAGGGCGATGAGGAGGATGTTGAGGAAGGATTCGAGGGTGGGGGGGGTGACGTGCCAGGCCCAGCTGGTGAGGAGGGTTATGATGGGGCCGCAGGCCTGATTCCATTCCCGAGGGAATGGTGGGTTAGTTGGGTTGGGTGAAGGGGTTGGGAGGGGAGGGGGGGAGGGTAGGTACTTTGAGCATCTGGATGAACGACACGTTCAGGTAGAGGTACACGATGTTACTGCAGACGAGACTCCCGCTGTAGAGGATGCCGATGGGGACGATCATGCGGAGATAGGTGCGGGCGTCCATGCGAATTGTTTTGCGTCCGTCGAGGAGGGTGGTGGTGCGGGCGAGGAGTTGGGTGGCGAGGGTTGCGAAGATGAGGTGCCATGTGGTGAGGATGATTGCTGGATAATCAGTGGGTTATTTACTATGTAGCATGTGTGGTTGACGACTCACGATAACCTGGATGTGTTAGTATTTTTGCTTATCGCAAGTGCGAATGAAACGTACGAAATTCCGTCGACTCAATCACCCATTTATTAAAGAGGATGGTCAGATTGGACCAGAATACCCAGGACCTATAACAAAGGTGTTAATGCGGACATTAGCGAAGGTATCACTACGTACAGAATACCCAGCGTGACGGGCCACACGGAGGCCTCCTTGGGAGGCAGATCCAGGATCGTCATTGGCGGTCTGGCCGTCCAGCAAACACGATACTAACAAATTAACAGGCTGTGGTGGCCATCGCTGCGTCCGCCCGGCAATGGCAGGATATATACAAAGTCGCGATGGATTATGCCATCAATTGCAACCCCGAGTCTGGACCGGGGAGGATCAGACGCTGGAGGGGAGACAAACGAGGAGTGCGACCCTGGGACGTTTGCGGTTTTGATGGGGCGATCCTCGGGATGGCCGGGCATCGGTGTAACCTTCTGCCAGTGCCAGTGCCAGTGTCTGTGCCAGGCTTTGTCCACCTCCAGCTGCATCGGTCAAGCTTCAGGACCCGTAGGCGGCCACTTAATCTGGGTTGTCATTGGTTGGGGCGTACAGGGTCCATCAGGATGGCTTCTGATTGGTTGGTATTCATGGGGGCTCTTGCTGACCCGCTGGCTTCCCTGGCTATGGCGGGCTGAATCAGGGGTAGAAAAAGCTACGAATATGCTTTGGGGAAGGTTTGTGAATTGAATTTGATTCAGGGTCAAGTACGGTTGGTCTATGCCAGAGTGGTTGCTGTGATCGTCCAGGGGGGTGTAGTGTGGAGTGTGAAGTGTGAGACAGGGGAAGTCGACGAGATGACAGTAAGCTTATGTGGAAGAAGTCATTAACTCATTCTGACGTGTGCTACACTGCTGACTGTGCACTGCGAAGACTGACCTTCACTTGGCTGCACGGCTGCACTGCTGCACTGCTGCAGAAATGCAGAATTCAGTTGCCTACCGGAGGGCTCGGAAGCCTGAGGCCGTGCCGATAGGGCTGAATGCGTCGGACGCATCGCAGCAGCCAATCAGACTGCAGTGGGCCAAACACACCAGTGACAAATTAGTGGCACAACCAGGCCATATCTAGTGAGATCTCGCGATTTACTCCATTACATCTAAGGCAACTGAAGCCAATTAATGAAATGTGATCCGTAATTTAATCCAGCACCGCACGTGGTCGTACCCCCTGACATCGCACATGACCACCCACTCAAACATAGTGAAACGCAATGATCACCAGATCTGCAAACCCTAATCAACATAATACCCAACAAATACCATCTACAATCCCACGAAACAGGAACCCCACATCAAAGCATCTCACCACGAATGCGTACAATACGTAATAAAATAACTCGGCCACTCCTCGACATCAATCCAGCGTTTACACGCTTCCGGATCAAACTCCGGATTCCCCCACGCCGCCAAACACGCCGGATACTGATCATCCGCCCAGCTATACGGATAGATCTGCTGGCGGGGCAACACGACCATCTTATCTGCTGTTGCCCCCACGACCGTTTCCTCGCCCTCGGGCCCGCAGTACAGATCCCACCCGGGGGATAACCGCCGCACTGCCCGACAGACAGACCCCCGTACCGAGCTGTCGGTGAACGTCTCATAGTACTTGTGTAACATATCCCCTAGTGCCCCGGGGCCCGTGAGGCCCTCGACGGACCCGTCCCCGTTGCCGTTGGGGTGTTCGATGACGTGCAGCACAGGGAGGAGCCAGAAGGGGTGGCCGGGGGGCGAGGCCATCCACCCGTTGGGAACGGCGCCGGGACCGTCCAGGCCTTCTTTGTGGGCCATGTGGCCGACGAAGCCGCGTTGGGTGTTGTCGGTGTCGGGGGTTTTGCGCGGGCCTGTGGAGAGGATGTGGGTGTGTTTGGCGAGGCGGGTGGCGTGGCCGGTGAAGAGAGGCTCCACGGGTCGGAGGGCTTCGGTGTCGACGTCGGCGTACATTCTAGATTCTGTTAGTGCTGGTGGTGATGGGGATGATGGTGATGGTAAAGGGGGGGGCTGACTTACCCCCCGAAAAGATACATGTAGAGATTGCGCACCACGTCTGCGCGATGAATCTCCTTCGGAAGACGGTTATAGTCCGGCAGAAACCACGGAAAGTACTGTTCCACGAGCATGCGATTGGTCTCGTCGTCCCAGAGGACATACTCCCAGTCTGGGTTGTAGGTGCGCATGGTCTGGACCCAGGCTTGGGCGTCTTCGCTCATGTTCGTGCCGGCGGGGAACCAGGTCTGGTGGATGATCTTGGGGATGGTGGTGAGGTCCTGGGACAGGGGTCGGGCGAGGAGATCGCGGGCCGAGAGGGTGCGGGCGTAGCGGGGTTTGAAGGGGACTTCATAGTCCGTTGGGAGGAAGTTGGGGTTGAAGAGGTAGAAGAAGGCGATGGTGCTGGCGAGGATGAAGGTCAGTTGGAATCGACGACGGCTGAATTGGACGCTGAGCCATTGCAGGCAGGATCGTCGGGGGGGGGAGTGGAGGATCATGGGGGCGGATGGAAGGTCGATGCTGGTGAAGGATGATGAGGAGGAGGATGGGTTGGGGTTGGTATAGACCACCATGGATGTTCGTCTCGCCTTCGGGGGATAATCTCGGACGGACGGGGGAGGAATAGGCGGCAGGGGAGTACCACGGTGGGAGATACAAAGACTGACCAGTTCGTATTATGCGAGGTTGTCCAGCCGGACTTGTCGGCGTGGTCCAGGGACGTAGGGTCACATCGAGGTGCCCTGCCCGAAAACGGGAGGTATACGAACTCGATGATCCGCTCCAACCGGCTGGCTGGATGGGACCATGGTTGATGCTTCCAATGATTAAAGAGATAAAAATACTTTCAGGTTGATGGTGCAGTTGAAGCTGGCGTAACCACTTATGATCGTGGTATCAAACGGTAGAGCATAGTTGATATGGAATTACTCAGGGGATGAGAATATATGCATTAACATTATCATTCACTAGCCATAGACATAGCAATAGTAGCACCAGTCCATCCCAGTAAGTAGGAAGACTCTCAACACGACCAATATGTACCACAATTACCCGAGATTATCCACCCTTGCGCAGCTACGCCTGTACACCACTTTTCATTCTACCATACCCTCATTTCTGATGTCCAAGCATGATCTTCATGTACCTACCCCAATCATCAGCTAGGTCATCAGGTCATAGAAAAGTTGACTTACAAGCTCATCCCCGTCAAAGCCATCAAAATGCCCGCAATGCTCTGCCGCAGAATCTCATGGTCACTCAACACCCATCCCAGCCCTACAATAACGCACGTCTTAAGCTGTCCGATCACCGTGCTCGTCACCGGTCCCGCAGCATCGATGATATAAAACTGGGACAGATTCACCAGACAAGCGAAGATTCCGCTCTGCGACACATTAGCTTCCTCTTCGCGAAAAGGGAATCAGAAGGCTCACCGCAAGGATCGCAACCCACAATGATCCCGGAACCGACGAAACCTCCGGAAAGGTCTCCATCCACGGCACCACACACAACAGCACAGCAGCACTAGCAGGCGCCTGATTCAGCAGAAGCTGCATGCTGCTCATCTCGAGTTTCTTGTGATACCGACCGACCAGCACCGTATACAGCGCGCTGGCGCATACGCCCGACAAGGCGAAGAAGATGCCTTCCGGCGTCGTGGTATCATTGCCGTGGGCGGAGGGGAGGGAATCGAAGTAGGAGACGATTCCGACGCCCGTACACAGCAGCAGTAGGGGCAGGAAGGCGGCTTTGGGGATGCTGGACTGGAAGAGAGCGTAGTTCAACAACGCGGTGGCGGGCGTGAGGAGTAATCGCGCCAGCTGATGAAAGATGACGGACGAATACGCCAGCGCCAGATTCTGGAAGATGACTTGAATGCACATGGCCGCGACGAGATGGAGGATGCGATAGGGCGACACATGCTTGGGTTCAAACCAGCCACAAAAGGGACGCGATGCGAGCCATAAGGTGAGTCCGGTGATGGTGAAATGGTAGGCGGCGAAAGACACTTGCGAATGGCGGAAAGACGCGTTCGAGAGAATGGACTTGTTGGTAAAGACCTGCGGTTGTCAGCATGTCTTCTTCTTCGACTGGGAACAGTCAACACGTACAATGGCAACCGTTGCGATGATATTGATCGTCATCCATACAATCAGTCGGACACTCCCAGCTCGCGTGTCCGACTCGGGAGGCACCACATCAGCCCTCTTCTCGTCATCCGCCGCATAATAACCCAACTCAAGCTTCACATCATCTGGTGGGGGACTGGTCGGACTGCAAGTCACCGAGTCCAGCAGTCCTCTGCGCTCCTCCTCCTTCCATTCCGGATCTGCGACAACCATCGTGACAAAATACCGTAAAATCTTCCACTGGTCGTTTATCGAGTGGATTCTAGCAGACATCCCAGGCCGAAATGCGAGGATGCGCCCACGATCTCTATTTCAAGCGAAAACTCTAAAAGCCACCCAATCCTTCAATGACATCTAGTCGGGGGATGACGATACAGGTCACTTCCACGGGCCTAGTCCGTGGCCAAGTGCGCGCCAGGGATGGTGTCGAAGAGGCGAGCATGCTGGAACATCATGTGGCCCAGGGCGCATCATCGAAGAAACCGGGCAGCGAGGACCCCGAGGTTACACTTTATAGTTACTTTACAACTCGTGGGTCGCGCCAGGGGTCAAGAGCCTGGATCGGGGCCGGAAACGGAAGTCCGAGAGGGATGTTTGCGGGCGCTGGAATGTGCGCGCGCACGGCCCCTGCAAACTTTGACCACTGCTGTTTCCGTCAGGTACGAGCTCGAGCTTTGTACTATGTACCAGCTAGTTATGTGGGATGAGTTGGGAGACTTGGGTGTAAGCTTGGCTGGCTGGGAGGGTCGAATGTACAGCCCGTTTCTCGTACCACTGCGTTAGGGTTCATCCTAGCCAACTGGCAGCCAACCAAGGGATAAACAAGGACCGACGGAGTAACATTCCTAAATACAGAGGGGAATCAGATGATTCCAATGACAAATATGTAACCGATTCACGTAACCAGATACCCCCTGGGGTATTCGAACTCCTTTGGGTTCAACACGCGCCGCGACCAGGGGAAACCCTCATCGTACTGCGCATACACCGTGTCCTCCCCGGCCACCAGCCGATGGATATTCAGCCGGGTACTATACATCAAGTTCCACGCCTGCGCCTCGTGCCACTCATCCTCACTGCCGTTATGGATGTCCGAATCCTTCGATGCCAGCCCCGCCGCCTTATACGTCCCGATCATGTTCGGAAACGGCGCATAGCACTCGATCTGCGGCCGTCCATCCTTCCCCCCACACATATCCGCCATGGAGTTGTCCACCGCGGCCACGAGACGATCGACTGCTAACGCTGCGAGAATTCGCTCCGCGCCGCGCTTGGTCACCGCGTACCCATACGTGCAGCAGCCCATTTCCGCCCGATAGATGAATCGCGTCGACGTCTCGGGGTATAACTCTTTCCAGGTTTCCAGGGGACCGCCCCAGGTCCCGCGGTGCTCGAGACTGGGGGCGGTTGGGTCGTTGGGGATGGCGTAGAACTGGGTCTCATTGGGCGCGGCCGCTGAGGCGCATCCGCCGATCCACAGAACGTCCCAGTTGGTGCCGTAGGGGGCGGATTTGGAGGTGTTGGTGTTTCCGGTTAAGGCGCGGATGCCTCGGGCGAACTCGCGCAGTTGTTGCTTGATGGTGATGTCCCAGTCTGCGTCATCTTCGAGGATGAGGGCCGTGGAATAGGAGTTTTGGATCATACTGTGAATGTCAGCACCGGTCGCAATCCCGTGTGGGAAGCAGGAGCACGAACTTGTGGAGGGCATTCATGTGAGCGCGCCAGCATCCTATCTCGGATGGCTTGAGGAGGTTATCCTGCATGATGTTAGTTGACCCCATCAACCAGGCATGCAGTACGCACATTCAACAAAGCCTTCTCGCTGAACTCATCCGGCCGCACCCCATCCAACCAGTCCACCCGAAACCCAGCCATCGTGGCAGCAAGGGTGAGGAAATCCCGTTTATCCGTCCTCTCCTTCAACCCAATGGCATAGATATGTTCAAACTGCACAACATCAGCAACCAGCACCCACAGCAGAGAAAGACAGCCACGAACCCCCAACGTCTCATTCCCAATATGTTCCAATGCCCGATCCTCCAACGTAGACCGGGCAATATCCACCCAATTCTTCTTCCAGTACTGCCCCCCCGTATCACTCAACAACAGCGTCAAGATGACATAACTCGCAAACGCAGCGACGAGAAATTTCGAGATTCTGGATTTCCCCCGAATCATTGCGGATGCCACCGTAGGAGAGAGTCGGTCCGTTTGTTGTCAAACCGATGGAGACATGGACGAGTGTTGGTCGTGATCAGGCCTCACATATCGTAGTCAGCTTTGGCTTTTGGCTTTTCTTGAGTCAGCTCGTAAAGTTTGCGCATCATCATGTGGCCGCTATTTTCGGAATATATTGGCCAAGTTTTGCGGAGGGCTGTTCGGACGGGTTGGGGTTGCACTGGCATTCTTGCGACAGAAACGGGGGGTGTGCCCGAAAACGGCATCGCCACTGCGGACAAGAGTTGCCTAGATTAACTGAGGCAGGTGTTGGCATTAGTGAGTCAAGGCTGTGATGGCGAATACTAGTTGTGTTCAGGCTGTCCGGCGTGTCCGGTCTTTGTCTTGATGGCTTGGCTGAATCGGCACGGATGAGATTACGAACACAGCACATCCGATGCGTCATCGATCCAATCTGACAGGGATTAAACAAGTATTGCAAGGACGCCAGTAGCATAGATGGCTTTCGCTCAACGTTGTCTTGGGGTAAGGAGAGGATGTAGAAATGAGGTCTGGTCTCCTTTCAGCCGATGTTGCATGCCGATGCGACAATACAAGTGGATTGTTAGAGCTGGATTGTTCCACATGGCGACTGTACTCGTACGACTACACTTGGTCGACTCTGGGTTGTCGACCCACCGGATGCGTCGGCCACACATCCACTGGACTGAGGATGTAGCCAGGAGTTGAAAAATACACTTGCAGCCTCAGATGTTGGTGAGAACATCGATTATAAGGGATCACTACTTCGGTATTTTTGTAGGACGTCATGTATATTGTGGTCCGTACGTTGCACCTCGTCATTAGCCTCGGCTGAATCCCTGCCATTTGAGGGTAATATCTGAAGAGGACATGGACACAATGTCTCGCATCGTTGCAGGACCTTGGACCGTGAAACTAGGAAGTGCAGCACCTGGAGCCTTATGTTCGGTCAGATCAGGTATATTTTCATCGTAGATCATCACAAAAACAGTTCCCTCTTCAACCATCATCGGCCTGAAGCTGCCGGGCCCTCAATCAAAGACAAGGCCAGAAGAAACAATAGTTCTCAGGCCCTGATGTGAGGAACAAAAAGAAAAGTTTAAAAAGGGTGCACTGGCCAGGGTCCGGGACGACAGCCAAGCCTTGACAGACAGGTTCTATGGCACATACCATCGGACCAACAAACTCAAAATCCAGACAGGTTGGATAAAGAGCCCAGCTGCTCCCATGCTGACGTGGTCAGCCCTGCCCGTTGGTCTGGCTATCTGTCCTTGGTTGGCTGGTACTTGTCGAAGCTGTCGTGTGCCATTCATCCAGGATGAATCCCAGCCCTAGAGGATGGGAGCTGATTGTGATCATTTCCGTCCTGGTTGGACTGGCCTGCCTCAGCACGGCAGTGCGGATTATTGCAAGGATCAAACGTCGCACCGGCTTTGGAGTGGATGATTACCTTTGCTTCGTAGCCATTGTGCTGATGCTGGGCATGTTGATCGAACTAATTCTGTGTAAGCTGTTGAGGTCTAGTCTTGGAGCGGACTACTCACTGACTGGGGTGAACGATCAGGGTGCACCATGGGAGGCACTGGCTACCACATGTCTGGTCTCGACGCGAGAACCATCGTCGTGTTTCGCCAAGTACGCATAGCCTGATGACCGATATCTTCAAGCCCTGATCGTTCTAGATGTTTATCGCGAGTCAATTTACCTACTTCGTTTTGAGTCCCTCCATCAAAATTTCTTTCATCTGTTTCTTCCGCCGCATCTTCACCACTAAGCCCTTTCTCCGCTTCACCTTCTGCCTGAACACGTTTATAGCCACGTGGTCCATGGCAATATTCCTCTCCTGCGCGTTCCAATGTCGGCCCCTCCACGCATATTGGGACAAAAAACGTCCAGGGGGACTGCTTCAGCTCGACCACATACATCATCGTAAACCAGGTCTTCAACGTGGCCATCGACTTTGTGATTCTCGCAGCCCCAGTTCCAATGGTGTGGAGGCTGCATCGGTCGTGGCAGGATAAATTGGCGCTGAACGCCGTTTTTGCATTGGGTGGGTTGTGAGTTGCCATCCATGCCGATGTCGATGAAGTCTGGACTGATGCATGCGTTTGGTTAGCGTTTGCTTCGCCAGTGTATATCGGACTGTCGTGCTGTTCTATATCAACTTGGATGACGAGACGTGTATGTCGTTATTGACCCGGTGGATGCCGGCGCATTTGATGTGTTGACCGTGGATCAGATACCATCTATGAGGCCACTTTGTGGACACACATCGAGCCATCTGTCGGGCTGGTGGTTTCCTGTCTCCCAATAATCCGAGGACTGTTTCCGAAATTCACACCAAAGACTCAGAAGAAGCAGATAGGCGCAAGCCCACCACGTTCTTCGACCATTGCGACTTGGGCCGGGAGCACTTATTATGAGTCATCTGATGACAGGACACTGGTGCAAGAAGTAGGGGTGATCGGGGGGAGAACTTGGGCGCGGCAGAATGATACCCTAGATCTCGGGAATATGAGAACGACGGCGGATACAGACGTGTAAGGGCTGAGAACGGGCGAAGGCCACTCTACCATGCGGTCTTATGATTCTCCGAGACAATATAGTATGACTTCAATTGTTTGTATGTGGATTCTTAAGGCTGCTCAAGCTTTTGTAGACGCAGGTCCTTTCAAGTGCGGACCTCTGTGCAAGCTTCTTCATCGATAACGGGCCTCTTTTTGAAGCACCCAAATGTGACCCTAACTGCCCTTCCTAGTTTGGAGAGGGTGAGTGCAACAACCCTGTAAGCCTTTCCTAGGGGGTAAAGCACTGCCCGGACTATCTTGCCAGTGAACTCGAGCATGACCGCGACATAACGATCCGGGACGAACTTCAAAACAGCGGCCCATGGTATGCAAAACACAGCGCATCCGAGACAGATGGCCCATTGGACACCGTCCAGCCGGGTCACGCTGAAGGCGTCACCCCCGACAAATATGATCAGTACCTGCCCGCCAACCATCAATGCATTGATAACCATGAACCAGTAGTTCCGGTGAATGCCTTCAAAGATGTTGAACTTGTTGTCTAGTCGACGGCAATTCAGTTCATTGAATATCTGCATCCATACAAACGTGTTGAAAATGATGGTATCAAGCTCCAGTCGCTTCTGGGGGATGCTGGTATCATAGCCGAGGATACGATCTCCTGCAAAGTAGAGGGTGAAGCACAGGGCCAGCTTATAGATGGACTGCCCCAGTATCATCTTCCACATTATGACAGTGAATAGAGGTGCACTTCGGGGGGTGGGCGGTCGTTCTAAGATTTTATCATTTGGCGGGTCGGTTGCCCTGAGGATGTTAGCCCAGAAACAAATGCTTCGGATTTTGCAATACTTGCAATGCTAATGCAGCAAATGTGTCCATAATCAAGTTCAGCCATAGCAATTGGATGGCCTTGAACACGCTCTCATTGGAACTGTTGTATATGGCTGTGATAACCGTCAGGCAGACAGCAGTGATATTGACGGTAATTTGAAACTACTCCTTGTCACCACGAGTCCAACATAGCAGATAGCTGGTGGCGTTGAACACAGTGGGTATAATGGCTGTGCGCTCACCTGCAGGAACTTGGCGACGGCATCATTTACAGACCGGCCCCAGGCAATAGCGGTGACAATCGACTTGAAGTTGTCGTCCAGGAGTATGATAGAGCTGGCTTCCCGGGCCACTTCGGTCCCGCTAATGCCCATTGAGAAACCCACGTCGGCGGTCTTTAATGCTGGGCCATCGTTTGTCCCATCGCCCGTGACCGCGACAATCTCCCCTAGCCGCTTAAGATGCTCGACAAGTAACCGTTTGTCATCTGGAGACGAACGAGCCAAGACTTGCAAACGTGGGATGATAGCATCCATTTCCTCATCACGAAGCTTTCGAAACTCAGGGCCCTCCATCACAATACCATCATGTGTTCTGATCCCACAGCAAGAAGCGATAGACAAAGCCGTGTTTATATTGTCCCCTAATGCAATCGCTGTCAATACGTGGGAAACACAGAACCAGACAAGACTGACCTGTAACCATTTTAACCTGCACACCCGCAGAGTGGCATTTTTTGATTGCTCCCGAGACTTCGGGCCTTAGGGGATCGTGAATACCAAATGCGCCAATCCATGTCATATCATGCAACAACTGTTCATACTTGGGTAAGCCCTTCTCGTGATCCGCAGAGTTTCCAGAGGGACGTTGTGGAAGGTCTTTGTAAGCAATTCCAATAGTTCGCAGAGAGTGACTGGCATAGTCGTCAATGCTTCTTGACATGGCATTGCGAGAATCCTCCGAAATCGGTTCCGCTGTTGTGTGTGTTGCTTCAGTATCTCCTGGAGCGACCATGGTGGTACACATATTCAGTAATAGCTCAGCGGCGCCTTTAACGAGCAACCGTGAGCCACCCGAGTCTGTGCGATAGATAATTCCCATTGATTTGCGAGCGGACTCAAATGGATAGACGTGCTCGATATCGGCATTCGCCTTCTCCTCGCCCAGCTCACTCATCCCGAGGCATTCTCGCGCGAATCGAAGAAGGGCTACTTCGGTCTTATTGCCAATGAATTCCTTTCCATTTTCCTGGTCCTCCTCAAAGGCTGTGCAGTTGAGAGCAATACTTCTTATCAGAAGACCCCTAAGCGAAGCAGGAAATCGTCTTAAGGTCTTCAGGACAGTAGTTGCGAGGGAGGATTGATCATCATCACTCGGTAAGTGACCAAAACTTTCGTGAGAGCCGAAAAAGCCCACGACTGCCGTCATTTGATTCTGCGTAAGTGTACCGGTTTTATCGGAGCAGATCACTGTAGCATTTCCCATTGTTTCGCAGGAACGCAGGAGTCGGACGAGGTTGTTCTCTTTCAGCATGCGAGTGGTTGCAAAGGCCAGCGCTAGCGTCACCGCCAACGGTAGACCCTCTGAGGTATGTTAGTGACATGAACGGATTGATGTTGGAAGATCCCCCACCAGGTATTGCCACTACGATTACTGTCACAGCAACGATGAGAACGTCCATGAACTCTTGACCTTTCTCCGTCGATGAGGCCTCACTGCCGGACAGCTGAGCAAGAAATCGGAAGAAAAGAACGAAAAATAGGAGCAAGGCGGCACTACTTCTCCGTCAGCAAAGGTGTGATGTGTTGAGCAGGAGGATCTACCCTGTTCCAAACCACCCTATCCAGCTTGCTAGCCTGGCCAGCTTGACTTGCAACGGCGTGGGATCACTTTCAGTGCGGAGTGACGCCATGATCCTACCGTATGCGGAGTGCTTGCCAACACTGGTGACCAAGTATGTGCCTAATCCTTCGAGGACCTTACTACCGGAGATAATAAAGGGGTCCAGGTCTCCCCTTGCGGTTCCATAATGGATGCTGTTCCATACCTCATGACCGCTCATCTTCTCCATCTGATCGGACTCCCCAGTTGCTGAGGACTCATCGCATTTGATTCCATGACAGGAGATTATCACTCCGTCCGCAGGGGGCGAATCCCCGGGCTCAATGTGAAGGACATCTCCAACAGTAATATCGGCAATGTGAACCATGACCGGCTTGCCTGAGCGAATCACTCTCACGTCACGATCAACGGTCTATGTTGATCAGCCCATGCAAGTGGAAATAACCAGGGGAGATGCCCACCCGTTTATTCAACTTGGCAAACTGCCTCTCCTTTTGCCAGTCATTTCCTGCTGTTGCTGATACCACGATGATTATTGCAACGCAGACCGCAACACCCTCAATCCAGTCTACCTGGGACTGACCGCTGACTGCTTCGTAAACACCCAGAGACAATGATACAACGGCTGCAATTGTCAAAAGGATGATTATCTTGTCGTTATACGCTTCCCATAGAAGCTTGACGAACCCCTTCCTTCTCGCTTTGGGTAGATCATTGCGCCCAAATACCCGATATCTATCGGCGAATTGTGTCGATCCATTCTGATGCACCGAGTCTGGATCGTGTTGAGATAAAAGCCGTCTACCGCTCTCCACTTTGGACAGGGACATATCTCTTGCGTCATTGAATGTGATACGTTCGGGGAGGATGCCCTCATCCACCGAGAGGCCTGTCGTTAGATCGGTTTGAAGCCCATGTTCCAAGCCGCGCAGCCCACCCAGAGCATAGAAAGCGACCAGCGACTTGGGATTGAGTAGCTTATTGAGCTGTCCCGGAGAAAACGCAAACTTGTTGTCGTCCACGTGGAAATCGTGTTCGTACTGTGGGTCGGGGGCCAACGCTTCGGACAGGGAGATATCATCGTAGAAGAAACTTGTATTGAAATCTGACGGGACCACCGACTTCACATTAGTATCGGATGTACTAGACATGATAGAGGTCTTGCACTCGCCGGTCTTTTCCCTTGTCGAGTCCATCTCCGCATAATTCACGGCAACTTCTTATTCTGGGGTAGCGTGGCCAGAGGATAGATTGGATCAGGAGAGACGTAATATACTGCCTCCCCGTGACCTTGTGATCGATGTCAATCGTGGCAGTGCTTTGGTGGTGGAAACATGGCCCATGTCATACCGATGGGGGTTCTGGTTCTGGAAGCCTCTCCCACCGTGTCGGAACCCAATCATGGTGGTCGAATCTAGGCACGGGCCAAGGTGCTATGGACGGGGGGATCCAAGTCTAGATATCCTTGAGCCGGGGAGGAGTGGGGTGCATGGGTTCTGACCCACCCTGATCGTATCTTTCGTCGAAGCATGTCGTCATAGACAAGGGTACAATCAACCTTTGATAGGTATGAGGTGCAAAGCAAATGTTTGGATAGTACACGGGGCAGTGACTGATCACCCCACAAACTAGCAGGAGGCATGTCACTTAGTCTGACGTCAGCAAGCTCGTACAGGCTTGGGAAAAACCCCACAGCGCGTATAAACGGACAAGTAATACAGTGGGCTGGATAGCGGCTATACATCGATCAGAATAATTAGAGTTGGGAGCAAGTGTGACGGGAGATGTTGATTTGCGGAGGGCCATGCACTGCCTCACTCAGCAACCATGGGACGACAATGACCACCACCATTGCTGCACGGCGCTTTGTCGACAATGGAATGGGCAGAGTTTGTTCCCCAGAGGGGTGTTTTGCCAGAAAGATATATATCTTTAGCTTCTAGACATCAAGAGACGACTGATGGTGATGCCTGCGCCTGTACCTCGAAGTCATTCACGTGGTTTGCCCTACCTCTTAGAGCAAGCGCGAGTAGTATACTGCCTAGTTGCTTCATATCACCAGCCCTCCTGGTATCTCAGGCCCCGAACTGATGCATTGTAAGAAACCCGGGCGTTTCATTCGGGCCGAGCGCGTTGTTCAGATACCTCACATAGTCACTACCGTACTCGGCAAAAATAAGATAAATTTCGTGTGTGTCCTGAGATACGAGCACCCGGCTGATCTGTCAGGACCCGCCAGTGTCAATGGATGGGCGTGAAGATACTTACCGGCCGCAACTACTGGAAAAGTCATTGGGGTCGGGATCACACTTGATCCAGGCAACCATTTCTGCCGTTTCCTGCATAGAAATTCGAACCACCTCCCTTTCTCGAAGCATTGGCTTGACTTCCACGATTGCGTATGTCTTGGATGCTCTGTCTTCGAGGCATCCGTCGGTGCGAGCCTCAAAGGCCCCGTTTCCAAACGTCGCTATGAATGGCTTGCGGTACAAGGTCCAGTAAACGGGTAGTTTGTAGTGAATAATGAATGCGTTCAGAAAATCCACAAGCGCCGTGTTAACGATCTGCTCATCCTTAGTTCTCGGGTAGTTCATGTCTAGGAGCTCCTTAGGCCCGTATGACCGTTGTCCTGGCGGTGTCTCCTCAGCCATGCTATCATCGAACTCTTCCTCTGAGCCAGGATCTGGGGTGCTTGGCTCTCGGCCCATGTCTGGCATTGGTGTAGTGGGTGGCTTGGTCGGTGTTTCGAACGAAAGCTTCTGGACGGCCGACTCGAGGCCTCTCATTCGGGTTCGGGTATGATGTGCAACTGGACTAGTGCCGACAGTCACGTTGGGCCTAAATGGACTGTCCTCTGGAATGAACGCGACTTGGTTTTGATAGAACTGGGGCAAAGAAAATGTCCCCTCGTTCTCAGCATTGCTTGAGAAGCTGTTGCAGTAATAAGACCAGGACTGGTATGTCTTCAACCTCTCAACGGCCTGGCTATTCCAGTCCTTGAGACCAAATTTCGCTAGGTCCAGCTGATCGAATTTCGATCGTTTCCAGAGAGCCCGGAGCATCAAGTACTGTTCGTCGCTTATTGTGGAAGCCGAGGACAGATCGATGTTGTGGATCCAGCTTCTCCACCTTAGCTGTATTTTCCCACGCGGCTGGATGTCCAGGCAGCTCGCTCGCCATGATGAAAGACATAACCTGCGGCCTCACCGCAGGGAAATGAAAAAGATCGAACGAGGGGGAAGGGCGGCCTCCCCCACCGCTAATTACTTCAATTGCTCAAGCATGCCGCTGGACCAGGATTATGCAATTGGGCCAGTCATTGCGCACTAATAGCCGCCCAGATCGGAAGCAGCGCACTGACTCCCAAGGCACATTCATCGTAAGTACTAGTAGTAGTGAATGGGTGGCGAACTAAACCGGCCCAGGGGGAGAGGTCTTAAGATAGGCCGGTCATTTGTGGCGATTGACCCATGTTGTGATTGCTCTCTCATGATGTTACCACGACGGAGAAGCAGCTCCAGATGGAAAGCGAGGAGGAAGATGGATGAATCGTCAATAGACCCGTGATTCCTCTGCCGCCCGAGTTGAGCGGCACAACATTAATCCAGGGGACTGTGGGCCCTTTTCCATTGGTGGAGCCGTCTTTGCGTTGCGGTGCACCCACATAATTATGTAATCCCGTTGCATCCCCCGTTCAAATAAGCACAAAACACTGTGGACCTTCCTTCCTCTCTCTCTACTAGTACTATCTTCTAGTACCTTCAACAATTAACTCGCCATGTATAGTACACTAGAAGCATTAGAGCTACGCAACCGCTACCGGTCCGCACTTCTTACAACCAAACACAAGATATGCAAGCTGGAGACCGACCAGATTGACGTGTGTCAGGCACAGGATGCGGGCATTCGACAGCTCCCCTTGTCACTGGAACAGGCTTCCGACCGCACCCCCTTCTACTTCACACCGTATGAGGGGGACTTTGTCCGACCGGGCGAGGATCCTTATCCGTCTTACAAGCCGGACACGCCGAACCACTGGAACATCCAAGGCCTGCATTGGTATATGCAATCCTGTCTGGGCCAACTGATTCTTCACCACCCCCCAGGCATCTGCCCCAAGTCGTATGTGCTGTTGAGCCCTGCCTTTCCTCATGAACCTAGTGTGTTCCAGACTCTTATCATCTCGCAGGTGGGGACAGTTCAACTTCGGTGCGCTTTTCGAGACCACTTATTTCTGGAAAGTCTCTTCAACATGCACCGCACTGGCAAAAGAGCCGTTGCCTCATATGAAGTGTTTGATGGAGAGTGATGCCGTCGGGGACGAACGATTGCTTCGTGGTGAACTCATCACCATCATCAACATCATGACCGGTCGGCTCAATACGAAGTCGCTCCGTCCCCATGTCTTGGCTCCTGTGAGTCCTGAAACAATTTCCCCAAAGCAAGTGACCGCATGAGCGGAGCGCTAATGCCAGCTTCGACATAGGTGATGGTGTTCTCTATCATGGGACCACAGCATCTGCGTGTCCTGGAGGCGTTCTTTGACGGACAGAATCTCATTGTGCGACAGACAAGGCTCTACGATATGACAGAGTATGATGCAGCAATCATAGATTTGCTCACTCGATGGTGGCTGGGATTTGCTGCTGGGAAAACAAAGTCGGTCCCCAATGCTCTCCTCCTCGCTTAGCTGGGCCGTCCCACTTCATGCCCAACACGGAGTTCGAAGTGGTTTACTGTGTGATTTATATGGTTCTTATTGCAGCGGCGTCTGGCGTTGTTAGGACACGCGGGGTATTGAACCTTATTCAGCGCGATGTGATGATAAGAGTGGGTCCCCATCCATTGCAGTAATCCCTGGTCCTCATCCCTGATCGTAGCATACAGCCAGGTGCGTACACCATGAGCTATTGTGCGAATGAACGACCAATGAAGACAGTCCACAAACCACGAGGAGAATGAGAGACTTAAGTCAAAGGTGGACGATGACATGGGGGGCTTTCTTGGAAGCGCATTCCAATACCGGAGACGAAGGGGCGAGAGAGGGTCCGATGATCACTTTTAGAAGCAATGCTTGGTGGTTGATTGGCTGAAATTTGTTTTTAAACGCTGCTCGGAACGGAGGTGATGCTACTGGTGGTGTTGCGCTTTCTGGAGCTGTTCCTGGCCGATCCTAAACACTTTCACAGCCAGTGTGCGTTTCTCTCGAAAGACTAGCAGGGCTAGGGGGCTTCAATCTCCTTGGGTTGCCATGGAGATGTGAATGGCTCAAAAGGGGTGGGAACGGATCCTGATAACTGAGCGACAAGCCCCTAGAGCTTGCATGAAAGCCGCCGCCGTCGCTGCCTGCACGGAAATCTGACCCGTTCAGACACCATTCGGGCTCTGAGCCGTGTTTCACATCATGGAAGAGCTATTGGGTTAGCCTGGTAGCCGCCGCATTCGCAGAGACCTTTGCGATGGGGTAGCAGAGCGCTACCTGAGCCCCTCAAAGCAGCGGGGAGGATATGAATGTTGGCGTTTACTCCAGGGCCTTGGAGTAAAGCACAGCTTTCCTTCGGTATCTCCCTTGACAGCTAAAGCCTCAATAAGAACCTTGAATATTTTTGTCCGTCAAGATCACAGATAGCACTACCAAGAAGAGCCTTCTTTCTGCCTTTCTCCCCCGAGCCGTGCCCTTCTATTGAATCAAACCACCTGGAGACCGAAAAGGGTACGCTGACCTAGTGGCTGTCTGAATGACATTTTGTCCTGACATGCGCTACCACAGAGACTTGAAGATGTTCCCAGGTCTTTACGTTGTCTTCTATCGGCCTCAGCAACTGACTAGCAAATCGTTATATCACTCTGGGTTCCCGGACACGGTCGAGGAGCCACCAGTGAGCGTATCTCTTTGGCGAGACACAGTCTGGTAAAAACAGATACCAATCGTCCTCTTCATATGGTGATAGGCAATTTGTGCTTTTGGCAGCTTCAGTGTATTCTGGATAGAACCTCCCAATCTATCAGCCCAGTAATCTTGTAGCCGTGGTCTGCTGTCATTTCCACAATAATATTGTCGGGGCGGAGATCTCCGTGGGTGAACACAACCTTGCAGGATGAGGCTGGCGGAGATAGTTCACCCATCAACTTCACAAAAGCATCCCCGCCTGACCTGTAGCCCTTGAAAAGGAATTGTTCGAACTCATCAATGGTCGTGATTGGCCGATCACTACGACGGAGATGTCTCCTAACGTCTTTGCAACCTTCACCGCCAATCCCTCCTAGGGGTGTGCCGGGATTCCAGGGCAACGATCGTAGATCTGTCAGGATCTTGTTTAGCTGCTCCTGAATAGATGCTTTTTGCGTCTTATCCAGACTCGGCCAGACATTGGTGAGAGGGTCGCCAGGCTGGTAGCTCATGAAGATAAGCGTAATCCCATTGAATCGCAGCAGTCCCAGGGGCTCTGGACTGGGGATATCGGGTCGATACTGTCGCAGATATTGTAGAGTTGTATACTCTGTAAATTCTGACATATCACGAACAGCTTTCAAAACAATGTGAGCGTTGCACTTGAGGATCATTTTGCGACGGGCGGAGGGGCCTTTCCAAAGGATTTCGCTCGCTTGCATCATCCGTATCAGTCGCTCGGAAAGACTGGATGAAAGCGACCCAAAAGCCTGGGGTCCGTCGCCTAATAAGTCAAGAACCTCCTTCGAAAGAGGGTAAATCGTCTCAACCGGGGCAGACGCGTCCAAGGAGGCCCTTAAGTCTTCCTCATGAGGACCGACGGGTGCAACAGTATCTAAGAGTTGGGCATTTAGAAAACTTGGCCACCCTTTCGAGAGCGACTTACTGTTCCTGCTGTCATTTTCAAGGCCATTACGCATCCTCTCCAAGCGGGCAGAGTAGTCTGTCGGCAGTTTTGTGGTCAAATCGACATCGGGATCCAATGCGACCGCGGCTTGGAGCTTTTTCAACGCATGTGTGTTGAAACGCGAAGCTCTCGATGGTTTTACGACGCGCCCCATGACTATGTTGATGGTGGGTAAGATAGTCCGTGCACGCGTAGTGGTTAATGCTCTTAGGGGAGAAGCAGTGTTCAATGCGATGGATAGAAGGACGCGTGATCGAGGAAAATGATGAGGCGGTGTGGCAGCCGTGGTGGCAGGCTGGGTGGCTTGACCCCGAAATCCGCCCTCTCTTCCTGAAATTCTAGGAATCTACGAAGGGGTAGTCATATCTGTGGCCACGACTGATGATTGCTGTTGCCCGATAAGAGCCAGCAAGCAAAAGGTCTAAGACCTGCAGCACACAATAATCATAGCTATTTTGCGTTATGTGGTTGTGTAACCTTCTTCTCTGGATGATGAAGATGCTGATTGGAATAAAGCTGGTTTTACGACCCTCTGCTGCTGGGCAGCACGGAAGGGAGACAACTATCACATCCGTGACTTGGGAGAAACAAAAACTTCACACGGCCTTGAACGGAACGATATATCTGTTGAGTGTGACAACGTGCCGATGGTTCGACGTCCCCTGCAACTTGGGCTAGATTCAAGAAAACGCTTGAAGATCAGGCCATATGAGGTAACTCCTCTCTATCACTCAGCAATCAAAGAGTTTGCTGATCTTGTTCACGCCATTCTGCAACATGGCCCCAATAAAGAGAATCCTGATGACTATGGTTGGCGCCCTTTACCTACCGTCCATCTCTACAGCCACCTCGATATGGTTAGGGCTTTCCTCGACATGGTAGCGACTGCCCATGCCGCAACGCAGAAGTTAAACAACGATCCACGCAAGCCCACAGGCCTAGACAGTGGTAGCCCATGGGCTGGCCAACCGCTTTATCCTGCTGCAATGGGCGTTTCTCCTGACATTTGCTGATTGCTGATCGATCACGGGGCCGGCATAACTTAGTGTTCGGTGCGAAATGAATCTTATGTATTGGCGCTGCCCCCACACCTCTCCATATCCTATTGAATCCTGATACTTTCTATGAGCGCCCAGGCAGAGCTCTAGATGACAGGAAACTTCAGGTTGGTTGGTGGCTTGTCACCACCGGCGCAATGGAGCGAGGGGTTGCCAGTCGTTATTGTCTTGGGGATATACTTGATTTCCGGGCATTTCCTGACCCATGGGACGCTCTAGCCGCCGGTGGCCTGCAGGATAATGGACACAACCAGGGTTGGGTTTCGAGTGACCGAAACAGTATATAGTGATAATCCCATCCCCTCCCCCATGCGGAGTGCCCGATCGAGTCTAGCGCCGGGATGGCTGGTGCCTTCCTGTTTCGGAGCTCCCGATGCCTCGCTCGCCGATTCGCTTCCCTTCATTTCTCTCATTCTCCTCTTTTCCCTGTAATCTGCAATCTGCATCCTTTGCTTTCTCCGCATGTGTCCTGATTCCTTCAGGCGCCACCGTGTTAGACCCCCTTTCCCCGTCCGTCGAGTCATCCTGCCGAAGCCATCCCCAACGCCCCGTCACAGTGTCATCGAATCCTAGCCATCGCATCTGGCCTTTGACTGGCTTTCCGAGGCCAGGAGCCACTCAGTGGACTTTGCTCCGCCTTGACAAAAGACCCCTTGGTTTGGCTGACCCGCAGTCGACAGTGCAAGAATGCGCAAGCGCCGACTTCGACTAATCTCACACTTGAAAAGCCTTATTCGGAAGACGATCGTTGCGACTGGAGTACAGCTTGTGGTCATTCATTCGTGAGGGGATGCGGAGTGCCAGCCATTAGCAGTTCCCTCCAGGTTGATGAAGGGTGTCTCCGCACCGCTGCTGTTCCCCCTTCGTGCCGATCGAAATTCAGGGAGCCCAGTCCCATCGCATGTGGGCAGGCCTCGACCGCACCCCAACGCCGAGAAATCGCCATTGCCAAGCCGGTAGGTCGTGCTAAGACGTCGGAAATAACAAGTCCTCCGCCACACCCGTTTCTTGCTGATGCTTGGCGAGGTCGATGTCCCACAGGGCTGCGGCTAAAAGGACGAAACTCGGAACCAGATCACCGCGCTGGCTTGTCCCCGCACCTGCCGAGCTCGAGCCCGAGCCCGCTGCTCCGCACCATATCGTCTTGCTGTTGGAGGGCGTATGTCCGAGGCCCTATCGCTTGATCGACGGGGCGGACGATCAGGTTCGACGATAGGCTCGATAAGAGCTTTGTTGCTGCTATATCATGGCTGTTATCCTGATCCTTCAAGACGGGAGGAAGCCCCTCTCACCGAGGGACCGACTAATGTGAGGCGTAGCTATCAGCTGACGATGCTTGTTACTGGGAGCGAGCCGACAGGGTGTGGCTGCAGATGTAACACGGCATGGGAAGGAATCGGGCCCGGCCAGGATACAAATTCCTTCCGGCTGACGGGCGTTCCAAGCTGTTGCACTATACAAAATGCCCCGTCATGCACCGACCACGGGGGTTTCATACACACCGTAGATGGGGGCGGCCTACCCTCGGTCGGTCAGTCAGCATACCGATGACTCACAGCAACTTCAGATGCTTAATAGAGAATGAAGCGATGGTATATTAGAAGCTCACCCTCAGCGGAAACCCGAAGATTATCTAGCGAGTCCCTACGGTGCGGACTAAGAATATCTCGTGCTAGCAGGGCCTGGGGCTACCCTAGACCAGATAAAGCCGGCTGGGGCCGATCCTCTCGTCCGGCCCGGGGTCCAAACTTCAATTAGCCCGTAGATGCTTAGTGCTGACGGCTTAGCAATCCTGCCACCGCCTGATCTCCCTCCACGCCATTCTCCTTCCTCCTCCCCCCTCCATCCACCTCCATCATCCATCATCCTCCGATATCATCATCTCGGATCCGATCAAGACTATACCCTCCTTCCACCAGGTACTCAGGTAGGGACATGGCGTGGTCTTCTTGAAAGCCCCCTCACCCCCCTCATTCCCCTCATCATCCCCCCATCTCTCTTCTGTTCCCCTCATACTCGATATTACCGCTGGTACTAACGATGCGCACGTTGGACCCGATTAGGTGTTAGCTAGCGCCTCCAATCTGGGTCTTCCCCTTTCCTACTGCCCCATCGGCCGGCATCCCTTCCTGCCCAGGCCAGATCGGTACCAGGGCGGTCCGCGTCACCCTCGGCCCATGATGGATATTGCACGGTGCTACCTTGGCACGCTCCTATAATAACGACGGCAGCCGGGATCGTGACCGCTGAGCTTGGTTCCGCGTGCCGGAGCACGGACTTCAATACGAGCAGCCATGGCACCACAGCAACGGGGACGTGCCACCAACGGGCGCGAATCGAATGGCAACCGCCGCAGCTCATCAGCCTCACAGGAGGCAGAGGAGCCTTTAGCCACCGCCGCCTGCGAAAACTGTCGCACACGCAAGGTCCGCTGCGACCGGCAGATCCCGCAGTGCTCGAATTGCATGAAAGCCGGGGTGCCTTGCGAGTTTCCCAACCGCGGAAAACGGATCAATCATGTCAAGCAGCTGTAGGTCCCCGGCGGGTAAAGCGTGATAGTCCAGGCATATGCTGACTGGGTGATAGCGTCGAGGATGTCTCAGGCCTCGCCTCTCGCCTCGATTCCATCGACCAGGCGATCAACACTCTCGTGCAGAATGTCTCAGCACTACAGGCCGCCTCCCTGGCGGCTACGGATTCATCGTCACGATCAAGCACACTGGTTCTGCCGGAGCTTTCGCCCGGCCCGGATGTGGAAGAAATGGAGTCGATCTTCTATGCGAGCTACTGGGACGGCGGGAATCGAAGTGATCCCCGGGGGGTCACCTCACCTCTCCCCGCAGGACGGGACAGGTCCTTGGGCCATATCGGCGCGCGGTCACTGTTCGAGAACTCCCGGCGAACCCTGGCCAGTCTGCTTGAGCAAATGCGCAGTGGCGCAAGTGAAGAGCAGGACTCCAGCGTCCACAAAGGATGGGCCGGCGGGTTGTCGGCATCACCGCAGGCCGGCGTCCTTCAATCCACGTTGGAGAACAAATACGAACTATATCCCTTCGCGCAAGGTCTCGATCCTTCACCGGTCACAGGGGATGGACAGGCCGTGGCATCGCCACCACGCTCACTCCTCGAGACATGTCTTCCCGTTTACCTCGAGTACTTCAATGTCACGATACCCGTGTTTAACGAACATTGCCTGAAGGAAGCCATCAACTCCTACTACGCCAATGGATCGAGTCGGTCGGACGAGGCGTACCATCTATGTTTCAACAATATCATCGTGCTCGCGCTGGGGCTACGCTCCCGCCTCACCCGCATGGACCGCACCTACCCCAAGGGCATGAGCGATGAGTTACTTCCCGCATTTCTGAACAACTCCTTTCGAGCCTTTCAACGCTTGAGTACCTTTCAGCAACCACGCCTGGTCTGCGCTCAGGCCTTGGCCACCCTGGTAAGTTCTGCTCGCGACGGCTGCCCGGCTCGACTGACATCCTCCTAGGCCATGGTGGCTCGGGAATACCATGAAAGCCGTGTGTTTGATACCGTTTGCCACGCTACCTCTCAGACGGTTAAGTCCATGGGTCTGCAGCAACATAATTCCTCGGGCTGCGCCAGCCTCTCGACAGCGGACGAGGAGCGACGCGATCTGTATTGGGCCGTCTTCGTCATGGACAAGCAGCGGACCTACATGGCGGGCCGACCGTTTGACCTGCACTTTTATGATTCCGACGTGCAGCTGCTACGTACGATGGCGGGCCAAAGCTTGGTTCAACACTACCGGACGGCCCACGTCCACATGATGGCGGTGTGGGAAGAGATCTACATCTATCTATACTCGGCCCGAGCCTTCCGCCGCGGCCCCGCCTATCGCCAGAGCCAGATTGCCAAGCTGGACGGCATGACCCGCAGCTGGTACGCGCGCAACGGCTCGCTGCTCGCCCAGTCCGGCCCCGCCGAGATGTCCGCCCTCGAAGGCTGGCGCCTCGAGCTCAAATACGCCTTTCACATCGGCCAGGTGTTGGTGCATCGCTTTTCCCGCGATCAAAGCAGCCAGCATGTGGCCCTGGCCAATTCGCGGGCGGCCCTCCGCATCATCTGCGAGGTGTATCACACCAAGCAGACCGAAGCGTCGATCTCACTTCTCGCTAGGTTGTTCCGACATTACCCGCAGGTCAGCATCCATGGACTCTTTGCGTCATTTCTGGCCAATCCAACGGTCGATCTGCTGGAAGACTTAGACTTGATCGACGGGGTCGCGGAGGCTCTGTCCCCCCTCTGCGATGCGAACCTGCCGACATCGTGTCTGCACCAGGTGAATGAGGGCATTCAGTGGTATCGCGACATAGCCAAGGCCTTCCAGGATCATTTTGAGGCCCTGCCGTCGCGTGCCTCTGACCCGTATCCGTTCGCTTCCCCTCCGCGGGCTCATGAGACATCTCCGACCGGGTCTCGAGCCCCGTCCTACCGCGCGCGATCGGACAGCCCTCCTCAAAAGCGCCGTCGGATGTATCCGACCGGCTTTGACGATAGCAATATCTTCGGGGTAGCCACCAATCCGCCGCCAGAATCATCCACCACACCCTGGGCGGTCCCAGACGCTGAAACGACTGTGACGGTGAACAGCCTTTCGCTCCCGGCTTCAAGCGGTTCTGTTCCTCGCCTCTCATCCTCTGTTGACGAGCATGGTGAGCGCAGTAGTCGGGGCAGCAGTAGCAGTGGGAGTATGCGGCCTCCTTTACGCGCCGACGACGAGTTGTCGCGATTTCTTCAGGATGCGCTGCCCATTACATCTGTGTCTCGATGTCGACCATCATCCCCGCCCATGTTGACGCCTAGCATGGGTGAGGCCGCACCTTCGGCCTCCATACCGCTGCCCATGCACTTTTTCCCCCAGACCCCTCAGGGCGTTGAGGAGGGTCTGGACGGGGGGATGTTTCCTTTTTACATCCCGGAGCCTGATATGGCGGAGGCGTGGAACGGTGATCTTCGTGACTTGACCGTCCCAGAGGAATTCTTCCTTCCGGCTTCGTAGAGAGGCCTTGTTGCATGATCAATGGCATTAGATAAGGACGGTCTTGAGTCACCAGTTCCATCGGTCTGACTGAACCACCTCGCAGCCCACCGCGACCATTGTCCCGAATGTGCTCAGGAACTTACGTATCCGAAAAGACTCACGCCACAGTATGCAAATGGGACGCTCTGAGCATCTCGTAGCAATATATTTCTCCTCGAGGCATCCATTTTGGTGATAGATAGTATGTCACTTGGTATCAATCAGATTATATAGTCCTAATGTAATCTAAAGACCGTCCACCTTGCCATGATCCAATTTGTCTCGTAATCTTAGATGCTGGCTGTTGTTACTGTCTCATGCGAGGCGATCACCGTGCATCACGTGACAGCCTGACTGGGGATTTCGGTCTCAAGTCACCTTCCGCTCACCTTCATCTGCGTCTCCCTCTGGATTATCGAGTGCTGGTGCTTAATAGAGGCCATCAATACTATGATGTCTCAGATTCAACACTGTGCGACCGGAAGGTAATCCCTCTGCACCAGCCAAAGGAAAGGCAACAAGTCCAAGTGGATTCTTTACCGACACCCATGGCAAGATCTAAGAACTCAAGGTGGGCAAAAGCTCTGAGTTGTCGGCCATTCTAATACAGAACAGAATAACGACTAAATCTCAAAGCGGCGCTCATGAATACATCTTATCGCTTACTAAAACATGAATCATCAAACATCGAGGAACACAGCTCATCCAAATCATCCCCTCATTACCTTCAACCAGCGACGTCAATGCACAGCGGTCGTCTTCCACTCCCGCAACACTGGACTCCCCGTCAACTGCACCACCTCCTCTACATACCCCCCATTCAATCGGAACGACTTGCCCGTCACATTCGGGATATATCCCTGCTCCAGAATATCCGGCTGCACGTCTGCTTCGCGCACTCGGGCCTGCAGGAAGCGCCGATATCCGTCCACACCCGAGCGCAACATGGACGAGTGGAACGGCACATCAATCCCGACCAAGGGAATCGTCGCGATGCCTCGGATCAACGGGACAGGTTTGGGAACGGCCTCTGCGGCTGCTAGCGCTCGCGCGATAATGTGGCCTAGCACGGTTGCGGAGAGATCCGTTTCATCGCCTGCGCTGATCTCGCGTAAGCAGAAGCTGAGGTGGTCGGGACTGGCTTGGTTGAGCTCGTTGAGAACTTCGGTGAGTGTGTAGATGTTGCGAAGCTAGAGGGTGGGTTAGAGAGATCGGTTAGGAAAGGGAAGTGAGAGGGAGACATACGTGTCCTGCACAGACGTACTGCTCGCCGGAGACGTTGAGGTTGACGATCTCCAGCAATCGGTTACTTTGCTGCGCGATCATGGTGGTGATGCGACGAATGGCCATTTCCGTTACCGCTGGAGGTGTCCCTGGTTAGCAGGTGCCGGGGTCAAACGGGGATAGTCACTTACTCGGGCCAACACGTCGGGGATTCACCGCCACCATGGAGTAATCCGTGGTGCCGGCCTCATCGCGCTCCATGGCTAGTTGCATGGCCAGACCTCGATAGAATACCACGTCCATGAACGACGGGAAGGGCATAAACTCGGCGATGGCGGCCAGAGCTCCGTACTCGCCCAGCGAATGTCCAGCAAAGGGGGCCCCGTCTTGGATGAGTCCACGCGCACGCATGTCTTCGAACATGGCCTTTTCGAGAATGGTGATGGCTGGCTGCGCGAACTGCGTTGAGTAGATCAGTCCCCGTGGCTCGCGGAAGGTATGCGAGCGCGTCGTGGATGTCAGGCCGGGTAGGACCGGCTTGCTGATCAGTTGACCATCTGGAGAGACGCTGTCGACACGCATATCCTGGTATCGTTGCCGGATGCGTCGACCGTGTGGTCCACCAAAGTGAACCGTGAGCTCCTTCGGGTTGTCTTGCACAATTTGCAAGATGGAAAAGCCTGTTGGTCAGACGGTCAGTATGGGGAATGAGCTGATCCAAGAAGCTATCGTACCATAATTGTCCCGGAAGTACTCGTCCATCTCGTCCCAGATCTTCCGGGCCACCGGACTCGCCCGGTAGATGTCCATCCCCATGCCTGGCGATTGGCTGCCTTGACCGGTAAACACATATGCGGTGGAAGGCTGCTCGATCTCCGCCTCTCCATCGAGGACCTTCTCTTCGTCCTGGCCATCATCTCCCTGCCGGAATGCCTGAATTTCCAACACCATACGGCCCTCGATCATGGCGATGTGGCGACACCGGACCGTGATTTGGTCCCCCTGGCGGACCATCCCCACAAAGCGGACGGACCACCGCCGCAGTCGTCGCGGGTCCCATCCATCGATCAGGTGCTCCAGCACACTACCGGCCACAGCCGATGTGTACATGCCGTGGACAATGGTGCCAGGAAGTTGAGCGATCCGGACAAACGTGGGTGCGGTGTGGATGGGGTTGGCGTCGATGGAGACTTGGCTATACTGTTCGCTGCTGGCGGGCATTTGCACGGTTTGGGAGCTTTTCGGGCCGGGCCAACCAGGTTGAGTAAGCTCTTGACGCACATGGGCCTTCTGTCCCTTGCGTGTTAGGAAATCTATGACGGGGTTGCCCGGGGTGGATGACGTCTGGAATTCAACGTCCCCAACACGGACACGTGTACCACGAGGGCCAAGTTTGTAGACTTCACCAGTTGTCTCGATATGGCGGCGGGTCTGGGTGCCTTTGGTCCAGCGCTCGTGCGTGTGCAACTGGAAGGACAGGGTTTCCCCGACCAAAGAGGTGGAATCGTCGATATGAAACCAAGCACGATCTCTCAAGATCGCATCATCGACCGCAGTCAGATTGTGAAGAAGTATCTCTGGCTCGTCGGTAGTTCGGAAGCATTCGTGGGTGTCAGTGAAAGCGCCTCGAATGAAAAATACCGATGTGATAGTCATGGCCTGGCGGCCTTCCCGTTGCAGTTCAGCCACAACCTGGATCTCCTTCCCTCTGTCGTCCACCACAACAGCCTGCACCGACGAGGTGACGTCCACTACGTCCCCGATTTGTAGTGGGGATTCTCCGGACGCGAGCTGGAAGCTGTTTGATAGGTGTACCAATTGTAGCAGGTCGCCTTCATGATGGGGAGTCACCAGTGGTGCCACCAGAGCCTCCCAGGCCGGTACCATAGCGGCATGAATGGGTATGTGGCTTCCTTCGGCTGCGAGGTCTCGCTGACTGGGATAGGACAGGCCGACCACAGAAACCCAGGCATCTCGCAGATCAGCTGTCAGGATCTTCTGGCCCCCATAGTACGTGCCGTTCGTCGAGATACTGGGAGGATTCTCCCCAAGCCAGAGCTTGTGGTAGAAGGACTGAACACGGGCATCATGTCCATCCTGGATCTCGCTCAGGGTACCGCTCTCGGGGTTGTAAGCATACTGTAGCTCGAGTGCAAGCGGGGTATTGCTGCGGGGATATTGATGATAAACCTGCACGACCACTTGAACCCCGTCGGCGCTGGTCATAGACACCACGGGGTATGTGCCGCTGTCTTCATCGCGGGTGACCAGTAGTGTTGACCGCGGACCATCGATGGTAATAACCGTGTCCCAGGTAAGGGCAAGCGAGTCACACAGCCAGTTTGGGCGTCGTCCTGGACCCCGTCGGAGGTCCTGATTCGATACGATCGCGCGCATCCACCCGGCGGTTTCATGGGCGAGATACGATAGCCATCGATGAGCAGATGGGAGCTCCTTTCCTGGCAAGGGCTGATACGTGAACACCCCCGGTTCCTGCTCGACCACATGCAGAGTGCTACGAAGCTGACGGTGGCCCTCGCTGGGCGTCTCCAGCTCATCTGTCCATGGGATAGGTGTTTCTCCGTAGAACTCGGCTTCCAACATTTCTGCCAGGGGGTGCGTCATGCCGTCTAGGATTTCCTTGACGGGCTCATCAATGCGGTGGGCATAACGAGCAGCGACAGGACCATGCAAGATGCAAACACGGTCAGCGTCCTGGTCAGGAACGGCATCGACGTCTTCGGACTGCCACAGGGAGTCCTTCTTGAACCAGACTGCAAAGTCTTGATCGAGAACCGGGATGAAGTTGACGGGCTTTTGTCCCGGGACTCGACAGCGCTGTAGGAACCACGCCTTGTCTTCGGGATGTAGCAGGGTAGCGCTCGCCTGAGGCACGACGTGGCGGAGGTCGGCCAAAAAGCCCTGGGGGTCTCTAGACAAAGTTGCTGGTGTGATGATCCCATCCAGAGGAACTTGATGAAGGCGCTCCATGCTTCGCGTCGCCACGTCTATCACTAACCGCGTGTACGACGGATGGACCCATCGTCCTAGACTGCGGAGATACATCACCTCCACCAAACGCTCCAAAACCTCTTGATAGGTCATGTCCTCCAGCTCTACCGGCTCTCCGGTGGCCTTTTTCCCGAACCAGGGTCGGAAGTAGTCCGCATTGAGGCGCTGGATGATGTGGTTCTTGCGCTTTTGTAGAGCGCCTAGCTGCTTCTCCCGGGGCAGAGAGAAGATCTGTTCGTCCATTTCCTTCCATAGGAGAACCCCCCTCGTGGCGAGCTTGTGAATCGGCTGGCCCATCTCGGACTGGACGGTGACTACGCCACCTGCGGGACGGACATAGCTCTGCGTCCATTGAGAATCGGCTGCCACTCCGGGAGTAGCACAGATGAGCTGCTTGGCTTGCGGAGATGTGTGAGCCTCCTGAGCAACCATCACCCGACTGCCTAGGAGAATGCCATCAAAGGGCATCGGGGCATGTCCATGCGGAACTGACCAGGACCCGCTTAGATACGGATAGACCTGCTGAGCCTCGCCGAAGCCACTTCCCCCAACGAGGATGACATTGTTGCAGGCCCGGATGGCACCATACTTTCGCAAAATTGGCACATGAAATTCTTCGTACGAGTGATGACCTCCTGCACGTCCACCCGTCCACTGGATGATGATCGGGAAATCGGCATGAGCCCGGGCAACCTCCAAGACCTGGTCGATTGCTGCCTCCGAACCGGGCTTGAAGGTTATATGCCGCAGGCCGAGCGTGGTGATGTACTCCGAGGCCACGGCCAGACTTGGAATCCCTGCTCCGATGGTGAGACCCTCGACAGGGGAGCAACCACGCTGCGCCAGCCGTTGGAGAAGAGCAATCTGCCATCCTAGGGCCTTCGGGCTTGCGTAGATGAGATTACAGGTGATGCCCCGACCTGGGGGGATATTGGCGGCCAATGTGGTGATGGCCTGTTCCATGCTGTCTGCATTGTAATACCCGCCTCCTGCCAGCTCCGCATGATATCCCGCGTTCATGATGGCTGCGACAAAGTCCCATGGTACTGTCGTGGGAGTCATGCCCGCTACAATGACCGGCGGGGCTCCTAGCACAGTTGTCAGCTTGGTTACGATGCGCACTTCCCCCGTTTTGGCTTGGATCAACCGGGGACGGAACCTCTCCTCCCAGCTGGGTGGGACAAGCGAGGCAGAGATATGTGCTGCAAAAAGGTCTGGCCGTGCCCCGGAGACAGCTTTGCCCGGGGTGAGTTGGGTGCTGTCTATGATGCCGACGCCGCGGCCCTCGAGGTTTCGCGCTAGCATCTCTCCGACGCCTTTCCCGAAGGCCAGGGCGCATGTGCCACTGGGGAATTGGACTGTGGTGGGCCAGTCGACTGGATCCGTGAGGACCGCATCCACCAGCGAAGCAATGGCGTCGGTGGCTCCCGTCAGCACGGATCCATCGCGAGTGTGATACACCGGAGAGCGGAACTCGCTCGCCTGGAAGCGCGAGTCGGACAATCGCTCCTTGACCACTCGTGCAGTCTGTTGCAGGTAAGGCGTATGAAACGGTGCCGAGATGGGGAGAAACTGGTGATTTACGGCAGGCTTCCGTCGATCGAACGGGATGCGCGACTGGTCGCGATTGGGGTCGGCTTTGAGCTCGCGTAGCCGGCGGTGGACCCCGACGAGGGAGCGTGGGGGACCAGCCACGACGAAGCTCTCGCGTGTGTTGGATAATGCCAGGTACACCTGATGGTGGGGGGCCAGTTCATGATTACTCTGGTCGATGATCTGGATGACCTGGGCCTTGGAGAGGCCGCCAATATGCAGCATCGTCGACGGGGCTCCTTCCCCATGAGTATGGCACTCCTCGATCAGGGCAGCAGACACCGGTTCCCGTGCTGTCGGAGCTTGCTGGCTTTCGTACCCCAGCCAGAACAGTGTCCGGACCACCAACTGGGCATTCTCATAGAAGGAGGACCACGAGTCGGACCGCGCAATGCCCGCCGCCACGACAATCCCTTGAGAGTGACCCGTCACCCCGTGGAGGAGAGATCGCACCTGGCCGGGCGTGAGGTCGAGAACGCGGCAGGTGATGGCGAAATGGGCGAGACCAATGGCCCCGATAATGGGGAAGCTCACTGCGGCGGTTTGAATGTAGGCTGAGTCGGGAACGGACTCGGGATGGTCCAACCAGGTGCGGAGTTGGATGCTGCGTCCATGATAAAAGGCCGCCGTGTCCGGATGACGACACAGATCGGACAGTTCACGATCGAGGACGTCGATGAGGGGCGTGAGCAGAGGGGCGTAGGTCGTGTACAAGTCCTGCAGCTCCTGGACACATCGCGGATTACCGGCACCTTGGCCACCAAACACGGCCACTAGACGAAGAAGGCCCCGTTCGGCATCCGCTAACAGGGCACTGCGCGGCACCGGAGGGGACCATGAGGCATGGTGGATGGCAGCATAGAAGGCGCGCAGTAGACACTTCTGAGTCGGCAGTTGCTCGGGGAGGGCCGTGACAAGGGTGTGAATATCGGTGGAGACGAGAAAATCGCGAGCAAAGGCCTGTAGGAGGCATTGAACGGTTGCAGCGTCCGCGTCCGCGTCGACCAGGTGTTGAAGAAAGCTGAGCACTAGGGCAGCTGTCGCCGCGGGAGGATTGGAGACTAGGGATTCGAGAAAGCGGGGTTTGTGATTCTCAAGGGCGATTTGAAGCTGCGCAGGTACGCGAATGACATAGTTCAGCCCATTTGATGTAAGAGAAAATGGCACGAGGTGCTCGATCTCATCGGGCTTGCCGGGGGGCGAGCCGAGATCGACGTACGAGGGTGTCGAGGGGTGCGTCGACATGGCGCTGATGGTGTTGCATGAATTGCTCGAAGGATACGAAGCTGGTATATACATGCCTGGTCGGAGTCGTGATGCCGTCGGGGCTGATGATGCCGGGAATTCGGGGCTCGGACCGCCGCAGCGAGATTTCGCCTCTCCCCGTCCGACGCCTGGCCGACCGATGTCGATCGATGGACTTTGGCGGCCGAGTTGACACGTCTGCCGGGGATTATGTTGTCAGACGATGTTGCCAAATTGGGGTTTATATCAACTCCCGCGGCCTTGACCTCCACGTCCCGTCCCGTTCACATCCCCATCACTTCTTCCATTATGACTACCAACGGCACCAACGGCACCAATGGTGTCCATGAGACGCCTGCTCCCTCACTGCACGTCGTGGACAGCCGCACCGGTCAATACTATGAGATCCCCATTGTGCACAATGCCATCCACGCCAGCGAATTCAAACGCATCAAAGCCCCCGTCAACCAGGACTACTACCCGGACCAGACGGAGAACGGCATCCGCGTCTTTGACCCGGGCTTTTCCAACACGGCTGTCAAGGAAAGCAAAATCACCTACATCGATGGCACCAAGGGCATCATTCAATACCGGGGCTACTCGATCGACGACATTATCAGCCAAGGGAAATCCTTCATTGACACCGTCCATCTACTCGTTTGGGGGCACTGGCCTTCCCCTATTGAAGCCAAGAAACTGCAAATTCGTATCGCCGACGCCATGACTCTTGATGGAAGTGTATACCAAGTCATCCGCTCATTCCCGTACGCTTCTCCCCACACCTGCTCCGAGTCTAAACTAACTCACTCAGTCCCTCCGGCTCCATCATGGGCATGATCATCGCGGGTCTTTCTGCCCTCCAATCCACGCAAATGGACACTGTTCCAGCGCACGCTGCCAAGAATCTATATCTCGGCAACCCAGACGCTGTCGATGAGCAAATCATCACCGTCCTGGCGGCCCTGCCCATGATCAGCGCCATCGCCTACTGTCACCATCTGAACCGGCCCTTCACCCCACCCCGCCGCGACCTGTCCTACATCGAGAACCTGTTCCTCATGACCGGCCACGTCGACCCCAAGACTTCTCTCCCTAATCCCCGCTACGTGGGCTACTTTGAGCGCCTCTGGGTTTTGATCGCTGACCACGAAATGACCTGCTCCACGGCCGCCATGCTCCAGACCGCATCCTCCCTCCCAGATGCCATCTCATGTCTCATCTCCGCCATCAGCGCCATGTACGGGCCCCTCCACGGCGGTGCCATCGAGGTGGCCTACCGCGATATAGCAGCCATTGGCTCAGTTGATGCCTGCAAGGACAAGATCGAGCGGGTCAAATCCGGCAAGGAGCGTCTCTACGGGTACGGGCATCGGGTGTACCGGGTGACGGATCCCCGGGCCGTGCACATTCAAGCCGTGTTGTCCGAACTCCAGGAAGAAATCGCACAGGATCCCTTGCTCAAGGTGGCGTTTGAGCTGAACCGTCTGGCTGCAGACGATGAATACTTCGTGAAGAGAAAGTTGAAGCCCAATGCGGATTTGTTTGCGGCGTTTACGTATGGCGCGATGGGCTTCCCGGAGGAGTTTATTCTGCCGATTTCGATTGTGTCGCGGACGCAGGGATTCTTGGCGCATTGGAAGGAGGCGATGGGTGAGTTGTCCTTCCCTTCCTGGGTATGGTGTGTGCTAATGTTGGTTCTAGGTGGGACAGCACGGATTTGGAGGCCTGGACAGGTGTATGTGGGGGAGGTGGATCGGAAGTTTTAGTGATGTAGGTAGAATGCACCGGTAGTGAATGAGATGTGTCATACTGTTTTGAGCGTGTCTGAAAGACGGACCTGTAGCACATATACAATATTCGGTCTCTGCATGCCTGAGGAAGTGGTATAGAGTTGACCATCCGGCCACGCTGGATTCAGCCAGCGCTGCAGTCTGATTAGAAGACTCAGCATTCAAGTGACAAGCTGGTAGGCACTCAAAGAGGAACATTAGACTTGCGAGATTGTCCGGATTCTATCCATCCGGCTATATACTAAAAAGAGAGGATGAAGTCCATTGAGATTAGATACCAACACTTGCTTCCCGATTTTACTCCGGCACCAGCAAATCCACAAACTCCCTCACCGGCAACTCCTCAAACTCCTTCTTCCCCACCAAGCCTAGAATCCCCTCCACCCGCTCCTCGGACAACTTCAACCCCAAATTCCGTCTCGTCTTCTCCCGCACCGCGGCCATCGTCTCCTCGCGCCGAACATGTCCGACCGGAAAATCCACCACGACCTCCTCCAACTCGGTCCCATCCGCCAGAGTCACCCGCAGGGCATTCGCCAGACTCCGAATTTCAGGATTATGATAATCTCTCGTCATCTGAGGATCCTCCTCGAGGGTAATCTTCGCCCGTAACGCATCGACCCGCGGATCTCTCGCCCACGGGCTCGCATCCTGATAATCCTCCGTCTCAATGCCCGCCCCCTTCAACAACACCACCGCCACCATATACTTCAAACAATGATCCCGATCGGCCGCATTATGCAACGGCCCGACCTTATTAATAATAATCATCGCCGCTTCCTGCGTCCGCACCCGCACTCGGACAATCTCCTCCGGACTCCGACCCCTCTTCCGCAAATCCTCCGCCACCGTCACCGCGGCCTCCACGGCCGTTAACCCATGGCCCTCCGCCGTACTCACCTTGAACAGCACATTCTCTACCACCCAGCTTCCAAATGGCCGGGGGAGTTGGAACGCCTTCCCCCCGAACAACACATCATAGAACCCCCACCGCGGGGCCGTCAACACCGATCGAACCCCGGGTTGGCCCTTCTGCACCAGCAGAGCCAGATGCACGGCGCGCATGCAGGCATCCCCACCGGCCCAGCCCTTCCGGGGTCCGGCGTTGGGGGCCTGTCGGTAGACCCGGAGGGGATGGCCATCCAACCAGGCGTGCGAGACGGCCGCTTTCGCCTGTGCCTTGTCGAGACCGAGCAGCCACGACACGACGGCCGTGGAAGCCACCTTGACCAGAATGACATGATCGAGACCGACGCGGTTAAAGGCGTTCTTAATTTGAAAGCAGCCTTGGATTTCATAGGCTTTGATGAGAGCCATCAGGACGTGTTTCATGGTTGGGCCGTCATCGGGGAGGTTCTTCGTTAGGGCTTGGCGGCTGAGAATGTCGGCCGTGGCGAGGATCGCCCCGAGGTTGTCGGAGGGATGGCCCCATTCGGCACCGGGAAAGGCATCGTTGTGGTCCAGATAGCGGATCAGGAGGCCTAGGTCGAACGCTCCCTTGAGGATGTCGAGTTGGTAGTTGGTGCCCGGGAGACGGAAGCCATTGGCCAACTGGTCGGGGGCGGGCCACGCGGGTCCGATCAGCTCGCGACAGTCAGCGCTGGTGGTGAGGCCTTCGAAGGCGGCGCCGATGGCGTCGAGGAGGGTGGCGGTGGCGCGTTGGTAGGCTTGGGGACGTGTGATATCAAAGTCATACGCGTAGTCGACGATTTGGGTGACGATGGCGTCGTAGGGACGTTGGGTGTTGTCGTCGGCCATATTGTTTGGTGCTGTTGGATACTGTGAGCTTTGGAGGAGACCATGAGATGTGAATATATATAGATCTAGCGGTAATTGGGCGACGGTATGCTCGATATCTCTGGGATGTTCGGAGCCATCCCCGAGGGATTGTTCCATCGCTGTTCGGACGAGTCGATCCGGCTCGGGGTTGACGGTCCGGCGTCGGACTTGGAGCAGCGAGCCAATCATGGATTCATGTATCCAACCAGACTCGATCAACGCAGAGTATTTCAAGACGAGGATGGCCTCATGTCAAGTTGTACAGTAACATCATGACATCCGACCAGTTGACCGACAGCCAGCGGCGCAAGCTGGCCCACCAGCTGCTGATCGAACATCTCTCGTGAGTCCGTTCCTTAGGGTTGAGATCGCTGCTAACCAGACAGATACCAATTTGCCTTTCCGGTCCAATGGTAATTCCCTATCCCTCCTCTAATATGTTTATGCTGATCTTGTAGGATCAACACCCAACAAGCCCTGCTCCAACATGACCCGCCCATCCAGCGCATCATCGAGATTGGCCCTGCGCGGGTCCTGGCCACCATGGCCCAGAAGACTGCCACCACGGGGCCCACCGCCCGCCACGACCAGGCCAATGCCATCAACCGACAGTTTCTCAGCTCGGCCAGCAATCTCAAGGAGATCTACTATGAGTATGAGGAGCCGGCGGAACCAGCCCAGCCGGCCCCAGCTGCCACCCCAACTACCACCCCAGTGACTACCCCAGCGACCACCGCAGCTCCCGCTCCAGCCACTGCCCCAGCTCCCGCAGCCGCTGCCTCCATCCCCGACACGCCACTCACGGCCGGAGACCTAGTCCTCGCCCTAACAGCCCAGAAACTCAAGAAGCCCTTCGACCAAGTCCCCCGGGACAAGAGCATCCGGGATCTCTCCGGAGGCAAATCCACCCTGCAGAATGAACTGATCGGCGACCTCGAAGCCGAGCTCGGCCATCTCCCCGACAACAGCGAGACGCTCGCCCTCGAAGCCCTGTCAACCCTTCCCTGCTCCGGCCAGCTCGGCAAGCCCATGACCAGCCTAGTCGCTCGACTGATCTCCTCCAAGATGCCGGCGGGCTACACCCAACAAGCCATTCGCCAGCACTTGCAGACGCGCTGGGGACTGGAGGTCCACCGTCAAACCGCCGTGCTCTGCTACGCCACGACTCTGGAACCAGCGGCCCGTCTGGCTGACCCAGCTGCTGCCACTGACTTTCTGGACCGCGTCGTCCAGCGCTACGCCCAATACTTCACGCTAACCCTCACCCCGGGATCATCCACCACCCCGTCCGGCCCGGCTGCGATCGTGGACGCATCCGCCCTCGAGGCCGCCACGCGCGAGCAGAAAACCGCCCTGCGCAAGATCCACGAGGTGCTCGGCCAGCTGCTCGACGAGCCTGAGGCTATGGCGGAGCCAACTGTCTCCACGGCCGAGCTCACCGCGCAGCTCGACCACTGGACCACCGAGTTCGGGTCGCAAATGCAGACCGGCACCGCGCCGCTCTTCGACGCCCGTAAGATCCGTCTCTACGACTCGTGGTGGAACTGGGTGCGGGTGGATCTCCTGTCCCTGCTCCAGCGGCTGGACCGGGAGGATGTCCCGTCCGCCGAGTTAGAGAACGAACTGCATATGATTTTCAATCGGTGGACGCCGGCCTGCTCGCAGCTGGTGGACTTCGCCTCCACCACCCGGGGGCATCCCATACGTGAGACATTCAACTCAGAGCACCGTGGTGTCGATCCCACTTTCCGATACACCCAACCCTCCCTCGCCCCCAAAACCACCATCACCGACACCGGCGACATCCAGTACACCGAAGTCCCCCGTGTCTCTGCCCCGACCCCCACCGACCACGCGTTCCTCCTCACCCGCAGCACCACCACCACCACCACCCACCTCCCCTTCTGCCACATCCGTCGCCGCCACGGCCCGACCTGGCGCTACCACGCCCCCTGGACGAACCACTTCCTGGACGCTCTCACCACCGCCACCACCACCGGCCTGTCCTTCAAAGACCGCACCGTCCTGATCACCGGCGCCAGTCCCGGTTCGATCGGCGCCGAAGCCATCAAGGGGCTACTCCAAGGCGGGGCCCATGTCCTCGTGACCACCAGCCGAGCGATCAGCGCGACCGCGGACTTCTACAGCACTCTGTACAAGAGGTACGGTGCCCGGGGGAGTAAACTGATCCTCCTGCCATTCAACCAAGCCAGCGTGCAAGACTGCGATGCGTTGATCGATCATATCTATACCCAGGGCCCTGCCTCCGGTGGGACCTATGGGGGCGACATCGACGCGATCCTCCCGTTCGCGGCGATGCCTCAGACGGGGACCATTGACAGCGGGCTCGATGAAAGGGCGGAGCTCGCGCACCGACTCATGCTCACGAATCTCCTCCGGTTACTCGGCCGGATTAAATATCATAAAGTGCAACGACGGATCACGAGTCGTCCCACGACGATCATCCTCCCGCTGTCGCCGAATCACGGGACCTTCGGGGGGGATGGACTCTACTCGGAGTCCAAACTGGGATTAGAGACGCTGTTGAACCGGTTCGATTCGGAGCGGTGGGCGCCGTATCTCGCCGTCTGTGGGACGGTCATCGGATGGACCCGCGGCACCGGGTTAATGAGCGGGAATAATATCCTCGCGGAGGCGGTGGAAGCGCAGGGCGCGATGACGTTCTCGGCCGGGGAGATGGCGTGGAATGTGTTGGCGGTGTTGGGGCAGGGGAAATTGGTGGCGGCGTGTGAGGAGCAGCCCGTGTGGGTGGATTTGAGTGGGGGGTTGGCGGGGGTGGAGGGGTTGAAGGAGGTGTTGGGGCGGGCGAGACGGGAGATGCAGCGGGCGAGTCAGATCCGCCAGGCGATCGTGGCGGAGCGGGAGCGGGAGCGGGAGGTGTTGGGCGTGGCGGAGGGCCCGGGGCCGCGGGGGGATGGGTTTCGTCCTCGGGCGGGGCTGAGGGTTGGGTATCCCGCGGTGAAGGAGTATGAGACCGCGATCCAGGGATTGCCTGATTTGCAGGGCATGATGAACCTGCAGAAGACGGTGGTCGTGGTGGGATATTCCGAGTTGGGTCCATGGGGGAGTGCCCGGACCCGATGGGAGATGGAATCCACCGGGGCGTTTTCCGTGGAAGGACTGGTGGAGATGGCGTGGATGATGGGGTTGATTGAGCATTGGGCCGGAGAGGTCCAGGGCCAGCCCTATGCCGGATGGGTGGATCGACAGACCAAAGCCCCGGTGCGGGACGATGAGATCGGCACGCGGTATGGGGAATATATCCGGGCGCATACGGGGATCCGGTTCATCGAGCCGGAACTGCTGAACGGGTATGATCCGGATCGCAAGGAGTTTCTGCACGAGGTCGTGGTCAATGAGGATCTGCCGGTGTTTACGGCGGCGCGGGCCACGGCGGAGGCGTTTCAGCTGCGGTACGGCGACAAGGTGGTGATTACGCCGCAGGGGGAGGATGAATGCGCCGTGCGGATCAAGAAGGGGGCACACTTTCTCGTCCCCAAGGCAATTCCCTTCAGTCGCAAAGTGGCAGGGTTGCTGCCCACGGGCTGGGATCCGGCGCGATATGGCATCCCGGAAGATATCGTGGCGCAGGTCGACCCCATCACGCTGTATGTGTTGTGCTGCGTGTGTCAGGCCATGCTCAGCACCGGCATTCAGGATCCGTTTGAGATCTACCAGCACATGCATGTCTCCGAAGTGGCCAACTGCATTGGCACGGGGGTGGGGGGTTTAGTATCGATGCGGGGGGTCTATGGTGATCGCTATCTGGATCGCCCGGTGCAGAACGACATTCTGCAAGAATCCTACCTCAATGCCATGGGAGCGTGGACCAACATGCTCCTCCTGGGCTCCAGCGGCCCGATCAAAACGCCAGTTGGCACTTGCGCCACGGCCGTCGAGTATGCCTCTCTCCCCCTATCGTCCTGATATCCCACTAACCATATAGATCGCTCGATTCCGGCTGCGAATCGCTCCTCCTCGGCAAAGCCAAACTGGCCATCGTCGGCGGCACCGACGACTTCCAAGCCGAAATGTCGTACGAATTCGCCAACATGAAAGCGACCGCCAACACCCTGGACGAGCTGGCCAAAGGCCGTCTACCCCACGACATGTCCCGCCCCAGCACGACCTCCCGCAGCGGCTTCATGGAATCCGCCGGCTGCGGCATCCAAATCATCACCACCGCCGACACCGCCCTGGCCATGGGTCTGCCCATCTACGGCATCATCGCCTATACCCAAATGGCAGGCGACCGCATCGGCCGCTCCGTCCCAGCCCCAGGCCAAGGCATTCTCACCGCAGCCCGGGAATCCCCCCCCGCACGATCCTCCCCACTCCTCTCTCTCCCCTACCGTCGCGCCCACCTCACCACCGCCCTATCCCAGATCCAACGCGAACGCACCGATCTCCTCACAGCAGCCAAACACCTCCCCCTCGACAACACCCCCCACAGCCTCTCCGAGCACCTCCACCGCATCGAAACCCTCACCACCCAGAAACTCCTCACCGCACAAACCCTCTGGTCGAACCCCCGTCTCCAAGACCCCACCATCTCTCCCCTCCGCGCCGCCCTCGCAACCTGGTCCCTCACCATCGACGACCTCACCGTCGCGACCCTCCACGGCACCTCCACCCCGGCTAATGATCTGAACGAAGCCCGCGTCCTCAACACCCAAATGTCCCACTTACACCGCACACCAGGAAACCCCCTCCTCACGATCTCCCAGAAACATCTCACCGGCCATCCCAAAGGCGCTGCCGGAGCATGGATGCTCAACGGGGGGTTACAAGTCCTATCCTCCGGGGTGGTACCGGGGAACCGCAATGCAGATAATATTGATGAGAAGTTCCGGGGGTTTGAACATCTGGTGTATCCATCCACCGCCATGAAGATTGGTGAGGACGGGATGAAGGCATTCATGTTGACGAGTTTCGGGTTCGGGCAGAAGGGCGGGGTGGTGGTGGTGGTTGCGGCGAGGTATTTGTTTGCGGGGTTGGGAAAGGGGGTGTATGAGGGGTGGAAGGGACGGGTAGGGGAGAGGATGAGGAGGGGGGAGCAGGTGTTTCTGAACGGGTTCATGGGGAAGAATGGGGAGGGGTGGTTTCGGGCGAAGGAGGTGTCGGCGTGGGGGGAGAAGAAAGAGGATGAGACGAGGGTGTTTTTGGATCCCGGGGCGAGGGTAGCCCGGGAGGGAGGGGAGTATGTTTTCAGCAGAGGTGCTTAGTTTAGTGTTTTTGGGGGGCTGTTGCGAGGTATAGAATGTGATTGTGATTTGGGCTTGATATGTGGCCGTCTGTTTGGCAGGGTTGATTTAAGTTTGTGGATGTATAGTGAGCGGTATCGTCACTGGAAACAATAGCAGACCTCTCAACTCTGCATTCGGTTGTTTTGCTTAGGTACTGACTCTGTGACTGACTGCCTGCAGAATCTCGTGGGAAGTCTATCGAGTGTTTGATAGGCAATCCACTCTACGCTAGTGGCTAAATGCTAGTCTGGTAGCCAGTTAGGGCTCAGCTCAGCGGTGGGATCGACTAGGAGGTCGGCGGTTCTTATACAATGTCACTTCTAAAACAGGAGTTCAACATGCATCATCTTACTAACAACTATATCAAGCGAAGTCCAAGTCCAAGTCCAGGCAGAATCAAAGCAACTCCCTCCCCACCAACCCCCCCCTCCCCCTCCCCCCCCCCCCAAACCCCACCATCCACAACTCATTCAACTCCCGCCCGGCCCACACCACATTCAACACCGTAAAATTCGTCTGCACGCGCACCACCAACTGCCCCCGCTCATCCAACACATCGACCCCATGCCCCGTCGCCGTAACCACCAACCCATTCCGGGCGGTCTTAATCCCATCTGGGACCCGATCCTGCGCCAGGAAAATCGCCCTCGGATTGACCATCCCGGTGCCATCGGGCAACAAATCCGCCGCATACACGGTGCGTTTGCCGTGCGAGTGGTAGGCGATTTCCCCACTGGCGAGGGAGACCGCGTCCGCGCCGGTATCGGTCACATAGACGGTTTTGTGGTCGGGGGAGAAGGCGATCCCGTTCGGTTGGGAGAAGGCGTCCGAGACGATTTGTGTTTGGCCCGTGGTGGGGGTGAAGCGGTAGATGGCGGTTTCGAGGTGGATGGTGTGGTTGTGGGGGATGTGGGGGAGGGCGTGGATGTACCCTATCCCTCTTATTAGTATTGTTATTGGGGGGAGGGAGAGGTGGGGGATGGGGTACAGTTATCCGTGAACCAAATATCGCCGTTCGGGGCAAAGGCCAGATCATCACACGTGCCAAAGTTATACCCAAAGTAATTGTTGAGGACGGGATGGATCTTCCCCGTCGATGCATTCAAGGCATAAATCCCCGGGGTGTAGATCCCGTTGTATGTGGCTGAACCGCACCAGTAGATCAGCCCGGCGTGGTAGGTCGACCCGCAGGGGACGACGAGGGGGGGATCGAAGATGCGTTGTTCGAGGGTCGGGGGGTCGGTGTTCAGATCGATCACGTATTGGGCGGGGGGATCGGGGCGGAGCCGTGAAAAAAAGATGAGATTGAGGTTGGGTTCGTAGGTGGGAGCTTCGTGGGGGACGTTGTCGAGGGGGAAGATGAAGTCGACGACGGGGTCGGGGCCGAGGATGTCTGCCGCGCGGGTCTCGTCGAAGATGAGGAAGCTGGCGTTGGCGAGCAGCGAGAAGGAGGGGTCGGCGGGAACCGAGGTGGAGGCATAAGTGTCGGTGGCGCCGACGATGGGCTGGATGATGCGCTCGAAGCCTTCGGGGAGGACGGCGCCGTAGTGGTGGATGCAGAGGACGGAGGGGGACGCGTAGCCAAGGCAGGGCTGCGCAATGGCGGGGACAGCGGCCGGGACCGAGGCCCCGGTGAGGGGATATTGAAGAGCAGACATGCTGTCGTGTGGATATGAGAAGCGAGGATGGAGGGATAGATACAATTCTTTTATATTTATATTACAACGGTCCGAACGGCCCGAGAAGCGCGCCTCGGCCTTTTACCCCCGAATCCTTCATGCACTACGCATCCACCAACGCATTCTTCGAATACGACCGAATCTTCTTGCCGTAAAAGAAAAACAAAAACGGCACCGGCGCCAGAGCCAGCGCGATAAACCCCAGCAGACTGGTCGCCCACGGCACCCCCAGGTTGTGGTACAGCGCGGGTGAAAACAGCGGAAACCCGGCCCCGAAGAAGCTACGCAGAAAGGTATTGCCCGAGATGGCACTGTTGGCGACATTCAAATACACGTCCACGATGTACTTGAAGCCCTGCACGAAAATGGTGAACAGACACGCTCCCACGATGATGTAGGCGGCCACTTGCGCGGGCCACGGGGTGGATGCGTGGCTGGTCCAGGCGGCCCAGAACATGCCTGGAGGCAGCAGCACCGCGCCTACCATCATCGGCGGGAGGCGACGTTCCGGGACCGACAGTCCTGGCGTTGACTGGATCTGTCGTTTGTAGACGGTCATGGTGTACCAGATAATGGCGACGCCCGCGATGATGACCCCGATCGCCAGGCCCAGGAAGGGTAGAGCCGCGATCTGTGGCCGCCAGCCACGGACCTGCTCGAATGCGATCGGAAAGCCTTCGAAGAAGAGGAAGAGGAGACCGTACACAAATGCCCTACATTTTGTCAGTGCGATGATTCCCAGTTTGAGTCGCTGCGAACTCACATGTAAATCGTGACCACCAGATATATCGGCTCCGTCGCCAGCAACACCCACGGTCGCAGCAGATACGCCTTGGCAAAGGTTTTCGCGTCCGTGTCGCTCTCCTCGAGGCGACTATGCAGCGCCCACTGTTTCGTCTGCAGACGCAACCGGGCAGCTTTGCGGGTCAGCAGGACCGGAGCGTATGTCTCGGGGACGACAAAGAAGGCGACAATGATGAAGGCGTATGCAACAATCGCGGTCACCCACATGACCCACCGCCAGCCCAGATAGCTCTGGGTGATAAAGTTGCCGATGATAGGGCCGATGATGGGCCCAAAGAAACCGGTCAGGATGAAGATGTCCATGCCCACGCCGCGGATGATCGGGTCCGGCCAGATGTCGGCGATGGCGCCGCCGGTGACGGCCATGGCGGCGGAGCCGAACAGACCGCTGAAGAAGCGACTGATCATGATGGTGTAGTAGTTTTGGGCCACTGCGATCGGGATGCAGAAGGTCGCAAAGAGGGTCACGCCGATGGTGATGGGGATTTTGCGCCCGATGCGTTCCGACAGCGGGCCGAACATGAGCGGGCCAAAGGTGAAGCCCTGATGGTCAGCGATGGCTGCAGCCAAGAAAAGGGGAAGAGTTACCAGCAGAAATAAACTGGTGATCAGGATCGTGACTTCGGAAGATACGTGGTATTCCTTCTCCATGTCGGCCGACGAGCCACTGAGGATGCTGGACCCGATATTGACAAACAGTGGCAGCGTGTTCAGCACCAGTGTGACCACCCACCGCCGCGTCGGACTCCACGTATGCGGATTTTCCTTGTCGCCAGGTTCCCACGTCACCAGATTCGGATCCGCAACCGGCGGTGGGGAGGGGGCTGCTTTCTCGATGTCATGCTGGATTTCATGAAGGGATTGATCCGGACTGGCGGTGGAAGATTCGGGGTCCATGGTGAAGGCGCAGTGACTGACATGGTGGACAAAAGCCAAGGCCGGCGGTGGTGATCTTTATATAGGGCACCGGGCCGACAGTAGATTCGACAACAGACCATCGCGCAGATAGCTCAGATTAATAATGTTCTCCTTTAATCTAAGGGGAGTTTTTTCTCTCCCTCGTTGGTTTAATATCCTGCACGGTGGTGTGGCAGGACCAATAAGCGCACCCGCTCGGCCTCGGATTCCGGGGCCGACACCAGCTGGCAGCCTGTCCAGCACTCCAGCTCGATCCCACGACAAGACCATCGCGTCGGACATTGCCAGACTGTCGGACGTATGCCTCCGACATCTCGGTGGTCGCTCGGTGGTTATTGATGGTTCACAATGATAGGAATGTCCGGTATAGAGCCCCGTTAGCATGGCTGGATATATATACCACGGATCCATCGAGTAGCAGAATACAGAGCAACAGAATCACAAATCACAGAATCAACCCATTCCAGCAGTATCATCATGGGCTCCATCACCCCCTCTTCCCCCCCCGTCTACCCCCCCTTCCCCAACACGGGCTCCCTCAAGGACTTCAACCTCGTCCACCTCACCCCCGCCATTGGGAGTGAATTCCGCGATGTCGACGTGACTGCCTGGCTCCGCGAGCCCAACTCGGACGACATGATCCGCGATCTAAGCCTGCTCCGTATCTCCCCCTAACATTCCCCCCGTCCTCCATCTTCACCCTCTAACAACCACAGTGGCCGAACGCGGCGTCATCTTCTTCCGCAACCAACACAACATCACCGACACCCTGCAAAAGGAACTCTGCCGACGCCTGAACGAACTCTCCGGCGCGCCCAAAGAAAACGGGTTCTATCGCCACTCCTTGCTGGCCATGCAAGGCGAGGACCCCGAAATGGGTAAAGTAGATCCGGATCGGCTGCGCACGATGTACAACAAGCCGCTCAATGGCATGCCTCGCCAGACGCATATCCGCGAGTGGCATACTGATTCGAGCTTTGAGTATATGCCTCCGAGTTATACGGTTTTGAGGCTGGGGGAGATGCCGGAGACGGGTGGTGGTATGTCCCCTGCCCTGTCTGCTTGATCCGCTGTGGTTTTGTAGGCAAGGTATGGTATGGTATCTGATGGAAGGTAGACACCCTCTGGGCCTCCGGCTACGAGCTCTACGACCGGCTCTCCCCGCCCTACAAACGCTTCTACGACACCCTGACAGCCACCCACATGTCGCCCGCCCTCGCCGAAGCCGGGCGCCAAAACCCCAAAGGGATGGATAGTGGCCCCCGGGGCGCAAGCGGCAACGTGGGACTCGACTTTTGCACGCAGCATCCACTGGTGCGCACGCACCCATTGACGGGCTGGAAGGCCGTGTTCGGATGGGGCACGAACTGTCATCATATTGACGGCGTGACGGAGATGGAGAGCAAGGCGCTGTTTGATAAGAATCGGCGACTGATCATGGATAATCAGGATCTGCAGGTACGGTTTCGCTGGGAGAGTACGGGGGATTTGGCCGTGTGGGATAATCGGTGTACGTTTCATTCGGCGACGCATGATCATTTTGGACTTGGGGAGCGGGTCGGGTGGAGATGTATGGTCATGGGGGAGAGGCCGTTTTTGGATCCCAAGAGTAAGAGTCGGAAGGAGGCCACGGGGGGGTGGCCGTATAAGTTGGAGAATCCGATTGAGGGGTAGGGCTGTAGCTGCTTCTTCTTCTTCTTCTTCTCCTTCTTCTTCTTCTTCTTCTTCTTCTTCTTCTTCTTCTTCTTCTTCTTGTTGTTGTTGTTGTTGTTGTTGTTGTTGTTGTTGTTGTTGTTGTTGTTGTTGTTGTTGTTGTTGTTGTTGTTGTTGTTGTTGTTGTTGTTGTTGTTGTTGTTGTATGTGGGGGAGGGGGATATTGATGGTGGTGGATGAATATCTGACTGAATTACTGTTTATCTTCTGGCTTGAGATTATCAATCGTACTGCGTTTATGAGAGTTACTCGATCTATAGTTTAGGTGCAATCAACGTATTATGGTAAGCGCCTAATCACTTGGTTAGCCCTTATCGCTGCTCACGTATCTGAATTAGCCTCCTTTTGGAAGCGTGAAGCGTCACGCTTAAGGACGGTCCTTGTTTTACATCAGTAAAACGACATAGAATCATTTACTATGATACACCCTGAAGTCTCTATAAGGAATCTTCAACTACTTTACATAGCCTTATACATAGGCAGAATCTGGAATCTCTAAGAGTCCTAGTAGCCTAATCACCCTCGTTCTCATAATACCCTCCATATATTAACCTAATTCAGATAGATAAGGTTAGTTCGATACCTACTCTATGCTATACTATACATCGGGTGGAGTAGCAAAAAGACCAGTAAATTAGTGTAAAGCCATCCGAGTATGTGGTTTCTAGAAGGGGCTAACTGGCACTTAGGCTTAGGGCAAGTGTAAAATAGTGACGTTCCTATAGATGATCATCTCAGAGATAGCCCGCAGATGTCATTCCATTGGTCGATGCAGTCCCATCGGTGGTGCATGCCAAGGAGCTAACATTCGGGCCCGGATTCCGGGGCCGCCGCTAATTTTACAAGTCTAAGTAAGCCCTGCTGGGCGGCCCCGCAGCCCTAATTTGACTGTCGTAGTCTTGCAGGAACAGAGTAAATAGTAGTCTCCAACTTGGCTACTGGCAGGCAAACAAGAGATTTCCAGAATTACCATGCATCTCTCCTGATCAGCTCCCCGATAAACTCACTCTGAACCATGTTGCCTAAGCACCCCCTAGCAAGCTCAACAACTCCTCCACATCCTCCACCCCCTCCAACTGCAACACCTTCTGCTCAATCGCCGCCACCGTCTTCACATCCACCACCGACCCCGCCAACCGCCGAAACTTGTCCCGAATATCCGCATTGTCCAACGGCGGATCATACCCCTTCGGAAACGGCGTCGCCTCCTCCACCTCCCACCCATCGGCAAACCGCACCACCACCCGCGCCCCACAAATATGATCCGGCTGATCAAACTCCGCACTATGCAGACACGTCGTCTTCCGCGCCAACGCCCACACCTCCTCCCGATCTAACGCTCCCTCCTCGAACTGCGCCGGCAATACCTGCCGATCCACCAACTGCACCGCCCCAATATACGCCGCACTCATCTGCGCCCCGGTGGCCGTAATCGGCCGCTGTGGCGGCCACCCATCATGCGCATAAATCGGCGCCGACAAATACACCGTAATCGATTCCACCTCCCCTAACTTCTCCCTCGCAAACCGCTCCGGATACTGCTCCTGCATCCGCTGCAACACCTCAATCTGCCCATGACAGCCCCCGACGCACGCATATAATTTGAACCGAATCACCTCCGTCTCCCACTCCTTCCCCAACCCCTTTACCACCTCCTCCACCTGGTAGCCGGGCGTCCGCTCATTCCCGGCACTAAACATGGCCAAGAATCCACCATACGGCCGCTCCAACACCTTCTTCATTCCCAGATACCCCGACCGGGCCAACAACCCCGCCTGCAATCCATTCCGCGCCGCAAACGCATGCTGCATCCGCTTCACCATCCCTTCATACTGCGCCGACATTAACCCCCCGGCTTGCGTACACGCAATCCCCATCGCGGACTCAATCCCCGTCGCATCCAGACCAAAGAGTTTCCCCGTGGCCGCTGCACTCGCCGGCGAGCCAAACACCGGGCCGGAGTGCCAGCCCCGGGACAGCAAATCAGACCCGTACATGGCCTTCCCGACACGCGGACCCGTCTCAAACCCTGCGATCGCAGCGAGGAGGAACGTCGCCCCTGATACAGCGACAGGGTCATATCCACTGCGATGTTTCTGGGCTTCCACGGCGGCGAATAACGCCGGAAGCACGATGCTGGCGGAGTGCAGCGGGGCTTGGCTGTGGTAGTCGTCGAGTTCCATGGCTTGGATGAAGGCACCGTTGGCGAGGGCGGCGGCCAACGGGCCGTGTTTCTACTACATTAGTGAAACGGGCCAATACTGATGTAGAGTATACTGTAGGACGATAACATACCTGCTTCTCCCCGATGATGCGACAGTATCCGCTGGGCTCGTATTCATGGATGCTTTGCGTGGCGGTGCGGGACCAAGGGGCGCGCGCGCCGACTAACCCGCAGCCGATACCATCGAGGATGAGGTGTTTGGCGCGTTCGCGGACGAACAGTGGGATCGAGTCGAGGTCAAGAGATGCGATCCACTTGCTGAGGAATTCGGTCACGGGGAGGGGGTCTTCGGTGGTGTGGTTGACGGTCATGGTGATGAGTTGAGGTGGAAGCTGAGAAGTGGATGTAGGGGATCTGGTATAAGAATCGTATTAACGGTGTTCGGGAGGACAGTATCCGTCGAGGCTCGGGCCCCGCGGCCGAGCTTCGGGGTTCGGGGCCAGTGAGCGAGCCCGTGCAGCCCGATGCCGCCATGCGTTGAGCAGATAAAGAGCGGCACCCACTCCTCGATTGCCACACATCATGGCGCTCCCGGTGAACGAGCGCACGCGGCTGTTGCCCGACGAGGACAATGGCCCCGTCACGTGGACCGGCCCGGATGACCCGCACAACCCTAAGAACTGGCCGGCCTCGCGCAAATGGACCTGCGCCATGCTGGTCTCGGCCTACAGCATCATCGCCCCGACAGCCTCGTCCATGGTCGTGCCCGCCATGCCGGCCCTGACGCGTGATCTACACATCGAGTCGCCTCTGGTCACCCAGCTGACCCTCTCTATCTACGTGCTGGGCTGGGGCATGGGACCCCTCATCATGGGGCCGTTGTCTGAGATCTACGGCCGCGCCCCATTGCTCCATCTCGGCCAATTCGGGTTCCTCATCTTCAACACCTTGTGTGGTCTGGCTCCTACTGCCCGCATCTTCCTCGCGCTACGCTTCCTCGGCGGCGTTTTCGGCAGCGGACCCATGTCGGTACGCCCTCCCCCAATACCCCCCACCCGTTTTTCCGCGCAACCCTAACATCCCAGCTCGGCGCCGGCGTCCTCGGCGACCTCTGGATCAGCGACGAACGGGGCGTATCATTAGCCATCTACACCGTGATGCCCCTGCTCGGCACGACCCTGGGTCCCCTCCTCGGCGGCCTCCTCATTCAATCGCGACCCTGGCCCGACATCTTCTTCCTCTGTTCCATCTTCACCCTCCTCTCCCTCCTCCTGGGCCTGTTCTTCCTCCCGGAAACCTTCCCCCCACTCCTGCTTCACCGCCGCCGTCTCGACAACTGGCAAGCCCGCGGCCTTTACCCCCCGAAACCCCTCTCCCGGCGCCAACAACTCACCAAACTCATCCGCGTCGACCTCGCCCGCCCATTCATCATGCTCGGCACGCAGCCCATCATCCAACTCTTAGCACTCTACATGGGCTTCCTCTTCGGCCTTAACCACCTCACCATCTCCACCTTCCACGCTCTCTGGCGCGACGTCTACCATCAGGATGACTTCCGGAGTAGTCTGAATTATATCGCCATTACGGCGGGGTTGCTCGGTGGAGCGGAAAGTACGGGCCCCATCAACGATAAAGTAATCCCCCCCCCCCCCTTTGCCCCCTCCCAAACCCAACCCCCAATCCTAACCCAGACGTATAGATCTACCAGCACCTCAAAACCAAAAACCACAACCACCCCTCCCCCACCTACCGCATCCCCCTCATGATCCCCTCCGCCATCCTCGTCCCCACTGGTCTCCTCCTCTACGGCTGGTCCGCCACCTACCATCTGCACTGGCTCCTCCCCAACCTCGGCATCTTCATCTACTCATTCGGTCTTCTCATGGGATATCAATGTATCCAGGCGTACGTGCTGGATTGTTATCCCGTGTATGCGGCGAGTGCGATGGGCGCGTTGACGGTGTTAAGGTCGTTGGCGGGGTTCGCGATGCCGGTGTTTGCGCCGGCGTTGTATCGGTGGGTTGGGTATGGGTGGGCATGTACGGGGTTGGCGGGCGTGGCGGGCGTGGTGG